GAACCACTCTTCGAGCCTTGATGCATCATAGTTGAGAGGCGTGCCCAGCTTGAAAGGGGTTGTCGAGGCAGAGTATGGGCGTCGATGCGATATCTGCGGCATGTAAAAGTAGTGAACGAGCTGAACAACGGGCATCGAGTTCCTCTTCTCGTCCTTTTGGGCTGTTTATGCTTGAAGGTGAAATAGGTCAGCCCATTGCAGTGAGGATACGAGCCTTGTAGCCATATCTATTAGATAAATTGCGTCCCTGGAAAGTTTAGGATCTGGTCGAAACTCTCCACCGCCGACCGGTTCGGTTGAAGCCTAGTCTTGATAAGATACACCAGTTCTATAGCGCTATGTATGCGAATTGAGATGTATTGGCAGACTGATGGTCTGAATATGGGATATGGTGTCGCTGCCATGTTTGTACGTCTGAGCCAACAGTATCGTGTTGCCTGGTTCTCTATAGCTCTTTGGCTTCTCTACTAAATAGAACAAGTCTTTTGGATCTCATAGTTCGTGTCCGCTCCACCCTCTGGTCCCCCGATTCAACAAGGAATCCTCCAGAGAAAAGGATATCTTGAGATGGCGACATGAATTTTGTAATCTAGGAAGAAGGGGCTGGGCACACGCGGCCCGGAAATCAATACCAGATCACCAACGACGGAAGGAACACGGGAGGTGACGCGGCTTTGACGAGCGTGTATACGGCCAACAGCAGAGACTCCAAGCACGATACTCTCTGCCATGGTACAGACGCCTGCGACCAAACCCAGTAACAGCACATGCGGCCAAACGCGACAAACGCCGCAGTTCTTTCTGGTCGTCCCAACGGGCCACGAAACCCTCTAGATCCCGTAGGGTCTTGTTCTTCGTCATGTCCTGACTACGCGCGGAAAGGAAGCTCGCCGACACGCGGTGTCCAAGTGCCTCCCCCCTCAAAACAGCCCAGCCCGGCACGTCGGAACGCAAAGAAAGAAAAAGAGAGGAAAAAAGTAGCCGAACCATGACCCGGTAAGGCGAGCCGGCTGCCGTAGTTCTATTCCCGGGATTCTCGGTTCTTTCGGGCGCCCGCGGCCGCACACTCCCCCCTCGATCGGCGTCGGGGATCCAGGGGGGGGGAAGGGACGAAAGGACGGAAGGACGGAAGGACGGAGGTCGGCGCGCCGCTAACGTCAACCTCGCAACAGGCCTCTGCTACCCATACCTCTCCTTGCCTTCACCCCGCTAACCCTTCTTTGCTTTTAACGTCACTTCCCCGTCACGCTTTTCTGCTCTTCTCGGGCATCGGTTCCCTCCAACCCGCGCCGAGCTAGTCCTCCGTCGCGGGAAACTTTAGGAATACGAACATGGTCTACTAACTCCCGGAGCTTCGTCAGCGTGAATGGGGAGGCCCGGATGGTGATGAACACATGATAATAAAGAGGCCGACTAACGTACGTACACAAAAACGGCTCCTCTTGAGTTCGCACAGGTACACGCGATCACACCCTAACAGGGATGCCCGAAGCCCAACGCAATAGAAAAAAATGGTCATGAAGCCGACGTCTCTTAGCCAAGACACACACACACACACACACACACACACACATACAGAGAGAGAGGGAGAAATAGAGAGATACGCGCCTGGTTTTCGCAGCCGCCAGCCGTTAAAGCATCCACGGAGATGGCTTCGCACCAGGAGAGATTAATCACCACATCTCGGACAAGAGCTTCCTGATACGGTAGGTATGTCGCGGATCGCGGAAGAATAGAATGGCCAGAAGGCCGGTCTGAACCTAGTGAACTATATAGGCCGCCAGGCGGACAACGGGACTGACTGTCTAGATGCCCTCTGCCTCAATTAGCAGACAAGGCGGGCGGGCGGGCGGCCGACAGGCGTACTACGTCGCCATCACGTCGCCTTACGGGTATGAAGCCGAACCTGACGAGGGAACACCGAAAGTCAGCCCGCGAACGATCAGAGCCCCCCTCCCCACCCTGCTTTGTATTAGGCCGAATTGGCGTTGCTCGACGGGACAGCCCCGGCCCCCTGAACCGCAACGAGCTCCCGATTGTGGTAGTTCAGACCATTCGTGCAGGCTACAAGACAGAAGGCGCGGGGGAGGGTTCCGACCCAGGAGGGGGGCATTTTGCTCATTTCCCCGTTAAGAAGATCGTGTCGTGATCGCGTTACAGGTGTCGACCTTGGATCGCACGAGTAAATAGCGCCAGCAAGAAGTTTTGCCTTGCAGTAGCGCGTGTTCCAAGACAGTGGTTTGGTGTGGTGAGAAGGTTCGAGATGGGCTCGTCTAGGTCACACATCTCGGGTGCCAGGGGGGGAGGATACAAGACGCAATTTGCAGTGTCACACGGGCCGGTGATGAGGAAGGGGTGCTGGGACCACACGGCGGATGAAGCGTCCGTAGCAAAAGACTAGCCCAAATGGATAATCTCCCGCCGGCTTGAGAGCATCAGGTAATTTAGCCTAGAGGTGAATCTGTTCGAAACGAATATTCCGCGCGCGTTGTCAGACTGCCGGTATAACTTGCACCATTTCAGCACACCCCCCTGTTGTTGTCTTCGCGTATAACCTGACGTTCACAGTCGCCAGAGCGACGTGGTTCGTAGGCGAGAGATGCTGAAACGGCATGTCGCCAGTTTCGTACCTGTGCCAGGGCGCTTTGATTTCCCAAAGGGGCCATGCTACGGCCACGGGCAGGGGCTGGAGAAAGCTGGGGACCACCGTGGTGCCGGGCATCACGCGCGTTCGATCCGCTTCAAGTTTTTCGAGCTGCAGTCGGTGGCTTCAGTGTTATTTGATGATGTGGTCGGTGGTGGAACGATAAGGTCCTCTGCTTGTCAACCTCCGACGCGGCGGATGTTCGAGATCGTCCAGATGACGACAAGGCTCAGCTCGAGCCGCGACAACTCTAAAGTGGGTTTTCATGGAGAGCCGGAGTGTCTTGAGAGATAGGGCAAAGTAAATTACGTATACGTGGTAGTCTGTTGCACCGATGTATGGAGACACAGATAGCAAGAAGACGAGCCGGGGGAACCGTGGTGCATGAAGCAGAGCGCGTCCGCCTCTCAGGGCTGAACATCCACATGCGCTCTCGTGCAGGGTGGTTTGATGAGACGAGACGGAGACGAAATAGTGAAAGAGGGAGTCACAACCCCGGTATCGTCTCCTCAAGGCCTGGCTAGGCGAGGCTTCGAGGCGCACCGACGACCCAGGAAGAAAGAGAGAGAGAGAGAGAGAGAGAGAGAGAGAGAGAGAGAGAGATAGGTGTTGACCCAGATGGCGAGCGGGCTGGTCAGTGCCCTCGTCGTCTTGCATTGCTGGGGCGACGGGGCAGCAGGCTGAGGAGCAACAAGCAATCCCTGGACCAGGTGTCGTCCCAAAACGGTAACAGATTTGAGGCTCGGTTGAGCAGGTCCCCTTCAAATTACACACGAGCTGGGATCCGAGGTACGGTTCCTGGATCCCCGCGGCGTGGCATGGGTTCACCGTTGTTGGGCAGTTGAAGCATCGTTTGCGGGCATACGTATGAATAGGGAAGAGGACCGAGGAGGTGGAGGTGGCAGGCCCGAATCCCCTCAAATGGGGGATCGAGATCGGGTAGACAAATCGTCGAGGGTGTTTGATAGAGGTCTCAGCTCATCTGGTGACCCAAGATCCCCCTCCTCCTCTGGTTCCAGTGTGCCGTCTTGACAGGCGCGGATCTGCCGCTCAAGGCTTGCAAGTTGAAGCGGGTGGCTAAGCTTTGCCAACAGCTGCCTTGCGGATATTACCATTATGCGCATGTTGGCGTCCGCATACGCCAGCATAGAGACGAAACGCATGCCCTTTATCCCGCAATATATTACGACTTATTTCGGGACACGACAGGGTCACGGCCAAATGACAGGATTTATGGCGAGCGGGAACTGCCATTGTGAAATTTTCATGATTTGATTCACCTTCCTTTGCGGACGGGCGGGGCAGGAAAGAGAAAATTGCCATGGTGAGAACGTGTGCGGGAAGGTTTACACGGGTAAATTTCGCGAAAGTTCCTGCCGCTAGCGTTGTTGTTTGGATGTGCAAGTAGGATCGACGCCTCTGCCCCGAAGCCTATTTGATGAGGCTCATCAGACGGGGGTGACTGACTTGTGCACACCCGTGCGGCACACGTGAGTATAACTATTCGTACCGGTAGTGTCCGTCGTCATCAGTTTGGAATTGAAGGCGGGCAGGTTGAATAGCCCTGGACTTTGGGCGCAACGCAACGGGTGACACAGACTGCGACAAGGGGATGTTCAGTTTAACGACATTGAAGGGTTTTCGGAGCCCCGTTTCCTCTTCAGGCGAAGATCCGCTCCTTCGGAACTCGTCGGCCGGGGCCCGTGGTCCTTCGCAGTTCGAGGAGCAATAACGGCCGGTGGAATTAATAAGGAAGAGTCAGTGGCCGTGGGCCGAGAAAGGGTCGACCTGGAGGCTGGTGATTTGCTGAAAGGAAAAAAAAGGAAAAATAGGCGCCCAAAATAGACGCGTGCACAAATACCTACTGCTAGGTAACGAACGACGTTTGTGCGCGTGGAAAGGAGGGAAAGTGGCAGAAGAGGCGGAATGAGATGGGATGTTCCCTGTGCCAGACCGACTTTTCGGAATGGCGCCTGCTATTGTTTCTCCTCATGTGTCTCATTCGGACGGCAGATGGTCAGTTGCGCTTGCTGTCACTGCCACTGAAAAAAGCAACAACCGCTTGCTTGCCTGCCCTGAGAAACCACCTCTTTCACACTGCGCGCATGCCCCCCTGCCATGCCGAGGTGCTGCTCCTGCTCTTGTTTGCCTTCTGTGCAGTCAGTCACACTTGCCCGTCGGTCCATCGCAAGTTCAAGAAAACTACCTAGTAGGAAGGCGCGAGGATGCGACAAATGCGATGACGAGACTAGTGTGATCCTCAAACCCTCTGTTTCTCATTCCTTGCTTCCGTCTTCCTACCCCGTCCCCTTGCCGGTCGTGTCTGGTATTGTTTCTGTGGCTTGCGAATCCCGCTGAAGGAACGCGGCAGGATATCGTTTGAGGCAATCTTATGCTGTTCAGTGTCCACACACTGTCTTTGGCGGCGATCTCGTGGAGCTGCTGTAGAGTATCCAATGGGCGTCTCGATCCAGGCGTGCCCCCACCAGCCCACGCAGCGTCCCAATCGTGGTGGCTGCGCCTGGGAGATTAGGAGCATCGGGCCCCTGCTTGCCTTTGGTCGAAATTTGAAGCTATGCTATTCCTCGACGCCTTGGCAATTTCTGAAACGACGGGACCCCCTTGAACGGTCATCATGGACCCACATAATAAGTCCGAAAAAGGATGAGTGGCAGCGACGACCGAACCAACTTCCGGCTTGTTTTGGAGGGGGAAAGGCAAGAAAAGGGAAGGGGCCGTCGCAGCGAAACAGGAAGAGGACCGCCATCTTTGTCCAGACGGTACCGCCGCTGCACTCGTCAAAAGAAACAAATCCGGGTTCATGCGACGATCGAACAAAGGAGGCTCTGCCGGGCCTTGCCAGGGGGAGGCAGAGTTGTATCAAGCACCAGAGCGCCCTCCTTTCTCGTCGCCTCCACCGTACATCTCATGCGTCCTCAGTCAGCGCCAACGTCCTCTCTCTTTTTTTTTTTTTTTTTTTTTTTTTTTTTTTTTTTTTTTTTTTTTTTGGAACGAAGGATGTAAAGGATGACGGTGGTGTTTTCCCTTCCCTTCCTAGGTGGTGTGGAGAGCGAGGCAGAGGGACATGGGACGAATCGGTGGGTTACCCCATCTCTAGACAGGGAGATTAACCAACGGTGAGACCAAGTAGTTTATAGCAAGCGCATATACGAGCAACAACTATTACACTATATTGGTTCCAAATCTGCTAGAGAGACAATATTCATCATTATGGTTGCCGCTCGTCAGGTAAAGGTATCATTCCGAAAGGAGGAACCCACGATACAAGCAGTCCCATGCCTCGGCATATATCCCTTAGCAAGGTTAGCAGGGATTTTGTCAAGTGCAGGGTCGGAAGGATGTCTCTGCTTGGCAAATGCAGTCCCCACTCTGGCTTACGCGGTAGTTACACAGTACGGCGCAGAATAGTGGACAAACGAGCCAGCCATCTACCTACTCGTGCACCGTAAACGCCGCCCAGGAACCATGAAATGCTGCCTTTGGGTGTGGCTTTTCCATCCTGTCTCTGCTCCTGGCATGCCACGATACCCGGATGCTGATGCGCGGTGAAACATTCCCCTCTCCAAAATGAAGCCACCTGTGCTTACCTACAGAAGCAGCAAAGCGAATCACTTGTGAATCTTTAGCCCTGGGAAGATGCCACTGCCCTGTCAGCGGGTTGACATCGCGGATCCCAGATTGACAGATTCGAGACGACCGTTGGGATTTCCGAGACGGGGAATCCCCATCATCGGTCGGCCGCCGGCATACACGTATGCGGTCTGCGCCACACTGCGAGCAAGCCGGCCGCGATGCAGTGCGATGTTACCCCGAGCCTCAAGGCGGACCTGTACCTATTGTCGTGCCCTTTGTTCGGGACGGATGGAGATGCAGTGGCAGGCATACTACTACGCAGTACGGATAGAAGAAAGTTTAGATCGGACCCCTGGTCCTCTCCATACCAATACTACCGAAACGGCCACCGTGATCAAGGCAATCGTCGTATACCGATATTTCCAACAAATCAGACCCACGGAATGGCCGCTCCCTCGATCCATGGCGACCCGGGACAACGCACATGGGCATTGCAAATGGGGCGGGAACCATTGGCGGCCTGGCCGAGAAGTTGGTTCAAGTGTTTATTCGCGATGGGTACGGTAAAGGTTTACTGGTCGTAGCTTTTGCCGCCCGGGGTGCAGAGTGGAATGAATGCTGGGAGAGTTTGTGCGGCGCCCAGTAACAATTGATGGGTTTGGTGGCTGGTACCGGAGCCACAGAGAAGATGGCGATGGCGCCTTCCACGACGGTGGCTCAAACTGAAACCAGTGGTTGGTTCGTTGACTGTGTGGACGTCGCATCCAGAGAGGACAAGACAACACACGCAGCAGACAGGCCCTGTCAGCGCGAGCCCATCGCCAGCCCATCGCCAGCCCGCTAACGGGAAGGAAGGGGGCTCGATCCGGAAACATGTTCTAGACTTTGCTCAAGGGATGGGGGGCCAGCTAAAGAAGTGGCTGGCTGGCCCCTTGGTGATGGGGTAAGGTAGCGACGCACTCGGGTGACGAAAAAAAAAAAAGGTCTGTTGTCGTATGGTAGTGCTAAGGAAAAAAGGCCATCTTTTTTGTCACCCAAGTGCTGTGTGTGTTCAAACCATCGAGGATTTGCACGGACTGCAGCAGATAAAGAACTAGAGATATCGCCAGCATCATATTGGGCTTTGTGGAGTATGTGAATGGTGGAATGTTGGAATGATCTGCAATCGACATTTCCAAAGATATACTACTGACTTGACATACGACGAACCCGCGAACCCGGCCGAAAGAAGGGATTGTCGGTCGGACTCTCTCCGAGGCATTGTTACTGGACGATCTTTCTTTCTTTGGCGGTAGGGAACGGCTGTGGACTGGAATGTCGGAATTTCACCGGGTCTAGCAACTCCAAAAGAGAGGGCACGCGGCACCAGAGTCTCGGTATTTGTTTGCAAGGATGGAACTGGGGCGAAGCACACTAAGTACGATGTAGTAGAGAGGGATGCTCCGTACACTAGAGATAAAAAGCACAGGACGCCAAGAGGTGTCTCCCATGCCTACTACTAGGAGGCACATCACCGTCGGACAGGCTGGGACATTCGGAAACAGTGGGGCCAAGAGCGAGAGATCAAACAGCCGAGTCGAGGCGGCCGAGTGTGCCCGGGTCGAAAAGAAGGAACAAAAATCAAGTTTGGGGCGGTCGATGGGTCGCAAGGCTCGTTAGCTGACGCTCGAGCAACGAAAGGCTTACTCCTGACAGGTCCTGTCATCTTCTTGCGAGTATACGTTCTTCTCGGCCCGCCGGTACCACGGAAACCAGTTAGCGTCCAAGTGTCGCTCGCGCATATGTTTGCAATAGCTGTGACCCTGTGTGCTGATGTTGGTTGTTTGTGACGGCACACTGCACACGTAATGGCGCATCTTTCCTGTTTCTGAGACGTTAGAGAAAGAGAGAGAGAGAGAGATACAGAGAGAGAGAGAGAGAGAGAGAGAGAGAGTGTGTGTGTGTGTGTGTGAGAAGAGAGATGGAAACGATGGAAACGACGACAGAGGCGGCCCCAGGCAGCAGATCCATTTCGTCCTACTAGTAAAAGACGCAGCAGCAGCACGGCTCAGTGGCGAGGGAGGGACCGCAAAGTGGAAACGACGGGTTATATCTGCAGAAGTAGTGCTGAGTAGCCTCTTCTCAGCTAGAAACCCCTCCCAAACTTGTGACCAACCGGACGTGTGATTCCGTAAGTGCGGATTCGGAAGCGAAGAGACGGGCTCAGCAGGATGACAAGGCCTCTTTTCCAACGCAAAGGCAGTACTCACATAACGGACGCCATGGGCCAAATGAAAACCATCAAAAAATGAAATGAATCCATTTTGCCTTGCCTGCACACAGTCAAGCCGAAATCAGCTCTAGCGAAGCTCTCATTGGTTCATAATTGGCGCCGACGGACGACGCAAGGCGCAAGCACCACCACACACACACACACACAAGTGCAACCTAGGATGAGGGGGGGAGCAGCGGAGTGGAACCGCGGGCTTTTGCTATTAATAGCTACCCCGGTCATCTTTCGCAAAACACGCTCCAGTCACGATGCAAGCCCACACACTCCCTTCCCTCATGGATCACTCACACCAACTTGGCAAGGGTAAGGAGGATAAAAAAAAAGGAAAAAAAAAAAGAGTAGAAGAAGAAACCCCACTCTTTCGTTGCTCTTCTCCACAACGACTGCCCCCACTTGCGCTGCCGGCCCTTGACTATCTGTACGTGATGGTACTACTACAGACTGATGAGGGGGGACATGGGAAAAGTCGATAGTCCAGTCAGCTTCGTCCATTCGCATCTGTCGGCGGCAACGCTCATGAGCGGCGGCAAGAGCACGAAGGCTCGTCAATGGCACCAGACACAGCACTGCGCCGATGCTAGTCCAGGCTGTTCTTTTTCTTCTATGCTGCAGGTGTCAGGGCTCGCTCATCGCAGACTAACGGTTCAAGGTGGCCGGCCCAAGCACACGAGACGGCTCGTACGTGAGCATGGTCACTCATTACCTCAATGAGTGACTGACTGATTGCCTGCCTGCCTCTTTGGTAGGCCAACGGCTCCTTGGATCAGGCAGTTAACCCTCCCATCCCACACCCTTCCAGCGCCGCAATGCCGCAGCTCTAAAACAACAACAAATGAATTCAAGGACGGGCACCAGTCCAAGTTCTCTTCAATGGCGGCGGCTTAGTGTTGCAATATACTTTCGGTCCCCCTCCCCTCCAGGCCAGGGCACAATAGTACATGCACAGATGGTATCCGGTGTGTTGTGCAGAAGATGCCGTGGACGAGACCGTACTAGCAATACCCGCCCACTAGCTAGGCAAGTAGCAGCCGTGACAAGATGGGTTGTGTTTTTATCGTCGTCGTCGCTGTTACTGCTGCCACTGCCACTGCCACTGCTGCCGCCGCCACTCGAGCCAATGTCGTGCGCAAGAGGCACTAGTGAGCCTCGTGGTCTGTGAGCGACGTAGGAACTGTAGCAGTAGTGATGCTATTCATGGTGTGCGACCCGTGGGAAATGGGAGGCAGAGAAGATACGTACCGGCCTCGTGCTCTACCAGGTAGGTACCGAGGTACCTTGCAATGTACGTACCTAGACGCACTGCCTTACCTAAACGAACAATCTCAGACAGGAAGGATGGGGAGACAGAGGGGAAGAGAGGATACGTACCTCTCGTACCTTGTCTCGCGCCGTACTGCGTTACCTTGGGGTTCCCGAGGCAGCCACTAGCAGCCCAGGAAAGGACCCCTGGCCCCGGTCGCCCCAGTGCTTCACGCCCTTAGCCAGCAGTCAACCCTGGGAACCCTCCCACCATCCGTGGTCCTTGCCTTTGACCAGCATCTGTGTCTCTTCGGGCTTGCGCAGGCCCATTTTCGACGAGGGCAGCAGTCATTCTCCAGTCGCTTGCTTGCCTGCAGCGCCACCCCGTACCAGCAGCACCGGCACCAGCAACCAGCAACAACCGGCATCCGCACCGAGCAGCGTCCCCCCTCTCTCACCCACCCCCGAATCCCAAACCCCAAACCCATCCAATCCTTTCCACTCTGGTGCTGCCGCTGCCGCTGCCGCCGCGACTCCTGCTTGTCGCTGTTGCTGTTGCTATTAGTGCTGCCAGTTTGCCCCGTCCGCCTTCAAGGCCCTGTCGGATCCTCTCTCGAACCCTTCCCACCTTTTAGGTACCTGGTCCATTCAACTCAACTCAACTTTTAACCACCTCACATACATTCTTCTACCAACTCTCTTCTCACTTCATCCTCCCTTCCCTCCCCCCCAATATCCTCAATTCCCACCCCCTCTCTTATTCTCTACACCTTCCAGCCCTCGATTCTGGCCCGGCGGTCTCCCCAATCGGCAAAACATCCTTTACCTCGTTCACTTTTCTCCTCTTCCGCTTGCTTTGCCCGCCGTCTCATTCCAATCCATGTATTTGTATTGACTAGACGGCGCCACATATCTGTTTTCCGCCTACAGCATGTGCTAACCCCAAGCCCGCCGCTTCCGTCGTGACTAGCCATTTGTTTTCTCTTCTTCATTCTCTTCCACCACTTCCAACCACTTACTCTCTTCTACTCTTCTCCTTCCGCTTCACCCTCTACTGGCTTCTCGACCTCTACACGACGACTTCAACTCTGCAGAGGGACCCGCCCTCCCGGACGAGCAGTCCCCCGCCATCTCGCCGACTCAAGCTATTCTTGTCGCGATACTGGTCACCAGCCCACCGTAACGAGTACGAGGAAGAGTAGGAAATATACGAGGGAGCAACATTCGGTCCTGCCGAGACCCGGACCACGAAACCCCCGCCGACGACGAGGAGCAACACCATCGACGGGATTCAGCAGCGCTGTCCTCCGATCCAACCCAATCGCCCGCGCCCTTTTCTTTCGACACCCACCGCGACTCCCGCCCCTTCAACCACCCCCCGTCGCAAACATTTTCTTAACCATTACACCCACGCTGCCCCCTTCGGCTTATACAGTCTCGTCGTCGCCCGAGACTGCCGCCAACACCTTTCCTTCGCGCAAGAGAAGAGAGAGAGAGAAGGGATTCGGGCAGCCCATTCCAAAGGTGCACAGAACCATGCCGCCAGCAGCAGCGAGACGGATCTACGAAGATCAAATCCCCTCCTTCATGTCCGTCTTCGACCTCGACGCAGAGACCATCGCCGCCCAGGAGACAGTCACTCTCGTTGACCCCAAGTTGATCGAGATGGAGGCTACAGGAAAGCCCTTGGGTAACCCCATCCACCACCTGCGGGCCTCGATGCCCTCGGATCCCACTCACAAGCACCACGACAGCACCTCCACCCAGGCCTCTGAGTCTGCAGAGTCGTCGCCCACGACGACGCTCTCAACAAGCGACTGTTCTCCGTTGTCAGACCCGTCCCCCTCGTCTTCTCCGGACTCTCCCGTGAACTTGATACCCCTCAACTCTTACCCTGCCACGTCCTTTGGCGGTCTTTCGCCCATGTCTGCGATGAACACTTTCACTGCGGCACAAACCACGAGCTTCGGCCGACCCATGACTTCTCCCTCGCCGCGCCGCCCCAAGAACATGAAGGGCTTGTCGATCCAGCCGCCGTTTGTGAGCAACCCGGTCGCGACACTCGTTTCTGAACCGGCCTCGCCCTCCTTCATCAAGCCTACCATCCCGGCAATGAAGCGCAAGCCCAGTCAGCTGAGCCTCAACACAAAAACATCGGACCTCGTCATGCGGAACAACACCCTGGAAGTCCCCGGTACGCCTGGCATGCCGCCCATGCTGCAGAGGCGCGCTTTGAAGCATTCGACCTCGTCCCCCCACATGTTGCCTTCGCTGAAGAGCGCGACGTTCGGCCCTGCCGGCGGAATGACTTTCCCCAAGGTTTTGGAAAGGAACGAGTCGGGTCTTTCAGAGTTTCTGAGACCGACAAAGACCGGCGTCGGCTCTTCATTCGACACGGCGATTGTCGAGGAGGAGTCTCCAATCAAGACGCAGCTTGCGAGTCGTGCTGCCCTTGACTTTGAGCCGTTCCATGAGATTGAAAACAACGAGGACCAAAAGACACCTGGGTACCCAGACGGTCCTATTGCAATTTACGAAGACAATGTCTACCTTTACCTGGAACCGACAGCCGAGGAGGCTTCCAAGTTCGACACTGTCATCAACGTTGCGCGGGAGGTCAACAATCCGTTTTCATTCTTGCCAAAGCCGGACGAGCCCATGTCGGACTCCCCTGTAGCCAGCCCCATCCCCGACACTGCCTTGTCAAACGCGAGTTTCTCCACGGCCTTTGAGTTCCCTAGCCTCAAGAGAACCGAAACACCCACGACGCCTAAACGCCCATCGTTCTCCAATCATCGCCCAGAGTACATTCACATGCCCTGGGACCACAATACAGACATCGCACAGGATCTGATGCATCTCTGTGAAACAATCGACGCGAGAACGAAGGAGGGGAAGAGGGTACTCGTTCACTGTCAACAAGGCGCCAGTCGATCTGCCAGTCTCATCATCGCGTACGGCATGTATAGGAACCCTGAGCTCAGCGTTAACGACGCCTATTACGCTGCCCAAGGCAAGAGCAAATGGATCAGCCCCAACATGAAGCTCATGTACTGCTTGCAGGACTTCCAGAAGCAAGTCTCCAAGAAGAACGGCCCGCCAGGGTCAGCTTTACGCCCTCGAGCTGGACGCAGCCCCATAAAGCACCGTTTAACGCTGTCCGTCGATGCCGCCATGGAGCTTGCGCCCAAGGAGCCCTTGACAGCTCCTCTACCAGGAGAGCAGGAAGGCAGCTCAGGGAATGCGAGCCCAAAGAAGGGCAGCCCTACCCGTGGCAGAGGACATTCCACACCTGGCAGCCGACCAATTTCACCCGGACCATCATCGGCACCGTCGAGCTTTTCCTGGTCAGAAAACGAGACGGACCCCGTCAAGTTTGCCACCTTTGACGTCGATCGCTTACTTCCATCCAAGCCTGAACGGTCTGTTTCGGGCCTGGCACCATCGTCGTTATCATTCCCGGCCAAACCGCCGCCGTCGCCCGGCTTCGGAGCTCATCGATTCGGCCCAGCAGCCGGCTTTGGTTTCTCCAGCTTGAACCTGGGCCCGTCATTAGGCCACGAAATGGAAACAGAACACACCATCCGCAAGGAATTACCTCGCGCAATGATTGGCCCGATGCCTGATGATACGCCACTCATGTCGCCTAGAGCAGAGACGATGACAAAAAACCCGCTGCACGATCCCTGCAGCGACTTTCCAGGGATGCAATTTATTGAAGTTCCGCCAACCCCAAATGAGGGTCTGTTCTCGCCTAGACAAACACTGTTCCCTCGAGACCCTTTCTACCCGTTCGGACGCCCTGCTCAGGTTGCCGACCCGCGAAGCCCGCCTACAAGGGGTGAAACACCAATTGTGAGGTCTATTGACGAGCTGCTATGACCACGGCCAGGACGGTGTATAACGTCACTTTGCAACTAGCAACAACCGCTCGGGGATCGGACTATTTTTGGCGACACTGGCCCAAACTTGAGCCTTTTATGGCTGTTTCCCCGCGACACGGACTAGTCGATACGGGTGTTGCGACAACGCGAGACCCTGTACGAGGCCTGCGATCGACGGAGCACGAGACAGCGACTCAAACCATGTGCACGTTCGCCGAGTCAAAGTATTTCATCATTCCATTTGAATGTTGGAACGACATCTGCAAGCATTGCGTCCGCGTCATCTTGGACAACAAAAGCGGGATATAGGTGGCAGGTATTATTATGGAAAACACTTGCGAACACCGCCGACGATTCCAATGAGACGTGCATCCGATCCTATCTAACTCGTCGAGCACGGCAAGCTCCAGAAGCTTATCGATCGCCAAACCGGCATTTCTTTTGTCATTTTCAAGCCTTTTATTAAATCCAGCGCGTAGCGAGTGGTTAGCTGGCGAATGATACCGCCACGCGAGCACTTTGCAAACGAACGTACTTTACAACCATAAACCGAAATGTGTAATCTAGAAGCGCATCTTCCGAGCGCGAATATTGGAACGGAAAGGTGGGAAGCAAATCCTGACTATTTGGACATGGACGGGCAAGGAAACGGGAGTTCGGCCATCTTTGCACACCCTGCGGTCGTTTTCGGGTGCGCCAACGTTTAGGACCAGGGAGTTTATGGACAGCCGGGGGGATTTGGTACACTGGTTTTTCGCGGGGGCTCTTTTCCCCACGGGGACTGGGTTGCTTGGAGAGATGACAGTTGCCGATGTCGGTTTTTTCCATTCCCCCCTCCCCCCCAAAAAGGACACCGGCATAGTTTTTTTCTTTCTTTCTTATTCTTTTCTTTTTCTTGTGTTTGTCGAGTTTAGGAATTTCCGCGGGTCTATCTACGGATGACTTTCCGCAAACGCATACGGAGTCCAAGGGAATGTGGCAAAGAACGAGACGAGGATACCATGAATGCATGGCAGGAGGAAAAGAGAGAAGGGGAGGTGGGGGCGGGAGAGAAGTAGATGATTTGAAAACCACAATGAGAAACCACATTTGGTGTGTCAAATCTGTTGCTCCTTGCGTCCCACGTGATTGTGTCATAATGGTGAAAGCGTTGGAGCGCGGGCACGTCGCGGGATGCCGTCATCAACGGTCTGGACGGTCACGGTGACAGGTTCAGCAAGACATGTAATCCCTAAGAAATGCGATGCCTACGTGAGAGTCCCCGGCAGCCGCCGAACCCCAGAACGTCTTTTTGTTTTTTCTCTCTCTCTCTCTCCGGCCAGCTGAAACCCAGGCTTGTTCGGCCCGGTGAAAGAACGGCGAGACGTGCGCCGTGCCGCCGCCTTACCGGCCGGTCAATCTTCTCTCCCACGGGCTCCCGGAGAAAGACGGAGGAGAGGGGTGGGGTGGAAGAGAGAGGAGCAATCGCCTCTTCTAGGTCTGGGGCTACCCATGGGCGACAAGGTGCTTGGGAAACGAGGAGCAGCGGAGGCAAGGGAGGGGATCCCCATCCCCTGTTGCTCCTGTCGCGACGATGGATTGTAGAAGCTCCGCCATCGTCGACGGGCCGCGAACGTCACGCAGGGAGGAGATGGAGAGAGATAGAGGGGAGGGGTGGTGGAAGGGAAGGAGGGGGAGCATGCGGAGGCAGATGACGGGATCCCTTGCATCGAAAAGGGGAAACCTCCCTCCCCCCCAACCCCGGCAGCCCGGTCTCCCTGCCGCTCTCTGATACATCTCTCATCGGATGGTAGACGCCAGACCGGCGCCTGGGGCCGGGTAGAGAGAGATACGAGCTCGCCTCGTGTTCCACGTCTGCGAACGAGCGCGTTTATAAGGTATGCATGTGGCGTGTACGGACGTATGTACATGTAAATAAATATATAACAAGTATACGAAACGAGAAATGAAAACCATGGGCCATGCTGTGCAAAGCCACCAGGTGACCGTGTCGGACAACAAGTTTTTTTTCTTTCTTGGATATCTCAAAATAATGCGCTGGAAAAAGAAAAAGAAAAAAACTGAAAAGGAAAAGACGTGTAACGCTCCCTCTCTACTCTAGCATGGGTAGAAAAACCATTGCTCTTCTCTGGTTGTGTGCTATGTATTCTGTTCTTGCCATTTTTCTGGGAAAAGGGGTCCACGGTAAGGAATCCCCGCGAACGCATGGCATAACATGGGACGTCAAGCGGTAGCCCTCGAGGGGTCCCCGCCCCTTCACATGGCTGAACGAGAGCTGGTGCGCGGAACAGTGCGACGGTTTAGACAAGTGAGAAGTGACAGGTTACGGAGATGGAGGCGTGTTCGCATGAGAACGTTTCCTTCTCCTATTCACTGCGTCTTGCCGGCGGCTGCGGCGCGCTTCGCAGCCTCCTTGGCCTTCTTCTCCTTGGTCGCGATCTGGGCCTCAGCGCCGATGGCGCCGAAGACAAAGGAGACACCGAGCCACTGCATACTGGTGAGACTGTGGCCGAAGGCGAAGACGGATAAGGCCATGGTGACCATCTTGCGGGTGACAGTCACGGTGACTAGGAGGACGGACGAGAAAGTCGAGAGTGTGTAAACTGAGACATGTGTTAACGGTATGACAAGAAAAACCACAAAGAAGCAGGATGTGGTTGTCCGAGAAAGGCAGGAAGACCAAGACATACAGATGAAGACCTGGCCGACGGCGCCGCACGCCGCGAAGCCGAGGACATCCCACCACACGGCGGGGTACCGCGCCATGAAGCTCAGGGCGGCCTTGAGCTCGCCCGCGCTGCCGGCGACGTCCATGCCGAGGTACTCGCCCAGCCCCGTGTGTACCAGCCAAGGGCTCAGGACCAGGTAGCCCAGCGTGACGGCAGTGCTCATGAGGTTGTTGGCACACATCATCTGCGGACCAGTGTACCCCTTGAAAGTGCTGAAAATGTAGTCCTGAGTGGTGTTGGTGAGGCCGTCGAACAACAGGTTGATGGACAGCAGAAGCATGCCCCAGGGCATGTTGGCGTCCGGGTTGACGACAGACTTCTTCTTCTTGCTGCCCGAGTGCAGTGTGAAGACGGCAACGCCCGCCGTGACGCCGGCGACGACGAGGTACTTGTAGAGCGGGTAGCGCTTGCCGAAGAGGGTGGTGTGGAGGAGCATGACGGGGACGAGCTTGCAGGACTTGGCGAGGAGGAAAGTGATGTAGTCAATGTGCGCGAGTGAGGCGTAGCCGAAGGGCGAGGCGAGAGAGGAGGTGACGGCCACGAGGGCGAGGGGCAGGACGATGCTGCGCGAGGGAAAGATGGGCGGCAGGGAGGCGGCGCCGCGCGAGGAGGACCAGAGGTAGAGGAAGCCCGTTGTCGCCGCAAAGAGTGACTGAATCGTGTTTAGGAAGACGGGGTACTTGAACACCTCGGGCTTGGAGGCCGGGCCGTAGGGCGTCGTGGTGAGCTTCTCTTGGAGGTAGGCCCATGTCAAGCTGCGCGTGGTCCTGTATCAGTAACGAGGCCTTCTCCAACATGTGCGGCTACATGGGGAAAGGGGGGGGGGGGGGGGGTGGGGGGCGAGCAACGTACAACGAGGCGTAAATGCCGCCAACGGCAATTAACACTTGCAATGCACCGGCCTCCTTCCCCTCAACGGGGGCTGCGGACCCGGCGACCTTGCCGTTGGGCTTTGTTGAAGTCGTCGTCATCGCAGCTCCATTGCCGTGGCTGGGCGTCCGCGCGAGGGTGTCGGCCTTACTGAAGTACTCGGACGACGTCTGCCGACGGATGGGAGTGGCCTGCTTCGAGCGCGCCATTATGGTTCGTGATCGGCGCGCGTAATGTTCTGTGTCGTTTCGTGTCGTGCGTTGGGCGGGCAAGCGTCGTGGTGCGCAACTCAGTTGGCGGGCGCGCGACGTCTGGTTGGCAAAGGAGCGACAAGGCCTCGATGCGTAACCACAAGCGGATCGAAGTCTGGGGAGGAAGAATGGGAAAATGGTCGCAGAGAGAAACAGAAGAAGAAAAACAAAGGGTTCCGAGATTCGAGATCAGAGCCGCTCCTAGAAAGAAAGACGGAAAAAAGCGATTGATGGATGGATGACCGACTCGACGATCCGACTGGGGCAGATGACAGGTTGGCATGAAGCCAAAATTAAAAATAAGGTGGAGAGCTTACCTACCTCTCTCTCTCTCTTCAGGGACCCCCTCCACTGCTTGCTTGCGGCCGCCCTAACCTTATCAGGAACCACCCAGCCCAGCCCGGTGTCCCCTCGGGATCGGCACCATACATAGGTACCGGTATCCATAACCCCGCCCGGCATTGGCCAATCATGAAAGGATCGCATTTTGATCCTAGATGAGGGTCAGTCGTGACTTGCTTTGGTCCGTTTGCCAAATCTCCATCCTGGTCTGGCCGACGAATTGACCTCTCCATCTTTCCCACTGCGCGACAGATCCGAATGGTGAAAATGTACCTATCCCGTGTCAGCCAACAAGACTTGCCAGAGCTTACCCATCACTAAGCGAAGGCGCCATGCCGTCAGAACCTTTCACAGGGAATCCACGCATCACACCTAGGACCTTGGCACGTTGGTTTACTGAGCGGCCTTGCTCAAAGGGTTTTCATCTGCCTAGTTACGGGTAGGGCGTACTATCTAAATTCCCCTGGCGTCAGAAAGCTAATACCAGAAGCAAGAGTTCCATAACCCAAGACCAGCAGACGCATATAGGCCGCTGGTGGTGTTTTCGGATCAGTTGGAGTATAAGGGTAGGGTAACTTTCGAGAGTAGGATGTGGAATGAGTTGTAGGCCGATGTCATTAAAAGTGATCCGAAGCTGCAACCCTGCTTCAAAGAGGTATCCGCGTGAAGTAATCATAAGTCGTGCCGTATGTTCAGTTCCGGAAGGCTGAATACAAGAATCCCTGTCCGTAGACCCGGGGGTATCTTTTGCCTGCCCAAACGTAGACCGGAGGACCACCCTCCCAAAAAGCAACTCGTGTGCGCAACGTTTCAAAGCGAAAGTTGAGGACCAGCTTGGTGACTCGTGTCGTTGCACGCATGTCTGGGTAATCCGTCGACCCAGAAATTTTGACGAACAAGAAAAGCAAGGGGAAAAAGTGTTTTGTTGCGTCCGTCCCAGAGATGAGGTGTGAAGAACTACCACACCCCCATCTCGGTCATTAAGCCTTGCGGCTAAAATTCTGCAATGTCCAGCGTCTGAAACTAGATGTCGAACCATGGAAGGGACGAAAAGCCGAACACTTTCTACTCGGGCGAAGTAGCAGTCTGACGGCGCATCTTCTCTGCCTCGAGGTTCTCGTACAAGAGGAACAGGGCAGACTCGTTGGCCTTGGCGGTTCCCATGATCGTGAACATGCGCTCGCCGGTATCATCGTGAGGGGCCTAGCAAAGTTGGTCAGGGTGGACATGTATGTAGGGAATTGGACCAATTTACCTTGGCAATGGAAATGCGCGCACCAGAAGTCTTGCGGATCTCCGAAATCTTGCTGCCGGCACGGCCAATGATGCAGCCAACCATGTCGGCGGGAATGCTGATGTTCTGGGTCTGAAGCTCCTCGCCGTTCTCATCGTGGGTGGGCGGGCCGCGAGAAGCGGCGTCCGAGTCAGAGCGACGGCCATAGGGACGGCCACCGCCGCCGTTGTTGTTAGTGTTGCTGGCGCTGAAGTCGGCACCGTTGCCGGTGCGCATGACACGCGGCGCAGAGTAGTCGCTGGAGCGGCCACCGCCAGAAGAGTAAGCCGGGGTCGAGCCACTACCAGCGGTCGAGGTGGTGCCGGGCTGAGTGCGAACGACTGGGTTGTACAGGACGGTTCCGGTACCCCTCTGCCAGTCGTCGACGAGGCACTTGCAGATTTCCCAAATGGCTCCCTTGATGCCCTCGGGGGTGCCCTGAACTTCGACAATGCGTTCGGTCGACTGAGGGAGCATCTCCTTCTGAGCGACCATACGGACACCCGAGACGTCCTGAATGTGCTTGATCTTCAGTCCCTGACGGCCAATGATGGTCCCCATCTGATTGTGGGAGATGAGAAGCTTGATGGCTTGGCAAGGACGTTAGCTACATTTGTCAGGAAGCATTGCTGATAACGGAGACATACGGTGAGTGCCATTGTTCTGGACAACGCCGCCCATGCCCATGGAGGGCGCTCCCTCGAGAAGAGCCTTGGCAACAATGGCATAGGCCTCGGCGACGGATTGGCAGCCGCCGGTGATGGTGAGGACGCGGTCATGAACGCCCTGGACCACCTTGCTGACACCGGCCTTGACACCGGTCTCGTCGCGAAGATCAGCGACGTTCTTGCCCGCCTTGCCAATGATGACACCAGCCTCCTTGGAGGAGACGATGGCTCTCAGAGTAAGCTGTGCCATAGCATACTCCTCGTCCGTGCGGGGCGCAGGCTCTCCGTCGGGGCCGAGCCTAACCTCGTCATCCATCTTCAGCTGGTCCAAAGACCCAACAAGGTCGTTGCCATTGGAGGACATGTGCTCGGTAGACATGTTGACTGATTCGGATTCGAAGTGGGTAAGATTTAGGGTAGGGGTTGAGGAACCTAAGGAACATAGTTAGCTAGCTGTTACGCGCAAAGTGGACGTTTGTCATGGTTGGGACGATTTTTTCGGAATAAAAACGGAAGCAAGCGTGGAAGGGAAAGTGTAAGTGTAAGATGCCGATTTTGTAGAAGTTGTGTATGCGACCACAGTCTGAAGAAAAGAAAGAAACAAGTGTCTCTACACCGTGCCTAGATAGGATTAATGCAGAGACAACCCTGACTGCCTTGGGTAAAATGTTTAGACTGAATTGGCGCAGTGGGTGCAATGCGCGCCAGGGTATAGAAGAGCACATAGTGCGTCTCCAGTGCAGTGCGCGCATTCAGCAAGGAGTTATAGGATAGCAGTTCATTACCTTGATGTTTCTAGACTTTCCAGTGAGGCACAGGTCTTTCTCAAGTAATGACTACTAAGGGAGGTAGTCAAGAAAGGTTGTGGAAGATGTGAAACCGGCTGTTAGGCGCGATCAAGTAGTTGTCAGTAAGTAAAACCGAGGAGTAGTTGCTAGAATCTCCAAAAGGCAGGCTGGTTGGAGTCGTGATGTGATGGGGGCGTGCAGATGGCGCAAGCCAGGTGCGCGCGGGGGAGGTTGTAGATTGAAGTGGGTGGTGGACCACGGAAGTTGGGTTGATGGAGGGGTAGAGGAGGGGGATGGGGGTGAAGTAGAAGAGTTTGGTAGAGAGGTAGACGCAATGGGACGGGAGAGGTAAAGAGGGAGAGAGGATGAGGCGGAAGTGAGGTTTTATGGGAGAGTTGGGTGAGGTGAAGAGGTGAAGAGTTGGGGGGCGGGGAGAAGTGAGGTCGTGTAGTGGGCGTGGAGAGTGAGGTGAAGAGGTGAAGGACGAAAAGAAGAGTGGGAGATGAAAATGGGAGGAGAAAAGTTGGTAGGTAATTGTAATTGTAAGGGACGGGCAGGAACAGGAAAGTGCGCCTCAGTATTTCCCCCCCTTCTTGTCTGGCTTTTAGCTGCTAGGCTGGGGCGGGGAAGTAAAGGTATAGGGTACTTACTAAGATGTAGTGTCACAAGAGAAAAGCTAGGTACTGATTTAGGTGTAGGATGTAGGTAGGTATGTGATGTAGTTAATAAAGGCAGGTAGGTAGGTACCTAAGGGGGGTAGCTAATTACTACCTATAGCTTGCTTAATGCTTGTAGTAGTTCCCTAGTAGGTGCTCTCTGTACTTGAATAGATAGTAGTTGCTTGTACTGTAGTAGTAGTTGAGTGTGGTGTGTGTGGGGGGAATTGGGGGTGCAGCTTTGCTGCAGGAGGTTAAAATACTATGAGGGGCCATGAATGGGATGGAAAGATTGTGATGAAGGCAGGTACGGCAACAATTCACTGTGGGGGGAGGGCATCACTACACAGGGCAACAGACGTCTTACGACTCTTAATCACTTTAACAGTTCCACCCTCTAACAGATCACGTGTACCTTTTCTGCGTAGTTTTGCCTAGACAGTACATTCCCAAGTACCTCGCCCCTCATGTGCACATGCTTTGCTGCACATGGCACCTCGCTCAAGACCCTTCCCTCCACACAACACAGAGCTTTCCCAAATCCACTATCTCTGGGCTTCTTCCTATCCACCCAGGGAGCTCATTTCTCTTTCTCTTGGAAGAGACCTCAAACTACCTATTGCACCGACCTACCGATACAATACCAAGTTGCTGCATCTAAGGTTCCTCCAAGCTGTCGTTTCTCTGTGTCTCAATCACCCACCAAGACACCGCGATACCTCCCTGAAATCAAGGCATCGACCTCTCCCTCCTCTCCCTCTGTCGTGGTGGGCTGTAAACTCTGGGTAGGATCTCCAGACAACCTCTTGGACTACAGGGCAGTTCTGCCCTTGCTATATTAATATAGCTCCCTCGGACTGGTCCCCGCTAGCCCACACAACAGGGAAGAAGCATTCGCGACCGTCTCGAATCGTCGCCCATTCCAGGGTTGATTCCTTAAGTTCAATGCGCATAACTAATCTCGCCGGGATCTAATGGTGCTTGAGTACCCGGCCGCATCGGGGGATTATTTCTATTTTTTTTTCTTCTTCTTTTTTTTCGGCAGGTGTGCTGTTGGATCGAACAAGTTTCCAATCGAACTAGTCACATCTTGCCCGACTTGCGACGTGGCGGCATGCAACCAAACGGGCTCTGCCGGTATTTGAGTACAAACAGCTCACACCCCTTTCGCATTCGCAGCTCCCAAACACGAAAACCTATTTCATGCTCGAGATGCAGCGAGCGCATCAAGCGTCCCAAGCTCCGATTCTCCTCTCCGTGGTCCGTGGCTTATGGATTTCACATTCCCATCGGATCGGACGGCTTAATTAATCAGAGAACCTTCGTCGCTCCAGTCGTCACGTTGCTTACAGTGTGCGCTTGCGTCATGGTATTAAGCCAGCGCGGGTGCAGAGTACACACCCCCACGAAATGTTTGGCTCCCGTCAACTTCACCATATTGATGATGGGCTGCCGATCGGAGCGGCCGGCAGTCTGTCGAAACGATACCAACAGGGCCAGCCTCCCCTTCATCCCGGTCTCAAGAGAAGCTGTTTATCAACTGTCGAGATGGCATATCATAAATTTCATGGCAGTCCGTGCTGTGAGCCGGAGAGGATAGTAGTTGGCTTCTTTTAGGATGTCCCACTGGCCCAATTGCTTCAGTCTTCGTATCTGACATGCTGATGTGGATAGGCCACTGTTGCTACGCACGAAAGAAGAGGTGCTCTGCTCTGTAACACAATGTTGCAGCATCTCCCGCCATTCGGATTGCGCGGGTAATACGATGGCACAATCTCGCGGGGACGGTCGCAACGTGCTCCTCCTCTTCCAGCCTCTCCCGCTGACCGGCTACCACATACGATACCGTCGTTGTCATCTCACTAGCCTCGGGCCATCCGTCGCAGCTCCTCCAGTCCCGAAAACACGATGCAAATGGGACGACCTACGAATAGTATTCGAGACAGTCCATTCCTAGCAAGTATTCTGGATTGGCCGGCTCAAGGTAGGTGGGGTTTATGCATGCCGACAAAGGCTCCACGAGAACGCTGCCTCTCTGCCTCTCTAGCAACCCTTACTCAGCGTCTGAGTTGCAGTAGTTTCGTCACTAATGCCCGTCCCGTCTTCTCTCATTCGGCAAGCCTCCGCCTATCCCGGCCCGAGTGCGCCTCGCAGCGCTGGATCGCCTGCAAGGAGACACCCGCCGCGGTAGATAGGTAGTTCGACGGCTCTTCTATTGATCAGTGACTGCCCTTAAATGCCTCTCGAAATGCCTCTCGTCATGTGACGCTCGCCGGGCACAGAGCTCGCGGATGCCCTGGGCACGCGACAACTGGCGCAGCCAGGGTACCCTGTGTCTTGTAAGCGACAGCAGATGAGAGATGTGCGCGTAAGGTCGATCAGAGTTAGCAAGCGCCAGCACGCTTGAAGCAACACGAGGCAGCACCCCCCCCATCCACGATGTGATGATTGCGCCATTGGGCAGGAACCATCTGATCCGGTCGAGGCTAAACAAGACATGGAACGTCCGTCTCATCACGGCGACGCTCTTCCCAACTTACCCAGCCAGAGGGAGGGGTACTTGGAGCTCTGACTGCAAAACGATAAACTGAAGCCATTGATGTACCGTTACCTAATCTAAATGTCCAGTCGCTGTGGGACTTGCCACCCGATATGTGCAAAGAAAAGCACTCGAGGTATCATATATGTTCGCTATGTACAATTTGGATAGTTCTCCCGCCACCATCGCAGCATCTCCCTTTACCTTTGCCGCAGCTGCCTTTCGTGCTCAACCCAAAAGTTCTTGCAGGCCCGGTGACCCCAGTGCTCAACCCACCACTCTCCAAAGCTGTCCTCGACGTCGAAGTCGACCCTGCTCACCCGCTCGTCGCGCTTCAGGCCGCAGATGATGCACGGCTTGGGCGCCGTCGGCACGACCTTGGCCGTCGACACGGGCATCGTCTCGTTGATCTCGGGCACGCGGAGCTGGTCACGCGGCGTCTTGACCGTCGAGTTCGCCGCCGCGACCGCGGACCGCAGCCGGCCGATGTGCTCCCTCCATACGCCCACGACGTCAGCCGCCTCGCGGTCCTCGCGCGCCGCCTGCGCCTTGTCGATGCCCGCGAGCTTCATACCCTTGGCCCCGGCGGCGGATATGGCCATGCCCTGAGCGAGGAACTTGTCACGGTGCCAGCGCAGCTTGCGGCCGGCGATGACACGGGCGGCGACCGTGGCGAGGAGGAGATACGCGCGGAGGAAGGACACGGTGCCCGGGTCCGAGAGGATGCGCTTCCTGATGGGCGCCGCCATCTGCCCCGTGGGCTTAAAGAGGGACGAGTTTGCGAGGTCAAGGAGTTGAGGGAAGATGGAGAGGAGGACAGAGGGAGGGGGAATGTTGATGGGCGGCGGCGCGTCGTCGCGGGATTCGGAGGCTTCGGGGGCTTCAGAGTCTGGCTTGACTTTGGGTTTCGGGGCGGGTTTCTTGGTGGTTGCTGCGGAGGAGACTGCCGGCTTGACGCTGTCGACTGCGTCCCAGTCCCAGCTTTCCGGGGGGTTGGCGGAGTCGACGGCCGAGAGCTCGTCATCAGGGAAGTCTTCAAAATCTGGCCAGTCCTCCCCCTCCTCCTTCTGCGGCTTCTGGAGGCTGGTAGTAGTAGATGACTTCTTCGTGGCACCGGTGGATGGTTTGTTTGGTGATGTCTGCCCGAAAGATGGCCAGGCTGTAAGAGGCGTGGGAGAGCTGGGATCGCCATCCTTCTTCACTGGCTTTTGGAATCCCGCAGAGGTTGGCGTGGTGAGTCCCAGTCCCGGAAAGGGGTTGCGCTCTTGGAAGGATGGCGATTTGGGGGCTTGTGGATACGGTAAGTTAGGCGCGATGAGGTTCAATGAAGCTAGCTGCGGCTTCTTCGACGGAGGCTGGTAAACCGGAGTGGGATCGTCGTCGAGGGAGAGCAAGTCCATAGATGGCGGAGGGTGCGATACCTGTGGTGGTCGCTGTTGCGCTGATCTTGAATCCAACGTCGGGCTCGTGTTCGCACCGGGAAAGGGGGTCTGTACAGTTTCAAAGTCGCCAAACTCATCCTCCTCTTCTTCTTCCTCGTCGTCGTTTCCGCCCTGAAGCTCAAAGTCTTCCGCGTCAAATAAAACGTTCGGATCAGACTGCTTAGCCGGCTGAAGGATTGGCTTCCTCTGTGACCCGTGCATCTGGCCAGAGAATCCAGGACCCGGCTGCGGCTTTGCAGAGGATGCCTGGAACGAAAAGCCCGGACTGCCAGCCGGCTGGGTACTCTGCGCCTGCCATGCAAGCCCAGGACTAGATTGTCGATTGAGCTGTTGCCAGGAGAGCCCAGGGTTAGGGGCGGGTCTGTGGTCCGGCGAGGGGAGCCCTGGACTAGGGATCGACGACAGACCGGAACCAAGAGGCATATCCACAACGTTGATGAGGTTGTTCGATATGAGATCGAACGTTGAGGCGCGCGCGATGCGGTTCCGCGGTGGCGGAGACGACCTCGCTTTGTTTGTCTGCGGGGGCAACACGAATGATTGCTGAGTCGGCGTAGGCTCCGCGACCTCGAAATCACCCCATCCATCGTCGTCGTCGTCGACGACAGCTTGTTGCGTCTGCTTGGGCTGCTGCGTTATTGCTGCAGACGCCAAGCCCGATGAGAGTGAGCTGAGGTCACCCCATCCTCCGTTGCTACCACTACCAGCACCGCTTGGTTGCTGTGTCGCGAAGTTGGGCCATGGTTGGGTTTGCTGAGCCGGCGACGCCGCGGCTGCAGGCCCGTTGGTGGTGAAGGAGGCAAAGTCAAAGAGGTCCGTCGACGATGCCGTGGCCTGCTGCGGGCGTTGCTGCTGTTTTTGCTGCGATTGGCTTTGGTGGCCCCCCGTTTGCTGTTGTTGCGGCGGAGGGCTCTGGTAGAAGCTGTCGAGGTCCAAGAGATCGGCGCTCATTGCTTCGGGTCCCTGTCCTCACCTGGGGATGCACATGCTTCTGACTTCAAGTTCTGCTGGCGAAATGTACCCGCCAAGACGTGTAGTCCAGCGAGGAAAACAAAGCAGCGGGGAGGATGGAGAGAAGAGGCAGAAGCCTGGCGGGCGACGACATGAACAAAGGATGTTCGGCTAGATAGACAGCTGACCTTCTAGGACCGACCTTAGTTAATCAGAAACAGGAATCGCCCCCTCGACGACGGTAGTGAATGGGGCTGAGAGATTGACGAAGGGGAGGGGAGGTTCCACAGGCCTGGAATCGAATGGTGGACGACTTGAGCTGAATTGCGGGAGGGGGGACGGGACTCCAAGGCTTAAAAAAGCTCGGGTAGTTCCTTGCAGGGCGCCACAGCCACAGCAATAGGTACGGCAATGATCCTTGGCCAAGACACAAGCGCAACTGCCCAGCCCTACAAAAAGGATGCGTTGTCCTCGCTGGTAGCTTGCACTTGAAGACCATGTGATTAGAAGCGATTGCATTCGACTCGTCGCCATGGAGGTTCAATGCCAATTGAGGTTGCCTTGTCAGTAGACGGGAAACACGCACTATGGACATAGCTGGAATTGATCCGAATCCGCGTCGTTCAGCAGTCCTTGAGACCATACAAGTGAGTGTACAAAAGTATGAGCAAGTCAATCTGATCATTGCTAAGTCCACTTAAAGCCAAGCCGGCTACCACAGTCTAAAATGCGACGGGAACATGGATTGCGTATCTGACTGAAGCCGGGATGCTCGACCCCGGAGGTGGCGCTGGCAGAGGTCGGCACGGAGCTTAGGCCGCGCCGACTGCATGGGGGGTCGGCGCAAAAATCTCCATACCGACCTCTAAAATTTCAAGAGAGCCAAGGGGAAATCTCGCTCCTCCCACAACTCAAGCTCCAGCTACAGCTCCAGCTCTAGCCTCAGCTTCAGCGTTAGCCACAACTCTCACGCGTTTGCCCATCATGTCTTCGAGGACACTGGCATCGCTGTGCCCCAAATGCCAACTGACATTACGACCCCAACCCTTCCCCCGACTGACGACTTCGCCATGGTTCACGCAACACGCCGGCTACCGTTCGGCGGCGAAAGAAAAACCATCGCGCATGGTTCTCTCCGACAACGTCGCAAAACCTCGAAATCGAGATGCCCGCCCGCCGAAACGACTAGTTGAGGGACCATTTGGTGGCATGAACCAGAAGTTTGCCAGAGTTCCCGAAGGGCCGCGCCGCGCCACCTCGCGACCGACCAATGCGAAAGCGCCGTCGGGTAGGCCCAGCAGAGGAGGCGATTCCCAGACTTCGTCCGATCCTAGAAAAGCGTTGAAGATGCAGCGGTCCCTTGCCGGCGTGTCATATGTCAAGAGGAACGCATTGAAAGGCAAAATGCAGGAATACGAGTCTTTTGACCAGTTCAATCTCCTTCCTGCCGTGAAGACCGCCATCAGCGAGGATCTCCTGCGGGGAATGGTGGACATCAAACCGACTCCAGTACAAAGGCTTGCGATCCCGGCGATGCTCGGCCAGACCAGCGTGTTTAAAGTCAGGAGCGAGAAGAGGCAAGACTTCCTGCTCGCAGCTGAAACGGGTTCCGGCAAGACGCTGGCGTACCTACTGCCCGCTGTCAACGCTATGAAAATTGCTGAGGAGGCGAATCCTGAAATCCAGGCTTACAAGAAGCGGTTTGAGGAGGAGAAGGCCAGAGAGAGGGCCTCCAGGTCGAAGAAGATCTCTACCTTTGACGAGCCTCACCCAACCATGGCAAGACCCCGCGTCATTGTCCTGGTTCCTTCGGCAGAGCTCGTCGATCAGGTGGGCAAAGTGGCCAAGACGCTCTCCCACGCTGTCAAGTTCAAGTCAGAAAAGCTCTCGGCCAATCTCAGCGCTACCACAATCCAGCGCAACCTGTACTCACCGCGCGGCGTCGACATGGTTATCACTACGCCTCACCTACTGGCCTCGATCGCAGAATCCGACCCTAATATCCTTTCTCAAGTCAGCCACCTGATTGTCGACGAGGCGGACTCTCTATTCGACCGAAGCTTCGCACCAGTTACCACATCCATCATCGACAGGGCGATGCCGTCGCTGCAGCAGTTCATCCTCTGTTCGGCGACCATTCCCAAGAGATTGGACAACTACCTCGCAAACAACTTCCCCAATATGACCCGCATCACAACGCCGAACCTCCACGCCATCCCGAGAAGAGTCCAGCTCGGCGTCATTGACGTCGTCAAGGACCCTTACCGCAACAACAAGAACCTGGCCTGCGCGGACGCCATCTACACGATCGGCCGCGAGGCCTCCAAGCACGAGGGCCCGATCCAGGGCGAGATTGACGTCCGTCGCATCATGGTCTTCGTCAACGAGCGTGAGAAGACGACCGAGGTGGCCGAATATCTCCAGTCCAAAGGCATCGATGCCGTCGCGCTGAACAGAGACACGACCGAGAACCGCCAGTCTGAGATGCTCAACTCCTTCACTTCGGCGGAACCTCTACGTTCCGTGTCTTCGGAATCCCCTGTCGCCGGCAAGCGGTCGCTGCCCAACACTAAGGTGATTGTCGCCACCGATCTGGCGTCTAGAGGCATTGACACGCTGGCTGTGCGGCATGTCATTCTCTACGATGTCCCGCACACCACCATCGACTTCATCCATCGCCTAGGCAGGGCTGGCCGCATGGGACGTCGTGGAAGAGGTATCGTGCTTGTTGGGAAGGACGACAAGAGGGACGTCGTTGCCGAGGTCAAGGAGAGCATGTTCATGGGCCAAGCTCTCATCTAGTGTGCTTCTCGGGATGGACGAAGGAGAACGCTGTATAATACATGTAAAACTATACAATGTATAAATCTATGTACGAGATGAGTGAGTGTCTGGTTGAAGTAAATTCTTTTCTCTTAGCGCACGGACATGTTCTTCATAGTATGATCATTTCGGTCTCACACATAGTACTGGCATGGGTACAGGCTGATGACGCTCAAAATGGATTATGCTTAGAAGTGATGAATACTGTGGCCTAGATTATGAGTCATCATCGCGACGGCCTAAGAGTTGGCTACCTGTTTCCGACCACCCCATGGAAATATAGACGTTAACCTTCTTATGTCTGAGTATTGAGCTGTTATATAATTGCTACGCACAAAATAGTAAGTCAGTGTAAAGGTAGAACGTAACAGGACCGCTTACCGTTTGTCCCTAACAACACTAACTTGATGCACATGCAACTTCACATCCACATACCTAGGCTTAGGTAAAGTGTTTGTATCCACATCGAGAAGTATCTACCTATTGCTTTCCTTCTCCATTAAAGTTATGTGGCGTATACACATAGTCTTTATTTTAAGTGAAATCTTGTTAGAAGGTTTGTGAAATAAAGTCCCTAGCAAGGGTTATTGAGCGCCGCAGGGGCACACCGGGAATTCCCTCTAGCCTGCCATGATGCGTGTTGTTAGGTAGATGGATAAGTAAGGCGAGAAGTTGTTGAGGAGCTGTCATCCAAAATCGCCAAGCTTGCCTCAGGCATCAGAATCACGTAATAAAACAGGTGGTTTTAGACACCAGTTCGAACAACACAACATGTGCGACGACCAGCTTTACCGTTGTGGTTGTGAATACGACTGAGCCTGTGACATCACCTTGTGCGATTCTGCACGAGTCGCTTGGCAGTGTTGCCCTTCTAATCTTCGTGGACGAACTCAGCAGGTTGAGGAGGTCAAGCCTGGTGAATGCGATGTTTGAGCAGGATCAATGCCAGCGTCATCGACATAGCGATGTAAAAAGCTACTATATGGGGTCATGAATTATGAAGCCAGGCAGAAATAAAATTACTAGTTAGATACTATATTATCAATACAGAAACACAAATGTCCATACTGAAAGCGGAAGATAGGTTTGGTCCAAGTTATACAACACTCGATCAATGACACATGCACTCCTATGCCGTATGCTAGTGTTTTCAGTGCGCTTCGTCAGCTATTTGCCACTCTATAGTATTTCTGGGTAGGTACTTTGTAGTACTTCTGGCTCGTGCACCTATATCATACAGAGTGCGAAGAGGACATTAAATTCTCACATAGCTGTACAAGAAAAGACAGAATTAAGGTTCAAGGATGGGATGGCACACATATACCCGAGGTGGAAGGTCGCACTCGCGGATTAAGGTCCCAACTCCCAACGAAACATGTTTTTTATTTGTGCATACAATAAATCTAAACCTGCAATGCCCCAACATTTTCTATGGACTGTCTACCGTAGCGGCGACATTACTTTCGAATGCTGCTTGGACCGTCAGCCAGCCTGCGTTTGTATGAGGGCGTGGCTGGTGTTGCTGTGGCGCTAGCTCCCCATCGGCTTTCAATTTGGGGGTGGGTCGCGACCCGGCTCGAGCAAGGTTCGAGTTCGCGACGCGTCCCGCTCACAAGCATTTCCCTCCCACACCACATCAAAATATCACGAGACTCCGCCATCCCATCCTTATCTTGGTGTGACCCCTTAGCTTGACGTGAACCGCGCCGGACCTCTCCTTCGATACCCAAGCTACACAGACCACTCGGACGTCAAGCCAGGTTCACCAACGACAAATCGAAGCTATGCCGAGGCCCAAACGAGCGCGTCGCGCGCCACCCGCCCCCGTCGCCGTCGCGGCACCGGAGGAAAAGTCGAGCCCCGCGCCTGCCTCGGGCAGCGACATCTACAGCCACAGCGATCGTGAACACTCGGTCATTCGGAAAGAGCTCGAAGAGGAGGATGGAGGCAGGTCGTCCCGCCTCGCGGGGCGTGCGTCTGCGCGTCTGAGCCGGAGCGCCAGTTTGCGCCAGAAGCAGGCGTTGGAGGAGTCGGCCCACGCGCGTGACGAGGCCATGAGCAGGCTGGAGGACGAGCTCGGCATGTCGTATTCTAAGGAAAAGACGGAGGGTGACCAGAGGCAAAAGTCTGACTCCTCGCTGGAGCTGGAGTTGAGCAGGAAGACGCGCGAGACGCCGGTACAGAACCGGAGGGACACGACAGGGCTGGATTTGGACGAAGAAATGTTTGAGGGTCTCGACACCACGCTCGGCGACGACGACGATGCCGCTGCGCCACGTTCGGACATCTCAACATTCAGCGTCACCTCTACATTCAGTGTCAGTCACTTTAGGCGCCGGGGCCGCGCGCCGAGCATCAGTATCAACAGGGATGACGCGCCTATTAGGCCAAGCAGTCGCGGTGTTGGTAGCACCCCTGGCATCAGCTCGACGTTCAACATCGGACTGTTCAAGCGCCGGCAGAGAGAACCGAGTATATTGGGTACGGCCCAAAAGGAGCGTGCGCAGCGGCCGATCGAGCTATCGTCCGGTTCCGACTCTGACGATGAGGCCGACGACGGCTTTGACCCCGAGGCCGAGTCGACGCCTCTCCAGAAGCGGCGTAAAACACAACCGCTGGCAGCAGAGCCTGAGTCGGAGTCACAGCAGATCCTCGCTCCAGACTCACAGCCCGGACAGAAGGACGTGGCGCCCCCTTCAAGTACCACAACGCGCAAACGCAAAAGTACAGAGAGTTACGCGGAGAGCGACCGACCGGGAAAGGCGTCACGGACGGAGCCTGAACATGAGCCTGAGCCTGAGCCCGTGCCTGATCTAGGGGATGGCGATAGCGACTCGGAGCTTTCAGACCTGCCCTCACCGGTTCTCACGCCCACGCGGCCGTCCATGTTCCCTCAGCCGACGACGCCGAACCGGGACGAGATTATGGCACCTCCCGAGAGCAGCGGCTCTGAGGGCAGTGAGGGAATCTGGCCTGACATTCACACCCTCGCCAAGCAGCGGCGTCGTCGTGCCTCGCCGGTTACGCCGACGCGAGACGGCAACGTGTCCGACGCCTCTTCGCCGCCTTCCCTCACGCACTCCCCCAACTTCCCAGCGACGAGGAACAAGTCCCGACAGAAGAAGCAGGGCAAGTCCCCCAAGGTCACAACGGCGGATCTCACCGGGCTGTTGCCCCGCAGACGCCACAAAAAGGCCCGAGACCCATACAGCGTGAACGACACGGATGAGGAAGAGGTCGACGCCTCGAACCTCGCGGAGCACGACGACGAGCTCTCCTACGTTGACTCGCGTACTCGTTCCCGGCGTGCAAAGGCAGCGCCCCGCGACCTCGGCACGGCGAATCGGCCGGCCTCCCGCGGCGCCAAGGCAGCCGCGTCGGCTGAAAGGCCGAGGGCGGCGACGCGCTCATCGACGCGCACGTACAGCCGTCGTCTGTCGGACAAGGATAACGAGGCAGAGGAAGAAACGACAGAGGCCGGGGCCGAGGGCGACAGCTTCGCCCCCGTCCCGGAAGACGTCCCGGAGAGCCAGGACAGCAGCGACCCGACCCGCAGCGCCGACGAGCTGAAGAAGGCGGCGCGCAAGTTCAAAGAAGTCGATCGCTGGGAGCTCGAGTTTGAGGAGGTGACGGAGGGCTCGTCGCCGAACCGGGATGCGCGGTGAAGAGGACCAGGGGGTGGCAGTCTAAAGTTCTTTTTTTTTTTTTTAAGGTCCTCTTTTTTCCGTGGGAAAACAAACGGGACGACGATGAAACTTTCAAAAGGGCGTGGGCGGCGGCCTAACTGGGTTTTTATTTTTATGTTGCTCGTGTTGCCTGATGTGAAGTCGGAAATACCCGCACCGACGCTGCTGGGCGTTCCATGTGTGGTCGAGCTGTTGTGGGCACCCCAAACGTACGCACTGCGCGATTGCTTTTGCCGGAGATTTGGGCGTTCTGATGCGTGTCTCGTCGAAAGCGTTCTCTTACAATAGGGAGTGCGGTGGCAATCAGTTACAGGAACCAAAGGAGGTACTTTATCCAGCGAATTCGATAACGATTCCATTCACATGATGCTTGCGATGCGTATTTATGGGCGTATGGACAAATCCTTTATTCTTCCTGCAGAGGTATCGCGGTACCCTACCATGCCCGTAAGCTTTTCCCGATGCCCGAAACGCCTGAAACTACATCTCTCGCCCTGAACGCCGGTCACTAGTTGAAAGGCGAAACAAAACCCATGAAGCAAATAGTTGAGAAAGGGGGTGGGGAAGGGTGCGTTTCATTGCTTCAGAGAAACGCTCTGCACCGTCTGCTCGACCGTCGGCAGTAGGTTGTAGAGCAGGTTCGGGTCCCGCAACGCGATGGTGATATCATCCGGCAGCCTGCCCTCCATGAACAACGACTGTTACACCCTCGTCGTCAGCAATTTTCACCCGTACATCCGAGGCTTTCGATACTTACCCGCTTGACGCTGTCGAAGGTGTCCTCCTTGGCTGTGTACTCCAGGATGACCTCGTCCGTCTCAAAGTCGGCGTACACCCTCGTGTCCCGGATGCGCACGATGACGTTGTCGAGGCGCATGAATAGGCGGCACAGCAGCAACATGCGCTTCTCGTGGACGCGGACCTTGACGCTGACGATGGAGATGCCGTTGTCGTCGAGCTCGCTCTCGAAGAGCACCACGTCGTCGAAGAAGAGGATCGGGTCCCGGCGCTTGAGCAGCTCGAGCGGGATCTGCCGCGTCGTTGTCTCCTCCAGCTTTCGCCCCGGGGCGTCGGGCTCTTTCAGGGTGCCGCGGTACTCGGTCGAGTAGGACCAGTCGTATGGCTTGACGACCTCCTTGATCCCCGCGCTCGTCTTTTCTCTACTCGACGACCAGTCCCGGGCGTAGGCGACCTTGAGCATCTTCTTGTCCGTCTTGTCGACAGCGTCGAGTGCGTCGTAGGCGTTGAAGGAGACGGACCAGCCCGTGGGTACGTGGGAGACGGAGACGAGGTTGTCGCCGAAGATCATCTCGGGGACCGGGATGCCAAGAGAGGCCGTCATCTCGTCGATGGGGCCGGCCTTGGAGATGGGAAGCTTGCGGGAGGCAATGCGGAAATTGCGCTGGGTGTGGGTTGTCGTGGCCGCGGCGAGGGCGGAGGGGGTAGGGAATGGCTCGTTGGGGGAAGTTATGTGGTTCATCTTGGGGCGTTGGGGGGTCTCGATTTGGGAAGGTTCGATGCAAACTGGGAGGGGGCGCTGCAAGAGAGTTGCGACGGGAGTAGTTGTATAGTGGCTCGGAGCTGTTGGTGTTGAGAGGAAGGTTTTGGTTTTGGTGTAACGCAGCTCGGATCGGAGGTGTGCAGTTGTGTCGAAGCTCTCTCTGGTCGGGGAAGCACTAGGGATTGATGGTGGGGGTTGGCGGGGAATAAAGGCGTCTCGGGGCCAAGACCCCTGCTTCTCTCGGTGAGGGGAGGGACCCAACGTCACTCCACCAAGCTCACCGAGTCGCTGAGATGGCCCGACTTCTCACTTCTCTCGCGCTCCTGTAGGGACTCGGCCAGTTCCTCGATGAATGCGTGACCGTACCAGCTTTCGACCGCATTAACACAGCTCATATGCCGGTCGTGCGGGGCCGTTGTACCCTTGGGCTCGATTTTCCCATGGATTGCCTCGTGTTCCGCAATATGATGCACGAGCCATTTGATCGACTTATCCGCTCTCTCTCGCTCTAGTTGACCCGATTCTTGTTCCATTTCCTTGCCGAATTGATCCCGAGAGAATATAACAAAGAAATCTCTCGGAATCGGAGGGGGTCTGCAATACAGCTTGGCAAAGACTCGACACTGTCTCTCCGTCGCATACACTCTCAACATGTTGTTGAGAACTCGGAAGGCACTGCTTAGCAGCATCCGTTGATATCTCTGCTCCTCTTCATCTTTATTTATGGCCTTGATGTACCAGCGCATGGCTGTATCAGCTCGCTGGACGGCGGACTTGAGCGGATTGAAGCTGTGCTTATCGAGATCCTGCCGTATAGCGTAGAACATCTCGAGCACGGCGATGCCGTAGTCCCAGCGACACGCCAGCAGGCCCAAGAGGCTGCCAACGCTCATGCTGTAAAGCACCTCGAGATCATGGTCCTGGAGGAGTCTAAAGTGCCACAGGAGCACGTCTGCTGCGACGTTGCCCCACATCCTCTCGAGCGGTGCGCTCTGGTGCCTCATGCCCCTGTGGTGCCAGAAGAGATGCCATGCAAACCGCCAGCTGAGGTAGCGGATATACGGGGGCGTCAAGTCGGCCACCGACCTTGCCGCGTTTTTCAGCATTTCCTGCCAGCCAGGGTGCGCGGAGTATCCCTCGGCCGGTGGGTATCGAAGCTTCAACCACTTCCTGTCTGTCTTGTATACACCGGGAAGCGACTTGAACTCTCTCCACGTCCGGATGTACTCGAGAGTGCCCGAGGCGATGCAACTGCCATCGCTGTAGCCGGGGCACAGTTTAGGAGATGCCCGTATCGTTGTCATGCTCAGCTCCACTTGGTTGGATTGTGTGAAGCTCGCTGCAAGTATCGGGTATCGGTCCTTGAACTCGCTCATCCTGAGAAGCCATTTCTTGGAGACTGGTGCTTCGATGCGTCTATTGCATCTATCACATCGGACCCACATGCCTATGTAGCCCCCCGAAATCCTGGCGTTTTCTCTCAAAAGTTCCAACGGCGGGAGCCGGCACAAGGGCACAATTGATGTGGTCGTGGTCTGTTGCTCCAACTCCATCTTGCGTTTGAAATCGGACTAGACGATTTCGTTTGCCCTAGTATCGGTGTTCCTGATCTGGAAAGTATCTTAACCTCCAGACCCAACAGCTGTTTGAAGGTATTTGCGGTGATGCTTGTTTGTTTTCGAGATCTTGCTTCCTGTCAGAGAGCCAGCTGGGTGGTAAGTTGATATGCATCTGTGGGAGGTCATCGGAGATACGTCTTAGCAACTCGATCCACACCTTCCACTTAAAGAATAGAATAAGATTCTGGACCGATGCCTTGAAAACTTAATCTTGTTAGACGCGAGTATTCAGATAGGTCAGTACTGTTGTAGCGAGAGGATACTGGCTCGTGGAACCAATGGGGAGGGAGGTTGGCAACATGCTGGCTCGTGACAATTTGTCGTCATCATGAGCACGATGTTTCGTTCGTATAGTCGTTTGACGGACGAAGGATAAAATTCAAGGTCACAATATAGGAAAGGCAGACTTCTTTGTCTCGACACATCGGAGAAAGGGAGGCATGGTCGTCGCTTATCTTCGATTCAAGCCATGCCACCATGCGCTGCTATTCAGGTGCCCTCCTCCCCCAATTCTGAGTCAAACTTTTAATCGTCTGAGATTCTCTCCTCTCAAACAACGGACAGTAATGATGGAGCAGAGACATTGTAATGACTCGATAAGATTTTGTCATTTTAGAGCGATACAGGATGAACAAGCTGTGGATCACTACGGACAGTAGATGAACAATACTCAAGCTCTGCACCGGAAGTATACGGTACACCCGTTGTGTGCTTGGCTATGGACGTTGCATACGGTCATCAAAACGAGTGCATATCCGCATCAGGATGTTGCAGCCCAGACCGCTCATCGGCCAGGAAAAACCACGGGGCCTAATCCATCTTGGTCACCCATTGACCAGGCACATGACCTGAAACGGGGTCGGAAAGGATCGAGGAGTGGACGAACAAGGAAATGGGACATGTACCGGTATCCGTAGACGTCAGACCAAGCTGACAGCAGCTAAGACAAGGCGGTTGGGGAGCCATCAGCTGGTGCGGGGCGGGGGGCAGGAGAATGGCACGGTTGCTGTACCTGAAAACAGAGGGGCGGGTCGCTGCCCTGCTGTTGCAGTGTGCCCGTCTCCCTGGCAACCGTTCTGCCCCCCCGTTGTTTAGCTCCCACGAAGGCTGGTACATCGTTAGTCGCTCGAGACCTTTCTTAATAAATCCGACAACCAACTCCACGTTTCCCTTACACCCATACAAACCTCTCAGTGCACTCATTTCTAACCGGCAGGGAACACTCGACTTAGTTGCATACCTTCTCCAAAACACTTGGCGACAATGGCTACCCGGACGCTGGAGTCGCGCTTTGAGCGCATGTCGGTGAATGACGAGAATGAGCCTGTCGACAGCGGCAAGCTCTACTCCAAGACCCAGGTTCGTGCCTCTCGTCGGTGTACTTGCATCATCCGACGACACCGTCGCTGACATAAGGCGTATATAGTCTTTGGTCAAGACATCACAGCTCTCCCAGGCTTCGAGCAGACCAAATCTCGTCAAGGTCGCACTCCAGTCCCAGAGCACAAACGCCGTCGCCCCGGTAACGCTGCCCTCGCAGTCCGCACAACGACTTGCGAAAAACCCTGCTTCACCCGCGAGAAAGCCCCTGCCATCGACCTCGTCGAGGACGTCTGATGAAGTCGTCGAGGTCGAGCGCAAGTCGACCATCTCCCTCATCGTCGAGCCCTCGGCGCCCAAGGTCTTCCACCTCGGCATGTTCGAGATTGGCCGGCCCTTGGGCAAGGGAAAGTTCGGCCGTGTGTACCTCGCGAGGGAGCGCACGAGCGGTTTCATCTGCGCCCTCAAGGTCCTGCACAAGAACGAGCTCCAGCAAGGCCGCGTCGAGAAGCAGGTCCGTCGCGAGATCGAGATCCAGAGCAACCTGCGCCACCCCAACATCCTTCAGCTGTACGGACACTTCCATGACAGCAAGCGCGTCTTCCTCATCCTCGAGTTTGCCGGCAAGGGCGAGCTGTACAAGCACCTCCGCAAGGAGAGCCGCTTCCCCGAGTGGAAGTCGGCGCAGTACATTGCCCAGATGGCCTCGGCCCTGCGCTACCTGCACCGCAAGCACGTCATCCACAGGGATATCAAGCCTGAGAACATCCTTATGGGCATCCATGGCGAGATCAAGATTTCCGATTTCGGCTGGAGCGTCCACGCCCCCAACAACCGCCGCAACACAATGTGCGGTACCCTCGACTACCTGCCGCCCGAAATGATCAAGCCCGGCAGCTCGGACAACTACTACAACGAAAAGGTCGACCTCTGGAGCTTGGGCGTCCTCACGTACGAGTTCCTCGTGGGCGAGGCACCCTTCGAGGACACGCCCGTGATGACGCAAAGGAGGATCGCCCGGGCTGACATGACGGTCCCGTCGTTTGTCAGTCCCGAGGCCAAGGATTTGATTAAGAAGGTGAGTCGATATCACGCACGCCGCTTTCCCAAACGCCATTTACTAACGTCGTTACTCAGCTGCTCGTTCTTGACCCCGAGAAGAGAATACCCCTCGAGCAGGTCCAGACGCACCCCTGGATCGTCAAGCACTGCGTCAAAGGCGAGAGAGCCGCCAACCGCGAGAAGAGCACCTAATTTATGACCCTTATGATTCATGCATCACATACCATCAAGGCATAACGGCCCTTGTATGATTAACGGCGTTTCTTCTTTGCGGGATCCAGGCGGGCTCTGATCTACGGCTTGGGGTTTTGGGGGGCAGTCTTGTTTCTTTTTCTTTCCAATTGCATGGCGGGAGTTGGGTCGTCTCTAAATGTCCGTCGTTTTTTTGAAGTGTAGAGAGACAGAACCAGAGAAGCATAGCCATTCATCGTAAAAGCATTACTGTAGTTGGGTGTTTCGTTTCTTGTGGAGAGAAAATATAGTAGTAGTTACATCCAGTTCTAAGGGTATTATTATACACGCACACGCTCATCTCCCGAGCCCATCTACCATCACCATCCTGTTCGTCTCCTCGGCGCCGTTCCTTCATCTGTAAACCTCGTCAAAGGGCCGCGTGTCGCTGAAGCATGACTCCCAGACCTGGTTCACCACCTTGGTGGCCTGCACGTCATCCTTGCACCTCGGCCGGTTGAGGACGGATTGGATGGCGCGCTTCCGCACGCAGTCCTGGAACTGCTGCGATAGGCTCCAGTTGCCTCTTGTAAAGGCCTCCCTCGTCCACCTGCACTCACCGCTGAGCATCGATGCTCGGATCTGTTTCTCGCACGTCAGCATTTCCGTCGTCGTCGTCGTCGTCGCCGCCGTCATCATTATCCCCACGTTCGCCGTCCACTCCCCCCTCCCAGGAGAAAACCCACCTCTGTACACGCCGCATGCTTCAGGTCCAAGTCACCCATCCAATCGACCTTCCACCGGAGGTGGTCCCACGCGTGCACCATCTCGTGCGACAGCGTGTCTTCGAGGTGCTTCCGGTCCCTCACCTCGTTGGCGCAGATGAGGATCCCGTGCGCGGGGCTGAAGCCGCCGGACTGGCGGTGGACCTCGCCGTCCTCGGTCAGCCGGGCAGGGCACCGCTTGCAGAGAATGTTGGACGAGTCCAGGTTGCCGTTGAGAGCGGCGATCTTATCGTTGAGGAAGCGCACGGTCGGGGAGAAGGCGAGGAGCCAGTCGCGGTGCTCCTCGCAGCGCTTGCAGTCGCGCTCCTCGTTGGCGCGGTAGCGGGCCTCGCGGTAGTGGAACTGGCCCTCGGGGGTCATGCGGCCGGCTAGGACGTTGAAGTAGTTCACCCACCACTTGGTCTGCGGGTCGAAACCGGTGCGGGCGGGATCGTTGCGAAGCTCGCGCGGCGGTTGCTGCTGCGTGCTCGGTGCTGCTGATGCCGCTGAGGAAGCAGCCGTCGTCGTCGTCGAGGGGGCCTCGGGGGATGCCGCAGGGATCTGTTTGTCGTCGAGAATCGTCATTTTAGGCGGCTATCGGAGTGATGTGAAATATCGAGTCGTTGGGTATCGGCGCTGGACAGCGTTGGTAATGGCCAGGGTGGAGGTTGTGAATGGAATGGGAGATCGATTGGAGACTGGGGAAATTTTGGCCGCTATCGATAAGGCCAGCGGCGTTGCGCGAACTGATGTTCAACATGGAGTGCCGATCAGTGGGCCATTTGACAAGTATCCAGCTATCTCATTACTCACAATTTGCAGCGAAAGCACCTCAGATTATCCGTATATGGTTCATCATGTTGTGGTTTTATTTCGTTAATTGTCCATCGTAACGGCCAGCGTTGGAATAAACCCGGTGCCTTGCAATCTGAGGTCAATGGTTTCCCAACTTACTACTCTAATACCGCTGAGCTGAGTAAGATGCCCACCATATATACCTTACCTTACCTTACCTACCTACCTAGGTACGCATTGAACGCACCCCTGGAAGTTGGCTCAGATGCGGTCTGAAAAGGCGTGCTATTGCTGTAGCTCGACTTGGTGACATGCTGGGCCATCAAATCCTCAAAAACTTGCCGCATGCATCATATCTAAAGGACAACCGGCCTTGGGTGGTATATTTGTACGAGATTCCTCATATGGACCACTCCGCCCCGGATTTTAGGGAAGGGCACCCACCCAATCACAGGGCTCCTCCCAGCTTCACTCCCGGGCTCTCTCCGCCTGTCTCTGTCACCGGACGATCCCGATGTCGGGCCATCCGGAAGGGGGTTTTTTTTTTCTTTTTTTTCTTTCTCTTACCGATCCAGTCATCCAGCGCCGCACCAGACCAAAGCCCGACAACAAAGGGGCGCACAACCACTTAGTCCTGACCAGGGGCCTTGAACATTACCACCCTTCTTCGTCCCTGCGTCCCACATTTCGACGACAACTGGCTGGTCTGAGTCCTGGCAATGGCGGAAGAGAGTGGTCCAACGTGTAAGAGGATCCAATATTTTCCGCGCCTACGTAATATGCCTGATGCCGCCGTTGGGCGTCTTTTTAGTCTTTTATTTTTGGTGCTGTTTGTACCGTTGATCGTGGCCATTTTTGGCGTTAGCGAAAGGTGCAAGCTGTAAAGAAAAAAAGCCTGTGACTAACTTCGAGTATCATCGATCGCAGATATGAAGCAGCACCGTGAGGGCCAGAAACCCCAAACGGTGGTGCTGAAGCTGGGTGAGTGGCTCGAAAACGGACTTGCCATGATTCGTACTGACCTGTTTCACAGGCACCAGTTCCATTGTTGACGAGAAGACTCATCAGCCCCTGCTATCCATTCTTAGTCTTATTGTCGAGACGGCGGTGAAGTTGAGAAAAGATGGTCATAAAGTGGTCATCGTCTCGTCCGGCGCCATTGGCGTTGGTCTTCTCCGGATGGAAATGGGCAGGCGGCCGAAACACCTGTCGACGTTGCAGGTTGGTCCGATTCTGCAACCCCGACCTCAAAAGAGACGTGACTGATAGACTCGCAGGCTTTAGCAGCCATCGGCCAGTGCAGACTCATCAGTTTGTGGGACGACTTGTTCAGCCACTTTAGACAGCCTGTCGCCCAGATCCTCCTCACGCGGAACGACATAGCGGATGTAAGTCATGCTGATGAGACCGAACGATGGAAATGCCTGACCCAGCCTTAGCGGACCCGATATCTCAATGCTCAAAACACATTCAACGAGCTTCTCGACATGGGTGTCATTCCAATCGTCAACGAGAACGACACCCTGGCGGTGTCGGAAATCAAGTTCGGCGACAACGACACGCTCTCTGCCATCGCCGCCGGCATGGTCCACGCTGACATGCTTTTCCTCATGACCGACGTGGATTGTCTCTACGACAAGAACCCCAGAACACACCCCGACGCCCAGGCCATTGAAGTGGTTGAAGATATTTCCAGCATCCAAGCGGACGGTAAGTCGATATGAAATCAACACCTCACCCCCTTTAATCTGGGAGGTAGAGAAAGAGAGAGAGAGAGAGCTCTCAGGTAAACGCACCGAAGCTGACACACCCAAACAGTATCAACCGCCGGGTCCTCCCTCGGCACCGGCGGCATGATGACCAAGATCGTGGCTGCAAGGCTAGCGACATCCGTAGGCGTGACCACTGTGATCACCCGCTCCTCCAACCCGGGCAACATCGTCAAGATCGTGCGCTACATCCAGGCGCAGCAAAAATCCTCCCCGCACCTGGACGCCACTGCCGGAGACCACGACACTGACCACGACCACGACCACAGCGAAGATCCCCTGTCCCAGTCCACCGCCTCCCTGCGCCTCGACCAGGCCGTCGAGAAGCCCCCGTTGCACACCCGCTTCCTCCCCTCCGCGGAGCCGATCCGCGACCGCCACTTCTGGCTCATACACGGCCTCAAGCCCCACGGCACGCTGTACATCGACGCCGGCGCCCACAGCGCCCTGCTCCGCAAGGCCGGCCTGCTCCCGGCCGGCGTGATCGACGTCGAGGGCAACTTTGCGCAGCAAGAGGCCGTCCGCCTCGTCGTCGTGGACCGCCTGCACGGCCCGAGCGCGGGCCAGAGCGGTAAGTCGTGGAGCGGGACGCCGGTCGAGGTCGGCCGCGCGCTGGTCAACTACGCCGCGCCCGAGATCATGCGCATCAAGGGCCACCAGAGCTCGGACATCGGGGGCCTGCTGGGGTACGCCGACAGCGAGTACGTGGCGGAGAGGCAGCACATCCGCATCTTCAGCCGTGAGAGCCGGCCAGTGACGCCGAGCATCGAGAAGGCCAAGGAGCAGATTGTTGAGGAGGTGATTTCTGGCATCACCGGGTATGAGCAGAAGACGTAAAAGGCCAGGGGGGACAACGATGGCCGGGGTAGGGGCAAGTCTGCATGTGTGATGAATCAACAAGCAATATCTCCAGAATTACGAGGCGCATTCCATAAAGGGATACTAGGTGCCGGCTTTAGACCTGACGGCTTTGCCAAAGACTATACAAGGGCTCTCTCTCACACAAGGGTCCTGCTACAGAATCATACATTGTCACTTGCGCCTCATTCGTTCTGTACTCTTAAAAACTCTGCATATATCCTTCAGGCGATTGCATTTTACTAGTCGGGGGGGAGGCAGCGCAAGGCCGCCGGCAGTACCAGCATGGTGCCCCGGCTGGGAAAAAAATGACCGAAAGAACAAGACTGCTGATGACCAACAAGAAACGCCGTCAAGATGCCCCGCCGTGTCCTCTGACTCTCTTTTTAGGGTGGAACCGAAAACGCCATTCCAAACATGTTTAACACAAAAATGTCCAAGAAGCCAAAGGGGGTGGAGGGGAGGGGGGATTCTGACCTCCTCCTCCTCCTCCTTCACAACCACGGTCCCCTTTCCTTCGCGAAAAAAGAAGAACAAAAAAAACAAGCAGAATCCGTTTAACCGGCAAAGAGGGTATCTTCGTCACGCAGGTACTCGCCACAGTCAGACTGCCTGAAGCACACGACACCCGTGGGGTCGAGACGGCGCGCCTCAGCCGTCGAGCGGGCGGTAACGCCGAAGCCGAGGGGCTTGTCGTCCATGGAGAAGACGATGACTCCCTGGTGCTCCGGGCAATCTTCAGACCAGCGGCCAACGTGGGCCTTGACAATGTTGCCGCCGTACAGGAAGGGCATCTCGCCGTTGGGCTGTCGCAGAGGATTGCAGTTAGCATTACCGTCCTCGGATAGACTTGTTCGGGACGAGGATGGCTCACCTTGACCCAGATCTTGTATCTTGCGTGCTCGCTGAGAATCGGGAGGGCGGTGACGTGCAGGCGGAACTTTCCTGTCTTTGTGAACTTGCCTACATCGCCCATAGGTTAGAGACACAACTTCCAATGCAGTGTGAGGAGGCCATGCGCGCGAGAACGTACCTAGGCAGATGCCGATGCTGAGGAGCTTATCGCGGGCGATACTGGTCGCGAGGTTGGCAACGGAGAGGCGGACGTAGTAGACGCGGTCGCGGATCATGCGAAAGACGTAGCGGTCCGGCTCAGGGCCGTTGTCGAGCGGGGCGATGAGATTCTTCAGCGAGCTGCCCATGTAACTGGCCAGCTTGTTGAAAAGGGTCTCAGTCTCCTTTTCGGTAAGGGGACGCATGGTGGGCTTCTAGCGTCTTTTTCTTTCTTTCTTGATTCAGTGTTGTTTGGTGGTGGTGAGAAAACCAAGGGCAGCCTTCTTGGGAAAACTTGCAAGCGCTACCGTACCGAGAGTGGGATGCAGAGGGTGCATCGCGATGCGAAAAGGTTGGAGTAGTGGCAGAAACCCAAAAAATTTCGGGCGGTCTGAGGGGAAACCAGGGTTAGTATTGGTTGAAATGCCGTAACCCCACTAAAAAGTTCTCGACGGACCCTCTTTCTGCTGCTGGTCTCGCAGGGTCCCCATCCAGCCCGCCCGTGCATCGAGAAATCTTCCATTCGGCGAGCAAGCGACGAGCATTGAAGGCCAACAAAACGGATCAGCCTCAATTACCCGTGCCAAACCGATCCGATCGACGACATACCCGCCATCGTTCGATTCAAGATGTCGTCCAGAGCCACCAAACGCCGCAGGCTCACACCTCCTCCCGAAGACGAGCAAGACGCCGCCGGCAAGAGCTCCAAGAAGATCCAAAAGTCTTTCTTCAAGAACGCCGCCAGCTGGAACTTGGAGCAGGACTATGAGAACCGCCCGCGCAAGGGGAAGAAGGAAAAGAAGGACAGCCATCGGCTGCCCATCAAGACGGCGGACGGCCGCCTCGAACAGTACCAGCCCCTCGAGGGCGACAACAGAGATGACGACGCCGCCTCGGTTGAGAGCGACGGCGAATGGCTCGAGGGCCGCGAGGATGAAGACGCCACCGCCGAAGCGGCCGCCGAACGGCTGCGTCAGGACCGCCGGAAGGAGGAAGAAGAGTCGAACCTGCCTGAGCCCGTCCAGATCCACCAGGCTAAGGAGGAGCTCGCCAAGATCGCGATGGCGCTGAACGAGGACCCGGAGGAGAACGTCGGCGCTTTCAAGGCCCTCGCCAAGATCGGCCAGTCACGCATCCAGGCCATCCAGAAGCTCACGCTGGCCACCCAGCTCGCCGTCTACAAGGATGTCATCCCGGGCTACCGCATCCGGCCTGTCGCCGAGGACGCCCCCGTCGAGAAGCTTTCCAAAGAGGTCCGCAAACTGCGTGCCTTTGAGCAGGCCCTCGTGTCCGGATACCAGGGGTACGTCAAGGAGCTGGCCAAGTGGGCAAAGGCCGATATCCCTACGACACGCAAGACAGGGCAGAGCATCTCGAGCGTCGCCATCGCGTGCGCCTGCACGCTCGTCAACGCTGTGCCGCACTTCAACTTCCGCAACGACCTGCTCAAGATTCTCGTCAGCAAGCTCTCAAAACGCAAAATCGACGCCGACTACGTGAAATGCCGCCGTTCGCTCGAGACGCTCTTCATTGAGGACGAGGAGGGCCGCCCCTCGATGGAGGCCGTGTCGTTGTTGGCCAAGATGATGAAGGCCCGCGGCTTCGCCGTCGACGAGAGCGTGCCGAACCTGTTCCTCCACCTGCGCCTGCTGTCCGAGTTCGCCGGCAAGGCGTCACAGGACCGTGTTGACCGGGAGCACGACCCGAGCGCGCCGCCGCCGCAATCCCGCAAGAGTTTCAAGAAGGAGTTCCGCACCAAGAAGGAGCGCAAGATGCTCAAGGAGCAAAAGGCCATCGAGAAGGACATGCAGCAGGCCGATGCCCTCGTCAGCCACGAGGAGCGCGAGCGCATGCAGTCAGAGACGCTCAAGCTCGTCTTCGCGTCCTACTTCCGCATCCTGAAGATGCGCGTGCCGCATCTTATGGGCGCCGTCCTCGAGGGCCTGGCGAAGTACGCCCACCTTATCAACCAGGACTTCTTCGGCGATTTGTTGGAGGCTCTCAAGGACCTCATCCGTCACGCTCAGGAAGACGCTGAAGGTAACTCCGTCGACGCCGACGGCGAGGGAAACCAAGAAGCAGACGCCAGCGACGACGATGATGGCGGCCCGTCCCGCAACACCACCCGCGAGGCCCTCCTCTGCGCCGTGACGGCCTTCGCCCTCCTCGCGGGCCAGGACGCACACAACTCCCGCGCCCAGCTCCACCTCGACCTCTCCTACTTCGTCACCCACCTCTTCACCTCGCTCCCCTCGCTCTGCATGAACCCGGACCTGGAGTTGACCTCCAAGTCCCTCCACATCCGGCCCGCGGCGGCCGCCGCGACGCGCGACAACCGCGTGAACCTCCAGACCACCACCGTCCTGCTCCTCCGCTGCCTGACGGCCGTTCTCCTGCCCGCCTACCAGATCCGCTCCGTTCCGCCCCTGCGGCTGGCGGCCTTCTCCAAGCAGCTCATGTCGGCCGCCCTCCACCTGCCCGACAAGTCGGCCCAGGCGGTGCTGGCGCTGATGCAGGACGTCTCGCACACGCACGGCAAGAAGATTGCGTCGCTGTGGCGCACCGAGGAGAGGAAGGGCGACGGCACCTACAACGCGCTGAGTGAGAGCGTCGAAGGCAGCAACCCGTTCGCGACGACGGTGTGGGAGGGCGAGCTCCTGCGGAGGCACTTCTCGCCCAAGGTGCGGGAGGGCGTCAAGCTATTAGAAAAAGAGATCAGTAACGCATAAAGAGCAATTTCAGACACAGCATAGAAGGAGTTGGGAAATCAAAAATACTGGTGGTGCTGTCTACTACCTATCTATTGACTGCGTGGCATTGAATCCCAAAGAGCATGTTGTGATGTCGTGAGGCCATTCAGAGGCATCTATCTAGTCTGCAAGTTCGTGGCCCGTGGCATGTGATTCGGTAGACAGGACCAGCGGTTTCTGTGCATCTCGTTGATTGACTATCTAGAGTTCGCTTACACTTGGCAGCGGATTATGTGCCTATAGGCGCTGGAGTTAATGCCGCATGGTCTGCCGGTCCTTCTTTGATACGTTCTGACCCAAGCCTCACACCCCAATCTCCCACTGTCTCGTCGGTCGTTCATGATAGCCGAACGCCAGCACCGAAAAGGGATCAGCACCAGAAGTGAGTCACTGTTCGGTAGCTTCTCAAAACCGTGACGTTGCAAGGCGTTGTGAAAGAGAGCCAGCCAATGGATACATTTGGTCGAATCTCGACCTGATCAATGCCTTGAAATCCAGCCGTGCCTATTCATCGGTCCCAGTGTCCCAGTAGTAGGACAGCGTGTTTCTAAATACCACAATTGATGTTGGTTCACCAGCGTCTGGTCGACGACTCAACGGCTCCAATGACTAACACAGCTTAACCAAGTCTGTATTTTCTCCAGGATGACCTAATCAGCCCAAATTGAAGACATGAGGCCTCTTCCTGCGCTGGACGACTGCCGCAGTTGCTGAGTAGGGGGAGTCGCTTGGTGCGGTCCCTCCCAAACCGTAACATTCAGTCCATCATCCCCGTTGTCAACTGTAGCAGGGTTCGCCCCAAAATACAGTGGGTACTTCATCTTGGTTCTCAAAAGAACGGGGCAATCAGGCTTAGAATGGTCATGAAGAATGACGTTGACTGCAAACTTGTTACGAGCTGTAGTTGACATGCCAGAGATGTCCACGTCGCCGTCTATGTCCATATTGTGTTTCGAAGCCGCCAAGCCAATAACAGGATGGCTTCTCTTGGGACAGTCGCAACTGATTTCATCTGTCAAGACAATTCTGCCCTCGTCGTTTTCGGTCTTCTGATTCCGACCTTGTGAGACGGTACCCCTGACGTCGTCTGATTGTGAGGCAGCCACAGACTGGATACGAGGACCATTGTCATTGATTTGGTATCCATGAGCCTTGATCTGCTGCGGATCCGGGAGCTCTAATCCTGCTTCAATGTGTTGCAAGGCCCAGAGCAAGGTACCAACCTTTGGCTGCTGGCGGAGTTGAAGGTTGCTGCCGGTTTTGTTGGCGGCCTTCTGAGTATTGTCTTTGGGGTAGTCCGTCTCAAGGAGCCGGGAAACCTGTCCATCATATGCAGCGACAGTGCTACAGACTGGATGCTGCCCTTGGGGTATATCAGAAGCTTGGCTACTCGTGGCGGTGTCGACGACTGGACCCTTGGCATTGATTTCACCCTGTGTATGAACAGTTGATGAGTTCTCGCTGGCTCGTATGCTCTTAGCAGGGCCATTGCCCTTCGATGTTGAAGTAGCCTTCTTCTCGAAGGGGCTATCCGAAACCTCTTGCTTAACCGGATGAGTCTTACTGATGGTTGAAGACGTGGGACTCTGAGTCTGAGCAGTTACACGCATCGGCTCCTTCAGAATGGTTTGATTCTGGGAAAAGGCAGCAGGCCCGACGGCAGAGTCAATCTCTGAAGCCGAGATGTCGGGCCCAATAGTTGCATTGGCTTTCGGTACCTGTTTGGTTGAAGGAGGCTGAGACTGGCTGCTGTTGGTAAGCCAACTGGCAAGCTTTGTGTCGACTGGAACCGTGACAGTGGCTTCTTTGGTAGCGACAGGAGCAGACTTCGCAGGTTTGTTTTGATCGGTACTCTGACCTCCAAGCCAGCCAGCAAGGGATGGGTTGATTCGAGTAGGAGTTTTATTGGCATTGCCCACTGAGAGAGCCGAGCGGGAGCTCGTAGGCATAGGACGATCTGGCAAGATTAGCGAAGAGCGCGATGCAACATCTCGGAAAATGACTTACTCATCGGGCTGCGAGAGAACTCGGATCGAGGGTTGTTCAAGGATCGTCCAGCTCCAACACCATAGGTACCACCTCCGCCTCTCAGCCCGTCTCTGCCGCTGCCTCGAGTACCACCGGCACGTCGGGAGTTACCTCCCGACTTGAACTCCTGTGCCAGAATTCTGGCCGCTTCCATCTGAGCGGCCCTGTCCATCGTGTTGATGACCTGAACTGTTGACGCGGTGGTTCTGTCTGTACCAGGTCTCTAATTTTAGGACTGGTGTTAGCTTCAATGTCTTATGATGTCCTAGTTGTTGAAGTGTCGTCGTCGGTACTGGTTGAACGCGAAACATAGGAGGGGGAAAGGCTCATATGTAGAGAAAACTGAAGCAGTGATGATGCGAATAGGAAGGCATAATGCAGAAGAAGCGTCAAGAAAGCAACAGAAGTTGATGATGGGGCAGATGAAACAAAAGGAATGTAACCTACTGTTTGCTCCGTTGTCTGATGAAAATCCCAGAAGGAATTGTGGTATGTTTCTACAGATTTTACAAACCTTGCCTCGAGTGTATGGCGATTAGTTCAACCCTCTGGTGATGTTGACAAGAGAGAAAAGACAAGTGTTGAAGGAAAGATGTGAAGGTAAGAAGGCCACATAGAAAAAGTTTGAGTGGAAAGAAAAGGAAGCAACAGAGGAGAGTATGGAAAGGCTCTTTCCCAAGCAACTAATTGGGAAATTGAGTTCGTGATTCAATGGTCAGAAAGGTGTGTCTGAGGTAGACTCGCCAAAAGAATTGTGCGGGTGCCAAACAGAAAGAGAATAGAAGGATGATAGGAAAGAGCAAAGCAGCACCATCCACGTTCCTTCTCACATTCCCATAGGGTTTTCTGTAACCGCTTGGTCAAGTACCCAACTAGTGGAGTGCTGACAGCAAGTGGACATGCTAGGTATTGTGAAGAAGGAGGCAAGTGATTACAGGCTTTAGAGGCGCAAAGGTCTTTGTTAGGTTTGGACATGGGAATATCCAATAACAAGGATAGGCATGATATAAGCGTGGTACCAGCATACCATGACACCATAAGCATATGCACATACTCCTAGAAAGCATTCCGTAAATCTTGTAAGTTACAAAATTGACAGATGGAAGACCATGAATTGTGTCGTAGACACAAAGGGCAGCGAGCAAGAAATACAAGTGAGTGGTGGCCACGAATGGAATCGGGTATGGAACCCTTCGCTTTAATGAACCCATCTGGGGGCAAGGAAATTAGCCTCTCAACGTGATGCTTCTCAGGAAGCTACAGTCTGATAGGGGTATACTATTGAAGCCTGCCCAATAGATGTTACCTCTCTAATCCCGACGACTAGTGACCATGACGGTGGAAATCAAGCCTTGCCGCCTTTCTTTACTGGCACCATCTTCTCATATATCTTCAACTGCGTAGGGCGATACATGGCTTCCTCGGCCTGTTCAAGCCACGCCACTCGTACGGGCGAGACGTGCTGTTGAACGTACTCGACGAGAGCCCTGGACATAGGGGCACCAACCCGGACGCCGACCGACGAAACCCTCGGAATGCCGAGGCAAGCGCTGAGCTTCTCGGCGCATGGCTTCGAGTACCCCACAAGCCGCGTCGGAGGAGCAGTTGGCGAGCTCTTGGAGGCAACGGCGACCATTTGAGGCAGTTGGCAGTTGAAAGCGGATGACTGCCCTGAGCGAGCGACAAACACAACGGAATAGGGAGTAGGTAAGCTTGCCATGGTGTTGTTATCGCCGGAGGCTTCCGAGGTTTGCTGTCCTGTTGCAAGCCTTTCTAGGTTACGAGTGATACTCGTGAGACCGACGTCAACGAAGGAGGCGAGCTCAGGCACGGGCGGGCGTTCGCTCTTGGCTGGTTCCTTCGAAGCCATCCTACCTTCTTTTCTCTTCCTCTTGGCCGCTCGCTTGCCTTCTGAGGGCTTGACATGCCTCTGGCGATGTTGGCCCAAAGGAGACAAAAGACTGTATTTCATGTCAGCGAGCTCAGAGGTCTCAAGCAAGGAGAAAGAATGTTTGTCGGGTGGCACAGGAAAGGCCTACACGTACCTGCAGAGTAATTCTAAAATTACGTCTTGATCTTCAGGAACAATCTCTGGCCTATCGCCCATTAGCATTAACGAGAACGAGGATATTGGGGGCAATAACATCATACCATTGTGTTGCTGAGAAGGGGGTGTCAACCGAATACACCAGCTTCTTCCGTAGTTGCGCGGCCATGATGTAATTTCGTAAGAAACCACAAAATACGTCTCTGTTCTCTTTCAGCGGCAAGACAAGCAGGGTGCCCAATGGATCCAACACCACCTGTCTGGCAGGACGTTGGTGGTAGTGGGGATTGAGATTGCAGCGAACCCTGGATCGTCTCCGTGAGAAGCCAGCAACGGTAGGGCTGCAGAATGCGGAGAACGGCCAATGCCAAGACGGTGTGAGTTGCGATTCGCAGTGTTGAGCTCCTGGGCAATAGCAGGTGTTCCAATCAGATAGCACAGGGTTGGATTAAAGCATCAATGCTGGTGTGTGTCAGTCGTGGACGAAATGAAAGGCAAAAATAAAACTCGTCAGTCAGAAACGACGGATCAAGCTAATTGGCCTTAGCGGCCGATAGCCTGGCCGATAAGCGAGATGGACGGGTGGCACTAGCGCCACATGAGACTATTGGGGGGGAAACGAGACGAACAGATAAGAGCTTCAGACCAACGAAGGATTTCAACAACGATATCAGGACGCTGAGAAAAACATGCGGAACAGTCACACACTGCGCTTTCAAGAGATACAATCGCATAGGTACTCTCAAAAGACTACATAGTCTGTCACAGCGTTTCACTTTGGTCTCCTCGCTGGACGTCAGCCCCAGCAAGCACGGAAACATGAGTGTTGGGGTCGTTGAGGTACCTACGCAGCAGGGACAAGGGCCACAGAGATGCCGGCCCCGCATGAGCTCCAAGTCTCCCGGGGAGCACGGACAGCGGCGAGATGAAGAGCCGAGCAAGGGGCGGCGAGAGGCCGAGTGCTACGTTGAGTATCAACGGACAGGACGCCGTTGGTGGATAATACATCCGTCGGTAGGTAGCCCCAAAGTGTCATCTGGTCGTTTACGAAGCAGAAGCATTCCAGACCCCATAAGAAAGAGAACCGAAGCGTTGATCGAAGCGTTAGCTCGACCACACTGGATTACGCAAGGTACTCGGGATGGGCAGGCAGGAAGAGGACGGGGCGAACAGGCATTCCTCTAGATTTGCTGCCTGCCCGGGGTTGATTGTTTCTCAATCGAGCAGTTAGCTCATGCTGTCGTGACCCCATCAGACGCTACCAATTCATGACACCACTGACTCCCAGGCTGCCTAGAGAAAGAGAGGTAAGACGAGTCAGACTGATTGACACACGCCGCAGCCGCCGATATTAGCTTTGGGTTGGTTCTCGCGACCAAGTCCCAGAGGTGTTTTGCGGACCATCTATCCCTGTGTTTTGGCCAACCACGGCCTTAAGCATAAGCGCGAGCACATCCGTCACCCTGGAGGAACAAGCCACCCGAAAAACCTATGAGATTTCTTTGGTACCAGGTAGTAGTGCAAGACAGCTGCTGGTCATCCATCGCTTTCTTCCCCTTCATATGAACTAGAGCCACGCATCACGTCAAAGAAAACCAGCATCCCTACGTAGAAGGGAGTCAACCTCCTTGTTCATCTCAGACGACAATACAAGGGTTGACAGTTTCTTGTCGCTCATCGTTTGTGCAGCTCACAGCTGCAGGCTTATTGACTTGTCGCAGCATTACCTCGTCAGCAAAGCTCAAGCTCGGCACCTTGAGGTAAGAGCAGCACCAAAAAGTCGAATACGCGATTTGAAGAGAAAACCGAGGCAACTGACGTAATTTGGACTCACACAGGGCTGCCTCTCCTCCATTTCTTTTTTTTTTTCGTCCTTGGTCATCGTCGGAACGCGACGCGCCTTCCTTCTTCAACCTCTCACTTCACCTGCAGGTACCTTCTCGCCTGCCTTGCTCAGTCCGCCGTCCCCACTTTCGGTGTTCACCATTGAGCCACACCACATCGACTTTACACGGCACCGTCACCCCGCACCCGCCAACTTCAGCGCCTCAATTATCGTCCAAAAGCTTCTGGCAGCATCAAACCTCTTGCCGACGGAAGCTGTCCCCAAATCGGAGGCTCAGAAAGGTGCAGTAACCTTTTCTTCTCTCTATGCCTGGAATGGCGTGCTTTTAATGGGAGGAAATACCCGGCAACATTCTAACTTTTCTTCTTTTTTTTCTCCCCTTCCAGGTATCCTTTTCTATTTCATCCATGGAAAGCCAATCTTGTGCCCAGGCCTTTCCACGTTAGCAACTCGCTGATAAGCTAAGCCAAGGTAAGCTCAGAGCTCCATCGCCCACCGTCGCCCACCATGAAAAGAAAAGAAAAGAAAAAGGTACTTCTCGTACCTGGGCCGTTTACCTGCACACCTCACCCAAAACCGAGTGACAAAAAGTACTCATTCCCGTCCTCCCAGCCCTTGAGGTCATAAGGCATTACCTCATCATCCCTCCACCCCCATCAGCCCGTCTCCAAACAGACGAGCAACTATCCGCCCCCCTCCCCCTCCAAAGTACAGCTCCCAGCTCTAGTGGATTCACGTTGTTCACATCTGCGCCCGCACTGCACCGCGTCTCCTGCGAGCGCCGAAAAAGGCTGACGTACAATCCCTGCTCCCCCCAAAAGCCCACCTTCAACACGCCTTTCCTTTGCCTTGTTGGACCTCAGCCTGCACCTCGCTATCGTTACCGTCACCTCGACATCTTAGCGCCACTCTCTCATTCTTTTTTTTCCATCCTCCATTCTACCTCGACGACGGAACTGCTGCCAAGCCTCGTCACCAGTCTTCATTCACTTCAGAAAATTAGCACATCATCACTGCCCACACGTACTTTGCCATCCGCTTTGATCATCACTACGGACAGGGGAAAAAACCACATGCTAATTTTGGCCAGCTGCTGCCGAGTCGTCTCTCGCGCCCGAGTGACGTCTCTGGAGCTCCAGGATCCGCGTTGCAACACCTCATTGCACCAGCCAGATGGACCAGCCTACAGGATCTTCGGAAGCAGAACGCGCGGTCTCCTCAGAGCCTAGCTCAACGAGACCGAACCCTTTTACCGAAGGCGACGATTCTTCTCGGAAACGGCGCCGAACCTCGATGTCTGGCGGCTCTCGCAGCCTCTCTGTCGAAACCACAAAGTCGGACCGCGATACTTCAAGCTCCTCCAACGCACACCACGCCGACGACGCTGCCACACAAGACTCTGCCATGAAAATAGACACCAGCCCCTCCACGCCGCAGACGCCAGAGCGGCAGTCGACTGCACCAGAGCCCGCAACCGAGCCAGCTTCGAGCCGGGTCACGATAAACCTGCGCAATACTGCCCAGCCCGAGCCTTTCTCCTCATCCCCCGTCTCCCCGACGCCGCACACATTGCCAGGCCGGCCGACCGAACCACCAGAGAGGTCCAAGAAGAGTCTGGAAGACTTGGAAGAAGTTGACATGGGTCAAGCTCCCATTGAGATCACAGACACCCCGCCTTCTTCCTCTTCAAGCCCGCAGAGTCCTGAGGTGGAAGTGGTTGCCATACCTGACGACGATCAGGATGCTCCGTTCGACGAGGAGGTCGGCATCATTCGCGAGGATGCGGCGTCCTTTGATCCGACACCCGATTTCCCATACCATGATGCCCATGAGTCGTTGCCGGAAACGGTTGGAAAGCTGGTTAACTACCTCTCTTCTCGTAAGTCCGACTTGCATTGGTGAATGGTTTCTAGTTGAGGTTCTGACTGGGTCCAGAAGCGCCGCCAGAGGAGGGTGTTTTGGAGTCTCTGCGTTCTTGGACAATCCAATACACAAAATACGTCGGTATCGTCGGGACGAGAGCCGCCTATGAGTCTCAAGTGGCTTATCATACATTCTGGCACATGTTTCCAGAGATTGCATGGGTATTGTCTAACAGAAAGTAAGTACATAGCTCGCCCCGTCAATGAAGGAAGGTGAAGCAGAATTACTCACACTGCTTTCACAGACAACCTGTCTCTGCGGAATGCCGGCAGATCATCGCCGACTTCTTCATAGCCTACTCGAGAATGGCCGCCTACTTCGTTGAATTCGATCTTCTCACTGCTCAGGCATTCCGGGCATCCTCAGACGACGAGCCCCGCCAACCAGAGTTCCTTCTTTACCGGTTTTTACAGCCACTGACATCCTTCGCCAGAAGAGAACACAATCGAATCCAGAATGGTCAGCTACATGAAGAAGAGATGCTTGGTACGGAGATGATGAATACATTTCAGTCGGGAACCGGAAGTATCAAAGGGTTGATCAAGCTCGCCCAGATGCATGTGAGCAACACGTCGAAGTACCAGCATCTGATGGATGTGCTTTCACCCATTTGCAACGTTGCGGCCCTCATCCTCCAGAAGACCATTCAAGGCATTTACCCTGATGCCCCTTCTTCGAGCCTGGAAACTGCGAAAAACCGCCTGGCGGACGGCCATACCTTGTACCACCTGGTTGCGGATGCCTTGCACAGAACGATTGAAAACAAGGTGACACAACTCTCGAACGAAATGACGCAGGGTCTTGTCACTTCCCTATCGGATATCCTCAAAATCTCCTTGGGCAGCGACCATAGACTGGCTACAGAGCGGCTCAAAGCACACCGGCAAGCACATCCCGACCTGCCCCATCGGTTCACGCCGGAGGCCATCTCCTCGGAATGGCGATTGGGCGTGTTTGGGAAGCTGATCACGTCAAGCCAGATGCAACTGCGTGTTATGGCGGCCTCGACCATGTGTCATGATCTGGTCACATGCTGGAAAAGGTACAATGACAACGAAGACGAGGACTGCAAGCTCTTTTTGAACTACGTGGCTGAATATCTTCTTGGGACCAAGCTGGTCGACTACATCCTGGGTCCAACCTGTCATCCCGAAATTACCGTCGAGAGCGGCAACATCGTGGGCTTCTTGGTGGTCACCCGCTTCTACCGCAGCGAGCAAACAGACTTGCTCTGGCAGACAATCACGACCACGCAGGACCCACGTGTGTCAGAAGCCCTGATTCGTATGACAACGACCATCGTCAATCTGTTCTACAAAGAGGAGCTGCTCTACTTGTGCGAAAAGTTGCAAACCTTACCGATAGAAAACTTCACCCCGCCCGTACGAGGCCTTTGCGAGAACAGCCTCAGAGCCCTCCAGACTAAGATTCAGCTCGCGGGAGAAAACCAGAGCGTCCTGCCGCTGAGGATCTGCATCCGGCTTCTGCGGGAGTCCTCGGTATACGTTTCGGATTCGGCTGTTGCTCATCCCGACGTTCACCACTTTGCTTTAAACAAACTGAGAGAGCTCGTGAGAGATGGCATTGAGCCTGAAATTCGCAGAGAAATCTATCACGACTGCATCAAGGACATAGCCTCGAAAACGCCCACGACATTAGGAACCTTGTCGTGCCTTTCGGTGGCCTTGCGGCCCGCTGTGGCTTCAGAGTTGCGCGTGCTGACCACGGAACACAACCTGACCCTGTTGCTGGTAGACGAGCTTGAGCATGCGATCAAGCAAGGCAAGCAAGCTGGCATCCGAAGGATTATTGGTGGAACCTTTAACCATCCCCGCAGGGACCTCATTGCAAACATTCTGGTCCACGAGCCCTCCACAATTACATCGGGCCTTGGACCGCGCCTATGGGACATGCTTGTTGGTCATGGCGCCGCCTGTCAGGACGATCGGGACGATGGATGGAAGATCCTCAACGCCACCCCAAAGACGGCCCACGGAAACCCGTTCCTTTCGGTCTGCTTCAGTGAGTATCTGCCAAGTCTTCCTCGTGACTGCCTCTGCGGAGGTGCTCTGGAGTTTGTGAGGAACGCAGTGCTCCCTCGCGTCAACGAGATCAACGACATCATTTTGGATGATGGTGAAAGTCTTGCGCAGAGTGGGGTCGAGCAACTCTGGCGTATGATTCTCGATGCCGAGGATGCCGCAATCGTGGCCAAGGAAATGACACTAGTTGATGCCGCGATCCAGACGCTTGTGGGCGACATCTATGTCGACAGCGAGTCCATTTTGGCGTACCCGCACCACAGGGCTTGTCAGGTTCACTTGGGACTTGTAGCTCGCTGCCTTGAGCAAATGGAAGACTCTGCGAAGAGGCTGGAGGCTTTCAACGACGACACCCGGAGCGGTGACGATGAGCCCATGGTTATTGTGGCAACCGAAGAGCAGATGCTGGAACAGGAACGCATTTTCACACGATCTCTTGCAGTTCTTCGGCACTTTTTGAATGCGCACCAGGCCAAGGCTCATTTCTCTGCACCCGACCTTCGTGCTCTGACGCCTGGCTCGCCAAGCGTGGCCGAAGGTGAGCCTGCTGAGCTCAAATTTCAGTCTTTCGATGGCAATACTCAGACGGACATCATGCCCCTCGAGGTTGGGAGACAGAACACCGCTGCATCTCTACTGGCGAGCATTCGCCAAGCGACTGGCTTCGACAACTATCGGATCTACTACCGGGGTCACCCCTTCGCTCCCAACGAAAGCGATGTCTGCCGGTCTCTCGAAGAATTGAAAATCCACGACGGCCTAATCTTGGTCAAACGGGAGGAGACTGGCACAGCCATGGCATCTAGGATCAAGCCAGGCGCCTCCCTGTTGGAGATTGAGATCCTGGGCCACTTCGATCAGCTATGGAACTACTTGAGTATGCAGGAAGTTATTGCCGCAGAGGTATGCATCTTTGTTTTTGCATCAAGTGCCATCAAGCTGACATCGCCGCAGATTCACTCCTTCCTTACCAAATTACCTGCCGACGCTCACATGCTAGCTGCCTTCGACTCACCAGACACATCGTATCAGCAGATTTTCCCTTCGGGGCAGCCTTTCAAGTCGCTTTATGCCCTATACGCCATGACGGAGTATATCGCCACGGCTGGTCGTCGGCTGAGAGAAGTGCAGTCATCTATATCTGATGCAGATGATGCCAGAGTTGGGACATACCTCGAAGCGCTAACCCGAGTGAGAGCCCTGGTTGTGGCGGCAATTTCTGACCGTGACATTCTGGTAGGCTGTGCCTCGGAAGCTCTAAAGAATCGGTTAACGTTCAACTTGATGAACGTATACGGGCTGACTTTTAAAGGTAACATGCGATAGTCTCTTGATCATGACACCTTCTAACACTACCACAGATCCTGATCTCATTGGAATCGAGATTCCTCCCAGTCCCGTGGCCATAGCACCTGCGGACCGCCTCATTGAAATTCTCTGGTCGGCGGTCACCGCGCCAGGCCACACGAGCCTTATTCCCCTGATCGCATCGACATTCTCTGCAGTTCTTCGCAGTGCTTCCGTCGACACTGCTTTCTGGGTATCCTTGAAAGCTGTGCCAAGTCTTGAGGAGTTGTTGGGAGTTTTGCTTTTGGATGAGCCTTCCGAGGCAATCCGTGCTAATATCGCCAAGCTCCTTGAGGAAAGGGTCATCTCTCCTGACGAGTATGTCCATCTGGCTGACAGTCATTCATTCGTTGCCGTCTGACACAACCAACAGGTCTTCCCCGAATACTATCTCGCTCTGCGAATTTCTCTGGCCGATACTTCACCGGCTTATTCCAAAGGCGGCGAAGTCCCCAAAGCAATGCAGACAAGTCTTTGGCCTGTCTCTGTCACTTTTGCGCGAAATGGCTTTCGAATATGCCTTCGTTGTAGACATCCCTGCCTTGGCAAGCGATTGCGGGAGGCTTCTTCTCGAGCACGAATCATCGGAAGTGAGTAACACTGCTATTATCTTTCGGAACCTCTCTGCTAATAAACCCAAGCAACTGGGTCATGGCGGATACAAAGACGCCGTAGCCGACGGTTTGGTGAAGCTCTTACAGAGTTGCCTGAATGAAGGGTCCGATGTTGATCTGGAGAACAGCCTGCCAGCGTAAGTCAGCCAGAGGCCAAAACGACCGAGGCAGGCAATGCTAACCTGTCGCAGAAACCTCGGGAAGAAGCTCTTCTGGAGACACTTGTTCCCCCCTCCTGGACAGCATGGCTTGACTTCAAGTCGATCCTGCATCCTATCGACCGAAACTAGATCGATTCTGTGCAAAATCATCTTCGACCTAGTCAGGGATCGAGATCGTGAGTTTACAGTTATGCTTGAGGACCTCGAAAAGCTAGTGCCTTTCGACGAGTTCGATATTGGTATGTCCCCCCAGTCTGCCACTATTTCTCGCAATGGCTTACAGGATGATAAAAGACCCGTACCTTTACGAGCTACAGCCTCAGTTCGACCGAATGTCTGCCGTGAGAGCGCCCTGCGGGTATGCTGGACTTCGCAACCTGTCCAACACATGCTATCTCAACTCGCTGTTTACACAGCTTTTTATGAACACAGGGTTCCGCCAATTCATGATGAACGCTCGCGTTCCAAGCCAGGCCAACACGCATGCGCTGCTCAGAGAAACCCGGAAGCTATTTGCGTTCATGCAAGAAAGTTCTCGGAAATTCATCGACCCAAGCTTGCTTGTCGGTTCGATCAAGACGTACGAGGAGACAATCATCGATGTACATAACCAGATGGACGTTGACGAGTTCTACAACCTGCTTTTCGATCGCTGGGAAGGACAGCTCTCGACGGCGGATGACAGAAAGGCCTTGAGGTCCTTCTATGGTGGCCAACTTGTCCAGCAGGTTGCTTCCAAGGAATGCGATCACATCTCCGAGCGACTTGAGCCATTCTCGGCCATCCAGTGCGACATCAAGGGCAAGAGCACGCTTCAGGATAGTCTCCAGGCTTACGTCGACGGCGAAATCATGGAAGGAGACAACAAGTACAAGTGTTCGAGCTGCGACCGGCACGTGGATGCGGTCAAAAGGGCTTGCTTGAAGGACATCCCAGACAATCTGATCTTCCATCTCAAACGGTTTGATTTCAATCTTCGGACCTTGATGCGGAGCAAGATTAACGATCACTTCTCGTTTCCCACGAAGATTGACATGCGCCCGTACACCATCGACCATTTGGGATCTCCGTCTGAGTCTGGCGAAGAGGACATCTTCGAGCTGGTCGGCGTACTCGTTCACGCAGGCACGGCAGAGTCTGGCCATTATTACTCGTACATCCGAGAGCGGCCGACTGCGGCCTCCTCGGAGACATGGTTCGAATTCAACGACGACGTCGTTTCCCCCTGGGATCCAGCAAAAATGGAAGAGTCGACTTTTGGCGGCACGGATGGGTCTGCGGAGACTGGCATTTCCTACGACAAGACGTACAGCGCATACATGCTTTTCTACCAACGGTCCTCAGTTCTTAGAGCGGAGCAGGAGAAGCTGCAGAGCCTCTCGCTGACTACTCCACTGAAAATGGACGTACCCGCCGAGGTTGCCGACCACATCAACGGCGAGAATGCAGTCCTACTTCGACGGCATTGCCTCTACGACCCGAGCCACTCAAAGTTTGTGCTCCGCATGTTCCAACATGCAAAGATGCGTAATGGTGGCAATTGCTCAAGCATGCATATAATCGAGCAACATGCCATGCACATGCTTCTCGGCCACCTCGACCAGGTTGCCTCCCGGACCAAGGATCTCCCCTATTTCGAGCTGTTCCGTGATGAGATTGAGCATGCCGTCGTCAACTGTGCTAAGTGCGCCGTGGACTTCTTCGAATATTTTCAGGAGAGGCATGAGGCGTTTCGGCAGCTTCTTCAGAGAAATCCCGATTGCAACGTCAGATACTCGGTCGGATGCCTGTTCATCACAGCCTTGCGGCAGATCAAGACCTCCAAGCCCGAGATCTGGGGGCTGTCCCAGGCAGACATGGTCGAGGATCCTGTCATGATGCAAGTTGTGCAAATGTTCGATACACTCTGGAGCAACTTCCACGCTAATATCCGGTCGTGGCCCGAGGTCTTCCAGACCATCCTAGCCTTCGCACAAATGGGTCCGCTGGAGACGGCCGTGCTTATGTCGGAGGACTGGTTCTTCAGAGTCTTGCGCATCGTCTTCGCTGACACCAACATGGACCTTCCCAGCAACTACGCCCGAATGCTGACCAATGTCATCCGCCGGATAAACAATACGCGTTCCACCTCGTATGAGATGATCATCCAGCTCATCGACCACTTCATGGACGCCTTGGAGGACGTTATAGATATTCACACCATTGTGGAAACACATGAGATGCGTTTGGAGATCTACATGGAGCATCAGGCACCCAAGATGTCTTGGACGCCCGACGAAGTAAACGTTCTCACCCATGAATGGAACAAAGGAACGGGCAGCACTTTTGTGAAGAAGCTGGTCGACCTCGACCAGGAGCCCATCTACACAGCGTCCATCATCAAGCGCATGATTCACCTGAACCCCGACATGAACCAAAAAGTATTTTTAGCTATTAAGAGCATGATTACAGGCCAAGTGGTACAGTATTCGATGACGCCCTACATCAGAACCGCCGTGCTGTTCTCCGAGGAAAGTAGCAATGCGGGCTGCGTCCAGGCGCTGTTCCGGCACGTCGCCTATCAGTGCAGAAACCTGCAAAACACGGACGGCAAAGCCTTTCTCGACTTTTTCAGACTCGCCTACGCCAGCCTGCAGAACGAACGAGAAGAGGTTAGGGCCGCTCGTTACCCTCTGTACATGGAGCACGTTCCCATATGGGCACCCTCGCTGCTGGGCTACTATGACGCAGAGGTGCGGCGGGGGGCGGAGGAATTCTTGTCTCTGTGGTTTGCAAACCACGAAGCGGCTGAGGACAACGACGACAGTATGGCGGTTATGTTGAACGCGGTGGCCCGGAGGCTTGCTATGAACTGCCTCATATACCTTAGAGAGCATGTTGTGCAGAGGCGCGCCCAGGTGGCCAAGCAGTCCACCGAACCCCTACTTGCCGTAATTGCCAAGTGCGAGCCGTTCTTCACAAGTGGGGCGGGAGTCAACGGGATGGGGCTCATCATGTACGAAGACTTCCAAGAGCTCTACCGCTGTAAGTCACGGACGGATCAAGCCTCGGCTGGACGGCTGCTAACGTGTGACCTAGCTGTTATTGACCCGCTGCGACGCATGACAGTGGAAGAATTGGAGGATGAGGGTTCCGGTATGTCCCCAGGACTCTACAGTGACACGGACACCCTCGGCTCAGAATCGTGATGGCTGACTGGAACGGCGGTCAAGACTGGGAGAATTCATGCGGATCCTCGGAGCAGCTGGAGAGCCTTGCAGATATCAGCATGCAGGCGGCTGGTGACCTGCCAGAGTCGGACCTGCAGTGACGGGAAGCCAACACATACATGCCTTTGACGAACTGAATGACTACGGCATTGCTTGAAGACGTTTTCGTTGTGCGAAATGGTCGGAAACAGTCCGACCACGCAAGGAGTCTGGGAAATGAGGAGTCTTCGCTTGGGACGGATTCTGGGATCGGCAGCACAAAGCGCTATACAGGGTGATGAGGGCTTCTTGCATTTCAGCGGCGCGTCGGCGTTTTACGGACCCAGGGATGGGTAAAAGTTTTCTTGCGTCTCAACGAGGACAGCAACGGCCAAGGGCGTGGAGTGCGATGGTCTGGTTTCCAGCCAGCCGGCCAGCCAGCTCTTGATCGTAAGAAAGGGGGGGGGGGGGGGGGGGGGGGGGGCGTTGGATGGTGATTGACATGCCACGTACGACCAGTTAGTAGACCGCTATTGTTCCGTCAAGGGGGCGATGGGGTATGAGGTCCATGTTAGGGCCCGGACCATACCTGTGCACGATGGTCTTGCATGCAGGCATACTTAGCAACATAGAATTGTAAAACTTATTTTTGGCACGCCATGGGGAACATGGACAAAGTACCTGTAGAAACAAGAGAAAGGGGTGGGGACTACATCGTGGGAGTGGGCACAGACTTGTGAGCGTGAATGAATGTCACCATGCCAGGCCCGTTGGCGGCTTTGACTTAGCAAGTGATAAGGTGGACCAGTGAACAAGTAGACAAAGGAATGTGATGGCATGCAGAGAAGTCCGTCCGCGCTCAACGCAGATGGGGCGACGATTCCATTATTAGGTTTCTCCGGGCGGTTCAGGGTGTATGAGGGGGTATGAGGGGGAGAAAAACAATAACGCAAGATGATGTGCAGAAGGAGATTACTTCGTAGAGAGATAAGAGGCAATTTGGGTTCCCGCGGTGGTATCCCGCCATTTTGCTAGCCGCCGTGGATACCCTAAGCTAAGGTAGCAGTCGGTCAAACCGACCAGGGTAGTTGACAGCTGCTGCCGAATAGGGAAAGTCGAAGGGTGCCCTTCCGGGCGGGGGCACGTCCCTAGCAATTACGGATGTCAACTCGCATACGGAGTACACAGTATGCATATGTCACACGTGGGGAATTGTCTTGGGCTTTTTTTTTTTTTTTTTTTTTTCTCTCTTTCTCTATCTTTTTGTTCGGTCCGAGCGGGGGGGGAAGGGAAGGGTAGGTGAAGCAGGATTTAGGGGAATGGAGGGTCCATTTGGCTTCTGGACGTAGAGTTACGGGTACGGTTGGGCGGCAGCGATTGGCCGCGCCCGGGCGGTGCGCTTACTCTGTCTGGCTGACACTCGAGGTTGCAGCGGGACGAGTCGAAAAAAGTGGTTTCCTGAGAGGATGCGACCACGGCGATGGGCGGGATCAGGTTACCGCCCATTGATGCAATTGTCGTTAGGACTGCAGCACGACACACCAGTGAGCAGCAGCTTTTTCTCTCATCTAAAGTTGTGTAACAGGATGGCATCTGACATTGTTCCATACACGATCAGAGACGGGAAACCGGGTGAGGCCGGGTCTCTCGGGGGTACGGTAAGCTTTGTGGCCCGAATACGGGGATGAGGGGCAGTGTGCTCTCGGGGCATGGGGCCGGCACTTGACAGGACAGTCGACAACGAAGGAGTACCTAGAAGAAGGAAGGGGAGGGGGGCGTTTGGGTGAAACATATGTCCTCGGCTTGGCGGTCGCGTGCGTTGTCCGTGATGCCGTGGATCAATTGCCGCTAGCGGTTTCCGAGGATGGGCGACAATGTTTTACTACAAGCTCACCTTGCCGTGTCAACCGGGCCGATGGGGGAGGGGCGATGTTTGCCGGCGCGTGGCGAAAATCGAAGCTGGAAACGATCGTTGAGGAAGATGGAAAGAGGTCGAAAGAAAGATGCGACAAGCAGCGTGACCGCATGACGCCATCTCGGTAGTTGATGAGTGGCCGGGGCGGCCGGGGCGGGGGCGGGGGCGGCGACGGCGACGGCGGCAGGAGCCCGTGGACGAAGGGCACGAGGGGGAAAAGCCAGGGTTTTGATGGCCGGATAAATCGGGCAGTCTGACGGTTTCATGTGGCCGCGATCAAGAAGGGGTTGTTGGGACGAAGCTTGGGGCTCTAGGTTTGCTGACTTGGGCTGACGTGATGAGTGAGCGGACGCGACGGGCTCGGGTTTCCGAACATCGGCTAGCATTTCCTCTGGATTCGATGCACGACGCGGTTGAGGCCGAGGTGCTGCTTGGCTTCCGGTGTACCGCCATGTTGGGAGGAGGGAGCCAAGGGTCAACGGGCCAGTCAGGCCGGGGCCCGGCATCGATCTCGATCTGGCAGAGCAGGTTGACATGTTCACGAGCCCTGCTGACTGTGGCCGTTAGTGAGGAAGTGTTTGAGCCAAGGATGAGATGGAGTTGAGTCTCGCCAGTTCGCGCGTGACATGGCAAAGTTACCAAAGTGACTAAGAAGGGGGGAGAAGCCAAGACGAAGAGTCAAGACGAAGAAGAACCAAGGTTTCTGCAACGAGTTGGAGATAAGTTTGTTTTTGTTGGCATTGGCCAAGGCGAGGGACGTGCTTGCTTTCTTTCTTTCTTTCTTTCTTCCTTCCTTTTTTCCATTGTCTTCTTTAAGGTTTTGTTGTGTTGGTTTCTACCCTCCTTCTTCTTTCTTCCTTCCATTTTCCTTGTTCAATCCATGCGCTGTCCGTCTCAATGCTCTTCTCTTTGTTGCTCGACGAGTCCGGTGTAGATGAGTTGATGGCTATATTCGACTATTGTTGCAACAATGAGTCCCGCCAAGCTACTTGGCACTGTTTCTACCAGCCCTCGCAGCTGACTGACCGACCGAACGACTGACTGACTTTCCATCTTTCCTTGGCCGTTGGGGTGGGTATAACGGTAGTGCCCGCTAAAGCGAGTCGAAAGAACAGCCCCGGAGGGCTTCTCGGCATTTCTCCCCCAGCATCACTTACGATACGGTGGATGCGGAAGCTGCCAAGGCCAGTCCACAACGTCGTGGGCTGCATGGGGATACGCAATCTATCTCGAGCGGGCACCTCAAAGCGACAAGAGATATATATCCCGCGCAGCAATGCGGTGGGAGAAAGCTCCCTTGGGTAAATTGATGGGCTGTGTCGCGACATGTTGTAGTAGCGAGAGTGGCTTGCGCACCTGTACCCGTCGCCCCACCTGTCATTTTCCCCACGGGAACGTCTGCGACGACCGTGACGGCCGACCTTTCAGGTAAATTAGGCGAAGCCGCCAGGGAGGTAGGTAGGTAGGCACAGGTAGGTAAGCACCTAGGTGCTCATTGTATGCATAGTAACCACTTGCCGCGGCATAACGGTCGTTTGCTACCAAGGCTCCCCCCCATGGCTCGGCAAGGAGGCGAGTCTGCGATAAAGAGGCAGAGACAGACATAGAGAGACGGGGAGAGAAGAGAAAATAACAATGGGTTTCGCCCTAGTTGGTAGTGGAACTGTCGACCCATTCATTGTCTTGCGAGGGGTCCGGTCTGGGAAGCCCTTTACGTGTGCAAGCTGGTTTAATGACTGCCTCTTCTGGAAGCCTTATCGCGATGCCCCAGAGGATGATTGATTCTCTTTGTTTCGAGTCGCGTCCTTTGTTAGATGGGGGGCCGGTCCGCGGGTTCGGCACCCGCGAGTTCGCAGTTATCGCCGCGGTACGTGTGGGCCAATTCCTGAGCTTCTATCTCTCTCGTTTTCTTCTTTCGTGGTGACATTCTGCCGGCGCGTTGATGAAAGGGTGTGGCAGGAAGGCAGGCATCATTCTATTTTTGCGACACTAGAGAGAACGGCGGGCCCGGTATTGCCCCACACCATGCAGGTGATACCCCTGCTCGGCACACGCGCACACAGGAGATCTCGAAGCAGATCCCCACGGCCGCTTCAGCGGCGTCTGATTGGCCCGACCTAGCTAACGGTCGTCGGTTTCGACACTGAAAATAGCATCGTAGCCGCCCAGAAGACGCTACTGCACGCACGAGAGATGGGCGGAAATCTACGATTGGCCATCTTTCTGTTCCAAACGTTCGCTTTCTGCAGATTCGGGGAAAGATAGCCAGATAGTAGGTGCCTCCAAGGTGAGATTTTGGGCAAGAACAAACAAGAAGTAAGTGGCTTTCCCAGCTCCAATTTTGTAGATACGGGAAGTGGACTACCGTGTGATTCGAGTGCAGCTTCCCGTCCTGAGCTGGAAATAGGAAGTGGCCCCATCTACCTAGGTAGCTCACTGACGATGTACCAGCTCTCCGTGAGATTGGCTAGGTATTCACTGCGTAGGCACTCTACGTCGCGCAGCCCATGATACGTGGCAGTGGTTCGCTTAGGGAACAAAGACCCATTCAATATCGAAACCCACGTCATGCTTATCGATGACAGCGGGGGGCCGCGGGGTGCTGGCCGTGACTGGTCGTTGTTGGCGGCACGTTTGATGATGGGCAGAGATAGATGACAGGCGGGGCCAGCTTTGGCTTCTTTCTCGCTCTCCCGCATTCCTCGGCAACGCCTGCCTCTTCCTTACCAGTACATCATGTGCGTGTAGTCGGCCTCGTCCTCATCGTCGTCACCACGGCCTTGATACCATCCCCCGCTCGAGTGACAAAGTCGTCGAATCAGGACGGGGAACCGAGGGAGATCATGAAACAAAAGCTCGCCTGGCCATCCCGTCCTACTGGAATCGCCGCCCCATTCCAGCCCGCGCATGTATTCGTACTCTGTACGTACAAACACAACTCGCCCGCCCGCGCGGCCGCTGGTCGCTTGCCCAGAACCAATAATTAAGCCGTAGCGACCGTGCGTCCCGTCCTTCTCCCATCGCACATGTCATCTTAAAGAGACGGGTTTCATCTTTTTTGGTAAAGGCTGTAGCAATCCACCATGAGTAGGTACATTATTACGAGAGATAAAGTTTTCCCTGGTCAGACGCGCCAACGCCCAGTGAACCCTTATTTTTATCCGGCCTCTAGGGCTCTTCTTTCACACGTCCTCGTGTCCCTTTGGCAGTGGTTCCCCTCCTTTCCCCCCTTTTGCTGCATGGGTACCTTGGGGAGGAGGCAGGGGTACGTGGTGTACATCAACATCATCGACCACACCCACCACGACCCCAGTTGGGTAAGTAGCTGCGGGGAGCACCAATTGTGGGGCAGCCGCCAAAGCCACTCGCTCACACCGTCCGCGGGAGATAGCTGCTTTCCCCTTTGGGACTCTGCCCAAAAAGACCATGTAGCACCAAAGAATGAAAAGACACCCCCCATAAGGCTGTTTTGAGTTGCATCACCATCTTAATGACGAGGTGACTGCCAAGGGGGTTCCCGCATCCAAATGACTCTTGTTTCGGATTTCTTGGGGGGGCGTTTCCCTGCATTCGCGCCTCCTTCCTGTCGATATAACATCGTCGCCTCTCCCCCCCCAAACTCGATCTCTACCACTCAGGGCTTATCGACAAGTTCAGCAGCAGTAGTAGTATTCCAGTATCGACAATCCAAACGAAGCCTGGCGCTCAGTGTCGATCTCTTAGTATTTTTGTAACTTTTTCCATCGACCTGGCGTCGCCACCTTTGGGCTATTGACCTTCCTTCTCGGGAAACATTCCCTGCCCCAAATTCTTTTCTACCCAGACTACCCACCAAAAGCCGCACAATGGCACTCAAGAGCCGCATCTCGTCGCCCCTGGAGGCCGGTACCTCCATCCTCGACGTTCAGAACCTACCGCCCCATCTTAACGAGGCCCTGGAGTACGCCTCCAAGCGCCTCGCCAGGAAGTCCATCCACGTCACCCTCGTCGTCGCCCGGCGCGAGTACCAGCTTCCCACCCTCCTCCCTTCCTCCTCGGCCTCCTCGTCTTCCGCCCTCTCCTCGCCGGCCATGTCGCCGCCCGCCTCTTCCTACAGCAACTCCTCCTTCTCCGCCTCCCGCTTTAACTTCAAGAAGCTCGTCAGGTCCAACACGGGCTCTAGCATCTCTTCCACCTCTTCCGTCTCCTCCGCCAGCAGCGCCGCCTCCGCCTCCGCCCCCGACACCTTCGTCTTCACGCCCTCGTTCCTCATGGACACCAACGGCCCGCGGCTGCGCTGGCCCCTGTCGCCGGGCATCCCCCTCTCACCCCCGCCCATGACGCCCAGCACCGCTTCCTCAACCATCACCGACGCCTCCGGCCCCATGTCGCCCAACCCCTTTGGCGTCCGCCTCATCCATGCCGACCTGCTTACCGACAAGCAGGAGCGGACGCTGAGGCAGACCATTGAGCGGGCCGAGAAGAAGTTCCGTATTGGGTAAGTCTTTACGCCCCCCTAAATCACCACACAAACAAGAACCCGCACTAACACGCACCCTCAGAACTGAATGGCTCCCGCCCGTCGTTGACGGCTCCGCGTGCGGCGTCACGAGTAACCTCATCCGCCGCTCCATCGTGCAGAACGAGGTCCTCTTCGCCTCCGATGGCCTCACCCTCGTCTCCCTGGACCGCCTGTACACCTTCAAGGCCGCCCTCTCCAGCTACTCCCGCACCGACGCGCCCCTGAGGCTCGAGGACGCCGTGGACGAGCTCCGCAGGCTGATCCTCTCGCGCGCGGGCCGCAAGGTCTCCAAGTCTGAACTGCTGCGCTCCTACGACTGGCTCGGCGTCACTGACGTCGCCCTCAACGACGTCGACAAGATGTACCGCAGGGCCTACGGCGGGCCCGACCGCGTCGGCGCCATCGAGGGCGTCGGCTCCGCCGAGCAGGTGGAGCGCACCGTGAGGGAGCTCGAAAGGGAGGTCGACGACACCTTGGCCGCCGCCATGGGCACCATCCGCATCGCCAAGCCGCCCTCCCCCAAGGGCCCCGTGCTGCGGGTGCTGACCAACTTCGACAACAAGCCGCTGTCGCCGCCGCGCGAGGTCAAGGCCGGCGAGGTCTCCGACGAGGAGGAAGACCTCACCGCCCGCCCGGAGCGTCAGCCGCCCGTGTCTATCTGGAGTCCCATCTCCATCGCCGAGGTCCTCCACGACGACAGGCAGCAAGCGGGTCCGGTGACACCCAACGCGTACGACGACATCTCCCCCATCACCCGAGGCGAGTGGGGCTTCCTCATGGGACCCGGCGGCGCTGGAGCCGGCCGCACCGCCCCAGTCATGACTTGCTGAGCGTACTTTGTTTTGCTTCTTCGGTGCCCTCGCGATATCCCTCCTCTTTTTTTTTTTTTTAGTTTTTTTGTCTTTCTCTCTCTCTTTTCCCTGTTGGGAAAGACATTCGGTGATGGTTTGGTGAACATTCTCCCATGTATACAAGATAGCCTTTTTGTTCATTTTCTTCTTCCAAGTGTGTATCACGACCTTTACGAGTACAAAAGTTTGGGGGGAGGATACCTAGACAACCAAGATGCGCAAGCATCAACCATCATGTACATTACCAAACATGACCAAACAAGAGTTCAAAAAAGATTTTAACATCAATCCGGGTATCATTCGTGCCATGTCTTCTCTCTCGTCTGCCTGCCTCCCTATCCCTACCATCCGTACCGGCTCGACGCCTCCTTCCTGTTGCTTTTGCCCTTGGCGAAGCTGTCCTCGAGCGCCTCGCGTTGGTTCTGCACCTGGTTGACGAGCTGCCGCAGGTTGTGCTTGCCCGGCGCGATGGACCGCACGGGGTTGTGAATCTGCTGCTGGCCCGCGGCCCGCAGCTCCTCGTTGTGCTGGTACTCCTGGTCCATGTTGAAATTGATGACCCGCGAGGCCGTCTGCGGGACGCCCGCGCCGCTACCCTTTTGCCGGCCAAAGAGCTCCCGCCGCGCCGCCGCCGAGAGGTTGAGATCGTCGGCGATGGTGTCGAGCGAGTTGGCGGTGTCGGGCGCCGTCGTCGGGGCCGACCAGCCGGCCTGCGCCGCGTAGTCCGCATAGCCATTGTCCGTCGGCTGCTCCGTCGCGAAGAGCGGCTCGTATGTGCCGCTGGCGGGTGCCGCGTCCGTCGGCGCGGCCGCGGTGTCGTCATCGGTTTCTATGGAGAAGAGGGAGACCTTCGTCGGTGCTGGCGCCGGCGTTGGCGTGTCTTTCGCTTCAGACCCTACATCTACTGCAGGTGTCGCCTTGGGCGCTGCCGAGGGAGAAGCCGAGGCCGAGGTCTTCTTCTTCGGTTTCCGGGCCACGGAGAGGGGCTTGAACATCATCGGCTTCCCGACCAACTTGACTTCGTCCGCCGGTTTCATACCCTCTGGTATCGTCGGCTGCGCCTGAGCCTTGGGGGCGGGCAGGCCCAGGCCGCCGCCACTTATCCCCGACGATCCATCTCCATCTACGCCTCCTCTTTCCCTGCTGAAGCCAGGCTCCGCGCCGGTCTTGAGCTGGAATACTGGCCGCGATGAGCTGCTGTTCCTGCTCTGCGCCGGAGCAGCCTTCGTGGTGTTCTTCGGTGCGGGGAGGAAGGAATTGAAGCCGCTGAACAGGCCGCCCTTCCCGGTGCGAGCGCGTTTGGCTGGCGGCTCATCGCTCGAGGGTTTCGGATCTTCCCCTTGTGTCGACGGCAGGTTGACGACGATCTTGCCTGGGTTCGATCGGTCGACGACTTTCTGGAACGGTTTCTTTCCTGTGGTGGACGCGGGCTTCGCGGTGGTCGGCTTGACGGGCGCCTCGTCTTCCGACCCTGAAGAGTCCGGGTAGTCTACCAAGCCCATCGTTACTGCTGGTTGTAGGTTGTCGTTTACCGTTTGTAGATGAAGTTGGGCAAAATGCGAAAAGTGACTTGGGAGGTCAACAAGGTGCCTGCCATCGAATGTCTGGGGCGCACCGCCACACCACGAGGCTAGTCTGGGACCGTGCGTCATACTGGTGCACGAGCCATCTCCTCGGCGCTGCTGTTTCACAAGGCTGAGGGTTGGTTGTTGCCGACACATCTCGTAGTTACCCCTCGGCTGCTTCCTCTTTCAACCTCGCACAGCTTTCTTCCTTTTGCGATCTGGCGAGCCGTGCTCGCAATTATGTTCTTTTTTAGATCGTGGGCGTAGCTCCTTTGACCTGATACCCTTTGGAATGGTCTGCGACTGAACTTCTTCTTTCAACCCCAATGACCGGAAGCACACCTACCCACAATGTCGGTTATCCAGAACGAAGAGTAGGTAGGATGAGTACCCGGAAGGCTTACACGCCCTGCTGATCTTGGCTTTCCAGGCTGGTCGCATACCAGCTTCGCTGCGGCTACCTTACAGAAATCGCTGACGGGGTGGGCGAGCGACTAATCACCCTCAATGAGGGGTTCATGAACTCATCGGCTTTCAAGGCGGTCGCTTGGCAGGCGAATCCCGACCTTGTCAAACGATGCTACTCTCCCCCGATACCAACCGCGATTGCTTCCGAATACTTCCAAGCACCGAGGCAGGCTGGAGTAACCCTTGAAGATGAACCGGATGAAGCCGGAATGTTGACTGGTGGAGGCACCGATACCATCGGCCCAGGCCTGGCTATAAGGAGAAGAAGACGTCGCGAAACGCTCGAAGACGATGATAGTAGTGATCTTACCGACGAGAGCGACGATGACGACTCAGGCCAGCGAGCGGCGCAGCAGATCAAGTTCGCCAAGATGCCCGTCCGCGCAAGGGCCGGATCCAGCCCCATTCAGTCGTCGCAGATCAAGCAGTCGCCAGCCATGTCGCCCCGCGCAGCCCACGGCGCTCGCCGGGGCTCTCAGTCTGCTCTTGAAGTGGTCAAAGAGAGGGCACGGAGAGACACGGTCACGAGCAGCGAGGTATCCTCCGAGAACGAGTTCGACGCCTCCGGTTTCCATAAGCAGAGAGAGGCTGCGAGAGCCGCCGCCAAGTCTGTGAAGCTTCAGGCTAAGATCATGGAGGAGCCAGGCCTCGGTATCAAGCGGGCTGGCACTGACTTGCTGCCGGAGGAGGAGGAGGAGGAGGACGACGACGATTCCGATGGGTCGGACATGTCCGGTGCCTACATTGAGAGCATCGACTCGGCCTCGATCCTGGACGCCGTCGGGAACCCAGAACCACTCCCTCATAAGCAAGTTGTCGGAACGCCCCCTCGGGAGTTTACGAGGACGTCTACCATCCGCAAGTCACAGGTGCCGCCCCGCATCTTACAGGCATTGCCGCCGCCTCGTCCGATGAGCACCATCCGGCCCATGAGCATGATCCAGCCCAAGAGTCTGCTGTCTGCGGCGCTCAGAGCAAGAAAGACCAAGCCCAAGGTGCCGTTTGAGAGCTTTGCGGCCCTGTCCGGCCAGGGCGAGAACAACCCCATCGCCGTTCGGATCTATCCGGCGTTCTCCGACAACCCCGCGAAACCGTTCGAAGTCCCCATCCGGCGCATGGTGCATCACGGCGAAGGCGGCGATCGGCCCGTGACAGTGGCGGACCTCATCGGCCTCGCACTCTGGAGATACAACGAGGAGAAACGGCAGCCGCCCATCCCCGCCGATAAAGCCAACATCAACTGGTTTACCCTTAGAATGGTCGAGGAGGACGGCGAAGTCGACGATGACTTCCCGCCGTTTGAGCGGAACAAGGCGTTGACATCCTTCACCACGGCAAACAACCGAGCTGCCGGAAGGACGCGTGCCAACTCCAAGACGTACGACAACTTTGGCCTGGTCCAGGCAACTCAGTCCGAGTTCAACGAGAACCAGAGCATCACGCCGCAGGAAGAGGAAGAAGCGGCCGAAGATGCCGACGAGGACTTGACGCCGCGCAACACGCCGCAGCCGAACCTGAATTCGTTCCTTCCCGTTGCCACAGAGCCTCGCCCCAACCCCGTCACGAATACTACCTATAGTCAACAGCATAGTATGTTCGCCGACGCACCTCAGGCGCCGGCAGCGGCGCCCAACACGAGCCGGGGTCAGCAAAAGCTATTGCGGGTGCATCTCCACTCGACCGACGTGGCTCCGGGGCAGCTGGTCACGCTCGACACAACAACGGAAACGTACATGGCCGAGGTTCTTGACATGGTGTGTCGTAAGAGACAGCTGGACAAGGCCAATCACGTTCTCAAGATGCCCGGCGGAGGTCCTGTGATCCTGCTCGACACAAAGGTCGCTGCAATCGGCAGCTTGGCAGATCTGGAGTTGCACCGGCGCCGCTTCGCCACGGACGGCCCACTCGCCATGACTGGGTCGCCGAGCAGTGCCTCGCCGAAGCTTCTTCCCTTTGTAGACGGCCAGCCGGGCCGCAAAGCTAAGAAGCCGCACATCATGGGAAGCCACCCGTTGGCCCAGGAGGCCATCAAGCAGGCGGAGTTCACGAGCGCGTATCACAAGTCGTGGGTGGTCTGGCGCCTGCGCACGGTGCGGATGATCACACAGTCCGAGAAGCGGTTCGAGATCGACGGGGAGTACGTGCACATCAAGCCAACGACGAGGGACTCAAAGACGACGACGGCGCACATCTCTCAGGTGATTGGATGCAAGGTCTCGAGCAAGCATCCGAACCAGTTCAAGATGAGTGCACGTACAGATTGCCGAGCAGGCTTCCGCGTTGGGGCATAAGCTGACAGATGGCCTGCGTACTAGCTTTTCATATACAAGGACACGGAGAGCAAGCGCTATGATTTCGAAGCGAAGTCGGTCGAAGAGGCTCACGAGATCGTCAACGAGCTCAAGAAGGGGGTTGCCCAGGTTATGGGCTGAGCATCCTATGCCCGACGGCATTGCGCATGGTTCGGCGATCACGAAGGAGCCGTCTGGTACTACGTACTCGCCACAGATGCAGTTACGCGGGCTGCGCCACGTACCATCACCGCCACACGAAATAGAGTCGAACCATTGGTGGCATTCCAGTTGAACCGGACTGCGCGGGAAGGGGCTGAAGGGCGATCTACTCAATTCTGCTGACCAGAACGGGATTTGGTTGGACGGGGCGCACCCGGCCGGCTGCCTCTGTGCTGGCAAAGGATTACGCGTCACCACAAAGTGAGCCCCTGGCTGCTTAATTTAGCAGAGCTCAGTGGCTTGCCACGCCCTTCATGACGGAAGGGGGTTGACCATTACGTAATGCCAATCGACGCCTGCCTACACGTACGATGGGGGTGGGCCGGGATGGTGTCACATTCCAAAAGCACCCACAGAGAGAGAGAGAGAGAGAGAGAGAGAGAGAGAGAGAGAGAGAGAGAGAGAGAGAGAGAGAGAGAGAGAGACGCGCAGGTACAAGAAATTCCGGGGTGGGACCGTGGGAGTGCTGAGGTGTGGGGCACATGTCCAATTAAGGTTCGCATCCTGGCTTCTGCGTCATGCAGATCAGCGCGATGGGAGCCGCGGGCCGGGAGACTTGGCGCCGCGGCCGCGCTGCTTCTGAGTCGCCCTCAGGGCGCAAGGCTAGGTACATCTCGCGACAGGAGGTCCGGGGGGCCTGAGGGGCTTGTAGGGAGATGAGGCAGGATGATGAGCTGATGGATGGGCGAGATGAGGTAATCGGGGGAAGAAGATTGCCAGTGTAGGATACCTGCACGAAGCTGACCCAGCTTCAGCCACGCTCCTCGGAACCCACAGCATACCTAGGCAATCAATCAATTGACAAAACAACGGACAATCCGAGCTTTCTGAAACTGACGGATGTAAGCTGCATCAGGGCTGACTCTGCCGCGTCCGGAACCCTTCTTGATTTCGCCTATTGTCATGCATGCCGTGATGCCAGTGTGATGCCCGTCATCACGTCATCTTACAACAGCTAGAAGTCGTCGGTGAGCCAACCAAAACCACCTTTGGGGCTCCGTTGGCTTTGTTCTATTGCATCCTTCATCCCTGGTGGGAATCAACCGAGATGGAGAGTTCCCGGGCTTGCTGCCCACCGTCTTGGTGTATACTACTCTGTTCAGTGGAACGCTAGAACGGGGATGTGATGGTTGATGGTGCGTGCCATTCGAGGCAGAAGCGACCAAGTCAATACTCGAGACCGACTGCGTTCTTCCCCTCCTTCCGTAATGGGCCCTGCTTGCCCATGCGTAAATCATTTATCCGTACATGTGCACCTCACTCTCACGCTCCCAAAGAGGGGAGGGGGGGAAGGAAAAGGTTAGGGAGGTCGCACAACATCGTATTTCGCGACAGCAGGCGGGCGGAACCCCGAGGATTCCCTCCCTGCATGGCGTCCCTCCAAGCAGGTGTCTTGGTGAAACACACCCCTCGGGGCCCTGTATGTCAGACACTTCTAGAGCTTCCCTACGGAAGGAAAGCAGGAAATTGGAGCGAGGTGCCCTGGAGAAAGGGGGTTTTTTTTTTTATCAAACACCTTAGTGCAGCCTTCACTTGCGGGATTGAGTTTCCTTTCCCGGCGCTGCATAGGCCTCGCCTTGACGATGGCACTTTGGGGAGTGTCCGAAACTAACGGCGTGCTTGGCGGCGTTGGGCCGCCTATGACGTAATCTGCCTCTCCGTCCCCTCTCTACGTCGCGTGTGTAGCGCGGCAGAGGGAGAGAGCCTGGGTTTTGGAAACTCTCTCCAGGGCTCTTGTCCGTTTGGGCTTTTTGCTCGCTGACCGGTGCGTATTTCGCCCCGTACAAAGTCCCCCCCCCCCCCCCCCCCCCCCCAAAAAAAAAAAATCCATCGCCGGCGCACAGATGCAGAGACGAAGAAGAAGACGACGACAACGAAGACGAAAACGCCACCGCTCGCTCCACCCGTCCGTGCTGCCCGACTCGTCTGATCTGGTACAGGACCGTTCAGCCGATGTCAGATTAGAAAGGCACTTTTGGAGAAGAAGGAGGGGGGGGGAGACGCCAAAGTGAAAGAGACATTATTGGTGCAGCATTGGCAGTCCGACAGCAGACACAGCCAAGCCGGCAGGAAACGACCTCTGGGCTTTGTGGGGTGCTGGGCCTGGTCTCCGAGAACAGTCGAGACTCGTTCGATTGCGTCCGTCGGGTCCAGCTCACCCTCTCCCCTCTTTTTTTTTTTTTTTTTTTCTCTCTTTCTCCCGCTGCCAGCTTTCCCAGTTTCCTACGGATTACATGGGTTTGCATGGCCCTCGCCAACCGAGAGTAGCAAGTGGTAGTATGACCACTAACGCGACACCGGTGCATACCAAGAAACAGCAGCTAGAGGTTTCCGTCTCTCCCCTCTCTTCTGCGTTACGTTAAATCCAATAGGGGGGGTCGAGCCTTTCGTAGCTGTACCGTCGTCCTGATCTGTTCTGTCTGGCCTGCTCCGACAAACGCCATCAATTGAGACCAATCTGGCTTGGTGCCGTATCCGTATCAAGGAGCAAAAACCGGCGCAGCCGCTTTGACATACTGACCGTCAGTGCACCAAGACACTCTAGGGACATCACAATGTCAAACAAAAGCATGTTTCCCCTTCACAAGGCCAGGAGGGGGAGGGGGGCGGGCTTGGGAAAGTTTGCCCGTCTATCTGCTGTCAGCAAGCAGAAATATCAGATAAAAATAAAACTAAAAACAAACGAAAAGCGGTAACACTTGGGATAGACTTTTGAGTTTGCGCTGGCAGGCGGCATCGGGCAGATTGACGCCGGGCAAAGTGGTGGGTAAATCGACGGGACAAAAATGCATTTTTTCCCTCCAAGCTGCACCAGTCCTCAGCAAAGCGGTGCAGAAATTACAATGGATATCAGTGTCGATCCGGGGAGGGGAAACCGATAGTCGGCGTGGAGATTCCCCAGTACAAACAAAGCCTCACTCCCTCATTCCCTCTGGCTGCTGATTACGGCAAGTAAGTAAGTAAGTAAATGGCATCGGTGTTGCTTAGTTCCCTGTGTGCCCGTCAAACAGTGTCGTTGTCAGCGATGATGACGACTCGAGATCCCTCGCAGGAGCCTGATTGCCGTGCCAACCTTGTCCAACCGGGAGAGATACTTAGCCAGCCGGCGGTTCCTTCTTTTTCCCCTTTCTTCCTTCTCCCCGCCCCCCTTGCTTCCCTCGTGGCTACCCATCGTCATCCTGCCCAGCAATCAATGCCGTTTCTCCCGTTTGTGTAGTTTATGCCTCCGTTTGCTTTGGGGGTACGTATCCCAGAATAGCCTCAGAACGGTGTGCCAGGAGGATGAGGAGCTCTGGCGAATCACGTCCCCCCTTAATCTCCCCACCTCCTGTCGATCGGCCGCCCCGGTCCTTGCCCCCCCCCCCCCCGTTTGGGTGTCTTTTTTCTCCGTCTTCACTCCAGCATAGCAACGCACGTAGGCCAAGTACGGAGTACCGTGTACACGATATGCTCTCATTTGGTGGTTTTTTTTTTTTTCTCAATGACATAATGCCCCCGCTTTGTTCGTTGGACGAACGAAGGCCCCCTTTCGGCGACGCGACCGATGGCCGTGGGTCATCCCTCTCCGCTCTTTGCTGTCCTGTCAACGCACTGTCACCTCTGGGGCCGGGTAATTTCTCCTGGTCATTGGGTCTGCTACACATTGTACCTACCGTGCTGTACGGTACTCTTATTTTGCGCGGAAGCCGTGGAGGATGCGGAGGACAGACAACCTCTCCTCACCGCGCCAATGAATGCCACGTACCCGCGTGGCTTACGAGCTGCGAGCTGCGAGCCTCCCTGCTGTTGCTATCTTGGGATACGGCCGGCTGTTCAGGTGCCAGGTCCTGGGCCCTTCGTTTCCCTTTGTTCATTCCTCGTCCGGGACAACGTTAGCCACGCTGCGCAGGCACCAACGCCAGGGGGGCCTTGGTATGTATGCGTGTGTGCGTGTCTCGCCTTGCTGTGCACCGTTCAGCTAGCACCAGTTCGGTTCCACGGGAGAGATTCCTCAATCCGGGCTGAATTAGTCCCGTTTCGTCAGCCTTGGCGCTCCTTTTCGTTGGGGTAACGGACGGCGGACGCGTTCGCTTCCATCATCAACCGATTCAAGATGTCGCCTCTCTGTCTCCTCTCTGTCGCCTCTCCTGGTGATCGGATTCTTCGACGGAACAGCTCTGCAGGTTCTCGTTGGAGGCGGAGAGAGAGAGAGAGTGTGTGTGTGTGTGTGTGTGGAGTGGTCATGCTGGTGCGGTCCACGACGTACGGTGTACGTACCCGGTATGTACATATACGCTGCTCTTCTTAATGGCCCGGGTGGGGAACTTGTCCTCTTCCCCCAGATTGACGGGCATGATGAGGGCCCCCCTAATCGCTGCTTGTTGCTTGCTCGCTTGCTCGTTGTTTTGGGCTACAGCCTACCAAGCTGTACTACGTCCCCGAGTCCAAACTACCAGGCTCGCAGGCAAACGCGATGCCCGAGGACGGATCATGTCCCAAGAGGGGCTGTACTTGTAGTGCAATGCCTCCTCTCCGCCGTCAGTCTCAGACAAGACGCTGGAGGGAGGAGCAGCGGGCTGCTATACACTAGACGAGCGAGCTTCCGAAGGGACCTTCGAGGCCCAACCAAGCCCCGTACGTTGTAAACTCATAACCCCGGCCCGTCTCAGCAGCTGGAGAATCCGGGGCCGCAAGTTACCGTATGGGTGACGTGAGTATGTGGGTCTCTCATACCCGCTGTCTCGCTGCTTCTCTCTGCGTTTGCCCTTCTCGCCGTCCTATGTACGCTACGTCCGATGTAGGTACACCGCACCCTGCGAATACGATACGTAGTCGCTACCGTAGCATCTCCGTCTTGGAGCGCCACCCGCAATCCGCTAGCAATGCCCCAAGCCCCAAAGGCACCCTCCTCCGTGTTCGCCTCCTCGAGCTGGCGAGGTGAGGCATAGGGGGGGGGAGGGGGGGGGGGGGGTGGTGGGTGGTGGGGTGTGTGGAGGTGAGTGAGGAGGATTCCCATCATGGACGGCATGCCGTACCACTTACCTCACCATAACTGCACCGCCAAGTCTACGTGTACGGCTGCCGCCCAGGATTGTGGAGGATCGCGCCCTCGCCTTTCTCGGACACGAGATGAAGGGGGGGGGCGTGGGTGCACAAATCGAGGCGAGAGACAGAAGGATGGGGGACGCCCACTGTCTTGGCCTCTTGCTGGACGATGCTCGCCATGGGATATATAAGACCGTTTCTACCGGCTTTTCCAACAGACTGTCCTCTCTCCCATCAATTTTATAATCCATCTCAATCGTCTTCAGTACACACCGATCTCTCGAACCAACCTTCAACCAACTTAATAACCTTTTTAACCTACCAAACCCAAAACTCAGTTAAAGATGCGTTTCACCGCTGCCACCGTCTTCGCCCTCGTCTCCCTGGCTGCTGTAAGTTGCAACTCTCGATCCTCAAGACACTTCTCTTTCGCTGTCCAATACTGATGCTTTCTTTCAAAAGGCCCAGGAGACTACCACAACCCCCTCCGTCCCCGGCGCCTCTGAGCTCAGCTCCATCATCGGCTCCGCCAGCAGCGCCATCGCCTCTGAAGCCTCCGGCATCGCGAGCAGCGCCGCCGGCGCCGCCTCCTCCGCCGCCGCCTCCGCTTCGTCCCTCGTCGGCGCCATCACCTCTTCCGCCGCTGCCCAGCAGAGCTCCCTGAGCGCGGCCCTCAGCTCCGCCACCGACGCTTCCGCCTCCGCCAGCATCTCCTCCGCCATCGACGCCGCCTCCAGCGACGTCGCCTCCAAGGTCGCATCCGCCACCGGCGCTGTTGGCACCACCACCGCCCCCGATGCTGCTAGCGGTGCCCAGCAGACCGCCGCCGTCGCCCTCGGTGCCCTCTTCGGCGGTGCCGCTCTCGTTGCCAACTTGTAAAAAAATAAAAAACTAGACACTTGTTCATACAGCCTCACGCAATCGTCACGGGCTCTTTTTGATGGGCGGGAAAAAAAACCTTCCCCTGATAGGTACCACTTGATGAAATGACGGTGGACAACACACAGCATTGTTTTGGGCTTTTTGGGAGTATCAGATATATCATGATGTAATACCTGTACGAATTGTACACCAACAAATAAATCATCAACCCCGTACATTTTTTCCCTTTTCGGAAGAAAAGAAGCAAAGAAAGAGAAAAGAAAAATAAACTCTTGAGTTTCCGCGAGAGGCCGTTTGACTTGGCAATTTTTCCCGACTTGTGATGCGTTTGCCAGGCTGGTGGGAATCGAGATTTGGGCAAAAACTGAGGCGCGGTTTGCCGTCACACGCGCCTTGGCCGCCTACAACAACTTGGCACCGGGTAAATGCGCCGGTGCGCGCAATCTACTCAGTTTCGAACAAAATGCCTGCATTGTGATCCATGCAGTCACCGTGGTGCACCTGACTGGGTAGTCCCGGGGGGGGGAGTGCGTCAGGCCACGCTTGTGTCCTGTGCTGGAACTATGCGTTCATCGCCCGGATGGGGGGGAGAGTGATGATGTGATTCCAGCGCCAATCGTCTTGGCCGTACTTGAGGGCACCAAGCTCTCTCCCATCTGCTTGCTTCACCCCGGTGTTTTCACGGCACAAGAAGAAAAGGGGGTGGGCACACCTGTACCGGTAGTTGGGCCGTAGTCGTACCCTCCTCCATTCACCACCTAGGAAGCCCAAAAGCATGTTCGTGATTAATCCTTTTGATTGCGCCATAACGAAGTGGTGATCGAAGGATGCCCGCAGCCCGGCACTTGCTACGCCTTCGACCGGGTATCTGCCCATAACTTGTCAATGATTTGGAAAATGGCCGTAATGTCCTTCATGATGGCCTCGTCCACCTGCCCCCCGAGCTTTTGCTGCATCTTGTCCGGATGCCACCGCACGCGTTCCTCGCGTAGCTTTGCGGCGAACTCCTTCTCGCCAATGTCCTCCACTGCCAGCCCGTTGACGATGAACCGCCTGACCTCCTTCTCGTCGATGTCTTTGCGCCGTCCACTCTCCACGGGCCACGGTATCTTTTCCGCATCGTTGGCCCATTCCGACCAGGCTTGTGCGTACTCTTCCCAGAGCCGCGTCCACGTCCTCTTCCGGCGGCGCTCCTCCCCGCGCCGGAGGCTCCGTTCCATGTCTTCCTGCAGCTTCCGATCCATCTTCTCCTCCTCGCGTTTGCGTTTCCGTGCCTCCTCTCGACGGGCCCTCTCCTCGATCAAGCCCTGGTGCGTCTTCTCCCACATCTTCTGCCTGACGTGCTGGGCGTATTCTTCGTCCGTCATGCGCTCCAGCTCGCCCTCTGGGCCGGGGCGCTCGTTGGAGTAAACGTGTATCGGCTGCCCGTAGACGCTTTGCCAGTAGTCTGCGCCCTCGTCGTCCGCCATCGCGTCGAACAGGGACTCGCGAAACGCGGCATCCGGGTCGAGTGCCTGTTGTTCGTAGGGGTTTGGTGGCGTCGGCGATCTCGACCGTCTGCGATGTCGCCGACGGTGGTGATGGCGGTGATGCGTGGAACGGTGTTCGCCATCGTCGCGGTCGCGATGCGATCTGCTTGACGTGGAGTGTTTCGACTTGAGACGAATGCGCGATGGTCTAGGCCGTAGGTCTGGGTCGTCATCTGCTGTCGCATGTCCTTCTGTAATCGGCTTTGTCGCGCCCGGTGAACTGCGCTTCTTGGACCGCGGCGCCTCCTCGTGACGCTCCTCCGGGTCGACGGATGAAAGGATGTGCCGCCGTCGCGGGGAAGCTGGTGGGCTCGTCATGGCGAGAACCCCATCGGTGCGCTGCCTATCGTCGTCGTCGTCGGATTGAGAGATGTAGTCGTATAAAGTTTCGGCCCTGGGTTGACGTCGTTGTTGCTTATCTTATCGTGTGCGGCGCCGAAAGTTTCCTGTTTGCAGGCCTTGGCACGTGCCTGGGTCATTCCCTCCACATGACGCGAGATAAGGTTGAGCCTGGCGGCTAACCAACCTAGGTAGGTTGGTAGCCCCCTTTCCAACGGTATGTGCCTGACTACCTACTCTACTTATCTTGAGGCTCAACAAGCCGTAACATCATCTGATGTCTAAACAATGTCGCACATACGACATGCGCTAAACAGGCTGGCCAGGGTGTTGTGCACTGATAAGAATCCAAACACTACTCACGTGCCCCTCACGATGTACATGTCGAAGGCAAAGCACTTCTGAGCCTAGTGAGTATGGTTCAGCTCCAACCATAGGGGGCCACGGGAATATAGACACAGCTTCAGGTGTGAAATGATCAGGGTGTTGAGGAAGCTGCTGTGTTAGTAGGTTTCCCCGGCGTAGTGTTTTTTTCGCCGAATAAGCCAATCCGATCCAATGCGAATCGTCGGACACAGCAAGGGAAAGGATCACCATGGACAGATATACCCTTCACATCCCGGCTGTAGTTTTCTGATGGCATTTCTCCCAGGATCTTGCGTATATGGCTCAAAATGGATGTTCTCTTGCTACCATAATATGGGCTGACCCCGAACGTGGGAATATGGCGGTCCTCTTGATGGTGCCTGTCTGCTTCGACCGTAGCACAGTACTGCTCTCCTTTTTCCGGACTGCGTAGTCGCTCCGGTGGTATTCGTTGCTAGGCATTGACAGAACGAGGGCGAGGGCGAGGGCGAGGGAGCAGCTGAAGCCGTTGCTAGAGAGTATGCGTTTCGTCAAAGAGGCAGCAATGGGCTGCCTGGTGACCGAAATAACAAATTCCCGTTTGGACAAAGCTTGTCAGGGGGGGACAACGGCAGTTGTGCCAATATTGGCATTGATTGACCCGGAGTGGAGCGACTGGGAATCCTTCGCTCCGGTCACTCCCGCTCTGGACATATCGAAAGCCTGCCAACAATATCCTTGTCAGCGTTCGGACGGCCTCTGCGCATGTAAGGAACAACCACTTTCCCTCCACCTGAGGAGCCAGTAACCAAGAAACACATCTGCCATGGGCAGATACATCAGAGCAACAACTTAAACATAAGACAATAGCTATATACAACGATAGCGGCAATACTAGCTTGATCGAGACACACACACGGGAAGCTGAGGCAGCTGTGCTCTTACTATTGACCCTGCAAGATGCGTATGTCTATGCCGAAAAGAGTTGATGCCGGTTTTTCCTGGTACTATTTCCTACATGATTCCATCACTGAGCCTGTCAAAGGATCCAAGCTCACATTTTCCATCATTTCCCCCGATGCCTAAAGAGTGTACTCTTTTACCCTCCCATAGTCTCACACTTCAACATCACGCATTATTCGCGATACTCGTACAACTTCCCATCGGATATACGCCCTTGATATCGTCATCTGATACGGGGAACTTTCCGTGTCCGTTCTCTCACCCCCCGGTGAGTTAGGCGGCCAATAAGGGCTAGCTTGTCCCTGCGCTCTTAACGACGAGCTATGACCGACCTCTTGGCACATGTGCAGCCCTCTGAAGTATGTGTTCTCCCACTTCCTTGAGGAATATGTGGTGTTAGCAACTATGCGGCTCAGTCCATGCGGCTATCTGGAGCCGGAGTAGAATTCCCAGACCAGATCTCGAACAGCTCGATTAGGTTGCTGCAGGCGGGAAAAGAAGTAAAAACTTGATGACGCGACCATGGTATCGGCCGGAGACGACTCATTCACTTACTTGGGTGAAAAAGGGGGGGGGGACAATTTGTGGCTGACCATGCTATACCTTGCACAGATAGTCTGGTCTCACACGCCGGGAACTGGAGACATGTGAGGTTCACCACGCTCCAACGAGACTATATCCAAAGTCACGGGTGTGAACTTCAAGCTTCGAGTTCTTCTCGTCCAGCTCTGATTCCCTCCGATGTTTGTATAGACGGATTTTGCTCCACTGTTTCGCAGTCTCCATCTGCTGTCCATTGATGGGGATTCCAAGTGATCAAATAGGCTGTTCGGTAGCCCGTGGAATGGAATCAACCACCAGATCGCTGCAAGGAGGCCCCTTGTAGCACTTACAGCTGGGCGGAAGCATGCCCGCGAAACCACAACTGATACTTGCCTCTCGATAACTCCCCGCTCTTGTGGTCTTCTTTTTCGTCAAGATGGCGCACACATCTGCATGGAATCGAAGTAGCTATAGGTGTGCCATTGCTCGCTAGATGCCTATCAGGTCGAAACTTTTACGATCCTTATTTCTTGGCCGAGTGTTTCCACATGCAATGCTGCAGTACTCGTGGGCTGCGGAGAGCCGTACATTTTATCCGTACTCAGCGGGGCAACGGCATCCAGCCAAACCAGACCCCTCAGCAGGGAGCGATACGGGATTTTAATGACTGGCATTGACCTTGGCAAGGAGACTGACTGCCCGGTGGAGCACAGCATGAGTCGTTGAGGAACATCGAGAAGTGCCGTCAGTTCTTTCATTGAACCAACCTCGATCTACTCAATCCGCCCCACTAACGGCGGTCGGGTAGAAAGCGGACAATAAAGGCACAGACCTCGGGAGCCCCGAGGTGACAAGGGTTGTCCAGTTTTTTCACAGTAGCACTATGTACAGGTCTGGTTATATATATGCGCAATGTAATAGCTCACCGAAAAACGGCTGATGCGCAAGGGTTTGTCAGCGAGGCATTTTTCCATAGCTGATGAAGTACGGATAGTCAAGGAGGGAGCACCGCCTCGGAAAGGACTCGTCTCGGTTTTTCATAACCCACGGATGCGTATATGCTGGAAGGCGGAACATGTTGATACAGCGGTGTCTCTCGATTCGTCGAGGCGTGTTGTTCTTCCGGTGCCGGCGCGACCCGCTGCTCAGCATATGAAACTTCCAGCTCGCTTCCTAGATTCCTCTTCCACCACCCACACCTCCATCCAGCATCTTTCACCCTTACGTCTCGCACCAAAAATGCCGACCCCTTTGTCAAGTCCGAGAGAGGTGGGGAGTGGAAGGGGGGGGGTTACCTCACGAGGTGACAGACACCTTATCTTCTTTGCACAGCCCCAGGTTGATTTCGCCCCTTTTCTTGCGTGCTGTTCTGTTCCCAACCCACTCGAGGCTCGATTGCCGATGCACAGGTGTAGAGCTCCGCTGCACTGACGCCATTGGGACTGGATTGCGACTTGACATTACCACCTTTCAGTTGGCTATGTATATAATTGGTTCAGATGTTGCATTTGACTTGCGACCATACCCAATGGAGAGCTTGGTGTACCGTGCGCTCCAACCATAGATGGGCAGTTTACACTAGGGGCGGGTGCAATCTTGACTAATCGGGATAATGGTCCCATTTGTTTCTTCCGTGATGGGTCGTGCAGCCGCCGCCCCACATTGTCCGTTGCCGAGTTGGGATGTACGTACAAATACAGTACCGTCTACACTCTGCAGATTCGTCTACCGCTAATTCTCAGGCTAACGGCAAGGAGTATCGCGGCCACCAAATAGGGGCTGGCGTGCTGGCAGAAACAGGGATCTGGTGATAGCAAAAGCAGGGGTTAGTTATCTACGTCAGCAGGAAGTTAAGGCGTAAGAACAGTAAATAAAGGGCAAGTGGGCAAGTGGAAGGATGGGTGGAAAGGTTGACCGCTTTCTATGATAGGTTTAGCGCTGTGAGTGGCCACTTTCCCCCTTGCCGTTAGACGAATCTGCAGAGTGTAGACGGTATACGAATCCGCCTCAATTGGAGAGAGAGAGTGTATACGGATACACATCCTTAGATTAAGGTAGGTAGGTTATAGTGCCATGCCCTCGGCAAGCTTCAAGAACATCAAGACGGGAGGCTTTTCCTTCGGCCCGTAGTCTGCCCCCTCCATCGCTGCTTCTTTCCTCAAGTTCTCTACCTCTCTCCAAGCATGTGCTCCCCACTCGCCAAGTTGCTTTTCTAAACGCTGCAGAGCTTAGCGGTACCTGAACCAATATTAAGGACCTTTACCGCATGGGTAGGCACCATAGTGGGTCCCCATATGGAGATGGCGGCCGGGGTATGATTCAAAAGAGACAGCCCGGGGCGCCTCCGATCGGCCGGGATCTCTCCATCTGGTAAGCGGTTCGCGTTTTGCCAATATCACAGCTTATATAGGTGCAAGGACCGAGTCGAAAGGGTTCGCACACGCCGAGAGGGGAGGCGGCGCAGTCGGTATCGGGGGTGCAAGAGCTACGTGCCCTGCTTTGTCGCCCTGGTCGGCGACAATATATCATAAGCGCCGTGCTGCCAGCGTCTTTTACACTCGCTCAAGGCCCTTCCCTTCATCTGCAGTTGCCGCCGTTGTAGTTGTAGCAAAGGTACTCCCTCGTTCTACCTTTTCGCTACTGTCCTTCGTTTGATCCATACCAGGCACTGCATTCCGATCGTTGACCAACTCCTTCTCGCTGCATCGTGTATTTCCAAGCATCTTAATTTGTCTCCTTTTTCTGCCCTCCTTCCTGTCGGCCATAGACCCGTACCGCAATACCCTAACCCTTTCCACATCCACCATGCGCTCCATCGCATCAACTCTCTCCTTGCTGGCCATCGGGGCTATCCAGGGCGCATCGGCCTTGGACGCCGCCGGGTGGCGCAACCAGAGCATCTACCAAGTCCTCACCGACCGCTACGCCACTTCTGATGGCTCGACCCCCGCATGCGACACGACCAAGGGTGTGTACTGCGGCGGCACCTGGAAGGGCATCACCAAGAACCTGGACTACATCCAGAACCTGGGCGCCACCGCCGTTTGGATCTCGCCCATCGTCAAGAACATCGAAGGAAACATCGAAGGGGCCGGCGAGGCCTACCACGGCTTCTGGACCCAGGACCTCTACTCGATCAACACGCGCTTCGGCACCGAGGCCGACCTGTTGGAGCTCTCCAAAGCTCTACACGCCCGCGGCATGTACCTGATGGTCGACGTCGCCCCCAACCACGTGGGTCTCAACGCCCAGCCCGGCGATTACTCCCAGTACATCCCCTTCAACAAGCCCGAGTACTACCACAAGCAGTGCGGGATCAACTGGAAGAGCATTCCGTCCATCCAGGTCTGCTGGCTCTCGGGTCTGCCCGACCTGAGGACTGAGGACCCCTACATCCGCAAGACCTATGCCGACTGGATCAAAGACCTTGTCGCAAAGTACTCCATCGACGGCCTCCGCCTCGACACGGCTCTCGAGATCGAGCCCGAGTTCTGGACCGATGGCGGCTTCAGAGAAGCTGCCGGCGTCTACCTCATGGGCGAGATCAGCCACACCGACTTGGACGTGCTGGCCCCCTACCAGAAAGTCATGGACGGTTACATGGACTACAGTGCCTACCACTGGTTCGCCGACGCCTTCTCCAAGGTCAACGCCGACCTGTCCGCGGTGTTCAAGGGAACCAACCAGATGGCGAGCATGCCTAGCCTCGATCCTACCATCTTGGGCTCCTTCGCCGAGAACCAGGACCAGGTTCGCTTCCCCCACCTGACCTCCGACATTGCTCTGGCCAAGAACATGTACGCCATCACCATGCTCCGCGACGGCATCCCCATCGTCTACTACGGTCAGGAGCAGCACTACAGCGGCGGTGCCACGCCCAACCAACGCGAGGCCCTCTGGCTGGGCGCCGGCTACGATGCCAAGTCGACGTTGTACAGCTGGATCCAGCAGACGAATAAGATCCGGGTGAACGCCGCCAAGGCGAACCCCAACTTCTTGACCACGGACCGGATACAGGCGCTCTTCTCCTACTACAGCGCGGACAGCAGCCGCGTCATCGCCTTCCGCAAGGGCCAGCTCTTCTCCATGTACACCAACGGCGGTGTCAACGCCAATAACAACGTCATGTTCGCCATCGCCCGCAACGTCCACGAGTTCGCCTTCGGCGCCGAAGTCATCGACGTCCTGAACTGCGAGTCCTTCACGGTCGCCACCAAGGGACGCCTCTGGGTGCAGATGCCCGCCGGGGGGCTGCCCCGCGTCTTCCTGCCCAAAGAGCAGGCCGCCGGCCTCTGCAGCAACATCAAGGCACCCCTGTCAAGCGCCACCGTCAAGGTCGGCGTGGACAAGACCACCGGGTACGTCAGCAAGCGGTCGCTGCCGTACGTGACGACGATCCTGGAGTAGGTGTAGCGTGATGTGGTATTAGGGGTTTTTTTTTTTTTTTCTTTTTTCCTTTTCACGGATGGACGGCGAAAATATAGCGCAGCGGAATTATGGCGGCACGAAACGTGCCTGACGAGACCCGACGCTTACCTAGCTATGCACATGTCGATGTGTTTTGGATGTAAAGCGTTGCGCGTTTAATACTTGGACCAGGTTAATGTATATATACATAATGACTAAACATAAGCACGTGTAACAAAACAAATGCAGCCTCGTCCCTACGTGCATGACAGAAAGTTGTCTCTAATTCGAGGTCGGTACTTCGGGGCCCACCCTTGGTTTGTTTAAGCATTGCTTGCTCCACTATGGCAATCTCGACGGGAACTACGGATACCTGTGCTTTAAATCATCCGCGTATAATCAAATGGTTGCCATCATTACTGAGGGATATCAAATTCACTCTTGGATGAGTTGCTAGTGTTGTAAACCCGATCTTTTACAACAGACCCGGTACATCAAGACAGGCTAGATCGCTGGCTGAGCCCGAGCCCGAGCAACGGCATCGGATGGCCGCAAAGTCGGGTCCGCAGCCATCTCGCTGGCAGACATGCTTGCGGCGTTTCCCAGACAGTCACGTTTCAACATACGGTATCGGATGGCCTTCGTAAGAAAATCACACACCGCGCGACCCGAGAATACGGCCGACGTTTGCCCCGGACGGCCTCGAACATCATGAAGCCACAACTCTCTCGCTCTCGAGATGGTTCATCGCGTGGCTCCCCGGGACGCGACAGCGGACGGCATTGGGTCAGGTTTCTCCCCCCCTCCCTCCCCCCCCCCCTCTCTCTCTCGATGGGGCGCGAGGCAGGCTGCGGAGGTCCGGTTCAGCCCGCAAGACGGCCGCAAAACGGACAAGGGCGTGTTGGACCCGGGATAGACGCTAGAATTCGGATGCTGGTCATTGGATTCAGGCAGAGGGCCTCAGAGGTGGAAGCAGGGAAACCGGAATTGTCGGATGCTCCGCAGAGGCAGTCGTGCAAGGGCTTTCCCCTCTCATGGTTCAGCCTCTCCTGACTTTGCGGTGCTGGCCTCTGGGGCGTCAGGCCGGATGGGAACACGCGTCAGCAGTCGCCGCACTCGAAGATGGTGATGACTCGACGCGGCGTTTGATGCAACAAGTTGTGGGGTTGGTTTGGTTTGGTTTGGTTTGGTCGTGAGGGATGGGCAGACAAGCACGGGCGAGGTGTCACGATGCACTTGGGATAAGCCCATCTGACAATAAAAGGGGTTTCACGAAAGCTTAAATGGAATGTACCACTCAAAGAAGCAATGTTGCATCCGGGGGGGATGCACACACCCCTCGCGTTGTGTTTCTTGTCTCAGGTTTGGATCTTCAGAGACTCAGATGGATGTTTGATAAGCTGTTGAGACAAGAGACCGGACCATGGTGCTGACCGAGCCGCATCTCAATTTGATTGTCAAGTGTCCGCCTTAACCGTATTGTGAAGAAAAGGTACATGCATCTGCCATTATACAAAATTAGTAACCAACTGCCTTGGTCAACAACGACTCAGGCTCACACGGGTACGCGGCAAAGATAGATGGATAGTCAGGGTTTGGGATACTCGAGCCCCCTCTCAATGTCTCATCTGAGATATAAGACGCTGACACGCGCGGAACCATCGTTTCCAGTGCATACAGTATCTGCAGGGAATATATGCCTTGGCCGGCGAGCTCTTCCAGTAGGTAGGTAGGTAGGTAGGTAGATAGGCAGGTAGTGCACTTATCGGAGTTAGCGGATATATAGTGCGCTAAAAGAAATAAAAATAAAAAGCCGAATGCGGGACTAGTCAATGCAGGTCGTCATAGCTCTCCACTTTTCCCGAGAGCTAAACCACGGTGAGCCCTGTGGTTAGGTCACTCGTCGCTGCCTGCAGCAGCTTGCAGTAGCCTGCAGCGTGGTCCCTCTCCGGGGAGAACTCGATCGAACGTCGTTTCCCACACCGTACCGTCACTCGCTCTGCGCGAAGCTGACAAACCGTGCAGCCACCAACAGCAGCAATACCGGTACAACCTTTCTGCCATCCATTTCGCGGAATATCGCAAGCACTCTGCTCCGACCGGTCGAGTCTCTCAAAAACTTTCCCCCCCTCTCCCACCACGATAATCACGATTGAGTCGCCCTCCGTGTCGCGGCGTCCTTTTCTTTGCAACATCTACACCTCGCATACGCAAGCCGACCGTCATAACCTACTAAAGGCCACAACCCCGAGCGACACCTCCCACCGCCACCGAGAACCCTCCCCGCCCGAGAGTAGCCGTTCTGCTGTCTAGCATGCATTGACAGGCGGGATTGGGGAACCGCAGATAGCAATTCGTCATGGACTATTCCGACCACTCGTCGCAGCGCGTCTTGCATACGGGATCCTTCACAGGATTCCACCGCCTGGGGCAGCTCGGCAGCAATTACCTCTCTGCGACCGCAGTCTACAAGCAGCCGCTGTGCGGTAACGAGGAGGGTTGGGGCCCATTGAGTCCCATCCGCTACGACTTCACACCTTGCTTCATCGATGTTTGGATAGCTTCCGTGGCCGTCTTTGGCGTTGTCTTCGGATCTTTCGCGATAGCTTGGCTCCTCCAGCACAAGAAGCCCACGGACGCTCCCAAGGACTGGCACTTTTGGGTTAAGCAAGTGAGTGACCCCCGGTCTGCCGTCTCCCTCCCCGCAGTTCTGTTCTGACACGCCGCCTCTGCAGACGCTTCTCGGGCTCATCATCGCCGATGTCACAGTACAGCTTGCCATACAGATAATCAGCTACCGCGGTATCTGGTTCGGCGACTTCAGGTTCTGGACGACCGCGGCCACCATCCTCTCTCTTGGCGTCGTTTTCGCCATCCAATGGATTGAGCACTCCCGGCTGCGCAACGCCAACGGCGTTGTCTTGTTCTACTGGCTCTTCCTTCTGATCGCCTACGCCGTCAAGTTCCGCTCTCTGATCTCGCAGCAGCTTTACGACACGAACCGGGCTTACTTCATCACTTACAGCGTCGGCTTCGGCCTGTCCATCGCCGAGTTTCTGATCGAGTGGCTGTGGCCGAGGAAGGTCAGCGCATACGAGGCTTTGATCGACGAGGAAGAATGTCCGATTGAATACGCCACCGTGTTTTCCCTGTTAACCTTCTCGTGGATGACTCCCCTGATGCGCTACGGATACAAGCAGTATCTGACCGAAGATGACCTATGGGGGCTTGCTAAGAAGGACCAGACCAAAAACACCGGGGAGGCCTTCAACCAAGCCTGGGAGTACGAGCTGAAGCACCACAAGAACCCGTCTTTGTGGCTCGCCCTGTTCCGTGCCTATGGTGGCCCTTACGCGATAGCCGCGCTCTTCAAAATCGTCAATGACGTCACCCAGTACATCCAGCCACAGCTTCTTAAGTACCTCATTGCTTTCGTGAACTCCCGGAACGAAGCCGGCGAGGAGGATCAGCCTGTGGTCCAGGGCGCCGCCATTGCCTTGGCCATGTTCGCGATTGCCGTCTTGCAGACCTCCATGATTGTGAGTCCAGCCTCGCAAAAAGTGGCCCAACGTCAGCCCCACTAACCCTTGGCAGCATCAATATTTCCAGCTTGCTTTCGTCACCGGCATGCGTATCAAGGGCGGTCTGGCATCCGCCATTTACAAAAAGTCCATGAGGTTGTCCAATGAGGGTCGCGCTTCCAAGTCAACTGGCGATATCGTGAACTACATGGCCGTTGACGCGCAACGTCTGCAGGATCTGACCCAGTTTGCCCAGCAAGCGTGGTCCGCCCCTTTCCAGATCATAATCTGCATGGTGTCTCTCTACCAACTGGTAGGCTGGTCCATGCTTGCTGGCATCGGCGTTATGGTCATCATGATGCCTGCGCATGGTTTCATTGCCAGGATCATGAGGAACCTACAGAAGGAGCAGATGAGAAACAAGGATAAGAGGAGCCGTCTGATCAACGAGATCATCAACAACATGAAGAGCATCAAGCTCTACGCCTGGGGCGCTGCTTTCATGAACAAGCTCAACTTTGTCCGCAATGACCTCGAACTCAAGAACCTGCGCAAGATTGGGGCGACACAGGCCTTTGCCAACTTCACGTGGAGCACCGCGCCTTTCTTCGTCTCTTGTTCGACTTTTGCTGTGTTCGTCTTGACGCAGGACAAGCCGTTGACCGCAGATATTGTTTTCCCCGCCCTCAGTAAGTTCTCTCGGCGCGCCCGTGACGGTGCCAAGTGCTGACAACCAATCCCCCAGCCCTCTTCAACTTGCTTACGTTCCCCCTGGCTGTTCTCCCCATGGTCATCACCTCTATCGTTGAGGCCAGCGTCGCCGTTGGTCGCTTGACTTCTTTCCTGACCGCCGAGGAGATCCAACCCGATGCAATCACGATCAAGCCGGCGCCTGAGGAGATTGGAGAGGAGACCGTCATCATCCGAGATGGATCTTTCTCCTGGAATCGCCACGAGGACAAGGAGGCCCTCAGGGACATTGATTTCACTGCCTACAAGGGAGAGTTGTCTTGCATTGTCGGACGCGTTGGCGCTGGCAAGTCTTCCTTCTTGCAGTGCATTCTGGGCGACCTCTGGAAAGTCAAGGGACTGGTGGAAGTCCATGGAACTACGGCCTATGCTTCTCAGGGCACCTGGATCCTGAACGCCACGGTTAAGGAGAACATCATCTTCGGCTACCGCTATGATCCCGATTTCTACGAAAAGACTGTCAGGGCTTGCGCCCTCGTCGATGACTTTGCTCAACTCCCCGATGGCGACGAGACCGTTGTAGGTGAAAGAGGTATCTCATTGAGTGGCGGTCAGAAGGCGCGTGTGGCCCTGGCCCGCGCCGTCTATGCCAGGGCGGACATCTACCTCTTGGACGACGTCCTTTCGGCCGTCGACTCCCATGTGGGACGACACATCATCGAGAATGTCCTGGGCCCTAGAGGTCTGCTGAGCACCAAGACCCGAATCCTTGCGACCAACGCCATCGCCGTGCTCGGACAGGCCAGTTACATCACCATGATCAGGAATGGCGAGATCGTCGAGCGTGGAACCTACAAACAGCTCGTGGCTATGAAGGGCATGGTGAACGACCTCATCAAGACTGCCGGACAAGAATCGGACCCGTCCTCCTCGGCAAGTTCGAGCGGTTCCAGCAGCGAGACCTCGACCGTCATCGAGGTCGAGGGTAGCAGCCAAGAGAAGTCCGAGTTGGAAGAGTCCCAAGAGCAGCTCCTGGAAATGGAGCCCATCAAAACCGCCGCCTCCATGAAGAACAAGAAGCGGTCTTCGAGCATGGCCACTCTGCGTCGCGCTAGCACCGCCAGTTTCAAAGGTCCCCGTGGCAAGCTTACCGACGAAGAAGTCGCTGGCAGCAAGTCCAAGCAGGCCAAGGAACACGTTGAGCAAGGAAAGGTCAAGTGGAACGTCTACTTCGAGTACGCCAAGAACAGCAACATCGTTGCTGTCGCAGTCTACATGATCGCTCTGTTGGCCTCCCAGACGGCCCAAATTGGTGGTTCCGCGTGGCTCAAGACGTGGTCCGAAGGAAATTCAAAAGCAGGTGGCAACTTGCACGTGGGCTACTACATCGGCATCTACTTCGCCTTCGGCATCGGCTCCTCGCTTTTGACGGTCCTCCAGACGCTTATTCTGTGGATCTTTTGCTCCATCGAGGCTTCAAGGAAGCTGCACGAGAGGATGGCCAACGCCATCTTCAGGTCCCCCATGTCCTTCTTCGACACCACGCCGACGGGTCGCATCCTCAACCGATTTTCCAGTGACATCTACAGGGTCGACGAGGTACTTGCCAGGACTTTCAACATGCTCTTCGTCAATGGTGCCCGCTCCTGCTTCACCCTGGCCATCATTTCAGTCACGTGGCCTCCGTTTACTGCGCTCATCATCCCCATCATCCTCATCTACTACTGGATCCAGCGATACTACCTCCGCACTTCTCGCGAGCTCAAGAGACTCGATAGTGTCACCAAGAGCCCCATCTACGCCCACTTCCAAGAGTCTCTCGGAGGTATCTCGACGATTCGGGCCTACCGTCAGCAGCAGAGATTCGAGCTCGAGAACGAGTGGCGTGTTGATGCCAACCTCAAGGCCTACTTCCCGTCCATCAGCGCAAACCGTTGGCTGGCTGTCCGCCTCGAGTTCATCGGTGCCCTGGTCATTGTCTCGGCTGCGGGGGGTATCGTCTCCACCTCTGCGAGCGGCACTTTCATAAGCGCGGGCATGGTCGGTCTCGCCATGTCCTACGCGTTGCAGATTACGACGTCGCTCAACTGGATCGTGCGCCAGACGGTCGAGGTGGAGACGAACATCGTGTCGGTCGAGCGTGTTCTCGAATACGCCCGTCTGCCCAGCGAGGCCCCTGAGATCATCAAGGGCAGCAGGCCACCCGTCGCCTGGCCATCCCAAGGCTCTCTCGAACTGAAGAACTACAGCACCCGCTACCGCGAGGGCTTGGATAACGTGTTGAAGAACATCAACTTGGATATTAAGTCGCATGAGAAGATTGGCGTCGTCGGCCGCACGGGAGCGGGTAAGTCTTCGCTGACTTTGGCCCTCTTCCGCATCATCGAGCCGACTGCTGGCCACATCAGCATCGACCAGATCAACACTTCCTCTATCGGACTACTGGACCTGCGTAGAAGACTGGCCATCATCCCACAGGACGCCGCCCTGTTCGAGGGCACAGTTCGGGACAACCTGGACCCCGCCAACGTGCATGATGACACGGAGCTCTGGAGCGTGTTGGGTAAGTCATACCAGACGAGCGGCCATGCCCTCGCCGACCAATCGTGGTGGCTCCCCGCCCACACCCTCGTCGAGATGGGTGTCTTTACTTTTACCCCTCCATGAATTGATGGTGGAAGCTAATGCGCGGTGCTATCACAGAACACGCCCGGTTGAAGGACCACGTGTCGAGGATGGAAGGCGGCCTAGACGCAAAGATCCATGAAGGAGGTGAGTCGCCGAATTTTTTTCATTCTTCTTCGCTTGTTGTCGGCTTTGCCATTCGCGCCATGCCACATCAATGTCTACGGCTGCTTGCAGTGGTGTATCGGAAGTTCAAGTTGTTGCATCAGACTTAAGCGACTGGGCGGCCGTCATCTATTCCATGAACCCATCTCCACATTTAGAGTCCCCTGCATGATCTTCCACGCATGCAGTGGACGCCTCATGCTAGCTCAACTCATCCTGCGTCCTTGCCCCAATAATCCCCCATTCTCACTCGCTCTGCCACAAAGCCTCTCCCCCGACTTGGACTGTTGTTGGGCTGCGTAACCAGATTGCTGACATGTTAATCTTCTTCACGCCGCAGGTTCCAACCTCTCGCAGGGTCAGCGGCAGCTCGTATCGCTCGCTCGTGCGCTGCTGACGCCGTCCAACATTCTCGTGCTGGACGAGGCGACGGCGGCCGTCGACATCGAGACGGATGCCATGCTGCAGGCGACGTTGCGGTCGCCGCTGTTCGCGAACCGCACCATCATCACGGTCGCGCATCGCATCAACACCATCCTCGACAGCGACCGCGTCGTCGTGCTGGACAAGGGCGAGGTGGTGGAGTTTGACAAGCCCCAGGAGCTCATCAAGAAGCGGGGCGTCTTTTACGGGTTGGTCAAGCAGGCCGGTCTTGATACCTCGGAGTCGTCCTAGCAGTAGGATGGACCGACAAGACCGTTGGTCGGACGGCGGCGGGCGCCAAAAAGAAGCCTGTGCGACTGAAGAAGACGGTGAAGGGGGACGTATTGGCAGTGGCGGAGGCGGGGGGGGCGAGGCAAGAGAGAAAACGGGAGAGCATATGTGTGCTTGTGTAACCACACGATGTTTTTTTATCCTTTTGGGAACTAGAATGCACTGGCTGTGGGCGAGCCCCGGTAAAAAGAGGGTGTGTGTGATCTTTGGGTGGGATGGCGTGGATTTGTAGATGATAGAAAGGATATTTTGTGCATACACCGGCATCGTTGTAGAAGTACCCGCAAGGATCTTGAAGCCATTGTAGATCTACATCCGCCATACGCCTGCGCCATTCGTGTAGAGAGGGTGAGGAAAGACGGGCTCGGCGCCGAGGGAGTTGAGATGCCGTCTGACGGCGACAAGATCGAACCCCTCCCCCCCCCTCCCCCCCGTCCGCGGCCCAACGCCTGGTGGTGTGCTGCCACGGTGAATGTCATCACGCCGTCGCCTCTCGACCTAGCCTTTTCCATGTTCACCTCTCTTCGCTATCACCACCCTGCGCGTGGCTGCCGCCGAACCCCACACCGTTCGTATTTCCCGAGAGGCGGGTCCTCGGGTCCCGGTATGCACACCCTCTTTGGAGCTTCTTCTTGTTCTTCCCTCCCTGTGTGTGTGTGTGTGTGTGTGTGCGCACACACACACTCCTCCTCCTCCTCCTCCTCCTCCTTCTCTCTCCCCCATCCTTGTTTTCCTTGAATGGCAGCTGGTCTCGGCCGGGCGGGTGGGGAGGAGCGGTTCCCTTTGCGACGGCGAGGGTTGGGCAGACGCGGCTGCCGAAGGCTTACCGTAGGGCGGGCTTGGCGGGCTTGCTGGGCGAGACGGAACGACGGAGACGGGCTCTGGAGGGCGAGGGAGGGGAGGACGGCGCTCGTTGGACGAGAGGCTGGGAGCGCGTCTGACGGGGTGGGGTGGGTGGGCTGTGACACACAGAAGGGGGGCCGTATGCGGGCCGTTTACGAGCGAACAGCACTTCCGTCCGTCTTGGCGACAACGGGAACAGCAAAAGTGACCTTGGACGCCGCTGCTGCTGCTGAAAGGGCGTGGAATCCGTGATGCGGCAGCAATGTACCGGGTTGTATCCCTCTCTACAGTGCGTCGGGATAGTTGCTCTGTGAGGTCTCTGGTGAGAAAGGGGTATATGTCGCCGGAGCAGAAACTCTGATACTGTTGTGCGGGCTTTCGACGTCTCCGGCCCCCTGCGTTTTCCTCCTCGCCTTCGCGGCAGCATTACACTTTGCAGAAGAAATATCCAAACCTAGTACCCAGGATTCCGTATCTCTTGTGCTTCAGAAACACACGACAGCTTTCCAGATATACTGAGAAAGAATAAAAACCCGACCTTACGCTTGCCCCTCCTGGGCCAGGGAGACCCTCCGCGTCTCGTTGCAACTCGGCGCCTCGGCTGGTTCGCCGTGTGCCTGGGTATTCTAGATGCCACGGGAGTCCGGGTGACGTATCAGTGTCCTCGACTTCATACCAAGCTCTGCCCATAAGGGCATAACAGGTCTCGGTGATCTGTCCTATGGCCAAACCCCTTGACGGACCTGGTTTCTTTAGCGCACAGCGGAGAATACGTGGGCGTAACCTGGGGTGAGATATACGGCATAGAAGAAAAGAGAAAACACAAAGCCGTGACATTTTATCACTGTGAACTTCAAAGCGGTCGAGCTCCGGACAGAGTATTCGCCAGGGGAAGCATCCAAACGCTGCTCTACTACCACTGTTGCCACGCGAGGGGGTTTACGCCCCTCCCCCCAAAGTCGGCCGACCCCGTAGTGATGCCTCGGCGATGACTCGCAATAGTTCAAGAGCATCACAAGAGGCGAGAAACGGGGAACATAGTCCCCGAGCAGCGCACGTTATTCACAGACGCTCTCTGTTCTGACGGAAAGGGGCCAGAGCTCGCGGCGTCGTGACCTCGAGCTGTTCGGATTCATAGCCACGCGTCGTCTTGGAAGACAATCGTATCCCTCGTGGTCCGGTGGACTGGCTTTGACTTGGAGATTAGAAAACACACCTTCCCCAACCGTCTGCTGGGTCAGAGTGCAACCTTTTCTCTCCAGGGGGAAGGCCATCACTTGGGTGGCCCTTACGGGGACACGAACGGCAGCCCAACCCAAGACCAGCAGGGGGGGGAAGGCAGCACATCACTGGAGCTCTCCAGATCGGACCAAAAGCTCCCTGGGTCTTTGTATCGATTCGTGGACGCCCCGGCGAACTCTTGCCAGCGCTCCGGGATCCCTCGTCCGCCGCTTCCCGTCTCCTATCTTGCAGGCGGAGAGAGACGAGTCGTCCATCCCATCTAACGCGCGGCGTCAGAGAGCTCGCGATGTCCTTTAAAGCCTCCAAAAGTAACAACGGTAAGCTCCTTGGGCTTCTCTGGTCGATCCTTCGTAGGTCCCCAAGGGGTTTCCACGCATACCGAGCGCGGCTAACCGACAACATATGTACTGACGAAGCAGGCTCGCGTCCGTTTTCCGAGGAGGACCAGTGACACCTCTGCCGCAACGGATCCTCCATGTCGCACTTTCGTATCACGTTCGAAATTGGCGGCTGTCACAACCTGGACACCACGGTGAGCGCAAGAACGACTTGGCCCAGTACCGGTGCTTATCGGGGTCGAGGTCGCCTGCCGCTCGAACCGGCTCGCCAACACCACTGGCAGTCAGCGGCAAAGGTCCACACACACACACGGCAGGTCCATCGAGCGCACCCGCTTCGCGAGACACGGATACGTTTCCTACTAGGTACTTGCTCCCCCGGGCGGGAGGGACACCCGCATTCATCGCTCCGAGACGACCCTCCCGCGGTCGTCCGTCCACGAGGTCCGCGTCCTCGAGGCCGGCCGGGCTCGAGCCGGATCACCGCCCACACATGGAGAAGAGTCGTCAACCGCCGCTCGGCGGCAGTGTGGATTTCTCCGGAACACGCCCGAGAAGAAGGTCAGGGGTGGTCGAGAGGTTTATTTTCGTCTACGTGGCTCGTCGTCAAGGCGGGGTAGGGGGGGACGTCGGAGGGGAGAATGTTCGCAATCGAGTTGTGGATTCACGGCTAGGGGCGTTCTCGTCGAGAGGAGAAAGTCAAGGCCGGTGGCTCGCTTCATGATCGTAGCCTCAAGCCCCATTGCAAGATGGGCTGCCGTTGGCATAGTGTTTACAACAAGGCAGAAACAACCAGAGATGACGCTCAGAGTTCAATCACTGCAAGAACAGAACGGGCAAAGCTTACTGCGACAGGCACACGGAATCACGTCATACACGTGAGAAATCAGCAGGAGTTTCTTGCAACGACCCTCTCGCCTTCCCTCTCCCAATCGCCCTGCCCGGGTGGCTCCGGAGCAGCCCCGGACACACGCAAGCGGGACAATGGCCACGTGCTGACACCCGAATCCACAAGAACCAGACTTGGTAACGGACTCAAAGATAAAAGGCCCCGAAGCGGAGCGCGGGACCGCCTTAGTAGCCGCACCATTGATGTGCACAACACCGCAACAGTTCGACCGCCGGAGGCCACCAGTGCATATACACCGTTCAAGGAGCGGTAATCACCTCATAGTGGGTACGGGGAAAACTCTCTTTTTCTTTTCGTGGCGTACCCGATGACTTGCAGCTTACGTTCGAGATACGAGGCCTGTCCGAAATCGACCTCGGGTCAGCGTTCTGGAGATGAGGATTGTGTGTGGGTGGGAGCCAAAAAGGGGCGGAACGCCAAATCGGAGGGGCATCATAAGCATAAAGTTCCCATCCTACTTGCGGTCAGCCAGTGCGTTATGTACACTCCGATATGACTTGACTTTCGGTAGGAACGGCGGGCGTCCAATATCGATGCTGGAAGCAGTGTCTTTTGACAGACTGGGCCGAGGAGGCTATGCCTGCACCCAATGCTCCACGCTTGATATTGGATGCTCGCAATAAGCCACTGATTTCGGTGTCTGAAAGCCGCATACAGTGTTGTCCTGAGCAGTTCTGACTCGTCCAAGGAGACTTAGCAGACCAATGGTGGGGTTCTAATGTCGTCCATACGGCGACAGCCCCCCGTGAAGCTCAGCTGGTCCGCCATGGAAGGTTGAGAGGATGAAGATCACAAGAAAGAATGGTCTGATACATGGGTTCCCATCCAAAAGATCCTAGACCCCTTTCGACGTTCACCCTTGGCGAGGGAGGCATTCTTCGCGGGTCCCCCCTTTCGTTCGTACCTCTGGTGGAGACGCTCCATGTGTGGTCATTTGTGACAGACTTTTGAGACGCGTCGGGCTACCAGCCAAGATGCACTGAGAGCCAGACCTGAGCAGCTAGTTGCCCGCTCTTCGTGGTGGTCCGGAGTGGTTTGAACGAGCCGCGGATACAGAAGATAAGCAACCATGATCACCGACAAGTGTCAGAGGCAACCTACCATAGACAGCATTTTTGCCAAGCGCCATTGAAGAGCTGTACTCCTGGAGAACCTACTCACGTCGAGTAGTAGAACGCGAGCGAAACAACGTATCATTATGACCCGGTATACCGCGGACATCTTATTGAACAGTCGTGGGTGCGCAATAAAGCCCCGGGAACGCCAGAGCGTTTCCTGGCCGCACGGGCTATCGAACAAGAGTTAGTGGCGGCCACCTAGACTGATGTGCCACCGCCGAATGTTGTGCAACCCAGCAGAGTGTCGGCCGCCTCCATGTACCTCCATGAGACAGAGGGTGCTGGTATAAAGACATGTAAAGAGCCAAGCAATCTCGTGACTTTGCCTGGCCGACGGTCAGAAACACCCCCACCAAAGGCCAGTGTCTTCCATTTAGGCGCCAACGAAACTGGCTCGAAGTCACCTTGTGAGAGGATCCGAGCAATCGGTTACAGCTGGACCTTCGTCTTGGATTGCTACATCAAGGATGGTTGTGGCGTTGGCGTGGGAAGCAGCCCAAATGTCGATGCTTGACGTAAGTGTCCCAATCACATACTACAAGGGTTTGAAACCGTTTTCCGTGACACGTAGCGAGCCCGACCATAATGAATGACAGGCTCGTGGTGCCTTTCATGCTAGCTCGCCCAAAGTGTGCCGGTGAGGGAGTGTAAGCAGCGGTCAGCAGCATGTAGACGGGCTCCACGAAGAGGAAAGTCATCACGACAGTGTTTGCAAAAGTGTCGGCGCCGTGCAACGATTACAGTAACAGACAAATAGGAGATCCGCCTTGATAGCACGGGGGACCTGAGACGACGCCATCTATCCATGGATAATCTTTTCCTTGGCTCGAATTTCCGGCGGCCGCAACACAGTATGCATAGCTACAGTCGCACTTCTGAGGAAGTATAAAGTTGTTCCGGGTGGTAACAGTGTCCCATGGGGATCTGGCGAGGGAGCTCCAACATCCATAGCCGATGCGGATTCTGCTACTTGTGAGAGACGATAAGAGACGAAGACCAACGCTAGCGGTAGCGCATTGAGATGGGGGGGGGGGGGTAGATCTTCGTACCTCTTGCTCGGTACGGTCACCCATCCTGGCCAGACCATCCTGCCCCGAGACATCTCTACCGGAATAGAGATGACAGGAGAGGATTGGAGCGAAGAGTACCCGGAATATGAGGGGGAGAATGGGCTCTTATCCCCTTTCTCATGGTCCGTGAGCCGTGATAGGCTTTCCGGGCGGCACCACGGAATTTATGTCAGGGGCACAGGTGGCTCGTAGGCCTCCTCGTTACCAGTCTTACGGTAAATGAGCTGCGCAGGTTATCGACGGACGCGACGCATCAGACACAGACCATAACGATGCACGCATGCTGGGAAAAGTGTGGATTTTGAAGGCGAGCTGGGGTTCAACAGTCATAACGCTCGAGGAATGTTGTCGGAACACTGATGTTGAAATAGGGTTAAAAGTAACAAAAACTCACCAAAATCTGGCCAAGACTGAGACGCGTCGAGTCGATTTGGCAGAGTGAAGCCAACCTCGACTCCGGCATGCCACACATCTCCTTTCCGGAAATAGATGCGGCAATAAAGACCTTAAGCCAACCCTCCATCGACCCCAGGCAAGCCAATACTGAACGGAAATTATTGACTCTAAGGCTATAGCAAACAGTCAGGCAGGCAGGGATGCATTGACACATTGTGTGCGGCCGCCATCCGTCAAGTGGTCCGAAGCGAGGTGACTGGAAGAGGAGAAAATAGAGGTGGAGATGGCTCCAACTGTAGGGTACTTAAGCTGTCAGACCGGTTATAAGTGGAGAGTTCTGCCGAGTCTCTACCCTACGTGTATGTTCATGGGTTTCCAGGGCTCCCTAGTGCCCTCCCTGGTCAGCGTCGAGAGGGTGAAGGGCTTGAAGTGGCCGCTTTGGCCTTGACGGCATTGGGGCGCCTATCACCCATGTGGAGACAACGAATCACGGATCGATGGCGCTGCGAATGAGGTTGATTAGATACAAAGCCCCATTCTCCAAGCTTCAGGGTTGCAACGGAAAGACGGTTGGAGCGATCAAAGCCGAACAACGAGTGTGTGAGGTTCAGTTGACCAAACTGTGCGAGGGTTCGGATGGATGTTCCCGGTACACTCCTTGTCGATGCCTGTCGCAAAGCCCTCACCGTTGCCGCCACCACCGCCGCTCTTGCTCGCCGGATTCGTAGATGTGTCATAGAGTAGAGGCTGGGTCCCAATGCACAGGTTTGCGCCAGTGTGCTTCTTGGCCTTCGGCCATAACCTGGACGAATTGTCGGAAACATGCCTATCTAGCATCGCGAATGTGCAGAGCAACGTCAGTAGCACGTACACTACCTAGATGCCTGCTCTAGGGCTTATGGAAGGCAGCGGAGGATGAAGCCAAACGGTAGTTGGTGTAACCCTCCTCCTGTGCCGTTTCCTGACAGACCAGCACCGAACCGACAATCGTCCCAAGGGATTGGTAGTCTCTTCTTCACGCTTACCGCTATCTGCAGACGGAACAACGGAATGTGATCAGAGAGGTCGGCATGTGCATACGTCTCCACTAAGCGTTCTCAACAACTCGACATGGCGAATTGCTAGTCTGCTTACGACAAGACTGCATGGCCTCTGGTTGCACGGGGCTGGGACACAATCGTCGTAATCTTTGGTTGGGCTTTCTGGGCAAGCAAGCGAGCGACGCACCTGCGATTTCAAGACACGTTCAGCTCTTCTGCCAAGGGCAGTGCGATTCCGGAATCGAGGGTGCCGAAGGCGCATAAATGCAGAGCAGTCCTTCTTTTCAGCGGCACTTTGTACGAGACACCTCGGCTCGGCCTCTCGAGATGCGGGCGTCAGCAGCAAAGCACGAATTTGCCAGAAGGATGAAGTAGCGCTGTGCCTATGCAACCTCAACATGCTTCAAAGTGGCTGCTCTGGTCGAAGATGCAGTGGTCATCGAGTTGGGCAAGCGAGAGGTACGATCGTTACGCACTCCTCGGTCAACAGGTGCCATGGTGAGCCACAAAAAAGGCAAATACAAAACAGGTAGCTCTTGGATTGCTTGCTTTTCCTGTGATGGTAGGCTGTAGCGGCGGGGGCTTCGTGTTTTACGCTGAGACGTCGAGTTTTCCCACTAACCACATTGCCTCAGACATGCCTTTGGCTACGGTGGCCAGGCTTGCTATGGTTGGCTGACGAGGGTCGCGGCTGGTATCGGTAGGCCGCATAAAAAGTGTGGTGGTCTCGCAGCGTGCATAGAGGCACTGCAAGACCAGCTTTAGCGTGGTGGGGTCCTAGGTTCGTCCGGGCCGGCACTTTTGGATCGATAGGATGTGACGATATCTTGCTTTTGCACTATCGCTCGAGACGAGCCGGTGGAATATGTGACAGAGTTGGACGACGAAATGGTTCAGGTTCTGGGCGGACCATCCGATGCTCTTCTTCCTCCTCCCCCCCCAACAAAAAGCAAAAAACAATAACAACAAAAAGTGTGCTGCGATTACCGAGAATCGTTGACACTCCAATTTGACCGAAACGAGAGGTTTGAGTCAGCCCAACTGCCAGAACCGCCTATTAGACCGAGAGGCATGTCCAGGACGAGCTCGGTTCTGCATACGAGCGTGTGCAGTCAGTTGTGTGACCTGGCTTCAACCGGATGCGCCAAGACCATGGAACGGCATCAATGTCTCTCACGAGCGAAGGTTGATGGGTGTCCATGCCTGTCGTATGATCGGTGGGGGACGGCATTCATTGCTGTAAAAGGTTGGTGCTGCCTTGCGCATCGCCATGGTGGTGATGGGATCGTCTCCTGTGCGAATGAGGTTTTCGGACCTGGGTGACCATGAGGACGTGGGTACAGGCTTGAGGCCAGTCCGGACAAATCCCACAAGTAAAGGCAGGCACTGCCATTGGCTACGAGGTTCATAGGTAATGGCAGGTGCGTTCCAAAAACATGGCACATTTTGGCCAATCACGTATCAGCAAGTCACAGCTGAGAAACGACGGGAAAGAGGGAGGAGGAGTGAATGGCTTGCTATGGTTTTGGCAACTGCATCCCTGCAGAAAGCTAACCAGATTTGGCTGCATTAGGTAATGATGGAAAAGGAGACAATGGCATCACGCGGGGTTCTCCAGTCTGGAAGGACAACTGTGAGTGTTGTTGCGTATAATGCCATGCCTACCTGCTTGGGACCAAACACCTATGCTACCTACCTAGGTACCTGGTACGTTTGGGTCCCTGCGGAAGCTATGACATCTATGTATTTAAAGAGTTGGGGTCCCACGGGAGGAAGGGATAGAACAGCTGCCCGGTGGCAGGTGCTGGGACGAGGATCTACCGTTACCTAGGTATCCGGCTAGGATGTGAGCTTCCATGCCGGATTGGTTGGTTCCTCCCCAGTCTCGCAAAATCAAAGGAGACGGAACCCCTCTGGGCCGTACCATACCTACAACGGTAGGGCAAGCTGGTAGGAACTTCGTCAATTCTCCATCCGTGGATTCCATTGAAACCAGCTTTCTCTTCGAGCGTAAGTACCGTAGACAAGTAAGCTTCTCAAATTGATAGCCAAACATTGTTCTAAGATGCATTCAAGTTATCAGACCACTTCCCCTACTGCAGGAATCGAATGGACCCGCGGGAACCAGGGCAGAGATTTACCCGTTCCACTTCTCTTACTCTTGCCCCACGGCTTCAGGTAGCGCAAACTGTATATTAAACCTCGACATGGCGTCGCCTCGGCCAATGACTACCAGGCCGTTCCATGGACACCGGTAACTTTGCAGGTAGTCCGCCCCGCCCCTGCTGCCGTGATGGGCCGGGCCGGAAGCTTCAGCATAGGCAATAATCGTCAAGGTTTAACGCCGTGGTCTCGACGTATCACAGCAACCCGAAGAAGGGCCCAATCCTCCGATCTGGCATGACACAGCACTCTACCTACATGCCTCGAGTTGGCATTGATGCGATGGAGTCCTCAGTTGGATGCAGGGAGCGGGCACGCAAGCCCATTGCCAACGCTGCAGCAGACAGACTGAGACACCGATGGATCACACTTTTCCCTGGCCGAGATGTCCTACGAATGCTTGACGTCCTTGCCTCGGTCGTCCTGTCCCGCCGGCCATACCGCGCAAGTACAGGTGCTTGCAGGTGCTCAGGTTGAAGTCGAGATTGACAAAGCTCTTGGTCGAGCAGCCCTGCCGCGCAACCCCCACACTCTTGCCCCAAGTGTGGTAGTTTACGTAGGATTGGCCAGAGTTCGTGCCCGTAGTGCGTCCGGGCAACAGGACAGCTCCATTGCTGTCGATAGCCGTTGACGTCGTGTCGTAACGTTCCTCCGCAGCCCTAGTCCGTCCCCCTTTGGGTGGGTTGCCCGCTCGTCGGTGTTCCTGAGCCTGACATGAGGTGGACACGCACGGTTTTCAGACCAGGCAGGGAGGAAGGGAGGGAGGAGGTGCGGATAGCTCATCCTAGCGAAGCATCATGGTCAGCACAACGGGACGGTGGTAGTGCTAGTTGGATGCAAGTAGTGGTAGTGTAGGTATCTGCCTAGGTATGTAGTGTACACTACATGCATGGTAGCAGCGTTATTCCTTTTCCAGCGAGTGGAGAAAGCTGGGCGGCCACACCTATTCGCCCAGAACGCGGTCGCAGAGAAAGTTCCCTGTACAGAGTACGAACCAGAAAGTCCCCACTTGCCTACATGCCCATTTACACCCACCTGAGGAAAGTACCTGCCTGGCAGGTGCCTAGGCGGATAGAGGTACTTACTAGGCAGGGTACCTACCCAAGTACCTTAGGTATCTGGCCATGACGCGACGTTGACGGTCATCCTGACTGACCTCCCGTCGTCCCGTACTTTCTTCCCCCAACTCGATCCCCGCCTTTTGGTCTATCCGAGCTCATGATCGTCCTCAATGTAGCAGTTCCTCTCTCGACTCACGCCACACTCCTGCTGTTCGCTCTGATAGATATCCAACCATTGCGCTGTCCTTCTTCATCCGCCCATACCTGTCGCGGGCGCCTCTCGGCGGGTAGCCGTCCCTGGGCGGTCACTTCTTTTCTTTCTATGCACGACCTGGGAGTGCATCGATCGAACAATTCCGCCTTTACCGTCAAACACGATCGGGCCATGGCCGCCAGCTACTTTGCGGAAACACGGTGCCTCCAGCAGGACGCCTGCCTGCCTGCATCATACGCCCCGCCTCCTCGATACCACACTGCTACTCTGTTCCACCCACGTTTTTTCTTGTTCCCTGCACCGCGCATACGTACCACTCCAGAATTATACACTACGCAGTATCCGTACGGATATACCGGTAGAGTACATCTATTGTCTTGGGGGGCGGGCCTCTCAAAAGGTCTAGCCCAACCGTCCGCCGCCGCCTACCTATTACCTTCTCAGGCCCTGAAGAGGAAGCAAACATGCGTTTCTCGGCTTCTAACGTTTATGGCATTCCTCCGTCTGCAGAGCATCCGTCAGGTTTCCCGACACCAGAATGAAGCCGTTGACTACCACCCCTTCCACTCTTCTCCACAACGAACCGAACCTAGTCCACCTTTCTTATTGCTTGTCCCGGGTGGACCGGCATGGTTCGGGCCCCCAATGGACGGCAGCAGCAGTCTGTTGGCGCATCGCTGTCTGTGCCTCGATTGGTAAGGCCTTTCCACCTCGGTGTTTGCCATTGATTGCATCCCCCTCGCTCTACCAGAAGCTGACATCCCCTCAGGTAACGAACGGTACGAACACGTATACCCTGGATCCTACGCCTCCAACATACTCCAGGACAGAACTCACACAAGCCTAACCCTGGTTCGGAACCATCCCCGACTCCGCTACGCCTGGTCCCCTCCAACTGCAGGCTTCATCCCATCTTGCGGCCCCAGCTTCGCAACCTGCCCTGGCCATCCGTTGACGACTTGCCGCCAACGGAAAGGCAATGGCTTGGGCAAACTAGTAACTGGCACTTGCCCTTTCAATCCGCACCCAGTGGCGACGAATAAGAACCATTTCCCTCCCGTGTCTATGGGGCACTGGGTCCCCGTCGAAAATTTGTTTGCTTGCCAGCCTTCGTACTAACTTCCGCGCCGTACCGCTTCCCGCAGCTCGCCCTGAGCTGTAGAGGAAAGGGAAAAAAAAATCCACACCAAAGGCAGGCCGACAACGAGGGGATCGCATGGCGACCACTTCCCAGGTACCCAGGTCCCTCTCCTGGCCCCGTCCTGAAGCAAGGGGGTCCTGTCTCCTGTTCACCAAAAATGAAGTCCCCGCTCTGATATAGTGAGTTCACCCGAACTTCAGCAAGCCTTTCACCAACCATGCCAATTCCGCTCTCAACCCCCGCCTGGACTTATCTCGACCGCGGGTGCTCTCATCTGCAAGCCTGTTCAGAGTGCCAGGAACCGGACACTGGCGGCCAGCTGGTCATATAGGGTTTTCGCTACGCACGTGTAGTCGACCAAACGAGGGCCGATGTCTCGTCTAAATCCACGTGAGAGGACTTTTCTTCTGTCCGCGCTCCTTGAATTTGCTGCAAACCCAACCATGCGCCTTGCATTCCAAAATAAGGCAAGCTGTTTGCTCACAATATTGCCTTGATCTTGAGCCAGGCACGACGGGTCGCTGTATATATTTCCCTGATCCCAGACCACCATATATCCTTCAAGAGTCCGCCAATCAATGCAATCGAAACGCCCAAGACAGTGGACAGCACAAATATCGCTACGTTGGCGACTATCAACCCACAACGGGCCTCCGCAGGCGTCATGCTATCCAAGACTGAGATACGGGTATCTGAGGAGCACCCAGACGTGCCCCAGGGAGTATTTCAAGGCATTCCCAAATAACAGCAGCCATGGTGAGAAGAAGAAAGAAAGTACTGAGATGAGATAGCACCCGGCTTGAACATGATGCAATCGGCGACCAGATTACGGCCAGTCATGTACTTATGGAGACCCTCGTGACTGGCGAGGCTCTTGCCGACCGATGCGCCGTTCAGCCCGGTCCACCGTTGTCTCACCTCCACCCCCTGCTCGTCGACATGGGGTCTCTCCCACACCCTTACGCACCCGCACAAATTATTCTTTCCAGCACCTCCGAGAAGGGTGCTTGACAGATCAAAGACGGCAAGGAGGGTGGAAATCCCGCGGCGTAAGCACCTGCCGAACTATCTGGCGACTGGGTGCACTGGTACTCGGGATGCTGCTCACTGCGCCAGATACTCGCATCGATGACCTCTGAGTCCACTATGGTCGCTTTGCTCTTTACGTCATCGAAACAACAGATTCGAGACGTTAAACTGATAAAGATATCAAGGATGAGTGGAAACATGAGCTATGGAAAGCTAACTGCAAACTTACGTAGGTGTGCCCGATTCTGAATGATCAGAGCCTTCGGATTGCGGACCTCATTGCGGCACTGCTCACTCCTGGGGACTGGGGAGAGCGACTAGGGCCAAGAGGATCGCCCGCCCGCCCTCTACAAATCTCGCAAGTGACAGCACATGGTGAACCCCTTGTCGGGACTAGGGATCCCTCTGTTTGGTCATGCAGGGCCGTATTGGGTCTGGCACAAGCTATGGATGTGCAAAGATGTGGGCAGTCTTTGCTCGGGACTGTACTCTGATGAACTCGTCTACGCACAGTAGTGCGAGTACAACAGGAGAGCCTGGGGGCTGGCTACCTTGGGGGTGTGGGTGTGGCCACCTGCAGGTCACACATATTGGATCTGCGAGCTTGGTGGTGTATGGACTTATCCAACGCCCTCTCCCTCCTGACGGACACCTGCCACATGTTGTCAGGATTACGGACCAGGGAGGGCACTCAAATAGGTACTTTCCAGTTTTCCCCTCGCACAGCTTCACAAGTACCTTGGCCACATTTCACCACACACCACTGAAGGCGTACCTGGCAAACCCTTTTTTATTTATTTATTTTTATTTTTTTGATTATTATTATCACTTTATTCCTTTTGTCTCTCCTTCCCCACCGTCTCGCGTCGGAATACCTCCGTACTGTCCTCCTGCTTCAGGCGTGTGCTCCCACCTTTTTCTCTCAACCCGGCTGCACTTCAATCTGGCATTCATACGGACGACCTCGTTACTCATGCCGTTTGTTTGTTCCTGGGCTCCCACCGACCATACAGCCGAAGCCTGAAGGAGGGTAGAAAGCTCCCCTTTGGCTAGACCAGGGGTCTCTTTTGGGTCGTCGACTTCCTGCTTCCCGGCTCGTTCTTGTTTCCACAACTGCGGATGCTAGTCTCGCTGCCCCTCGACCTCAAGTCCGCTGGTCTCGCGGTTCACCCCCTCCCTTCGCTTGCGGGACACTCCTTCGTGCTCGTACTCCCCAGCTAGCTGCCACATATTTACCACGGCAAATCGAGATACACTAAGAAGCCCTAAGTCGGAACATTACGAAAGTACTGGACCCGTCGACAAGCTCAACTCGCCCTCGCCTCGCAGGCCTATCCTTCCTCCAAGATCCACCTCAGCCCGCGAGCCTTGACCTCATCTAGGGCCCTCACCCTTCGGCCTTTGGTCATTGGCTCTTTCTCTTTGATTTCTCTTCTAGAGGCAGCTGTGTCCATCGTTCTCTTGGCTGAGATCACAAACCCATCTTGTTGGTTCTTCGCCTAGTTCCTCACTTCTCAACCTTTCTCTCTCTCTCTCTCTTCCTCTCTCTCCTTCTCTGCTGGTCTACACATATCCCCGAGACATTGCGTGGAGAGTTGCGTTCTAAGACAAATCGCGAACCAGTGGAGAGGCTTCTCCCCCCGATGTCTCAAGACATCTTGGGAACAAAGAGGACTCTGAGGTCCTTCCCGGCGCCCAGTTTCGCGAGCTGACAGATCTGTTTCGACCGCCCCCAACCCTGCCGCCTCTGCCGACTCCTTTCCCAAATACCGGCAACGTCCCCTGACAAGTCACCACCCGTCTTCTTTGTCGTGTCCATCACTTGGACCGTCAATCTCGTCTGTTCAGCCACGGTACAACACTGAGCAATTTCTCTGCCTCTCACTCTGCGTTTGAAAGCCATCCGCTCTGCCAGCCACCGACAATATCAGGCGAGATCCCGCTTTCCCTTTTGTGAGCCCTATCAACACGTTGTGATCCGTTCTGGCCTGAATCCGCCGGACGCTCTTCGAACCAGCCGTGGAATATTTAGCCAGCGCTCCCTTGACGGGTGTCGGGACAAGTCACGCTCTCTGCTGCATCCACCCTCGCACGAGATCCGGCACACCTCTGTCAAGTCTTGACGACCCAACTCGTGCGTCAGATTTGAGCATCCCCGCTGGCCATTTTTTACTGGTGTTCCTTTCCTGGTCACTGCTCGGCTGCATTGATATCTGATTCTGATGCTCCTTTTCTGCACATATACTTCTGCTCCATAACAATCATCTCTAAAGTCTCAACCTTTACCGCGCTACGTAGGATACTCGACACCGGATATCAAACAAGCCATTATGTTCTAACCTTCGAACAGTAACACGTCGTATTCAGCTCCTCGTCTTTTGGATTCGGCCCGCTGCGTTGTACGCTTTACTCACCATCGCTTACAAGAAGGTCTTAAGTCTTGCCCGAACGACACCTCAGATATTCCATCTCAGCAACTGGATGCAAGCTTCTCACAGATCGAACTAACTTTCGCGCCGTTTGTGCCATCGTCATGGTCCGCGACTTCCCTCGGGAGCCATACCCCCGGCAATGGCATCCGGAGCGGTTTCCTATCGACCCTCCACCCCCCGATGATGGCCGATATCACGAGTCCCGCGACGCTCGAAGACCCCCAATTGTGAGTCCACGCAACCCCCTTCAAGCTGTCATCGGCTGTTGACTAGGTCAGGATATCGAGAAGGCGCTGCGAGATCACTGCAACATCCCAGCCAAGAAGTTCTTCATGGTAGCTGTTTTGGATGACGGGTCCACGGAAGTTTTTGGTAACACGGGCGAAAGACACCACCCAAACGGGTACAGCAAGTTTTTCAACTTGAAGAACTTCATTCGTCATGTCAACTACGCCAGCCACGTCAGTGGTGTACGCCCTGGTACATATCACACCATATTTGGCACGAGCCGATCGCCTTCTGACACGTGTGTAGTTGCCATTCCCTTGCACGATGATTCCGAATTCAGTCATCTCGACAGCGATGGCTACCACCAGAATTTCGGCAGTTTTGGGCACCGCACGTCAGACCGTCGTCGACTAGGCGGCGATGTGTTCGACGAGGATAGCGGCTACAAGACACGCAAGAGACACCGAGCAGGAATAGTAGCCGGCTACAGAAGAACCGCCAACGATGAGGACGATGTCGCGATTGTGGTTACATCTAATACGAAGAAAACCCTCAAGGTGGGCGACCAGAAGGAGGTGTGGAATCTGTACGAACAACGATTCAAGAACTGTCAACAAACGGCCTGCAAGCTTATCGCCAAGGCTTGGGTCAAGGTTGTCGAGCCGAAAAAACAAACGAATCACCCATACACTGGCCAGGACGAAAAAGCTCCAGACTGGTGGCCGAAGCCATGGGGTCCTACAAAGAGAAAGTCAGGCACAAGGAGCCTGATCATCTCTACAAACGAGGTACGATGACATGATGAAGCTCGAGGATCTAGTTCATGTGCTGACAAGCGTCCCAGAGCGAGTTCATCTCTTGTGTCACATCCTTCGAATGATCGTGGAACCCCCTGAAAAGCAGCACCCGGCCATCCGCAAAATGAATCTTAACGTACAGAAGCTAGAGGACGCTACCACGGAGGCAATGTCGGCTTTCTTCTCAGACAAGGAGAACAAGCTGAACGCGAAGAAGAAGCCATACCTCGACGAGATTTTCAAAGTGGCTAAAGCGGAGGAGAGGTACAAGAACGGCGAAATTGGTGAGCGTCCTTGTTCCTTCCTAGGGAGTTCCAAACTAACGAGCGGTAGACGCCGATACGCAGGTCTTTGTCATGTCCGAAGACAAGTTCCCCGAGAATTACCCATCCGACAACGAGGACAATGGCTTCGTAAAGGAGGAGGAGGAACACCCATCCATCAATACGAGTGCGTCACCATCGAAGACAGGAGCGCCGCACGACCTCTTGCACACGTCCAGCGGCGACCACAGCCCGGCGGGACCTCTACATGGGGGCGCGTACATGAACGAGATGCCGATGCGTAACCAACACTACTCTGCCCAGATGCTGTCCTCGAACATTCAACCCGAACACCATTTCGTTGAGAACAACAATATCCACCAGCCCGGCATGCCGCTGCAGGAACTTGTGCCAGCATCTCATGACCCTCATCGCCGACCTTCCCTATACGCATCCCCCACCGAATATTCCAATGCCGCCTCGGCAGGAATGTACACGCAGCCATGGCAAGGAGGAACAGCTGCTCCTGGTGGCAACTCGGTCTATTCGTTTACTCCCCAACAGCCGGGGCCAGCACAGGGACATTTTGCGAACCCTAGCGTCCCAATGTCTCAGAACCAGTACATGCCCACGCCATACGACAACATGTCCCGCGGCGGTTTCGATTCTGTGTTTCGTCCCGTGAGTGCCAGCCAGACTCCTGTGCAGAACTCTCAGGGGTTTCCGGGCTATCTACCGACGGATGCACGAGGGATTCCGGGTCCAGGAGGAAAAGCAGAACCACTTGCACGAGGGCAGATGCATTGAATGAGGCGAGCTAGGATCCAATTATCGTTCTTCTAATTGTCTGTGGCCAGGCGTCGGCATCAATATTACGGTTCCAATGCGGAAAATGCACTGGACAAACGAATAAATCGACCTATTAGGGTGCGGTAAATGAAACGGCCACGTTTTCAATACCCATCCCGATTTCCTGGCGCTCTTGCATACGAAGCCTTCCTTCCGGCCCAGAACCAGTTCAAAGCCACCGAGTCCCACACTGGGACGCCAAAAAGAGGGATGGAAATATGTGCAGCCAGGTGTTTTCACTATTTAGTATCCATGTCGCCGCGACCTGGCCGATTACCTCGCGAGCGACATGTCCGTCTTTTTATCATTTGCGGGTCTAAAAAGCAACACTTGACATCGAAAGCATACGGGAGCGCATCAACTAGCGACAGCAGTTCCGGGGTAATGGATACTGGAGCAATGCAAACAGCGGGAGCTGGTGATTTCAACACCAGATCGGGCTGCTTCCATCGGGAAGGCCCACGGCCCGATGAATGGAGTTTCTGTTTTCCGAGGGTTCGAGACGGATATGGGGGTGGCACAAGTTACGTCGTCATGAACGATACGTCTGTTTCGCTTTGTCTTTTCCGGGCTCCACCTTACCCAAGCATCAGCGAACACGAATGGGTTCACCAGGGAGAGCTGTTGGTCATTGCCATGTGCCGGACGATTGTTTTCTTTTTGAAACCTTTTCTTTTGTAGCGATATTTTGCCGGCTTCGGACGTTCCAGCCTTTTATGAACTTCATATCAGTGGAGGCGCTTGAATCACAGACGGAAGGGAGGAGCTATGCCCTGAGGCATCGCTAGAGAAAGTAAACATGTCCAGAAGAAGAAGCAACCGACAAAAAGATTGGACTGGGAAAGGAAGGTCTGGCATGATGTTATGACGGAGTTTTTTGTAGTTTGTTTGTTTGGAGTTTTTTCGGGGACTACTCCGTCTTGAGAGCCCTGTGAGGTTCAGCCTGGGGTGATCTTTCACGAATGCCGCTATAGATAGGTTATTAATGAACGGCGGTCTACTCGCAATGTTTCCCTGCTCATCCGCATGATCTTCGATGAGGTCTGTCGTTGATATGACCTCGGGCACTACCACGTCCTTCTTTATTATCTGGTCTAGTGCGTGTCTGTGTGTCTCAGATAGTCTTCAGCCTCGTTGGACCCGAGCGTCGATGAGGCTCCTCGGCAGATCCGAGGCTAGGCTGAATTTAGCGTGAGGTTACAACTTTCCAAGAAAACGTATTTGGGAAGGTGGGTGGGGATGGATGTATTTCCATTCCAACTGCGCCAATCGGTGGGTTTCCGAAGGTTCCCACGTTGTTTGCGTTTGCACCGGCATGAAATATGACGAGTAAACAAACAGTGGTCTCCCACAGCATCGTCACGGGGGGGGGGGGAGATCAAGGGGTCCAGGACGTCAGGGGGGGCAAAAACGGGGTGTGAGAGGTGAGGAACGTCAAGAAAGGAGGAGAGACAGGAGGGAGGGGGGAGTGGGTTTGTTTGCACGCACACGACCGGACAGATCTGGCAGGTACCCAACGAAGCAGGAACAGACGCAGGAGGAGGGGGGGGGGACGAACCACGACAGTAGAGTTTCGGGCTGTACATAAACTACACTGCCAGCGACCCTGGTACTTCTGGGTCCCGCTTTCCTGGGTAGGGGGGAAACAGCATAGGTGACTCGTCGAATATGACTTCTTTTCTGAGGCGTCGGTAGGAAGGGGGGGGAGTGTTGGGAAAATACGTTGCGGAGGCCCGGCAAGGCCGCAAGGGCCGGGCGAGTCGTGAACTCCTCGCCGGGGCATGAGGGAAGGGGAAAGGGAGGGGGGGCAATACCCCGGTCACCGGTGCCCCGCATACCGGTCAAGAAGTGGAGTCGCCGGGCGGCCAGTCACCCGCCGCGGTGTGCCACACCTCATACCTTATTCCGAGATTTGTCGGGTCTCTCCCCCCCCCCCCCCCCCTTTGTTTCCTATCCGTCCTCTTCGTGGTTTCCCCTTCCAAACAACCTTATTTTTGGACTTTGGACCCGTGAACGTCACACGCCCCTCCATTTCATGCTCGTTGTTGTTCGGACATCTGACCCCCCCCCCCCCCTCCTTCCCCTTCCCCCGTTGCACCACGTCTCCCGCTTTCCTGACAGATGATGTGTGTTATGAGCTTTCTTTTTCCTTGATTTTCCGGTAATATGATGCGGAGACGGGTCGGGAGAGGAGGGCTACTTGCATGGCCCGAGTTGGCTCCCGCTGCGGAGCGTTCCCATTACCCTCCATCTTCAGCTCGCCTACACCCCCCTTTCTCGCGTCCTTACCTCTCCACTCACACACGTTCGTGCGTTGTGGTTATTTACCAGGGAGTGGATAGAGAGGCAACGGCAGGGGAGAAGTGTTTGTATGGTGCGCAGGGATTGATGGCTGGAAGGCATATGTATACTGCGTAGGTACTTCCTCGCGGCCAGCCCACCATAAGCACGAGAATCGTGCGCTTTTCTTGGTCGTTTTTTTCGGGAAGGAATTCTCGTACAGATTACAGCGGGCAGTCTAGTTTGTTTCCGCCTACGGTTGCCACACAACTTCGTTCCCTTTTCGGTTGGCCCACATTAGAAAAGAGTCGTTGTCCGTGAGAGCTTCTATGGTGACGCGATGGATGCCATGATTCGGAGTTCGTTTCAAGGGGGTTATACGGCAAGAAGGGGGCCATTGGCAAAGGGGTCAAGTCTACAGAAACGGATACTAGTCTGGTAAACAAGATATTCTCGCGAGGTTGAAGCCGCGCCGAACAGCCGGACTTCAAAATCACTTGATCCAGGGACGGTAGTCCGAGTCTCCTCACGCCCACATACCTTAACCTCCATTTTTTCGGCAATAAACCGCCGAGTAATTCCAAAGTAAGCTAGGGCGCAGTGAGACGAACCTGTACACGCCCCGTTGTCTTACGCGCAAACAACATAGCCACCAGTCAGCCCCGACTCCCTGACGGAGCCACAAATCGAAGAAGAAAAAATACAAAATAAAAAGGGGGGGGGGGCATTATTTGACTCCGTCACTGCAAAAAGTATCGGGTAAGCCGCAGGAAACACGCTACATGGCATCGACGGCCTCCCCGTTCCAGAGCCGGAGTCCGGAATGATGCTGCGGGGGCCAGGCCTCAATCCCCCCCCCCCCAGTGTCGATACCTTTAAGATCGGCAGACATTGACCCCGTCTACATGGACGCCATTTCGAATCCTTTCCGCCCGCTCGTCTGCCCTTGGCGCGAGTGCGTACTTCGTGGCCGGTGCCGGGGTGGCGGAGGTGCAGAGGCCTCGGTTGCCCGTTCGATATCTTGCGAATGGGGGTCCGGAGAGGGGGGGAGTAGGTGTCAACTACGTCGTGCATATGTGCGAAAGTGCATGAACTGCAGGACAACACACAGGTGGACACGCTGGTTGCGGTCTCCTTTGTGGCCTGAAGGGCGTTTTCCCGTGCTTACGCTGGTCTGGCGAACGATGCAGTCCAACGGGAACGAACGGTATTGCATGCGTTGGCTTGCGTGGATGATGGCACCTCTTTACTTCTTCATGAGCAGAGCAGCATGCCATGTTTTGTGTACAAGGGCGGTATGTCATGATGGGCTTTTCCCCCATACAACACCTTCCCGGGGGGGCGCTATGTTGTTACTTTGTAACGCGGAGGACCACATCATCAAATGCGTTCCATATCTCGTCATATTCTTTTTATAGCCCTTAATATAACGTCGGGTAGACGCATAAATTCACAAGCTCATCTCAGCATTTATTTGGTTCTACTCCGTATTTTGCCCCTTGATTCCAAAGAGATGTGGAGCGAGTATATGGAGATGCCGAATATGGCAGGGAACCTGCATACTTACCCGACTCACTCCATGGAACGGAACTCCATGGAACGGTTTTCCATGGCCTCTTTTCATCCTCTGAGGCAACGTGATGGTGCCATCGGGGAGGCGGAGGCGAGAGTGCATTTGTCGCTTGCGTTGGAGCATGCCGAGGATGCTAGGCACAACAACTTGGGCGAATTCGTCCCGCCACAAAGAGTCACAGCCGACGGTGGCGTAGATGCCAGGATAAAGGATCCAGAGGGGCAACTTAGTCTGTTCCCACATCTGTCTGAAGCGGGCTGCGCCGGGTGGAAGAACGTTGTTGGCGTACGTTGCAGGATGGAAGATGCCCTTCACTGTGCGGTTTCCCACAGTCGTGACCTCGGCCAGAGGGTCGTACTTTGGGTAGTACATGAGAATCATGTTACCCATGTCCGCACGCGCGGGGGCCGTCCAAATCTTGTTCCCAAAGCCCGCCTACATCTTGCAGTACAGGATCTTAATGAAGACCGTAAGATCTTGGATGTGATTGGCGAGGATGGTAGCCGAGACGAAATGGATGGCGTTGGACTGCTTGCGGATGAGATTCTGGTACATTTTGCCATTATCCTTCTTGCCCTGATGGGCCTCATCGACGATAATACGAGCCCAAGTGCGCTTCCAATCTGCTAAGCGGTGGAGGATGCTCCACCGACCAACAAAGCAATGGGCCTCTGACTTGTCCAGCGTGACCTTGTACTTATTGTCGGTGAAGTAGTCATCGGGTACAATCGGTAGGCCATGCTTGGTGGGAAGCTTGTACTTGCGGCCATTTGGATGTGCCTCCATGCCGTTGGCTGCAGCTATGAAGCTCGGGAGTCGGTCAGATGATACTCGGGCGGGGCCTGTCTTAACGATCTTGACAATCCTCCTGAAATCAAACTCACGAGTTTACTGATAAACGAATCTATAGAGTTCGTCGTCAACTTTAACACCCACACATGAGCACGCCAAAGGTTCTGGCTTACATCGGAACCAGTACTTTCGCTATCCGTTTTCTTGCCCCCTCCCTGTGCTTCTCTGTACCATAGTTCCGTGTGAATTACGTCTGCGACGACCAGAGAAGGCAAGAGTGCCATGTAATACATGTCGAAAAGGACCCGGCCGTCCGAACCTCGTACTCTCGAGCATATTTCAACTCTCTGGTGGCGCCCTAGGACATGTATCGGAGACAAAATTCTGCTCTGTTGACGTCGGAAATCGCGAAGACCAGAGACAATGACCAGGTACTATAATCTCTTCATCCTGGTAAGGCCCAGATCGTAGGATGTCCCTGCCTCTCCAGCGCCTCTATGTAGTCAGATACCCTCTGCTATTAGGTTTCAACCAGTAGCAGCCGACCCTCTTCAACTAGACGTCGTGTTTGACCCGAGCCTCCAACCCCCTTGATGTGCAAGCGCAAAGTTCACGCCTATGTAATACGTCGCTCCGTTGTCCCTACCTGTGCTCGCCTCCAGAAAGCTCAACAAGCCTCATCCTCATGTCAGTCAACATAGCCATATACACCTCAAACATGACGGGCAAATTCACGGCAGGCATAGCGAAACTACTGTGGCCAATATCGGGGTGTCATTTGTCGTCTAGTATGGGGCACACTCAAAGGTTCAAACTATTGATATATCAGCCAGCACCCTAGCCATATACATATTCTGTACACGAAAGACCAAACTTTCTTCAATACCAAGGTCAATCCGTCCACCTGACGCAAGTAGAACGAAAGCCAAAGAGCGTGGCTGATGATGAACTATAGTGTATTTGCAACCACAGGAACCGTGTTGGGTAATCCGAGTAAAAAAGAAGAAAAAACCAAAAAAGCAGCTTATTGCTGACTAGGGGTATAAAATGAAAAGAAAGGGGAAGAACCGGTTTCAACAGAAGCCTGAGCTTGGTCTTGGTTGGCCGCTACGTCGGCGAGGGTAACTTGCCGGGGCGCTACAGTGCTGGGAGCCGGGGTCTGAGGTCGGCAAGGAGGGCTGTGTGCAGCCGAGGGGTGATGCTGAGGAACACGTTGATAAACGTCCATCTGGCTGACCGGTAAACCATCTGGGATAACAGCTTGGCCTAAGTCAGCCAGAAAAGGGTCTTCGGCTTGAGCTGGGGCTTCCTAAGCCGTCGACGCCGGTTCCTCCTTGTTCGCCTGAGGGTACGAAAGGCCCGCGTTCTGGGCAACGCGCTTCCAAGTCTCTAACTCCTTGTAGAGACGTTCACATTCTTGCTTGAGCTTGTCGTTGGAAGCACTGAGCTCTGCTATGGCTTGCTCCGTAAGCAGCTTCTCAAGAGTCCACTTCTCAATGTTTTGCGTTTCGTTCTCCTTCAGTTGGTTGATGAACGTGACGGCGCGCTGGAGGATTGATCCCTTGTTCTTCTCGCAGTTAGGAACAATCTTGGCCAACTCATTGATGCCTTCGTTGATGGTCTCCCGACGACGTCGCTCCACTGTTCAAGTCAGCATGAACGTCTATGAGCACAGTGCGTAGGAATGCTTACCCTCTTTATGGTTATCCTTGCGCATCTTGTGCCATTCCTCAGAACCGACATCTGGTTTCTTAGCGGGGGTACCCGCCGATCCAGATGAGTACCGATGCTGGGGCTGCGGGGGCTGGTGCTGCTGATGCTGCTGATGTTGCTGAAGAGCTTGATGGGTTTGATGAGCCTGCTGCTGCTGGACAGCCTGGACGCCATTCGTGGGCTGAGGTACAGCAGGGAGGGCAGACAGTCCATCAGGCGGGCTCAGATCGGGGTGACCAAAGGTATGGTCTTGGCCATGGTTCGGCTCATTACTCGTCTGGGCGGCGAACTGCTCCTCTGTGGTGGATGGAACATGAAGAGTAGGATACATGGATCCTAGGGCGGCGGCGGCGGTGCTGGATGCATTGGCCGGATCAGCCGCCTCCGAGTGCTCGGCGGCGGCAGCTTGCTGGAGAGCGCTGAAGTCGGCCACGTTGACGCCGTTAGCAGCGGCGGCATGAGCAGCTTCCACCGCGTTCTCGATGAAAGCTGCGGTGTCGGCGTCTGAGAGTCCAGCGCTAGCTCGCTTGGCTCGACCAGGACTGTTGGACTCTGACATGTCATCGCGCTTCCGCTTTTGACCAGGCGAGGGCGAACCCGTCAGCTCAGAGAGTTCTGGGTGATCGACCATGACATCTGCCATTATTGCGATAATAGGGCTTTGCTGTTGGATTGAAAGGTTGGGGGGGGCAGGAGAGAGGAAACGCAGCACTGTCTGTGCCTTCGACAGTTGGCGGAGCCTCGAGGTCAGCACAGTTCGAAGCCACGAGGATGAATCGCGGGACTGGAAGGATGGTTAGCACCCGAGACTAAGGTGTGAATCAGCCCGCAGAGTATGGAGGGCGAAGATGGCTGAGTGAGCAAAGGGATAAGTGTGTTAGTGGAAGACATCAAATTGAGGTGGTCGATCTCGAAGAAGCGATTTGCTTGTGAGTCAGGATGGCAAGAGCGCTTGCACTTGACATGCGTGATCCACTTCCAGGCATATTCTGTCGCATGTTTGCCATGAAGGATGAGTTGCGGTGAGTGAGGCTAGAGATTGTGATGATATCCGAGACCATCTAGAGGCTTTGCCGTGCTCCGAATAAGCGCGTTTTGGGTGTGTGAATGGCCCGGATGGGTCTGTTTGAAGCGGATTGTGCCTCCTTCCAATGCGGAAGAAATTCATCTTAGATCACTTGATCAGGGCTGACGGGCAACATCGCGATATAGACTTGATGAAGGCAGTATTTCGGGAAATGGCGCAATGAGCAAAAGCAACGAGGCAGAAAAAACTCTGCCTTGCGTCGCTGTGCAGTGCGATTGAAATGGAAGACGATAGGACCGATGTGAAGATCGCCAGAAAAATGGGACAGGTCGCATACCTTCAGATCATGTGCTTTGCGGCGTGGTCTGGGCGGTGAGTGCCAGATCACGGGTTTTGCTGGAGTTCACGTGTTCGGCGTGATCAAACTCGTGATATCGCGCGGCAGCGGGTAGCTAGGGGGGGCTCGTCGGATGGAGCCCGTCCAGTTATAAGCAGCTGAAGATCGAATGGTGGAAGAATACAAGGAAAACGCGTCGGATTTTTTCACAACTCGCGAATCTTGAAGATTGCCACAGCCTGGGCGAAGGCTTGCGTTTATTCTTATTAGTTCCTGAGGAGGAAATAGACTGGAAGGAGGCCGGTTGAGTTGACTTGTTGGTTTGGGGGGGCGGCGGGAAGCTCTGGTCACGCGGCAAAGGAAGAGGGTGAACACGTGCAAAGTGGGTGAGGCTGGAGATAAATACGCTTGAGGGTGAGGGAGGCTTCTGGCCTGAGGCAGGAAGTGTACAAAGCCAATCAGGGGCTGGGAAGCTACACCCCCAGGCATTCGGCCACTACTGGTGCTTCCTTCCCCGAGTGCCCCGATCCAATCCCCGTCCTGCAGAGGGGCACCTGCTACAACAGCATCCCAGGCCAGCAATGCGAGTGTTGCTTGTCACGACTTATCGATTAATGTGTGAAAGAGCCCATGCCTCACGTTAGCGATGGACAACAATCCCAAACGGCAGCAGGGGTAGCTTTCCACCCACCCGTTCGAGGGGGGCCGGGGTCTTTGCTCCTCTGCCTTAGCGACTCGTTGCACCCACCCGCCAACTCTGCGACTGCGAATACCGAGCCTTACCAATCATCTGATGCCCTCGTTGGCTTACAACATGAATCACTTGACTGATGGGCTGTGAGACATTCCACTTTGAACTCGAGTGCAATAGATACGCCGGCTCCACGGTAGTCTCCACCGCTGTAAGTCACGGCCTGCGAGGTTGTTGTCTTACCTCTTTCCCAGGCTCTCTCGCGTTGCACCCGCTTACCTCTCACAATGAGCGAGTGACATGTGGCTGAGGGGACGGGAAAGAAGACGCGTCTGGGTGGGGTAGTGATACGCAGACCGAACCGAGCCACAGATGTGGCTCGTGCACCCAGAACAGCTCAGTCGTCGTGTGCCAGTGCTGGGGTCCGTCATTGTGGGGAACCAGAGGACATGCTGGGGACCTTTTGATAGCAAGTATCGAGACTGCGCAATGGACTTTAGCCCAGCAAAATGCAAAAGCGATGCTGCAAGCGACTTTAAGTGGAATTATGACTACTTGCGAGCTTCCGATACCTTAGTCATAACGTAAGCCAACTCTCTCCAAAGTCATCTTGACGACGGAGCGACTCCGGCCCCGCCACATCGGGCCGCATAACGTCAACTGCTATTAGCGGCCGTATCAGTGCATCTGTGCTTCAACCTCCTAGCCGCGGGTCTCCAACAACCACTCAAGTCACACCGACAAGGCCAGCCTTCGCGAATCCCTCCTTCGAGGACACACACGCCGTTGTGAACGGCCAAGCAGTGCTATCAACCCATTGACACGTCCAGGACGGTTGCCAATATGGGCGATCACGAGCACTCGACGATAAAGCACCAGGATCATCTCCTCCTCGTACGTCGGTCGCTGTGACACAAGCTAGCTCAAACTCCAGCACTAACCCCCCCATTCCAACCGATAGGACCAACCCCTCCTCCGTCTCCCGTACGAACTCCTTCGCAAAAACTTTCGATCCGCCCATTTCACCGTCGAAAAGGACTCGACTGCCATCAAGACCCTTCTCAAGGAGACCGCCACGGCCTCGGTCAACGGCCGCGCATCTCCCGACGATGTCCTTCGCAACCTCGATACCATGATCGCCCGCATGCGCGGCGTCAAGCGTAAGCTCACTGCTCATGCCGAGGAGGAGGCCCGCCTCACCCGCCAGGCGGGCGCTCGCATCTCGCACCTTGGCGACCTCTACAATATGCACTCGGTCGACGACGTCAAGTACGAGGCCTGGAGCCGCGCACGTCTCGACCGTCTGCTTGTCGACTACCTGCTTCGCCAGGGTTATAACGAAAGCGCCCAGGCACTTACCGCCGAGCGTAACATGGATGACCTGGTCGACGTCGAGACCTTTGTGCATATGAGCCGCATTCAGGAATCGCTTAGAAGCGGGAGCGTTGTCGAGGCGCTGGCTTGGTGTCAAGATAACAAGAAGGAGCTCCGCAAGATGGATGTACGTCTTTGCCATCCGCCTTATTCTCGAGTTGAGACTGACCAAATTTACAATAGAGCAACCTTGAGTTCATGCTCCGCTTCCAACAGTACATCGAGCTCGTCCGCACCCAATCACAACCCAAACTGCTCGAGGCCATCGCGCACGCGAAGAAGTACCTTGTCCCTTTCAAGTCGACGTATCCAGACGAGCTTCGCAAAGCCTTCGGCCTCCTCGCCTACCCTCCCACAGCTGCTAATGCCGTTTACTCGGACCTATACAGCCAAGACCGCTGGAACGCCCTCGCGGAGCTCTTCACCCGCACCCACAATAATCTCCTCGCCCTTCCTTCTTATCCTCTCCTGCACATTGCTCTCTCGTCGGGTCTTTCTGCCCTCAAGACCCCTGCCTGCCATTCCTTGAACTCGTCACACGTCGCGGCAGACGCCAACACTGCCACCAATGCGTCGGCCACCGCGGGCACGCAGTCCGTCTGCCCGATCTGCTCGACGGAACTCAACGATCTCGCTCGTAACGTCCCTTACGCGCATCACACCAAGAGCTACGTCGAGCACGACCTGCTGCTGTTGCCGAATAGCCGGGCCTATGGCAAGGAGCGCCTCGAAGAGTACGCCAAGAAGTCCGGCTTGCCGCCGGACCAGGTCAAGGATCTGCGGACTGGAGAAGTCTACCCCATTGACAAGCTCAAGAAGGTCTTCATTACGTGACTCCGTGGCAGAAACACGAGGGCTGCAGCCTTTCTATGTGCCAGGCCAGCCTCAAAACTCGGTGACGGTGTGATCTCATCTCTTTTTCAGTGTCACCACACACCAGATTATCAATATTGCTTCATGTCAGCGTTTATAGGTTGTTTCGTGGAGTTTTCAGGCGCAACACGGGGAAAGCGAACCGAGGGGGGGGGGGGGGGGGGGGGCAATCAAGGATACGACTCACTCATCCACAAAGAGCACAGCACCATATCAGATGAGAAGAAAAAGAAATAGCTGAGAGTCAATTTTTGAAAATATTCCTATCTTCTGCTGATTTATACCGTGTTGGCTCTGTCTTCCGCCCTTTGCACCCATCGCAATGTCAGCACCGGCCGGGATTTGGGGACAACCACTGCGACGGTTTGGCCGAGCAGCAAATCCTGCCCTCTGGTGATGTAATTTGCCTTCAAGAGCGTGATCGGTCGCTCGGTTGCAACAGACCGAGAGACTGTGGTCTAGCCAAGGATACTCGCTCTCCTTCGAGGTTCCGAACGAAGCCCCCTTCCCCTTCCTTGCCTGGCTTCTCGGACGGACGAGGGCTGGGGTTCAAGACACCGTTTCCGCGAGGACGCCCCCTTTGTTCCTCTGTTCCTGCCCCGTCAACCCTTGCCTACATGGCCCGAAGGTCGGGAGGAACCTACCAAAGCGACGGTATACACCGTTCCTCTTCCACTGGTCGTGTGGGCCTTGCCCTGTATGCCCCCATATCCCTTCATTGAAATTGAAGCAACCTCCCCCCCCTCCCCAAGTAGAGCTTCGCAACTCGTTAGGGGAGGCCTGCTCCCGTGTTTTCGGTGCCCCTCTATGGCCCGCGCCGAGGTGCAAGGCGTGGGCCGAGAAACTCGGAAGAGGCAGAAACGTCGGGCGGGGAGCTGCGTCCTGGTAAGGTGCTGCAGTATGAGCGCCAACACGAGGTCACAGGTATTCCAGATATGGGGCGGTGTGGTCGTTGTGTTTGTGTGTGTGTATGTGTTTTTTTGGGGGGGGAGGGGGATTGTGAGAGATGACAACCGGCCGCAAATAGCCTACGATCGCCTTGTGTCGGGAACTTCCCGGGGGAAGTCCCAAATCCTTAAGCCCCCTTTTCAACACCGTCCTTGTCTATCGTGTGTGCAAGTCTTTGAGTTGTCACTTTTCTGACCACAGGGGCAGCGAGGAAACAAGACGCCATATTGGCTGGCGCCGGGTTCGGATTTTTGTTTTTGGAAAGGTTCATTTCATAAGATGTTTGGACGATAGCTATTCAGATCAAAGCAAACAAAAGACATTATATTCATATCGTCTAATGAACGATGCTTCCCACTGAAAGTAAAGCGGGAAGGGAAGGCCTCCATTGCCGCAGCCGTGCCCAATGGCGTACCGAAAAGTCTATACCCCCAAAACACCTCATTGCCAGAATGAAAACTCCGTCTAGAGACCCTAATTTTATGATACCCAGAGGCTGTGCCAACCATAGAGGAAGAAATGAAAGAAACGTGAACGTGAAAAGGTGGCAGGCCCTAGAAGGTGAACTTCATCAAGGCCGGGTTCAGGAGCACGGGGAGCGCAAAGTGCGACACGACGGAGACGCCCACGGGATAAAGGGTAGCGAAGGTGTTGATCTGCCACAGGGGAGGGAAAACGTAGATGCCGCAGACGATGAGAGCAGTCCCGGCGAAGGTGTAGATGAAGGTGCCCGCGAAGCTCTTGATGATCTTGGGGATCTCCTCCATGAAGTTGCAGCGCTCGACCTCCTTGGACGTGGCGCCCCACTGAATATTGATCTCGAAGAAATGGCAGAGAAGAGCCTTGGAGACGTGGAGTGAGATACCGCCGAGGAAAATGGTGAAGATTGGCATCCACTTGAAGTTGTTCCATACTGCAGAGGGACATCAGTCAGCGAGCGCTCTCATCGAATATTCAGAGGGATTTGAGGGCACTGTGTGAGACTTACAGGCTGCGATGAGGGACTGCTGGCCCAATCTATACCGAAGGACGGCCAGAGCGACGTTGCCGCAGAGCGGGAACACGATGATGAGGGCAAAGTAAATGGCGAAGGAGTCAAGATAGTACTTATCGAACACGCCATTAAACCACCCAGTGATGAAGTAGTTGGCCCATGTCAGGATCCACGACGCACCGATAGCGTAGTACGTGCCGATGTAGGCCACAATCGTCAACTTCCTGAAGAAGGCAATGTTGGACGTCAAGAACCTGCGGAAGAGGGGTGTGAAGGGGCCACGAGTGGGCCAGAAGCGGAGGGGATGGAAGAGCAGCTCGTTGCAGCCGTAGGCGTACTTCTCCCAGCGGGCCAGCTCGTCGTAGACCGTCAGGGACACTCCCTCCTGGAAGCCGTCACCGGTGTAGGCGCCGTATCGGATGATGTAACCGGCTGTCTGCAGCCGCAAAGCCATGTCGAAATCCTCCGAGACGTGGGACTCGGACCAGAACTTCTCGTAGCCATCTTCGTCTATATAGGAAGCAGCATCTTGAATAGCGGACCAGCGGAGCACGGCATTGTGGCCGACGAAGGGTGAAATGTCGCCATTGGCGACATTGAAGGTGATCATGGCGTAAATCATTTCCGTGAACCAGGTGACACTGTTCAAGGACGTTAGTATCAAAACGCTCCGATCGTGTGGGACAACTTACGCCTGCTCGAAGAACGAGTCGGAGACGTTCATGACGCCAGAGGTGTACTGGAGGATGGCCACTTCGGGAGAAGCCTCCATTTCGCTGACAGCGTCCAAAAGACAGTCACGAGGGACGCGGGTGTCGGAGTCGATGAGAAGAATGTAGTCGCCAATGCGGATGTTTCCTCCAGCCCAGGTGCGGCCCTCAGACTCTTCAATGATCTGCGCCAAGGCCTGTTCGTAGACCCTGTCTTCGCTTTCCTGGTTCCAATTGCTGCCGCGGTCGACCTGGTTGAGCCTCTCCTCCAACTTGTTACTTGTCATCAGGGCGTAGTTCATGTTGGAGGCCTTCTTGAATCTGCCTCTGCGGATGAAGGGCGTCTCGGCGGGGTCCTCGGGCTTCGGATTATGGCCAGGACGAGCGATCCAACCTATGTTGTGCTCGTTGTAGAACTCCTTGCGGGCGGCAGCTTCCTCGGGGTCGATGAGCTGCATACCGTCGTCGTTGACCAAGATGGTGGCAGAGCCGCCCTGCATTTCATAGGTCGAGATGGCCGCTTTGAGTGAAAGGACCGTGGGCTTGATGACGGCGCTCAGACCTTCCTTGTAAACGGGCATCTGAAAAGTGACATGGGGCAGCTGTTGTTGGTACGGGTTAAGTCGGCGAGGAGGTTTGCCAGAATAGTTTGCGGAGTTGGCGTTAATCGAGGAGATAGGGCCAAAGACTTGGAAGATGACGCCAGCAATGGAGATGAAGAAGAACTAAACGATGTGTTAGTCAATAGTGTTCCAAGGGCAATTGTAGTGATGAACCTACCAAGCTCATGAAGAAAGTGACCGGTGCCATTGCCACTAACCCCAGCCGGGCGTAAGAGCCGTCGACTGTGACCTCCAGAGCCAGACTTCTCCAACCGAGACCCAAGCACGTGATACTGAGGCCGAGGGCCAACGCCACGAGGGCAGAGCTTACCACCCGAGTTGGCCGTGCCTCGGTCCTGAGAGCCTCCTCAAGCGCTGCAGGCGAGAGTTCCTCAACACCGACTTTGGGTTGCTTCTCATTCTTCTCATCGGCCTCTTCCTCGTCAGCGGATTCGCTTCGCCAAATGTGAGCGATGATCATCTCCTCCAGACTCTCTGCGCGATTGTGGAGTTTGTTCGCGTCATCGTCCCAGACAACCAGAAGGGGGGGGTCCAGGATGTAGGCCGCGAAGTGATGCTTTTGGCACCGGGGCAGGTCTGTCATTCTCTGAAGGACCTGCAGTTGCAGGCCTCCAGATAGAGGGATCGAGGCCATCTGTTCTCCGCTATTCAAGAAGCCGTGGATGATGGACTGGATCACGGGTGTGTTTACAGTCATGGCACACTGGCCTGGTCAGTACCGATGTTGATTCCGTGGTTAGGGCTCCACTTACGCTGACGTTGAGCTGGCCGACCATGTCGAAGAATCCATTCGGGATAGTAGCCAGCTGAGGAGGGGCGCAGACATAGTCGTTGCGGCCCTTCTTCAGAACACAGCCCTCACCGAGGTTCCAGGCCGAGGCGTACATCTTCCGGAGCTGGTCCTGGTACAAGCTGTGTACCGTAACGTCGGCCCAGAGATCATTGATGCTGCTGGCATGCTTATCCCTCATTCCCGCCGTGAGCGCCAAGCTCACTGTCGACTGCCGAGCGGACGCCCTGTTGCTGCGGTAGGGGCCTGGCTTCTCGGACTGTAGTTTCGGCGAGGGAGTCGACGGTTGGACTGTGCTGGGCATCGAAGCTTCGGCCGCTGCCTTATCCGGCGCGATGTAGGACTTGAAAGCCTTCATCTTGTGGGAGCTGTAGAACGAACGAACCACAAACTGGTCAAACCACTTCTTCCAGCCTTGAGATGAAGAGAGAACGTTGGTGAGCACTGTAAGCGAATGTGTTACTAGGTAAGAGTATCTGTTACCCAGGAGACAGGGGACCGGTTCAAGTTATGTGTTACGGGGGCCCATGGTAGAGACTTCGCAAGCGCGGAGGATCATCGACTTTAGGACAAAGACCAGTCATGCCTCGTACACGGAGGCACCGGAGGGCTGAGAGCAATACGGCCTGGTCTAATTGGCCGCGCCATAAACGAGGTGGGCGATCATGGGCGCTCCCGCCGCGGCATTGAGAAGACGACGGCCCCGGATCGTACCAGGGACAAGCAGCGGCTGGCATTGCCATCACTCGAGGCCCATCGCACAAACATGAGTTTTACAGGCTAGCATCTTAGCTGGGGACTGGTGACAAGCGGCATTGTCCCTGGTCCCATACGTGGGAAGTTGGCCGCCACCCGTGCGCTGGGTACGAACCGGGTAAGCAGGTATTCGTACAAAGAAGGAAAGAGGCTTCACTAGGTATCCTGAGGTGTTAGCGTTGGTCGAAGGCGACAAAGGGAAGCCGAGGCCTTATCGCGCGAACGATGCCTCCCCAAGCGTTGCATGGCCAAGCCGCTAGGCTGCAAAGGAGCCGTAGTACCCCTGCGAGGTCAGAGGCTTACTAGATACTAGTCGACCGCGCGTTCCCCTTGGTGGTCGAACGCCGACAGTGAGAGTGCGGCCATCATCATGATGCCGACATGGATTAAGCGAATGGCCCATATTGACGCGACAACGTGACTGGCCTGCGCATCACAAGAATGAGACATTGAAGCGGAGCGAAGGTGTGCTTCACCTGAAGTACGCCTGTCCAGGTCGGGCTGACTGGCACAGAAGACGGTTGAAGAAGATGCAACGTCTGTCTCTGACGACGGGTAATGAATGTGCCAGCATAACGATGAGCAGTGGGGGAGAGACAGGAGATTCCAAACAGTCTAGCTCAGGAACCGCGGGTGCAGTCCTGACTTAGCGCGGTTTAGGTCAGCCACATTCCTGCGGCTCTAGGATGTGCTTGCAAAGCGAAGCAGCGCAGAAGACCACTAGTGGATAGACAGATATGCTTTGTCGAGGGAGGAGTTGGCATCGTTGCGATCCTTTCGGTTCCGCGTATGGGCTTGCCGCGAATCAAGCCTTGGGGAGGTCTCGAGCCACTGAAAACTTCCGCTCGTTCGTGTGGCTTGAGCCGGCCATTTGGAATACAAGCGCTAATCGGCATAGCATACACAGCTTGCCCTTTGGGCGCCGAGCGGATTTCTTCCCAAACCCCTGGTGACGACAGGACCTGGCAGGGCATTCCAAGGTTCCGGTAAGTTTGACTCGTTGGTCTGCTGGCTCATGTACCCGGGGTCGGCACTCTGGGGTCTTCTGGGCTTGGAGTTCGTAGGGACCCATCGGTCTACGAAGTCTCGGCGGGGGTCGAGGGTGGTTGGCTCGTATAACAGAGATGTTTGGCCCCCAATGGTGTTTCGACTTTAAATCAAGGCTACCGAGGGTCGCAATGGTGTCGTGTTCTGGATCCGAATCTGACAAACTGCGTACTTGGGACCACTTTGCTTTGACACTAACTGCGGTGGTGAAAGTGGAGCGTGAGAAAGCGATGATCTAGACCATGAAGCACATGCTGCAAGGTAGAGCCCGCCGCCTTTACAATCCCAAAGAAGGTTGTTCTCCGGTGGTGCAGGCGTGGGAAGGCATTCGATAGTCGCATGCCAGCTGGCTGCATTTCAGCCACGATAGCGGCGGCCTCATGATTTGTCGAGTCCAAGGGACATGCAGATGAGCTGCCCGACTAGGTAGGCAGAGAGAGAGAGAGAGAGAGAGAGAGTCGGGACGGGATGGCTGCCGTCATCCCGAGTTCGGTGGGCGGAAAAGATAAGATGAGTTTGGTAAAGTGGCCTGCTGAATCTCTGACATGGCCTGCCAGGGCCGCCTTGTACGCGCCGGGGGACCATGCAGCATTCTTTGTGCCCCGAGTACGTACAAAGCGGGTGAATAGGTGCCTACCGGTACCTAGTAGTACTCCGTACCTATGTGTTACTAATGATCATCATGTCTTTGTTTCTTCTGCGGCATCTTTCCTGAGTCGTTGTTTCCCGCTATACCTTGCGCTTACTTACTTACCCACAACAAAGAAAGACCCCCCTCCCCCCACTTCCCGGGTCGTCAGGTACGTACTTCGTACGGCTTAGTGTACCTACCTACTACCGAGGTATGATTATGCAAAGCGACGTGTATTCGCTTATCCATACGGCGCCCAGTATGGAGCACTTTTCGTATCTACCTGACCCTATTGGTTCAAGTCATCAAATATGCCTCTATCGTCCCCCTGTCGGTACTCTGTATCCGTACAGTCACATCAAATCGTATTCCGCCGGGGGATCAAAAGTCCATCCGTCTCATCTCGAGTCGCACCGCACCGCTCCGCACCGCTCCCGCTTGAGTGGGTGTGTGTGGGTGTGTGCTGAGCTGTCGACACCAAGTATGTCTCGACTCACTGCACAAGAACCTCGCATCCCCGTCATCATGGCCGAGTCCGACACGCCGAAAGCCCGACCTCAACCCTCCTGGTGTGCTGCGCATGTGTTGGACTGGACCAAAGACACCCCGCCCCGCCGTGTCGAAATCTTCCCTGGTAGCAGCGCGCTTTCTCTCTCGGTCCTTCGAATGCGCCCCCTCAAGCTCCTTAAACCCCAGTCAGAAATTCGTATCCTCGACATCGCCTACGGTCGTTGCGCCACTGCAGGCCTCTGATACGCTAGCAAGTGGCCGTGCCCGGGCGGCACGCCTCGACGGCTTCAATAAAGAATGGCACTGAGAAAAAGGCTCAATGAAGGAATCGCAAGTATCTGTGACGACTTAATCCTCATCCGCCAAGCCTTCAGCGCTCGATTCAGAACCCGCCTGCCGTCGCTGCAGGCTAAGCTTCTGAACCAGCAACTTTATTGCTCCGCTGGCCTCTCTGTGTTCAACGACCAGCCCTTACCTAGGTAGGTAGTCAACAAACTGTTGTGACTTGCATCTCAGCTCTCTCGACATCCATCCAATCGGAGCTGGCCGGGCCATCCGCGTTATGCTATCAAATGTCAACTGACAGCCGTGCTTGTCAATGAACATCAGTCAGCTTTCAGCAGACTTTGCTTGTTTGTTAATGACCCCTGTGTCTGCGCAGATCACGTTTCCCACTATTGCCTTCCCGCAGATATTGTCCCCGGCCACCTCCTGGAGCCATCTCGCATCCAACCAATTCCATCCTACCTACCTACCACACATCGTGGCCATGGCCTTCGATCGAGCTGGTTCGCTGTGCAACCAAAGACTGGCACCACGGGAAGATTGCAAAAGTTTCAGCCCAAAACTCCATTGTGCAGGCATCCTGCCTAGCCGCCTGCGTTGGTTCATATCTGAAGGGTCAAGTCCGGGACACGCGGCATCTACACTAGCGGCGCTGGGCTTGGGTCAGCGTCTAGACCGACCACCAGCAGAAATCCCATAACAATTGGCAACACAGAGGGGTCCTCTCCCGTTGAGGCCAAGTCTCCCGAATGAGCTCCCTCTTTGAGAAGAAACCCACACGCACGCCCCTCCCGCCCAGCCAGTCCCAGTACGATTGAAGCTCTGCAGCTCAGAAGAAACCCCGCACAGCTCTATCGTGCGAGCGATGTCTCTGCGATCCAAGTCCAATATGCATGCAAGCGAAGACAGCATGAAGACGCTGCGGGAACTGTCCGAGGACTAGACAGGATGCCCGTCCAGCTGCTGTCATCCTCGACCCTGTAAGTCCATTCGACCAAAAGGGTATACCGCGCAGGTGAGCAGGTGAGCGTGCTCTTCTATGGCGAAAGCGCAAAAAAAACCGCCGTCACCGGTCCCGCCAGCTGAAAGATGGCCAGATTGCAAAGGAGCTTCAGGAGGAGCGAGATTGCCCCCTCACCAAAAAGCCTCTTTTCGGTGCCAAGGCTTCAGCTGTCAGCTATTATCCACAAGAATGGCGCGGGCTTGGACCTTTGCCATGCGCCGTCTGCCTACGCTATCGAAACCTGAAGGAGACTACCTCAATTAAAGGGTGCAGACTTGTATCTGTCAACCGGGCCACGAGGCAAAATAGTGCTGAGAGAGCCTTACCGGGTCCATGGTACACTCTCGCGGGAACCTCAGACTGGTCTTTGCCAAGGCCGTACTTGAACAGGCCGGTGAAGAGCCCCTGTCTCATTTCTTGTCTATCCCATGTCTCACCCCAGTCCCATCTTCGTTGCCACCAAAGCTCTTCATCCACGGCGCTGGTGAGATAACTACTCGGACCGTCGGCGTCCACATGGCTGTCCCTCACATGTCCGGTCATCCTTGGTCTCCTTCATTGTACTCCGTACATCTGCCTGTTACATCTGCCAAGTGGCAGTCTCTTGGTCCATGGCAAACCCCGCGGGTTCTCAGTGGAACAGACACCATGTTAAGCTTCGTCGGGATATAGGAAGCGGTGTTGTTGTTAATGTCTCGGACAGAGTAGTCTCATTCTCCGAGTCCAGTCACAATCAACTGGCACTTGAAACGGTGGAACGGGACGGCCCGAAAGCAAACCCATTGCGTTCAACGGCATGGATTCCGACGCTGGACTTCGCAAGCAGCCCTTCCTCTCAAGCAGGCTGGGACAGCGTTGGTTGGGGTACGGGAAACGGCGGTGTCGATATTACTTCCCCGGTATATTCATGAAAAAAGGGCCAGCCGGGCCTCTGGGGTAAACCCCTAATTACAAAGCATTCGCGAACGCGCGACCGCCTCCCCCTTATTTCGCCAGAGCTATCTTCTTCATCTCCTCAAAGTTGGGAATTCCCAGTCCCGTCACGGGATCCCATCCTTGCGTGCTGTTCCACGTTGCGAAGGGGATGACGCCGGCACCCTGCACAGGTTTGCCCGATTGCAGATTGATACCGGTGCACCCCTTTGCGCCGCCCGCGGTAACGTCCGTCAATCCCTTGAAGCCCCTCTTGTAGAGCCACGGGTTCATGAAGCCCATGGTCGGCTGGCCCGCGCGGATCCGGGCGTCGTTGAGAAGCGCGATCAAACCGCCGACCAACGGGGAGGAGGCCGAAGTGCCGCCCGTACCCATGAGCTTGCTGGCGGCGACGACGGCGAACGGAGGGCTGGCAGAGTGTGCCGCGATGTCGGGGAACCCTCGGCCGCTGAAGTTGGTGAAGGGCTGGTAATAGGCCTTGGTGTCGGCCGAGATGCCGCTCAGGAGGTACTGGTTCACGGCGCCCTCCTGGTACCACGCCTGCTTGAAGTAGTTGCTGAAGCCGCTGCCGGAAGCGATCCAGGCGCGCTCCGGGCCGAACGCCTGCGTGCCGCCCACGGCGGTGATGTACGGGCACGAGGCGGGGAACTGCGGCGTGAACTGGACGGCGTCGCTGCCGTTGTTGGCGCGGCACGGCGCGCCGAGGCCCGTGTCGCCGCTGGACTCGAGCACGGTGACGCCGCGCAGGCCCATCATGCCGATGAGGTTGCACACGCGCGTGGCGTACTCGATGGGCACGGTCTGCTCGTCGTCGCCGTAGGACACGGAGAGCACCTGCGGGATCTTGTCGTTCTCCTGCGTCATCATGAACTGGTAAAAGTCGAGGAACGGCTCGTTCTGGTTGTCCGCCTGGGTCGGGCTGTTCAGGTTGGGCACCAGAAGCCCCGAGCCGCCGGTGATGTACTGCGTGATCGGCAGGGACTTGACCGTGGCGGCCATGATCTGGGCGTCGAGGTTCGCCTCGCCGATGGCGCCGTTGGGGTCCTGGTGGTCCTGCCCGCCGTTGATGAGGACGCTGGTGAAGTTCTGGCTCGGCAGCTGGAACCTGTTCAGGAAGGTGGTGAGGTCCTCCTGGCGGGCCGACTGGTTGAGGAAGCTGGCGAAGCCGACGCGGCTGCCCGCCGCCGGGTCGGCCTGGTAGGCGCCGTAGTTGTAGGCCAGCTCGAAGCAGGCCGGCGTGAAAACCCTGGAGCAGTTGGTCGCGGCGCCGGGTCCGGGGGCCTGTCTGCGGGCGAGGGGCGCGGATGTGAGCGGCAGCGCCACGTTGGTGATGGCCGGGTCCGACTTGGTGGTTCCGAAGTAGGTCGTGGGCGTGACGAGCTCGATGTGCTCCGCCATGGCGTCCGGGACGGAGTACTCTTTGGTGCGCAGCTTCATGGTGCCCTGGACGTCGTAGTAGGCGAAGCTCGCGCCGAGCATCCTGTTGGCGGTGGCGACGTCGGTCGCGAAGTTGACGAAGCGGTCGCCTTCCGTGTAAGAGACGTCGCTGACGTTCTCCTTGGCCAGCCAGGTCTGGACGGCGGCGACAGAGGCCTCGGCCGGCTTGAACATGTCGTTGACTTGGGCCGCCGTCAGGTACTTGCCGTAGTTGGGGCTGTCCGGGTCGGAGATGTCCCGGAGCGTCGGTTCCAGCTTGTCGATGTTCTGCATCTTGATGCCGACCTGAAGCCTGATCTGCTGGTCTTCGGCAGCCATGTTCATCATCTGGACGCCTTGAGCGATGTTCGCCGCCCTGGACATCAGGCGGGCCTCGGCGACGGGCGAGATGGCCGCCAGTGCGACGAAGGCCTTGAGGAAGGACATTCTGTCTGGATCACCCACGCTACACGGAACTCGGAACGAGGCTGGAGAGGATACCGGGGCACACGGGTCGTTCGCGGGTCTTGGAGGTCCGAACGTGACTAGTACCTGAGGAAGAGCTAGATAGCCCAGTTATGAAAAGGAGAAAGAAGAGAAGCGCATGCGGATTAGGCCACAAGATGTATAGCCGAAGAAAGGGATGGATTGGGATGGTGAAGTCACGGGTCAATAGGGGCATGGCCTCGACCTTGCGAGGGCAGCCGTCCGATGGTCACGACTCCAAACAGGCATCAAGGCTGGTGCTCTTACCGCACGGGTGGTATAGTTCCCTCGAGTAACTGTAACTCAACTCGTTGCTGGGATAGGTGCAGCGTCACCAATCGGCACTTCCGTGGTCGGCCCCGCAGCGTGTACTATGTAAAGTGGTTTTCGGTGGCCCTCGTCCCATGTCGATCATTATTATTGTATCGAATATAGGGCATGATACTTGAACTGTGTTTTTCTGACCGCGTCACTACGTAGTAGTAGTATTATTGCGTACCCGCGCGATCTTAAGAGGGACCGCCTGGATATACAGTACCTCGGTCCCAAGTCGGTTGCGTGTCTCGGTCAATGAGGAAACAAACCATGGCGTTACATGATATCAAACAACGCCAGTACAAACGTAGACGTATGCACGTCGGTACGTTTCAACGCTTGAACCCTGCCCGCCGCGCCCTGCAACAGATCCCGAGCGGGCAGGGAAGTGGAAAAGCAAGTGGAGAAACATGGAAGTTTCCTTTAACGAAGGATCCCCGTTTCCCCCTGCGCATCTTTGCCTCGTTCGCCCATCCCCGAGAAGCGCTGTGGTCTTGGCAAACCTTGGGATGATTGTTGTAGCAAGCTTGATGCTATGCAGGAGGGCGTACCGGGAAAACGCAGAAGAAAAAGGGAACAGAGAAAAAAAAAGGGTTTATAGTCTATAGAATCCTAGCTAATCGATCGCAGGTCTCGGGTCTCGGATGAATCAATGACGTGTATTCCACGCATCACTGGTCGTGTACCGAACACACCCTTTTGTCTCGAGTTGCTCATTTCGAAAGGAGACGCCTTGAAAGCAAAACTGAAAAAGTCTGTTGGGTTTGAGCAAGTCAACGACTATCAAATAAAGTCTATAGAACATTTAGGGCAAAAGAAAAAAAAATGAAGGGAAAAGAAAGGAGGGGGAAAAAAAAGCCAAAAAGGTTTGGCGAATCAGAAGCTAGACCATCCTAGAAACAACACGTGAATCATGCGTGCGTGGCCCAAGAAATGAAGCAACCGTGCCGCATATTTTAGTTTCGTAGATTTTGTTAAACTACTTTGGATCTCCAACATGCATACAGTGTCGCTTCATGGACGGCTTGTTCAAACGTCTTGGCTCTACACCGGGCGGCGGGCAACGGCAACTGATTTCTTTGGAGGCAGAGCAACGGAGGATGATATATTGCTTGGCAAAATTATTGGTTCTGTTTCTTCGGCACTTTTTTGGCATCGCCGCCGGCAAGGTCATGGGTGATGGTAAAGGTGCGAAGCCGAGTCCCTGCTCGAGTCTGGATCCTGATACCGTACGGTACGCAACTCGCAGCGATACACATCCGGCCTAGGCAGGTCGTCGCAAGCTCCGCCGGAACTAGGTCAAAGTAGATCGCTCAACTTTATTTGCATACGGACTTTGATACAATCCTTTCCCTGATTACCCCGCACTCGACTCGGGTGGGAAACAAAAAAAATAATAATAATAGCCGCTCCTCAACCACAGTAAGTAGGCATGGGACAACGGGGCGGCGCTTCCAGCGAACCGAGCTGAGGTTCTCCGAGAAGAGAAGTACTGTGAAACTGGCACCACACGCACGCTTGCGCCCCTACGACAGCCCGTCTGTGCGTCTCGAGATCGTCGCCGTGGCGATGAACTCGAACTGGTCGACCGGGGGCACATAAGGCGCGATGGGTGGAAGGGGGTGGGCTTCTGGAATGGCGATGTTGACGAGGGCTTTCCTCCCGTCGTACGGTGGTTTGAAGAACCTGTGGCATTTTTGACAGGTTGAGCAGCGCGCCTCGTCCATGGAGAGAGAGAGACCGGACTCACCGCGTATCTCGGTACAAGTGGCTGACGTAGAGTTCGAACCTCGAGGCTGACCGGAACGCCGCAACCCTAAAGTGGAACGCATTCGAGCCGCCGCTCCAGCAGAGGACGCCGGTGCTGGGGTAACTGTTGTTCGGACCGTGGTTCGGCGTGATGCCGTCCCATGCCCACGCCGCACCACAGTGTGCGCCGTTGACTTCCACGATGCCTTCCGTGTTGGGGTCGTAAAGATCGACTAGGCGGGCTGGGTGTCAGTGTTGTGCGGGCCACCGCGTATCGTGTGGGGTTGAATGGTTTGAAGGGACAGTCAGGCTCACACTCGAGGGTGCAGGTGTACAGTTCGTTTCTTTGCTCCCTACGGCAGACAGACTCGAGGTTGCTGAGCGTCATGTTTAGCCAGGGATACTTGAACTGGGAAACGGCTTGGGTGTCCAATGTCGGCAAGGTTGCCACAAGGGAGATGAAGATGAGAGAAAGCATTGATGCCAGTCCCAGAAGGCTCATTTTGTTAAAGACTGGTTGTGACAGCAGAACTTTACCAGGTTATGGCAGAGGCACGGATCTGGCTCCTGGTCAGAATATCTGGACCTAGTCTAGGGCATCAACAGGAAACAACACCTTCGTCTTCTGGTATCTTTTATATCTTCCTGGGAAGACGCTTGATATCGAGTATCCGGCTTTCGGCAACGACGGCGGTAGCATGTCATTTGTCTACGATGCTCTGCGCCGGTAACTCACCAAAGCGGAGCAGCATGCGGGCAACCGGCGACGTTCCCATGCGGCCCGGTGCAAGAAGCCGTGGTTGTGCACGGTTATACGCCAGCGCCGTCGTTGAGTGTACGAGGCATTGTGTGCGGTCGAATCAGACCGGCAGCATCACCAAGACATGGCCGGTACGGGGAACCCGAAATCAGGAGAGGGTACCTGCCGGGGGCGTAGACCAATATTCCTCGGAGATTGTTGTGCTGCCGCCGATCATGGCTCTGATAGCGCGAGAACTGATCGTAATATGTCATACAGACTGTGAAGGACTTTGGACAAGAGTGACTGGTGTCCGTTCCGGACGAAGACAGGAGGATGATAGTCCTTCATCACCGCCTTGTTTAAGGCTGCCCAAAGTAGGGCGGCAGAGATTCTGTGAGCTATACAGACTGCCCTTGGCACAAACGAACCCCAGAAAATTGCCAAGGCCGGGAATGTAGCACCGTTCACCGACTCTTTGGTCTGTGTCTGCTGCCACGACTGGTGGTTGTGCCATTTGCCCGTGGACACGACTGATTGCCCACGCCGTGGATTTGCAGGCCAAGCGAACCCTCTCATATCTCACAAAGTATCGGGCGATTTCGGCGCAGGAGAACTTGACATGTTGAGACCAAGGTATATAGAGGAGGAGTCTGTTCGTGCAACCGGGAACGGCAAATTGCCTTCCTACTACGGTGCAACCTCGGTGGCCCGACGGAAGGCGTACCGTAACATTGTTTGTTTGCTCGGACGCGCCGCTAGTCATATTATCCGGGCCAGAAGTACAAAAGCACTGGCTCCCAGAAAGAAGCATATCCAGTTCCCTGGATTGCACCAGGTGGCATGATCACTGCAGCCATCCAGCGGACGATGCTGCGCTTTTGGAACCGGAAAGACCAAACGTAGAATCTGGCCCGTATTGTATATATTCATATGTATGCTACAATCGACCTAGGCAGTATAATGGCCGGCCTCGTTAGCAGCTCATCATGATGTACCGTGGGTGGGAAGGGAAGGAGGTTGGTTGGTTGGTTGTAGCCACGCACATGTACCGCCTGATGCTTCCGTTTCAGACGAAAGGCAGCGGCCAGGCGGTGAGCAGCTGCACATGATCCCCAGTCATTCCACGAGGCTAGTCCAGGCACTGCGTCTGAGTATCTATGGTCGACCTCCGAGGTGAGCCCGTCCAGGGCAGCACGATCCTCGCCGACATGGTTCTCGATTGGTTCGTCGGCCTCATCATATCACAAAGTCTCATGTCCCACGGGGCGAGATTGCTACCGAAAACCATTCAAAAGGCTTCAACCACACACACCGCTCTTACAGAAAGATCATCAATCCTGCCAGTCTAGCCCTGTTCTAGGAGACCACAGCAGATGCCCGGCTTCTCCGTGTAACCGGCTCTTGCAATCGCTCGGAGGCACAAGAAAGGAATAAGAGCTTCTGTTAACCGTCACGGGAGTTGGGCATCGACTTTCGACTCAGAGCTCTTCATATGGTATCCGGACGCCAGAAGATCTTGTTTAGGCATGGGTTAATCTTTCCAGCTATTTCTACAGTGACAGGCCTTTAATACATTGCATTTATCAACAGTGTCAGAATACGTAGTGGGCTGGGGCTCTCTGATGCAATGAGTACACCGACATCTGCTAAGTCTGCAGTGGCCGGCAACCGACCATAAGTGTTTTATGAAAACCGGCAGAGACATTGAGTGCCAACTTGAAATTGAGAATGCAATAGTTGCTGGTGAGCGTTCCTAGAAAGATGCTATGGTAATAAAACATATTGGCATCTCTGGGACGAGACGGCTTTCCTACAACTCGTATTAGTCAATATCCACACCTTAACTAAGCCTTCAACCCTTTTTATATCAACCAGAAAAATGAGATGCTTGCATGCGGGTTTTATATTTCTCACTTTCTGCTAACTGCGTGTAGTATATCCACACCAATGTGTGGTAGAAGAGACCGTTGCAGGGGGGCCAACTTGCTACGGTTTACCTAGCCCCTGGGAAATGGGTGATCTAGATAGTCTCGATTCCGATGACCCCGTTCACCTCGGAGAGCCTGGTCTGAAACCAACAAATAATAACGGTTGCCGCTTCAGAGCATTCTCCCAAAACACACTGCAGACAGGCACGCATGCTTTCTCTTGTTTCCTCTTTATATCGGGCTTCATCTTGCCAACTAGCTAAACAGTGGCGAATAACTCAGGCCTGGTCAGAGACTGAGAGGCACAGACAGGGCTGCTTAACGTGCCTGCCTTTTCAGATACATATCATTCACGTTCCTTCTTTATCGGACCTCGCCTACACTCAGTGACAGTTTTCCATAAACAATCGCGTTGGTATTCATCTTGGAGTTTACTCCTTCTCATTTTTCTTTCTTTCCACGGAAATCGTGCGGATCTCAACTGCTGGTAAGTAATTCATGCTTTCCCGGAGCAAGAGCGCAGCCAAAAAAACGTGCCTGATTTTTATTTTTAATTTTTAATTTTTTAGGAAAAAAACCCATCAGCCGCAATTCCTGGGACTGTCCGAGAACAACTTCGACATCATCACCATAGACTCCCCTCTCCTCTTCCGCAACAGAGACAGAACCGCTTCTTGTCCCTCCCAAGAGAAAGCAACGACACACGCTGCCCCGTCATCACTATGGTGCTTCACAATTATTTCCATCTGTTTGACTCTCTTCCGGCCGAGATTCGACGCGCTATATGGATCGAGGCACTGTCGCAGCCAAGAGTTATCAAAATCATAGGACCCCACCGCGATCCCATCAATCGGGTTGTTCAAATGGGTGTCGATACCGGCCCCACGATCCCGTCCACCGCCATGGCGTGCTCCGAGGCATACGGCACCCTCAAAGAGGCATTCCCATGCCTGGCCGTCCCCCATCACAATAGCCCCCCGCCGCGTGTGGGCGTTCCCCAAAGACTGCATCCTCTTCCTGGACGGCTGCGACACCGTACAAGTCGACAGCTTCACCTTGTCACAGGTCCCGGGCTACACAGCACATATCGACCGCATCACCCGGGTCGCCATCAGCCTCCAAGGCAGGTCATGGCCGTTCACTTTCCAAGCAATGGGCCGGATGTCCAGAATTTGCCTCAATCTCTGAAAGATACTCCTCGTCCATGACAACGGTACTGCGTCGGATGAGAATACCCGAGCTATGATCACGACCGCAATGTCCCGAGACGGCGGCAATAGCTTCCCAGGCTACAAGCTGCAGCTCAAAGCCGAGTTCCAGATTGAATTATTGGATTTATATGACTGTTACTTCCCCGAATGGCCTCGGAAGCCAGAGCTTCTCATTCTAGCCACAGTTGCGACTAACCCACCTTGGTCGCCATTGGATTCGGTTTCGTGGCCACTGCCGCCATTCCTGCAGTACACTGGTTAGTTCTCTGTAAAGTACAAACATTATTCGACTACTCGGAGTAATATGCCTGTTGACATATAATAGACCGCAGCTCCGAATAATATGACCAAACAGCTCTTGCCTGCCGGGGACACGGATAATGCCGTTGTGAGTAGGGATCGAGATGACCAAGCAAGAGCCTCCGGAGCCGCAGTAGTCTGATAACGGGCCCGAGCGGGACGGGACGGTGAGCCCCCACGCGAGGAGGGTTTTTCGGACGGAGTTGCCGACTCTCGGGACACTGGGTACAAGGTTCCAGGGCGTTGCTGATTCGTGAGAGCGCCTGACGGCATGACCAGCCAGTTAGAGGGTCTTGATTACTATCTTTTGCAGGGGGAGAAAAAATGGACGCAAGCTTTGATTTGGGAGGAACCCGCAGCACGAACTCCGGGCCGTGCGCTGGGGTTGATGACCTTTGGGGGGGCCATGAGGGCAAGCATCAATAGCATCAGACGAGATAATGCCGTTTTTCTTTCACGAGTCCGAGACGGGGACAGCCTGGGTGGGTGGCAGGTATGGGAGGATGCTTCGTATGGCGATCTTGATTTCGAACACCACCGACCTGCAAGACAAGGCAACAAACCAGTCGACATCCCGGGACCATTGGACCCCGCCATGGTGCTCACACCTGCAACTGTCAGCCTTGCATCAAGCATGTGCCCGCCGTCAAAGTCTTGGAGGAGAAGCGTCGAAACAAGAGATTGTGATGCATAGAGACACTCGCTGCTCGTTATGTGAGCTGCGAAAGAGAGGGTCTGTCTGTCCAATAGGGAGGATGCCTGCACGGTGAGCGCCGAAGCCAGACGACGCATAAAAGCCCGACGTGTAGATCAGTCGTCTCGACGTCACGTCGACTCCCAGGAAGCCAGCCCGCTGATACAGACACATGATGCCGCAGCATGAGCATGAAGCTGATCACTGGTCTTGTCCAGAGAGAGTTGACATGCAGGAGTTGGACGGGCTTTGTCGAGTGGTTTGAGGTGTTGTGGGCGGTGAGATCTTGGCCGCAAGAGGCTTGGATCCCGCCCCCCCATCATTCCCGGCACTTATTCCTCCTCTGCTTAGGTGAGCCGAAGGGGGTTCCGTCTCTGGTCGTCCCGGATCCGGACAAGCGCGATGGACGAGAGAGCTGACACGGCTCCCATTCTCTCTCACCCATGAGATTTTGGCATAGTTTTGGCCCGCTCCTTTCCCTTGGGTTTTCGTTGCTATTATTAGTAGCACCTGTGCCCACGCCCAAATTGACTTTTTGCCCAAGGGAAGGGTAAAGGGTCCCCTCTCCACTCGGCAGATCCCTGTGAGCACCGGACGCTTGGCTACACTAAAAGAATGAATGCGTTGCCCCTGTAACAGACAATTTGATGGCTCGGATGGCAGAAAGTATACTTCAGCTCCGGTAGGATGGCAATCAGCGTACGGAGTAACGAGAGGGCCCTCTGCCAACAACAAATAGTACGTAGTAGGTAGCCTGAAAGGGCCCATATCAAGCTCCCATGACCCCGGGAGGGAAATCGCGTTTGTGGGCTCCGTTCCAGGCCGTTGAAACCGTCATCTCTCACGACCCAATCCAAATGACACACCATGACTCACTCATGCCAGTTGGCCGCGAAGTCAACGTTGTACGCAGCTCGCCAACCTGGCGAGCCTTTGACTGGGCTTACTGTTGGCCCTGGCCGTCCCCTCGGCGGTAGGCTGTTGGTGGTTTCTTTCCCCGAGGGATGCCCCACCCGAGCTCTCTACCTAGGGCCGAGGTTTGTTGGTACAGCTACGAATATAGTAGCTAAGCTTCTGGAGTCGAGCGAGGTTTAGACGAAGGGGGTGGTCGGAAAGGCTTAATAATTGCTGCGATATACGCTGGAAATAGCGTTCGCGAGCGTGGATGCAACCGGCGCTGGTCGAGGCCACTCGTGTGTTTTGCAAGCATAAACCAAGAGCCACCTGGCACAGCCCTTAGATATATGCCTTGCTCTTTGCCGGGAGACATGCTTGAGCGATGCCAGCAAAGCCATTGCTGTGCTCGACTGATGCGGGGCAGAATCGCGAGGTGGAGAAGCCATCAGGCCTTGGCCAAGAACGTGGTGAACTAGGAGAGCTCCCCACCGAGGAATTTGCCAGAGGAGGGGGCAGCATGCAGCACGAAGGGCAAAGAATCAACCCTGGCACTCTGGAGCCTCTGCGACAAGGTTCTCTTAGGGCTGAGCTATTCAGCTGAACGAGTCGAGTGGGAGGAGGGGGTGATTGAGGTAAACAACACCAAGTGATGGCCCCTCGGAATACTATGGTTTCCTGGCCGGTGTCGACATACCAAGGCATCTCTGCCTAAGATGCGGCAGAACATCAATCATCAAGGAGTCGCATGATCCGTGGTTCGCTCAGAAATCGAACGCCCGCCGAAGGCGAGCATAATCGACATGCATGGGGGCGGTCTTGCTGGGAGGCCTGGGTGGGTGGTGGTACTACTAGTCTAGGTAGCAGCCCTCCCCCGGTACCGTACTGAGGGGCCGAGACGGCAACGGAGGCTGAACGAGGGCATGGCTGCTGGAGGATGTCGTCATCATCGTCGTCGTCGTCGTCGTCGTCGTTGTTGCTGATAGCAGATGGGTTGGTGGATGGAGCCTGTCTAATCCCTCGATGCTTACTACTGTTGCCCGACCCCTGATGCTTTTTCATCCAGCAGAGAGAGGCGTTGCTGGTGCTGACTGTTGGCAATCAATGGCTGGTCCGTCTTGCTTCCCGCAGCCTTTCCGCAGGTTCCGAATATCTCGGGGGTTTCTTCTTCGAGCCTCCGGTCCGAGATCTCGTTTCGTGAAATATCCCGTGTTTGCACCCAGTCCGCAGTGGGAAGAAGGGCCGCCGGTGAGAAAGGAATTGATCAGCCCTATCCTGGCGTGCCATTCCAACACAACGCTATTCGCCTCTCTCTCTCTCTCTCTCTCTCTGTCTCTCATCCTCCCACGTTAATATGATTGACTCCCCGCTTCCACATTCCACCCAATCTCGTCGAGTTTGCCTTTGACATCCACAACTGTCCACTAGCGAAACCACATCTCCCGTTTGCTGTCGACACGTTGTTCGTCCCTCGTCCGTCTTCGCCGTCTCAGCCGTCGGCCCCAGAGGAATTGCATTTACCGTCTCGGCAGCAACTTGAACGTCCCTGGCGACGCTGATCGAAACCTATCTGCGTTTCACTAAAGGACCCCAGATCCCTCCCTGCAGCAGCTGGAGCGTGTCGCCCATTCCCCTCCCTCGAGGGGCGAGTCTTAATCGCCGTTCGTCTGAACAGAGGCACCCCTACTGGTCAGCAGAGGTAGGTAGCTGGAGACGAGCAAAGACGGCAAAACAGGACCAGATAAGCAACTATTTCCACCACCACCACCACCACCCCCTTTGGTCTGTTATCGCTGTTCGGGAATGGTATAGCGCTGCACCCCAGGATTGGTCGGGCAGAACGTCAGCCACCGGCAAACGAATCAAGCCATTGGCACCACCCTAGCAGTAAGCCATCAGCGACTCCAGCTCTCTCAAGGACAACAGCTTAGCACCACTTCGGATTTGACTTGTGCACAGCCCCAAGGCAGCCCCTCTAGGCAACCCCAGACCTAGCACGGCATCCGCTTTCTGTAGCTTGGATAGCCAATCCGAACCCACCAGTCTGGTCTCCTGCCTGTTGCTCTACTGGTGCTCCTTCCTGGCGGGCATCTGCACACGTACGTTAGATTGAAGTCGAGTGAGAAAGTGGACAGACAGACAGACAGACAGGGTCGCAGACGCATCTGCGGAGGCGCAAAAATAGGAACAGGGGACCAGCAGGGCGGGCTGATCAATCTCCCGTCCTGTCATCATCCTCTTGCTTGCCCTTCTGACTTGCCGCTCGTTGTTGCTGTTGCCGTTGCTTTCTTGCTGTCTTCAACCTCGGACTTGGACCGACAAGAGACAAGAACGTGAGCGACACTGACTGATCTGAGCTGAAGCGAAACTTGTCCTGCCGCCCCCGGAGCCCAGCAAGCTGCACGTTCGGCCCACCGTTCCCCGTCTTGTGTGTGTGTGTGCCTCTCCGCTACTCAGTACCAGGTCACTCGTGGACTGTGCCGTTCCGCAGGTCAAGTAGGTAGAGAGATAGAGGGGGAAAGAGAGAGAGAGAGAGAGACAGTTGCCGGTCTGTTCTTACTTGTCTTTCTATTTTCCGGCCTCGCCGACTTGCTTGCTCTACACGCACACACACACGACGTCAGTTCATTACTGCACGATCGATCCACCCAAACAAGAAACAGAGGGACAAAAAAAAAACAGGTTGCCCTGACTTGCTTTACCCGGGGTTGCGGCGGTTGCGCACGACGATATCGCTGTTATAATGCCGACCTTCGGTCGCATTGGACGGCACCATAACCGTTCGCAGCAAGCACTCGTTGATCAGGGCGGAGAAGTTGCCGGCCCAGCAGCTTCACATTCTACTGCTACACCTGCGCCGCCTTCAGGGTCTGCTGCCTCCGGTCCTGGTGCTCCTTCCTCCTCTTCCTCCTCTTCCTCGTCTCACCCTTACCCTTACTCCTCGTCACTCGCTCCTGCCTCTGGTCCTCCCGGTCCTGCACCCGCGCCCGTCTCGAGCGCAATCACCACCAACGCCGCCGCCGCCGGCGCTAATAGTCAGATTACCCCCCATTCAGTCTTCTCGACTGCCTTCGGCTCCAGCGAATCCTTCGACACCCACCAAACCCAGCTGACCCATCAACACCAACATCAACACCAACAACCACAACTTCAACACCTCCAGCAACAACAGCCAAACCTCCCACAGCAGGGCCAGCAGGGATCACCTGCGCTGCCCCACGTATATCCCCCTTCCTCAACCTCCGCCGCCGCTACTGCCTCACGCAACTCTCTCCTGCTGCAGCACCAGAACCCGCCCATTGCCGATTTACGCCAAAGGAGTCAGCAGGATTTTGCCGATCCCCAGCCACAGCGCTACCAGCCTGCTGTGGCCCCTTACCCCAACAACAACAACAACAACCACCAATTCACTACTGCTGCATCCAGCTCCGTCGACAATCTGAGAGCATCTGGCAACAACACCTCTCCTGCTCCCCTCCGAAGTCCAGCTCCGTCGCCAGTTCCGCCACCCGCCCCGGAGAAGCGCTCTGCGCGAAGGCTGCTCAAGAACATCTTGGGCGGATCGGGCCGCGACCACCACAACACCCCGCCTTCCCAAACTACCCCGCCAAACTCCTACGATAACACTGCTGGTCTTGCTCGCCGGCCATCCAAAAGAGTGTCCAATCCGCCACCCGCAAAGACTGCCTTGTCCCAAAGGGCTTCGCAGCTGTCTTTGGATCGACAATCCGTTGACTGGCCACTTTCGGGTCCTCATCAACAACCTCCCCAGCTGCAGGGCGTTGGCGAGATCGAGGATCACCGCTTGGCACAAGACCCTAACATAGATCCCCGTCTACAGAGCCCGGAGCCCAACCGTAACTCCGTCCGATACGTGCCAGCCGACTTCGAGGACACCTCCTACGACGATTCCGTGCACGGAGACCGGCAGAAGCAGCAGCAGCTTGGTCACCAGCCTGCTTACGATCCCTCGCAGCAGCAGCAGCAGCAGCAGCAGCAGTACCAACAGATTTCCCAACAGCAGAGCGCCCAATACCAAGCCGGGCCGCCTGCCATCTATACCAGCCACCTGGGTGCCGGCTCGCATCAAAATCCCGAGACCGTCTCTCAGTTGTCGCATGAGTCGCCTGTCACTGATTCAGACGCTCGCTCCGCAATCGTTCAATCTACCCAATCCTCCCCCGCAGTGAGATACGCTGTGCATACCACCGACAGCCCGCAGCCTCCAACACTTCCTCCTTCCCAGCAAGGAACACCTCAGCCTCACCAGCAAAATATGGCCCCCCCCTCCGGAGGTCCTCCCCCAATTCGGCGGTCGCAAGAGACGGAAAAAGCACTGCGCAGCCAGGTCGACGCACCTTCCGGCCCGCCGCCGAGCTACAGACAAAACCCGTCAATGCCTCCTGCTGCTGGCGGCGCTGCTGCAGCTTTCCGGCCCGGCGTTCCTCAAGAAGCAGGGGAGCAGGGCAGAAACAGCCCCCAGCCTTCCAACCCCGATCGTGATGGCGCGGACCCCGATAAGTTTAAGGAGCTCTGTAAGGCGTACACAGGCCACGCACCGACAGTATGCTAACAGCTTTCAGTGACTAAGTATAAGAATGTAAAGCGCCTGTACTTTGACGGCAAGACGCAGATCGAAAACCTCAACTCTCAGATCGAGCAGCTGCAGAATGCGCTCGCGAACCAGCGCATGTCCCAATCGCGCACCGCTCTTGACGACAGCGAATACATAACGAGATTCAACCGCCTCAATGGTGCCATCAACAACCTCTCGTTCAACATTCGAAAGGACTGGCGTACAATACCGCAGTGGCTGGACATGTTTGTCAGTATCGATGCGCTCAAGACCGGAAAGCAGGAGATGACAGCAGTCGGCCGCGCCGTCATCACAAGATGGATTGTAGAGGAAATCTTCAACAAGTGCTTCCACCCTGGCCTCAACTTCGATCTCAGCCGGCAATTGAAGGAGATTGAGCTTAACATACGACGCTTCTCCTACACGATGACCAGCCAGGAAGAGTTCGACGCCCTGACGACCAAGGTCGTCAGCTGGCGGATGGCTACGCTGGAGGGTCTTCAGCGGGTTCTGAATTCGCCGGAAAGTGCCGACAACCGAGCGGACTTCACCCGCATGTGTACGTCCAACCTCACAGCGACCTTGTTCCAGTACATGACAGACCCACCACCCGCCGGTGTCGACGGCAGCGCCTCCATGATCGTGGAGTTGGCCGTCGGCATCGCAGCCAACCTTCCACTCGAAAGCAGAGATGTTGCGATCAACTACCCCCTGCCCGGAGACCCCGTCCAGCCCAACATCATGGACGTGGAAAAGACCCCGCTCCCGCCCTTGGATGCCCCCAAAGCCGAGGGTGAGGCGGAGGGTGACGAGGGAGACAAGGATAAGAACAACAAACCCCAGCGGGCCGAGAAGAGCAAGAGCGGTATGTTCACTACTATACTCGGCGGCGGAACGCACGCCGGCCGCAAGGGCAGCACTGCGTCGTCAATCGTGCTCGCAAGTACTGATGCTGCCCCTCCCTCAGCTCTTCCACCCAAAGACAGCAATGTCGTGCGGCTTGCAGGCTTCCCAGCGGTGGAAGTTCGGGGCCGCCAGGTTCTCGTGAAAGCTACTGTGTGGACGATTTGAGAATGCTTGCTTGGGATGACGAATAGACAACGAGGGGTTATATGCCTAGGGACTCGGCAGCAGTTCATATAGAGGAGCAACCTCCTGGATGATGGGTATTGCATTTGAAGTTTTGGTGGCAAGGGGCACGAGTAGGCTGAAGGACGATACTGGGACGAAAGGGGGCTGGATTCAATCACCTACACGGGAAAGAGGTGACGTTCACGACTGAAGGCTCACATCCATGCCAGAGAGGCATGCCTGGGTGCTTGAATTCTCTTTGGGGATAAGAAGAGGACCTTGATAGTTGCCAAGGTACCTTGAAAATTTCTCGCTCGCTCTCCATTCTTTACATTGTCCACTGTGCGTCGCTCCTCCCCTCCCTTTCTCTCAGGTGCTGCCAAGGTATCCGCATCGCACTTCGGGTTTGAGACTTGATTCCCCCTTGGGCTCGATCAGTACGCAAGAGGCACCGTCGAAAGGGCACTGCCGCGCTCGTCAGCCTCCAGCCCTGTCTTGTCAGAGTCGTTGTGGACCGGAACGCGTACCCTGTTGTAGTCGGCCGGGCAAACCTGGGCATTTCGGCCCGGTAGGTTGCACTTGTTACTCGTCTGCGTGCAGCTCTGCGGCGTACGCAGTCAGCCATCCTCACGCATCCTTTTTTTTTTTTTTTTTTTTTTTTTTGCCTTTTGGGTTCCGGCCGGACTTACACCTCTGATCCTGTTCTCGTCCTGGCCGGACGACTGCCGCGCCGCGAGGAGAGCTTCGCGGTCGAGCAGGCGTGCCGAGACGGTGCCGCTCGCGCTGAGGGCCACGAGGAGGACGATACGGAGGGTGTGCATGAAGCCGGGTCTTCGTCTTCGTCCTGTGATACGGCACGTGCTATGCCTCGAGCTCCTGGGCCACCGGGTCCGTCGAGCACTGCCTTCGAGAGAGAGGGATTCGACTTCCTTTTGGTGCGAGGGGATCCGATAACGATACTGGCGGTTGATAAGCGAGTGTGGTGCTGCGCGAGTCTAGTCAACGTTTAACAGACACGCTTCCGAGGAAGCGGGAGACAGGAGAGGAAGGGACGGGGAGCAGAGGCGTGCGCGTGGGCTATTCTATACAGGCAACTCCGACTCCAGACGAAACGCCACCCCGTCCCCTTTGCCGTGCTCGTACGTATTTGGGATTGAATAAGGGACGATGCCCTCATATGCCTTGGAGAAGGTGGACACGACATTGCTCACTGGCCACCAGCTCGTACGAGAAGGAGTTTCATCACACAGACCGTCTTGGTCTTCCTCCCCTCCCCCCTAAATGGAACGCGCTCATCTGCCAACGTCACTGCCGAAACGGAGCGGAGGCAGGGCGCGTGTAGGTGCAGTAGCTTGTCTTGTCTGGTTCGTACGCACGCCCCAGGTAGCCGACGACGTCAATGCTCATGAACGCCATGCTCTTCCCCTTGGCTATCCGAAATCGCACGGTCAACTGCCACTTTCCCCCTCCCTTGCATAAGACGTCGGACTGGTGGCCGTCCTTCTGTCATTAAATGTGAATAACAAGCCTTCCATAGCCAAGCCCTCCCTTCTCCTCCCCTTCCTCCTCTTCCGTCGTCACGTCACGTCATGTCACGTCACACCACGTCGCACCCTCATCATCTCTGCTCGACTGTATCGACATGCACACACTGACAGCGGTAGAGTGTTAGCCGCTGACCCCTCGTCCATTTGCAGGTACCTAGTGCACCTTGCCCCGGACATTGAGAGTGGGGTCGGTTCCCCTTGCCTTGTATCGCATACCGCCTTCCTCTTTCGAGTAGCATTGGCAAAACACCCCGCCAAACCTATCCGCGATGGCATCAAAAATCTGGGACGTTGAAGATGTATGTGGGGGTGAGCAATACGGCCAGAAGGACCACGCTTGATTTTTTTGAAGCCAGAAACTCCCAAAGACACGCAGCTCGTAATTGACGGCTGAAAACGCGCCCATAATGGCTTCTAAGCCTACTCACCTAGAGCCCTCCAAGCTCGGTACAAGAGAATAGTCGGTCCACCCCTCCCCCCTCCCTTTCCAGTTGATGCCCCGGGGAGGGGGCATCGCAAGCCAAATCCGATCCTCCTACCATTACCGCAACTGACACACCAGACCGAACAGCTGGTCCAGCCTCTACACTACCGAGCTCACGAACAACGCCTCTAACCCAGACGACCGCGGCACCGTCTGGTTCGACGACTCGGACGCCGAGTCCAAGCTCCTGACCTACCTCGAGGACCTCACCGAGTCCGCCCCCTTCGACCACTCCATCCGCCAATCTGACGCCTCGTTCCTAGACCTCGGCTGCGGCAACGGCTCCCTCCTCTTCGCCCTCCGCGACGAGGGCTGGGCTGGCCGCGCCCTCGGCGTCGACTACGCGCCGCAGAGCGTCGAGCTCGCCCGGCGCATCGCCGCCCGGAGGCAGGCCTCGTCCTCGTCCTCCGCAGACCAGGAAGACGAGGACATGGCGGACGCGGGGGAAGGCGAGGAGGAGGATGGCGAGGCCAAGGAGCCCGAGTTCCAGGAGTGGGACGTCCTCAACGGCCCCTGGGAGACGGTCCTCAACGGCGTCCAAGCCCAGGGCTGGGACGTCGTCCTCGATAAGGGCACGTTTGACGCCATCTGCCTCAGCGACGAAAAGGACGCCCGCGGCCGGCGCATCTGCGAGGGCTACCGCAGCCGCGCGCTCTGCCTCGTCCGCCCAGGCGGCCTGCTCCTCATCACGAGCTGCAACTGGACCGAGGAGGAACTGAGGGCGTGGTTCGAGGGACCCGCCAACGAGGACGACATCGGCCGCTTCGTCGCCGTCGGAAAGGTTGACTATCCCAGCTTCACGTTCGGCGGCGCCAAGGGTCAGACCATCAGTAGCTTGTGCTTCCAGAAGCAGATATAGGCCGGCTCATCACGATGCCACGAGTTAGACGAATGAATAGCCCATCAAGATACCCAAATCCATTGGCACAGTGCGGCTGTAAGCACACATGACACCTTTAGTCAATGCTCCTTTTTGTTGCGTCGCGTTCCCGCTTCTGACAGCTGCTGGTGTATCATACATTGCGTTTCTCGTTCAGGGAGTGGTATCGATCGGTGGCGGCGCCCGCCCTTGTATCCATCCTCCGATACCCCCCTTAACTCAGCGTGCAACCTATGCTCTAGGACCGTCCCTTTCGCCAAGCCCAAACCATCTGAAGATGCGCGCACACCATTCTGTCTCTCTCTCTCTCTCGTTCTCTCTATTGTATATTTTTTCCTTTTCTTTTCCGCAAAACCTTAAAGGCGAGCCGAAGGAGCACCAAAGACCGGCATATGTTGGTCGATGCATTCAAGGGAGGAATATTGGAACGACCCGGGTAAAAAGATTGGGAATTGCTTCATTACGTTTCTCATCTATGGTGATGTGTTCATAGGCTCGCCAGTGGAAGGTCCAGAAACGCTGTTCGCGGACGTTGTGGCGAAGTACCGCACGTCGACATCGTCATCCTTTTGCAGCTTCTCCAACTTGGGGATGACGCGCGTCTGGATCAGCTCCATACCTCTCGGGGATGCGGTGAAGCTGTTGCCCTCCTTCTCCAACGAGTAAATGGTGCCCTCTTCCGGCAGGCGGCGCAGAACGTCAATCAGAACGCCGTATGTCTTGGCAACGTTGAAGCGGATGTTAGGGATCTCGTCATCAACGAGCTTGTCCAGCATCGGGAGGATCTTGTCAGCAATGACATCAAGGCTCACGACCGAAGCGAGAGTCTGCGACTTGTTAGCACACTTGACATGACACGGATGCTCTGTAGTAAAAGTGAGCCACTCACGGTGATGGCGAATGCGGTCGTCATTCGGTAGAGGTAGTTGGGGTGGTTGCCCATAGCCATAACCTTGGGGATGATCGCCTCGCTTGCCCATTCAACCCCGAATACCTCGGTGAGCTTCTTCAAGTTATGCGTCGCGGCCTCACGGATCGAGAAGACCGTGTCGCCGAGCCAACTCATGCACAGGTTGCTAAGCTTCTCATCGAAGAACTTGACTCCGAGCTGGCTTGCAAGGAGAGGGATATACTCGATGATGGCCAATCTCACTCGCCACTGCTTATCCTCGGCAAGCTGAACGATGGCGGGGAGGAGTGACTGTGATAGTAGGTCGATACCGATGACTGCGGACGATTAGCAATGCGCCTCCGCCGAGAACAAAGCTCACATACCCTGGTTAACCAGCTCCAGCTTGGAAATGATGTGAAGGCGAACTTCGGGGAACTCGTCCTTCAACATCTGCAAGAACATGGGCAGCAGGTGGTCGATGGTCCTGTTGAGGCGTCAGTCATGTCTTCTTTTTACTTCAGCAGCCAGGTCACCTACTCTTGCTTGCCCAGTATGGGGGCAAGACCGCTAATCTGAGTTCCCAGAGCAGCTCTGACGTGCTGGGAAGTATCGGATACAAGGTCCTCGACACTGCTCATGATATCGTTCAAGAGGACGGTTCGGTCGACCAGAGCACAGAACCCGGGTATTTGTCCAGCGATAGCAGTCCGAACCTCTGCCTCGTTGTCCTTGAGAAGTTTGACGAAAGACGGCACCAGATCTCTTGAAACAACCTCTTCATCGACGGCCTTGGAAATCTATACGCGCATTAGCGTAAACTCATCACCCACAGGAGGACTCCGTCCAACCTTCTCAAACCTGTCGGCAATCATGTACCGGACCCTCCAGCTCTTGTCCTCGATCAGGTTGCGCAAGGAGGTGAGCAGCACGCCATGGCTCGACTGCTGCTCCTTGGGCACGACTTCGGCGATGGAGATGAGGATCTCGACGGTGAGGAGACGAACACTGTCCTGGTCGTCTTGGGCAAGGTGCTGGAAAAGGGGTATCATCTCCTCGACAACAATAGCAGCCGGCATCTCCTTGACGAACTTCGCGAGGTTGGTGGCGGCTTGGCGTCTGACCATGGGCGTCTCATCGTGAACAAGCTGGCCGAACTGCTTCCGGAGCTCTTCTTGAACAGGCGGGGACACCTTCTTGTAGGGCGTTGTGAAAAGGCCGCAGCCAGACACCTTGGAGGTGAACCAGTCTGCTTTTGACAGTCGGATGGTCAAGGGGATGAAGTATTCTTCGACTTGCTGGGAGGAGAGCTCCTCGCAAATCTTGTTAAGGGACTCGACGGCCTGTTTTGGTTAGGCGACGTGACTTGGTCGGGTGGAGCAGGGCAATAGCTACCTTGTCCCGCACGACAGGCTCCTCGATCGCAGCGAGGTTCTCGAGGGGTGAGAGGAGGACATGACCCCATTGGGGGCCTCCAACGTACTCGATGAAGTTGCCCAGCTCGCCGCTGAGCGCGACCAGTACCTCGTCCTCATCCTCGACGGATTCTATTGGTTTGTTTAGATATTGTCTCAGACGGAATAGGATGCGCGACACATACCGTCGAGGAAGGGAATCAATTCCTCTCGCGTGCGCTCGGCGCCCAAAGCGAGGGCGATGGTGGAAAGGCGGTGGATGGCATTGAGACGCAGGAGGACATCGTCATGCTGGGTTTGATAGGTTAGCAATGAAGTGTGCGCCGGGGGATGGGAGGCTGGCATCGGGGCTGGCCAGGCAGTCACCGCCATACCTTTAGCTCATCGATGAGGACGGCGATGGGGTAAAGCTCGTCCTGGGTATTCGGCGCGTCTGCCATGGCGAGCGAGAAAGCACAGGCGCGTCTATCGATGGGGGGGCTCGAGCGATGTTCAGGAGAGTCGACGTCTTGGTTTTCAGCGATCGAAGTGGATCGCGTGCGAGTGATGCAATGGGTTGGTTGAGGGCGAGCGGCGGTCGTTGTGGGATGGGGGTGGGCGGGCTCTGAAATCCGAGACGATGCAACCGGGGTGGTGGATGGTAATTACTATCAGGAGGTTGCGGGCATGCAGACCACGCCACTATCCGACGGCGGGTTGGCGACAAGTATGAGTTGGTTGTCGTGGTGAGAAGAGAGGATTCGTTCGTGTGGGAGTTGGCGGAGGAGAAATGTGGTGTTGATTTGAGATAGGTAGCGACAGCACAAGGCACGGAGAGGGAAGTTTGACGCTTCGGAGGTCTCTGCTTCTGGTGCTGTCCCACCCGGCCAGCACGCTACTGTACTTGAATTAGAAGAGGCGTCAGTGTGGTGACGGGGAACAGCAAGCAGTCCAGGGCGTCTAGGAGCCCTGTATCTGTGACTACCTAGATGAGCCGCCTTAGGTAAGGCTGCCAAGGTACGTACCAGGTCTTCTTTGGGCGGTGGGAGCAGTAAGGCAGGGGTACAGGGAGATGTGGTGCTCTGCCCTTGAGATGAGTTGTGAGGGGCTGTTGCCTCTGAGGAGCTGAAGAGAGAGGGTTTACTAGCACTGACGTATCTCTTCCTTCGACGCACGGTAGGTAGGTACACTACTTTCTAGACCTTAGGCGTCCTTCTTTGACAGGATGAGGACATGTTCGTGCAAGAAACGCGACGCCTGTAGCTATCTACCTACAGGTAGGTTGCACCAGATGTCTTTACTAGAGAGATCCCTTCTGACCCTTTGGTTGGCAAGTCTCCCCGGTGACCAGCTGAGGGAGGGGTCACTTGAGATGCAGCTAAGGCACCTAAAATGTCTACCCAACCAAGAGAGTGGCCAACGAGAACTACATGATCATGGGCATTCCCCAAAGCAGATTTAGAGCTATGAGATAATGACGTAAAGGTTCCAAGCGTGTTCATGCATCGAACAAAATCAACTATCACTCTCAGAGATGGTGAGGCAGTTATGAGCTGCCATCCATCAAACTTTGAACATCAATGATAGCTATCACTATCTATCCCGACTTCGTCTGTTGATGACGAGCCTGCCGCCGCACTGGTCGCCAGCTGTCATCGGCCCTGTTCTGCACCGAAGACGTTTGCTGCATCTCGTCCAGCAGTAGCAGCTCTGCGCTGCCGGTTTCGCCTGGCACGGGCCACTGGAGTGACATCGGACCCTGGAAAATTGAGATGCCGAGTCCTGCCGCCGCTTTTGATGCCCCTCAACCCCGCAGCCCCTCAAACATTGTGCGGGAACGGGCAGTGAGTGGCCTGAACGACTCCCACCAAGCCCGTAAAAGCAGCAAGTTCATCCCGCCTGCGAACCCCCCCATGGGTGGTGTTGCTTCACCTCCGAATATCCCCAAAAATCTGTGACTCAAGGCCATACTAGGAGAAGGAAAGTGACCATTGCCCGATCCTCTCCTGCCCTCGACGACCGACGGACCTCTGTATCCTCGAGAGAACCTCGCCAATCCTCACCATGCCTACCATATCCGTCAACAAGTACGATTTGTACAAGGCCCTGGGCCAAAAGTAAGTTGCGCCGCCAGTCGCACCCACCATATCACGACCCCGCCATCCCGAAATGTCCCTTTTGCTAACCATCACCACGCAGCTTCACAACCCAGGAGTTTGAAGACCTCTGCTTCGAATTCGGCATCGAACTTGACGAGGACACCGAAAATGACGAGCGGCCGATTGTCAATGGCGTGCAGGAGCCGCCCCAACTCAAGATCGAGATCCCAGCCAACCGATACGACATGCTATGCTTCGAGGGAATAGCACTCATGCTCAACATCTTCAGAGGAACCGTCGCTGCGCCCAACTACAAGGTCGTCGCGCCCAAGAACCCCGAGACCCAGGTCATCACCGTCGCCCAAGACACCGGCAAGATCCGACCCCTCGTCGCCGGCGCCATCCTCCGCAACATCAAGTTCACTCAAGAAAGCTACGACTCCTTCATCGGTCTCCAGGACAAGCTGCACATGAACCTGGCGAGACAAAGAACATTGGTGGCTATTGGAACCCACGACCTCGACACGATACAAGGCCCTTTTACATATGAGGCCCTGCCGCCTAGGGACATCAAGTTCAAACCCCTGAACCAGACCAAGGAGATGAACGGCGAGGAGCTCATGCAGTTCTACGAGGGCGACAAGCACCTCGGCAAGTACTTGCACATAATCAAGGACTCGCCCGTCTATCCCGTCATCTACGACAAGAACCGCGTTGTCTGCTCCCTGCCGCCCATTATCAATGGTGACCACTCCAAGATCACCGTCGACACCAAGAACGTTTTTATTGAGATGACGGCCACCGACGCCACCAAGCTCGACATCGTCTGCGACATGATGGTCACCATGTTCTCGCAGTACTGCTCCGAGCCCTTCACTGTGGAGCCCGTCAAGATTGTCTCCGAGCACAACGGCGCCTCAAGAACGACACCCACCCTGGCGCCCCGCAACATCGACGTCGAGATCGACTACCTCAACGCCTGCACTGGTCTCAACGAGTCACCCGAGACCTTGTGTAAGCTTCTTACCAAGATGGCCTACATCGCCAAGCCTTCCACCAAGGACAACAACCTATTGAACGTGTCTATCCCCGTCACCCGTGCCGACGTGCTCCACCAGTGCGACATCATGGAGGACCTGGCTATCTGCTACGGATACAATAACCTTCCCAGATCTTCTCCTAACAAGAGCGCAACCATCGGCGCTCCTCTCATGATCAACAAGCTGGCCGATATTGTCCGGACAGAGGCCGCCATGTCCGGCTGGAGCGAAGTCATGCCCCTCATCCTCTGCAGCCACGACGAGAACTTCGGTTGGCTCAACCGAAAAGATGACGGCAAGACTGCTGTCAAGCTTGCCAACCCCAAGACTGCCGAGTACCAGGTTGTCCGTACATCTCTGGTTCCCGGTCTCCTCAAGACCATCCGCGAGAACAAGAAGCACAGTGTCCCCATCAAGATTTTCGAGTCGGCAGACGTCGTCTTCAAGGATGAGTCTCTGGAGCGCAAGGCTCGTAATGAACGTCACTTCGGTGCCGCCTGGTACGGCAAGACCAGCGGCTTCGAGGTTGTTCACGGTCTCCTCGATCGCATCCTCCTGATGCTCCGTACCGCCTTCCTCACCCATGACGAGGGTCTGACGGCTGGCAAGAGCGTCGACTTCAAGGTCGTCGAGAACCCCAGCAAGCCTGACGGCTACTGGATCGAGGAGATTGACGAGGCTACCTTCTTCCCCGGCCACGCGGCTGCCATCTACCTGCGTCTCGGCGGCAAGGAGGCGCGCATCGGAGAGTTCGGCATTCTGCACCCCACTGTGCTGGAGAAGTTTGACTTGAGGTTTGTTTCCGAGTCTTCATAGCTCTCTGAATTGTAGAATACTAACTTGTGCACAGATACCCCGTGAGCACCCTCGAGATCAACCTCGAGGTCTTCTTGTAGTGACGAGCATGATGGGATATGAGCATGACGAATGGCTGCGGTTCGTTTAAAATCGTGAAATAAGAAAAGGGAGACTCAGCTTGGCGATGGGTGGTTGAATATGGACTTTGTTCTTTACACCAGACTAGCTGATCCGATGCCCAACGAAGCAATAGACACAGGGGGAAAAAAGAGAAGAGAAAAAAAGATCATTGAACAAAACCCATTCCCCTACAGTGATCATTATTGAAGACTTTGTGGCGTAGACATCATTTCGGGGCCAACAATCGATGCCCCCTGTATAGGCAAAGAAAGGCATGCCCTGGCGTCTGGGGTCCAACATGCACCCGTCCTTGACAACTGTCACCGATGGACTAAGAGGTTGTTACTTGGAAAACTGATTAGAATTATGGAACTGAGAGTACAGGGAGTTCAAAATCCAAGCGGTCCTATATAATGGATCCCCCCCAGCGTCTCTCTATCTCTCCGCCCTCTCACTCTCTCATCTGTCTCCATTCCACTCAAGCCGCTCAATCCACGCCTAATTTTCTTTTTATTCCAGATTCTTCCCATCTGAATTACCGTGTATGAAGCCGTTTCTGTTCGTTCCGTTTCGTTGCGTCTTGAAGCCCCCTTTACCGCTCTTGGATGCAAGTTGTCTTCTAATTCTGCTGACCTGACGCCGGAAAGCAGACTGTGCAAATGCCGGTTCCGGCATGAGCAACGTTCCGAAGCGAAGAAGTAGGGTAAAAAGGCGAGGCGAGGCGAGGTGAAGAGTAAAAGATAAAAAAAAGTCGTAGTACAAGTACAGAAACGCCATTGCGTTGTCGTTATGGAGCCGTGAAACACTCCACCCGAATTCCCATACCGCTTTTTGCTAGAACCATCCGTTCATTCTTTTGTAGTCGTAAGGTGGAAAAATGCATCGGGTCCCGCCAAACTCTTGAAATATTGAACTAGGTTGTGGACCGCTTGTCCATCAGGTCGCACTGCTAATCGAAGTTCATAGACCTGCCGTTCTCAGCAGACAAGAGTTCCTCTACACTCGAGCCCACCATAATGAAGAGACCGCCATTGGTGATCTCACCCGTCGCGACGCACCCGAGGGATTGGATGGAAGAGGTGTCGGAACATGCATCATCTTTGGCATCTCTCTTAGCGACGCCATCCACGAAGTTGATCGATGTACCAGAGCGGATACTGTTGACTGACGTATCCTCGATCAAGACGCTCTTCAAGCTGGTCAAGCTCTCGATGCCAAAGTTCACCATCCCTTTGGTCCCCCATGCCCAGACTGATTCGTCATCCCAGTCACTCATTGTGTAATTCGGGTCATCCCAACTCTCCTGGTAGAAGAGCTCAGCGTCAAGCATCATGGTCTTGTCCGTCACTTCGATTGTGTAAGGCGCTTCGTGCATGTGTTCGAACATGACGCCCTATGTCATTTCCCGGAGCTCTTGCTCGGTGCGGCTTGTAACTCTCGAATTAGACGCCGGGCTAGCGTTGCGCCCGCCGAGATTGGTGAGCATGCCGCTAACGTTCTTGCCGATGTTCAGGCCGGCGATGCCGTCTCTCAAGGCACTGAAGGCATTCGAGTTCTCGGCCGATACACTTCGGTGCAAAGCCGGTGCCTGTCGCTCTTGTCGACTAGGGGTAAGTGTCGTATGCGCCGTCTCCACGGCTGCAAGAACGGACTGGCTGGTGGGCAGAGCCGGCGGCGGCTTGGGGCTCGAAGCTTCTTGAGGCGGGGTGCCGGGCTGGCTGTCTACGTACGATTCCTCAGTAGATGGCTGGAAGTTGGCCAGAGCCGAAGCTCTGTTGACTGCGGCGGCCGCCACAGCGTTCAACTGCGAGTTCATCTCCTCGTCGGTACGGTTGAAGAGCTGATGCCACCAGCGGATGTCATCAAGGTTCGGCTTGATGATACGGCCACGGTCCTTAACGTACTCGTCAATGGTGGGGTCGTACTCCTTGTTGGTGAACTCCGGCCTCCGGGACAAGAAGTAGTCCCACACCGAAGCTGTTCGCTCGGACGCTCTGGCTTCAGTCCTCTGCTTCTCGGAGTTGTAGAGGAATGTACCGTACTGGCAAGAATAGAGATGGTAAATCAGACGGCGAAGGAATCTCTCGTTGAACTCGAATTTGGTTGGGTTCTGGCGGAGAAGCTGATACACACAGTCCAGAAACTGGTGGAAGACGGGACTGATCATTTTCGGAACCGTGGCCTCATCTTTGGCGACCTTTCCCGTAGAACCCTCAGCGACGGCTTCGAGGTCAGCCGCTTCCTCCTTGTTGGGGTTGAAGAACTGCCTAGCGCCAGTAAAGAGATTCTGGAAGGCATCGTCACGGCCATCGTTGTCGCCAGGCTGGACTGTTGAGCCAGCCATGCCATCCTTCTGGACAGTGAACCAGCTCTCGTGGTTCAGGTGGCCAGATCGAAGCCTAAACATGTGGCCAAACGATACCCAGTCCTTCTCAACCAGAACGATGAAACCCTCAATGGTCCGGTAATAAGGGTCCAGCAGAATCTGGGCAAGAGCACTGAGCTGGCTGGTTCTGTCCCACCCATCGGAGCAGTGGATTAGGACATGAGAGTGCTTAAACCACACCTGCCGGGCAACAATATCAGCTCCGTTCAGGACGGCTTGCGTATGTCTCAGCCAGCCAGTCGAAGCCAAGGCATTCTGGTCCGGGGACAATGGGGAGATGTCGGCGTCTTTGAGGCAGTCTACAACTTTGGCCAACGAGCTCCTCATGACGTGGATGTTCTCAATGTTCATGAACGCCTTCTTGGCGCCAGGGTATCTATCCATCGGCTCAGATCCCATGCCTTGAACTTGATTGACCATAGCGTTCACAGTAGGTCTGGCATCGACAATCATGTTGGCTTGCTGGGCGCCGTAAATGAGTCGCTTGCCCTTCTCGTCATACATCTTGGGTTCTGCATCTGCAATCGCCTGCTCCTCCAGCCTGGCCTGCTCCGAGAGCTCTGACTCATCCAAAGAGTTCTTCTGAGAGGTGTCTGACTGGCTCCGGCGGGGAGGCTGATCCCTGTCGATGCTGGTCCGGGGTACAGTTGGAGCGAATGAGGCCATGACGAGCTTCTCGTCCTGGATATTGTTCTTCCTGGTGATGCCCGACAAAGGTTGGGCGCTACGAGTGATGGTGCAGTTATTGGCTGGGTGAATGTAGCTAAGCACTGGGATTCTGTGTCGCGATCGGTACTCCTTGGCGTACTTCAGGACATTGTCAGAGATGGAAGAGGGGACCACCAGAATAGCGGGGTAGGTATCGCAAAAAGTGTAGTCCTTGTTGATGTTGGTGATTCTCCATCCCTTATCTGCTGACTTCTCGCTGATGCCCTGGCGGCGGAATTCGGCTTTGGGATCATAGATCTTCCAGCCATTAACTTGTCTCTCAGCCTTGGAGCCCTTGTGGCTGAAAGCAAAGAGGTTCTCAATGGTGCCGAGCTTGCAGGTCCTGAGCTTCACGAACTCAAAGACATCTCGGGCAACGTTGTTGTCTTCGAACATGAAGGTGACAAAGATGAAGTCGCGACAGCGGATGCGAATAGAGCTGTGGATGCCGTGGTTCGGAGGCATGAGTCGGAGGGTGCAGTGTGAAAGGATGGGGTAGGTAATCCATGATTCTCGGTGCTTGGGAGGAGGGAGAGGCTGGCTGTTATGATTGCTGTCGTCCTTGTTCTGGTCCTTGAGGGGAGGCAGCGGTGCGCAGAAAACGAGGTGGAAATCGGTGAGTCGCAGAGTGCCGACCGAGGTAAGGCCTCCGTTGATGCACTGGACGTTTTTTACTACCTAGTTCAGGACGCAACATAGTCAGCTTTGTTTCTTCCCCTTTTCCATGCTGCCAGGGAGCAACTGGAAGAGCATGTGCAACTTACCTTCCTGGCCTCCATGGTGAAGTGCTATTGAAGATGATGCTTCTTTGAGCTACTGCAGCATGGCTGCGTGCGGAAGGTCTAGAGGGGTTGACGGTTTGTAGGTTGAGATGTTCACTTGAAGGAGAGCAGCTGAGACGCCGCGCAACTTCAGTGAAGAGGAAATAGGAAAAAGAAGAAAGAAAGAAAGGACCGCGATGGAGAGAAGACAAGAAGGGAAAATCAATGTAACTGCGTAGAGTTGAAGTTAAAGAGGTTGCGCAGGGTAAGGTTTGGAAGGTGAGGTAAGGTTGGTAGCGTAGGGGGGTTGTCACGGTGGTCGGCGGTCCAGCAGTTTGGCTGACGCTTCTGGTCGTTGCAATGTGGGCAGGTGCAGGCGCAGCAAAAGCAGGAAGGGACGGCTGATCCAGGTCCCCACTAAAAGCTTAGCGCGGGGCCGAGAACAGAGAGCCGACGTCACGCCTTCCAAAGAGTGTTTGGCTATGGAATGCCAGGGTCTTTATGTTCAAAATCCACCTTCGACAGCTGGATGTCCACGACCTGATTTGGAAGAAATTGATCTCAGTTTTGGAAAGAATTATTCTTTATGATTTGTATAAAAAAAAAAAGGAAAAGAGACAAGTAGACTGTGTCTCGTTTCCTAAGAGAGTAGTAATTTAGCTTAGGCATTCCTTCACTGCTGAGGAAAGGGTTGGGTGATAAAACAGCAGCTCTCAATCTTGAACTGACGGCTTCAGCTGGGGCCTGTAAATGACTTTCCTTCACTGGCGTGGCCCGGGGGTTGACAACGCGACCAGGGACCTCCCACTCCAACAAGCTGTCCCCCTTGAAACCCCACCTCCGGCAAACGGAGCTCTCTCTCCCGATTCCCGACAGTCAGCCACCACGTGAAACGTCAGCAGCGGAGAGGTACGTACCTCTATCTATCACACGCGCCGCGCTGTCAGCTGGCAGGTCACCACAGCTGGCACACGGTGGAGAACCCTCAACCCGACTGACCGATAAGGCCAGCACAGACCACCAAAGTCCCCTTATCGTCCACCTCCTAGGGCACACAGAATTTCAATTTCGCGGTCCAAAATCTTGCGAGGCACTGGACGACTGGCGAAGCGGGCTACCTGAACAACCTCACTTCTCAACCCTCTCACCCGCCCCCCCGACCGCGAACGAACCGTCGACACCTCCAACAACCCGTCCCAACTATCCCACCCCTTCTTTTTTTTTTCGACAACCGGGCAAAGAAGTCAAGATGGCTGTTCCAGGCACTCAGATGTAAGCCTTTTCCCCCCTTCTGTGTTGCGAAGAATAAAAGGTTTCACCCCCGCCGGCGCGAAACATTTCACGATCTTGAAGGGGGTTGAAAAGAAGGCGAGAAAATAACAAGAAGATTGCGGCGCACAAGGAAATTTCTACACTGGATCGCTAACCAATTCTACTCAACAGCTCCAAGCGCAGAAAGTTCGTCGCCGATGGCGTCTTCTACGCTGAGCTCAACGAGTTCTTCCAGCGCGAGCTGGCCGAGGAGGGCTACTCCGGCGTCGAGGTCCGCGTCACCCCCACGGTAACCGACATCATCATCCGCGCCACCCACACCCAGGAGGTCCTCGGCGAGCAGGGACGCCGCATCCGCGAGCTCACCTCCCTCATTCAGAAGCGCTTCAAGTTCCCCGAGAACTCCGTCTCCCTCTACGCCGCCAAGGTCCAGAACCGCGGTCTCTCCGCCGTCGCTCAGTGCGAGTCCCTCCGCTACAAGCTCCTCAACGGTCTCGCCGTCCGTCGTGCCTGCTACGGTGTCCTCCGCTTCATCATGGAGTCTGGCGCCAAGGGTTGCGAGGTTGTCGTCTCCGGCAAGCTCCGTGCCGCCCGTGCCAAGTCCATGAAATTCACCGACGGCTTCATGATCCACTCCGGTCAGCCCGCCAAGGACTTCATCGACTCCGCCACCCGTCACGTCCTCCTCCGCCAGGGTGTCCTCGGCATCAAGGTCAAGATTATGCGCGGCTCTGACCCCGAGGGCAAGGCCGGTCCCCAGAAGACCCTCCCCGACGCCGTCTCCATCCTCGAGCCCAAGGAGGAGCAGGCCGTTGTCCAGCCCATGTCCCAGGACTACGGCGCCAAGGCCGCTCAGGCCCAGGCCGCCGCCGAGGCGCAACAAGCGGAGCAGCAGGCCCAGGAGGGCGGCGAGGAGGCCGAGGCTCAGTCGTAGGAGGCTGCCGAGCCGCAGGTTTCTTCTCATGTCGTCGAGGAGACTGCTGAGTCTGGCGCCGGCCCGGCTGGTTGGTAAACGACGTCAGTTGGGGAAGGAAAAAAAAACTTTTGGTCTGCTTTCCGCTAGCTTCTAGTCTCTATTGTCTACTTTCCCAAAAAATACCAGACAGACTTGGAGATGACAAAAATGGGGGTGTTCGCGCGAACCAGGCACAAAAAAAAGTTATCGGGAGGACGGGGGTGTGGAATACTACTACTCAGGCGTCTTGATCAACATTTGCATCACTCTGCGAAAGGGGAATTCGGATAGTTGCGACTGGCTTGTAATGGTAGAACAAACCATGAAATGAGCAACGAAATCATTCAAGTAAAACGATGGTGCCTTGCTATTATACTCGCTTCGTCCAAGTGACGGACGCCCGGCGTGCATGACAGAAGGGATTGGGTATGAAGCCCTGCCGGAACCGCGTTCGCAATCGAGGTCGTAACGGGTCCATGATGTTCTCAATTCGCCAGGCTCCTGGCCCCGGTCTTACGTCTATGATGCTTTGAATGCTTCTGGACAATGCACAAAAAATGCCAGTCTCCGGGCGAATCGGGGTATGCCTCTTGTAGTCACGCCCTCCCGCATCGTCGCCTCCCTAATCGTACAATAGGTGCCTTCGCACGTGGTGCCATGGAACCCCCAGTAAACGCCCACCCCTCCCCCCGGGTGATCCCTCCCGTGCCGATGATGCTCCTCGTGCCGTGGCAGAAGTGAAATAGTGTGGAAAGCTTGATGGTTCTGGTTTCCTAGTGCTTTCCCTTTCCCTTGCTTAGGGTGCACCTGCACCTTTTCCGTAGTAGGTCTTTGCCTCTTTCATGAATCCGATCATGTCGTGGAGAACTTCTCAAGTCATATGGCTGTGGAGAAAAATGTACAATACTGCCCCCATATCGGGCTCCTAATAAGAAATGTTGCGGAAAAAAAAAGAAGAAAAAAAGGACAATTGCCGCCTCAACGTCTACCCATGACTAGAGAGTAGACGGTTCCACTGTACCCTCTCATCTGTTGGACCTCTGGTTCTGGAGCTCGATTGTCTCGTTGTATGATTTCGAGTGGCCTTTGGCGGATCCGTTCGCTCTATGATGAGCATCGTCGTCGTCGCTTTCCTCGGCTAGATCAGTGAGACCGAACTCGGCACCAGCCTCCTCGTCATAGGCCCTCATCAAGCCAGTCGTGTCACCATGGCGACTACCGATGCTCATGCGGTGGGGATCTTGGCTCCTGCGGGCTTGCATGCTCAGGCGAGTTTGGATGGTGGAGATCATGTCCGTGCCTGTAGCATCATCGCCACCACGACCGGCAACCAGATTGTGTCCGTTCGGGTCGGATCTCGAGAGGTTCAACAGGTAGACGCCAGTGAAGGTAACGAGGAAGCCGCAGAGAAGGGATATCGTGTTGACCGTATCGGTAGTGTTGAAGCCGCCGAACAGAATGAAGGAGGCGCAAAGAGTCGCCGTCGTGAAGGTTACATAGTAGAGGGGATTGACACTGCATCGTCTCTCGTTAGCGCAGTCCGAAGCGCGCACCACGGGACGGCTATACTCACATGTTTGTGGGGAACTGGGCAAGTGCCTTGTTAAAGTAGTTCATTTGCGTCAGGATGCAAACGGTCGTCAGGATCATGAAGACGTAGGTCGAGGGGTGGCTGAACTGGTTGTTTCCGGCGAACGTGAGCTTTAGTGCGATTCCGAAAGCCTTGACTGACATGACAGAAATTGAGCCGACCGTCGAGCAGATGGAGAGGTAGATGATGGGGTTCTTCCGTCCGTGAACCGGCGCGACCTTGTAAATCATGAAGACGGCGAAAGAAGTGACGGCAAATGCATACAGCAAGAAGCCTGGGGTGGCATTAGTTGTCGGTCGCATTGCGTTCTACCGCTGGAGCTGCAGACTTACCAGGCTGGATGGCGTAATGCAGGATCTGGTCAATGGTCTGGATGTCTTCATCTGGGGGCGCATGAAGAACAATGATGACGGCTCCGATGAGACAGATTGCACTTCCCAGGCGGCCCAGGACACCGAGCTCTTCCTTCAAGAAATATGATCCCAGAACGGCTCCGATGAGGACAGATAGAGCTCCGAGAGGGGTGACGAGAATGGCTGGCGCGAAGGCATACGCGGCAAAGTTGCAGATTTCCCCGAGGACCACTGAGCACCTGTTAGCGATTTGCAGCCATCAGTCGAAGGGCAGGACCAATGCAAACTCACAGGTCGAAATTCCAGCCCACCACACCGGGCTCTTGAGGTACACGTATCCGTCGCCTTCGAAGCCGTGACGCTCTTCCGCTTGCATGAGACCCTGAGGTGGAGGGTTAGCTTCCACACTTGATAAAGGTAATCGACGTTGCCAGGGCGGCCGCAATATTCGGAAGTCGCGCGTACCTTTTTCGTCACAACGAAGCTAATACCTGCAAGAAGGCACGGTTAGTGGTGGTTCTCGAGTGTCTTTGAAAAATTGTATGCATACCAATGGCTAAACTGGACGCCATGGCGAGGCCGAGGCCAATGTATCTGCGCGAGGTTGATTGTCAGCTAACTAGAGCCCCGAGGCCAGGTGGAAGTGGTGGCATCTGGATGGCGACGAGGATGCCGGCCAGGTCGCAAACGTACTTCTCATCTAGCATCATCTTGCCGAAAGTGAGTGCGCCGACTGCGACAAAGGTGAGAAAGAGTGACGGTATTTGTTAGGCGGATGCGCCGTGGCGAGGCGGTCGCTGTAGAGAATGTCGTACCCCGTGAAGGGAAGCTTGCGAGGCTCGCGCCGGGCGAGGTAGAGCGATTGGAGTGATGGCCGGACCTCGTCAGCAGCGACACATGGGAATATGGACCCTGGGGACACTGGCGGTGGCGGTAGCTGTAAGATCTGGAATCGAGCGCGATGACGGTCGTGAGATGGCGGCCGTCGTCGTCTTCTTCGCCGTCGTGGTGGTCGAGTTGGAGAATCGGGGCCTGGAGTGAGGTCGAGGGAGTCGTGGTGGTATGCGAGTGTCGGGGTCGAGAAAGGTGGGTTGGCGCGACTGGGAGGCCGAAAGGGGAGGGAGGGCGTTTCGTGGGATTTTGCGAACTGCGAAAGTGGTACGTAGCGGACAGACCACAGATGGATACCTATCTTTCTAGGTTTATTCCTGCGGTAGTACTGTGCCCAACCGACAGAGCAAGGCGAGAAACGGACAAAGCAAGGCAAAGTAGTGTAAAGCGAGGATGAAGGTAGTTGTGGTTTTGGTACTTGCTGGGAATGGTGCAGTGTAGTATGTGGTCCCGTAGCAGAGAAGGTGGTTTACGTAGTGGGTAGGAGCGTGGTGGAGGAATGCTAGCCGGCCAGATAGGGACAGGTTTGAGTTTCAGAGCCCCCTGGGGAGAGGGTTAGAGAGGTGTGCCCTTTCAGGTCTGGGGAGTCGAGGAGTCACCCGCTCAGTGGTTTGCCTAGGAAATAGGTCATGTACCTAATGTACGTGTGCGACAAGGGTGCGTGTTCTCTTTTCGTGTTGCCCGTTTTTTACGAGTTCTGAACAGTGAAAATGAGCAGAGTCAGGTACCGGACAAATAAATTTCAACAACTGATCCTGGAAACATCCCAGTGCCTCTGCACAAAGACGGGAACTTAGTCGCCATGCCAAACATGTTGAGTGCAGGTGGGTCCATCGTACCTGTATTCGTACCTGTGTTAAGTATCGACCTGGCGGGAGGGTCGAGAGGGGCTGAGGCCGACCGCACGGGGAACAGCGCGTTGGGGAAAATAAAGAGAGAGAGAGAGAGAGACCTGGCCAGGCTGTCCACTTTGGAGGGGAACAAAGTACGGAGTACACTAGGTACCTACTAACTGCTCAGCTTGCTCAGCCTGCTGCGGCTGGGGCGGCTGGGCAATGGACATGATGATGTGAGGTGGCATGCATGGCCTGCTGTCGTGTAGCAGGAGTGCGACGGGGACTAGAAGCGCTGTAGGATTTCTAGAGTTAAGACCGTGCAGGTCAGACACGGACAAGCACTGCAGACGACGGGCGGCGAGTGGCGGGATCAGTGGGATGGAACGTTCATCGCATGCGATTTGGACAAAAAGGCGATTCCTGACACAGCCAAATCTGCAGGGACGTCAAGCCAAGCCTCTTGGATATTCGAAACTTTTCCCTCTCGTCTTCGCCTGTGCCGTGAAGTAGTCTCCGCTCGCTGCACAAGATCGAGAGGAAGAGGAGGGAAGGGGGGATCTTAGTATTCCGTATCCCTTCCATCCATCTTGAGCCTCTCCCCCCTGTTCTCGCGTGATCCTGAGCGTTCTGTCCTGTGTTACCCTAGGGCGATGGCGCCGACGCTGAGGTCATCGCAGAGGTAGGGGTCTCGGAGCATCACCTGGACTAATGCAACTCGACTCAACTTCCGACAGGGGTGACGGCGCGTAAGGGGGACTTGATGTGTGAGGTTCCGCTGTTCTCTCCTCAGGAGGGCTACACAGTTTAGCAGCGCTCTCCTGAAGTATCAGACCGACCAGTCTTGAGGGGGTTTGAGGCTGCCAGCCTAGGCTCTCCTGTCACACGGAACTTATGGCGATCAAAACCCCTGGACCGCTTCCGTCAGGATCTAGGTGTGCAGTGCAATCCGCCTATTGTTGGGAACAGCAAGAACACATGCTAGTCATGGCTTAATTGTCTAGCCAAGGAAAGCACAGTGCTCTTCCCCCCCTGTCGAATCTCCATACGAAGATCCGATCCCACAAAGAGGGAAATCGGCATTTCTATTTTTCTCTCACAGGCCAAGTGGGTCCTGTTGAAACCGGTTCATTACGAAATGGCACTCGTCTACGTGTAAAAAAAAACCACCACACAGCCACATTTGTGTATTGTTAGTTAGGGTGAGTCGTCGTCACCAGCAAACGGGAATCTGTCGAGTCTGCTTTGCCAACACGGGCCGCTACAGCAGCCAGTGGCTGCCCAGGACTCCATGCCGTACCATAGGCAATGCGTGGGTAATAGTGCCATGGCAGAGAGGAATGTAGAGGCGCCATTCTATGCCGTAACTCGTGACCAGCGCCTTCCTGTCCACTGCCGCTCGAAAACGCGACCCACACGCCCCCTCAGCATGCCTCGTGCTCTGTGTACCCATGTCCAATTATCTCCAACAGACACTCTCCCCGGATCCCACATCCCGCTCAGGCGAGTTGCAAACAACCTGCCAACAAGTGCCATGCCGAGGGTCTCGCACAGCAGACATGTACTGTAAATTGTCCCTTGCTATGCGGTATCCCCCTCCTTTCATTGTGGAGGGGAAACGAATCCAACAACCTCGCAGCGCGTGAGCGACGGCAGGGCCCCGCATAACGGTGAACGGTCGCCGCCGAAACCAAACCTGCCATCAGTTTGTCCCTCTCATCGGGGAGGGGGTTGATTTAAGAAATCGATACACGGAAAGAGAGCACGCAGGGATTCCCGCGCCATACTAATCCAGAGGCAAAACGGTCGACAAGTCGGGGAAAACTCTACATCAGCAGCCCTATGGTTGGCAGCATGGGCTCGTTCTCCACCCATACAAACCTTGGGCTCGCAAACTTCCGTCAATGGCAGTTAGTCAAAGATCTCGCCTGCGGCCTAGCCACCTCAATGCCTCTAGCTCAACTGAATCGCCGGGTTCGGGTCGAACCATACTCATATTGTGCTATGTATTGGAGCTCGAGCTTCGAATAACCCTCTTCCTCGCAGGGTTTCCTGATTTTCCCAGAATCAAGCCTCATGTCGCTAATCTGCGTTCCTGGTCTGTTGTGGCCATGAACCAAACATAAGCGCTTCAACATTGGATGAAGAAGAAAAAGACCGGAATAAAGTGCGATGGAATGCGTCCTAGGTAAAATCTTGCACTATGCATGCACCATGCAGTCGTCTCATCCTGCACCCTATGCTCAGACCGCGTCCCAAATCCACTGCCGTCAATGGCATCTCAGCACGATCCCTTCATAATATCAAACATAAGCTGTTTGATGGCTCCTGTTGGCCGACATCCTACGAGGCTTGATGAGCCTTTGTTTCACGTGATACAACCACAGGCAAGCCGAGGCTTAGACTTGCAAGGAACGGTTCACTTCCGGCAGATTGACTCAACAAGGACTTTAGCATAACCCGCCCTGCTACAAATCGATAAGAAAATGCGTGTTCTTCATTAGGCAAGTTTTTTTCTGTCGTATTCTGCTTCCTCGAAGGACTCTACGCATCAGCTTGGTGATATATGGCACCCTGATTCGCCTCCTTCCAAGAAAGAGCTCATCTGAGACAAAGGCAGCCAGTCATGAGAACTAGATACCCTGATGACATCTAGATGCTGATCACCCCCCGCGTCTTTTCGCAGGAAGACTTCATACTTCACCTGGCTGAGCAGACCTTCTTGGCGCCTTGTTCATGTCCTTTCTCCGACACGGTTTGGTTACAAGAAACATTAACCGAGTCAGTGGGTCTGTCCCATTGCTTTTCATTCCCATTATACGCCAAAGATCCCACCAAAATCGCAAGAGAATAGACGGGGGTATCGAGAAGATTCGGGGGGCCTGTATCAGGAGGAGTGTGTCGTCCGTTCAGTACACCAGGTCGCCGCCTGGTGGGTAATTGTTGAATGTAAAAGCTGCAAGTCAGTACGAAATTCAATGTCAGAAGCCTACCTTGGGTGGGCAATTGTGGTGTTCCAAGCGAAACACCGTGATGGTCGTATAGGACACCATGCCGAGTAACAGTCCCGTAGTTGTAGTTGCACCGTGGGATTCGAGCTCGCCAAGATGACCAACAATTGGGTCCGAAAGTCCAGCAGACCTAAATCCTATCTGCGTCGGTGGAAAAGTCATAAAAGGGGTTAGTTGTGAGAATGCTTGAAGCTCAAGACCGACGACGCTTGACGTCTAATGTGTGGTTAGTCAAGCAAATTCCTTGATTTTTATAGACATAAGCCATACCTTTCTGAGCTTCGTCATCCAGCATGTCGTCCACATCCGATCTCTGGCGTTTGCCAGAGATCGAAGGAGACTTCGCAACATCATCGTCTTGGCCAGGAAACTCCCTCCAATCAATTTCTGCTAGTTCGTCGTCCTGGCCATGGATCTCAGCGCCATCAATTTCGTTTTCAGGCAGGTCGGCATTGAGATCAAGCTCATTGTCGTACGTCGCCTCTTCATCGCCGTTCAGTGTCGATGTCGCACTGGTATTGGGGGTTACCTTGACTGTTGGGTTCACGTCGACACCTTCGGCAATCTGGTTCAAACTGTGCGTGAGATCCTCGTCTTCTGGAAAGGCCTGGACGTCCTCGGCAGCGTTAAACGCGTCGACTTCTTTCGCATCCCAATCGAGTGGGTTAGATGCATCGACTTCTGGGGCTTGAATTATATTGTCAGCGTCTGTGGTTGAAGGAAAAGCCATGCTGGTATCAGAATCAGAATGCAAGTGGCGTCGGATTGTGCGGGTATGGAATCCTTTGTTAAATTCCAGATACGAATGGCTTAGTTGAAATTGCGTTTGTCGTTGGGCAGAATATCGGGTCATCCGCACTAAAGATTCGTATCGAAAGCCATCTTCCTCCGCCGTCTGTGCCGCTGGAAAAGCCGAAGAACAAGTGGTGCAAAGGCAAAAACTGGGGTAGAAACAAGGGGTTGATAGGAAACAGTCGGCATTACCATTTTCTCCGTGGTGTTCAGGTAGCTGGTCTCCCATGTCTACCACACTGGTGTCTTCAATGGCGTTAACATCCGCAGCTACGGTGGACTCATCCATGGGGGCAGCTCCGTTGTTGACCATGGTCGGCTCGACATCGACGTCGTCTACAACGCTCGCCTCTGGCTGGATGGAATCTTCGTTAAGAGCACTTTGTGACTCTGCATTGCCATCTCCATTGATGCCATCGTCAACATCGTCATACTCGTTGATGTTCTCGTTGGTCTCCACAGTTTCATCCTGAGTCTTGTCTTCATTCAGGTCGCCACGCTCACTCTCGCGAGGGGACTGTGGCCATGTAGCAGCATCGGCATTGTCTTCTTCTCCAATCAGGTCGGCCTCGTCATCCAGAATTTCAGGGGCTTCACTGTGCGCCCTGGATGCGAAGTAGAAGCTGATTTCATCGAGGCCTTTGCCATTGTAGGCATCATCGACCAGGGAAAGCCATCGCTTCTTGCAGTTGGGCCGGGTAGAGAGATACGCGTAGAGCGGTTTTGACGCGTTGGGGTTCTGGTTCTTGACTAGTGAGTCAAACACGGAGATAATCTGGCCCAAGGTTATATCGGAAAACACATCTGGCTGGCTGGACTTTGAGCTGGTCAGTAAGGGTTTTGTTTCCAAAGGATGGAAGCTTACTTCAGCAAATTCAAGTCCGAGCTCGTCGATCTGGAACACAAGCTCGTCGAATGGACCGAGTTCATTGGCAAGCTCTCGACGGAAACCTGCCAGTACGCCTTCTATTTTGCAGTGCAAAAGCGACAGGTCATGAAAAAAGCATTCCTTGCCCTCACTATCCGGCGAGCCGTAAAAGAAAGGATAGTCGATGCCTTTGTACGAGACCGTGATTACGGGAATATCCATGTCTTCGTTGGGTGACGTTTCTGCCGAAACTGACGATTGCACATCGGCAAGCATCTCATCATCGTACATTATATGCTCGTGGTCCGATATGGCCTCCTCTGACACCATGTGGTCGGTAGCGTCGGCAACTTCGCCATGGTGCTGCTCGTCGGTGACATCATCATCAGTAGCAGCAATGTCGCTTTCGGCGTCCCGTTCAAGCTGAGAACCGTAATCTTCGCCCATGGAATAGTCCTCGGCGCCTTGTTCGCTAGGGGCATTGTGAAGACCCTCCTGAAAGGTCTCAAGACGTTCGAGCTGGGTGTCACTGACATCTGCCGAGGCATCGACAGCTGAATCGCTGTTCTCCGGATCGGGATCAGCTGTCCCATTCACATCATCCGCCTCTGAATCTTGGGTTTCGGCAACTTGCCCTTCTTCCGAAGCAGGGCCAAGGTCAACAGCAATAGCTTCGACGTCTGTTTCGAGGTTGGCAAAAGCGCTAGGAACGTCCTCCAGCGCTTGGTCAATTTCGTGACACTCCGCTTCTTCATGTTCGGATGATCCGTCGTTTAAATTTGCAGCATCTTGTGCAACCTGGTCTGCATCACCAACCAATTGCCAGTCATCGTTACCAGTCTTGGCGTGACTATCGTCTTGATCTGCATCCTGTTCATTGCCAGAACCATCCTCCCAGCTGATTTCGTTCTCGTTGACATAAGCTCCTTCGGCTTCCGTATTATTGACAGTATTGAGAATTTCAGTCTCGTCGAAGTAATTATCCTCAGCTTCCGTGGTATGTATCTGATGGACGGCTTCAGAGGCGAGCGTAGTATCGAATTCTGCACCTTCACCCTTCAACTTTACATCGGTAACCGCAGAAATGGTCTCAATGTCAGCGTCGACCTGCACGTCGATGGCTTGGGCCTGGTAGTCTGACTCTGCAGGCGCCATCTCCAAGATCTCCGACCCGTCGGGGTCAAACTGAGCGTTGGACGAAAACGATTTGTTGTTCGAGTCTTTGGCTGCGACGGCAGGTACTGCCAAGTCGTCTTCAGAGTAGTCGATGTACTCCTCGTGTTGCTGAGCCTCGAGGCTCGGGGGCGTAGCTGCTTCGGTTGCCATCCCCTCTGATTCCGACAAGTCGGAGATGACCGTTTCTGAAGGAAAGAGGTTTCGGTTTCCCTCTGGATATCAGGACGATCGGCGGTTCGGTTGGGTAGTTTAGGTATCGTAGACCGGATGTCCGCTCGACGAAGCTAGCGAAATCCAGTTGTTTGGGGGTATCGATGGGATGTGACTATGAAGCTGAGTTTGAACCCTGAAAGTACTGGCCTTTGACGTTATGTTCGCTGGAGAAGTTGAAAAGTTGTCCGGAGGAGGCATGCCCTGGAAAAGGGAGGAAATCGTTGCAGGACAAAGAGTTGAAAGTTCAAGGTAGGGTCAACCAGGTGGAGTTGAACCAGGCGCGTTAGGAATTTAAAAAGGGCCAGGTGCCACCCCCTCTGTGTTCCGTAAGCGCGGCTAGACGCGCCTTCTGGAGGTAGCTTCCACCTTACTCTTTTGGGGCTAGTTCCAGCCGCTGTGCGTAAGGTTAAGGTGGCCCGTGCACTGGCCAGATTCACACATTCGGCTCAATATTCGAGCTCCCCATGTGGTCCCCCTTTGGCCCGGGACCTCGAAGTCGAGTTGCGACAGCCCGTCTACATATTCAATTCGCCCTTAACACTGTCACAACACCCCGTCCAAAATGGTGAAGCGCCTTCTTTCCATCCGTATTTTGCGTAGACTGCAGACAGAAGATGCTGACTTGAATAGGTTGTCCTCGCAGCGTCGATTTGTACCCGTGGCGGGAAAGCTGTCCTCTCCCGCCAGTTCAGGGAGATGCCACGATCCCGCATCGAAGCCCTCCTTGCGTCTTTTCCAAAGCTGGCTGATAGTGGCACCCAGCACACGACCGTCGAACAAGATAATGTGCGCTTCGTTTACCAGCCGCTGGACGAGCTCTACATGGTGCTCATTACCAACCGCCAGTCCAACATCCTTCAAGACATCGACTCCCTGCACCTGTTCGCGCAGGTTGTCACCAGCACATGCAAGAGTCTCGATGAGAGGGAGATCCTGAAGAATGCGTACGAGCTACTCAGCGCTTTCGACGAGCTCGTCACCCTCGGATACCGCGAGAACTTAACCATCAGCCAGATCAAGACCTTCCTCGAGATGGAGAGTCACGAAGAGCGAATCCAGGAGATCATCGCACGAGTCCGTCACTCTACTGTTCTGTGTTGCCAAACGCTTCATACTAACATTTGCTACAGAACAAGGAATTGGAGGCGACGGAGGAGCGGAAGCGAAAGGCCAAGCAGCTGGAAATGCAGCGCAAGGAGTCGGCTCGAGCTGGCCGCGTCGGTGGTGGCATGCCCAGAACGCCCGTGTACCCGACTTACACCCCTCCGACCCGCCCGACGCCAACGGATACGTACGACTCGTACGAAGCTGAAAAGAACAAGACCTTCAACAAGTAAGTTGCTGTGTGGTACCAGGACATGGTGATCGGCGGCTGACATGTGCAGACTGAATGCTCCTAAGGGCAAGGGTATGCAATTGGGCAAGAAATCCAAGACCACGGACATGTTCGAGCGTGTTCGAGGCGAGATGGGCCCCGAAGTGGACGATACGCCCCTTATCACGCCATCCCCTGCCCATGTTCCCGAGCCTGCAGCAGAGCCCCGAGTCTCCTCTACCCTTGACCGTGATGCTATCCACGTCGTGGTCAACGAGGCCATCAGTGCCAAGCTGTCGAGAGAGGGAGCCATCAACTCCCTTGCGATAGTTGGTGATCTGAGCCTCCGCATCTCCGACCCTACCTTGACCAAGGTCAAATTGAACCTGACGGCCAACGCATCTCACGGCGCCCAGTTCCGAACGCATCCCAACGTCGACAAGAACCTCTTCAACAGCTCCAAGGTTATCCAGATGAGCAACACTGCCCGCGGCTTCCCCACGAACCAGTCAGTGGGCGTGCTGCGCTGGAGGGCGACGGCCAAGGCAGATGATGCCAGCGCGTGCCCCATTACGTTCACAGTCTGGATCAACAAGGATGCGGACAAGTACAACATGACGGTCGAGTATGAGCTGACGGGCGGCGACACACTTAGGGACGTCAGTGTGATCATTCCCTATCAGGTTAGCGAGCCAGTTGTCTCGAGTTTCGATGCCTCGTACGAGGTCTCCGGAGACTCTCTGGAGTGGAACATCGGAACAGTGTCAGACGAGAACCCCACAGGATCGTTCGAGTTTGAGGCCGAAACCAACGATGAGAATGACTTCTTTCCCATGACGGTCAGGTTCTCAAAGACGTCTCCTTTCATTGACGTCGATGTAAGTTGCAGCTCATGAAATATGTCCATGACACAAACGCTAATGTATATGCCTAGGTCTCCTCGGTTTCCCTACTTGAAGAGGATGAGGAAGTGACTTTCTCAAAGGAAGTCAAGTCGAATGCAGACAACTTCTTGATTGAATAGAGAGCCGAGCTCCAGTAGCTAGCTAAGGTATCTTAGATTGAGATGAGATCGTTAGTGGTTGCATTGTTGAGCGCCAACCCAGGAGTTTCCGAGCAGCGGGTTTGACTGGCAATGTTGGGAAATTGCCATTGCAGTTGGCTGCATGAAATGAAACGTATCTTAGAGAGAGAAACAGGGCGCGAAAGCACCTGCAAAAGAAGCTATTTATTGTTGCTGTTGTTGCCAACCCACCCTTAAGCGCCGTTATTTTTCCCACCTATCCACTCCAATCACCTGTTAGTACCTACTTAAAGTGATGTGTGTTCCAGTCACTGGAAAACGGGCAAGTGCACCCAAGGCCCACTAATTGCAGGCAGGCTCGTTATCCGTAGCGTCCCTGAAAGCGCACACAAAACACGAGCCTGAAGAAGTACATGCATGCTGGTACCTGCCCTGAGGTAGGCAGGAGTTGCGAACCTCAAAAAGGCAGTCGACACCCAAAACACCTGCTCTGAGCATGACCGTCGTCCTCGGAGCAGCGAGTTGGATCAATTGCTTCGCGTCTCAATTGGCAGTTATTCGGTCTGGGCTTGGTTCTGCTTCGCTCACTACCTTCGCCTAGGTACCTACCTGGGTAGACGTAGGCGCCTTCCCTTAGGGGACCAGCTATGGTTTCTCGAACAAGCACCATTCGCACAACATCACGAATAGCTTCGTTTTCTCGCGATGGCTAAAATCACACAGCTGCGCTCTTACAGCGAGACCAGATTCGACCACCGGGTTGCAGATGGGTTTCCCTGCAGCAACCCGACCGTCGATTTGTCCGTCAGCTGGGATGCAACGGGGAAGAATCTTCTGATATACCGACCCAGGGAACAGGTTGTGTCCAAAATCCACCAATTCGCAAAACCTGGCCAGCAAACACCACAACCACAGGCCGTGAGATGGAAGCCGGATGGTAATTCCGTGTATTCAGCGCCTATGGGCACCTTTTTGACTGACTCGGTGATAGGTCAGTTCCTCGCTGTAGGCTGGAGTGACGGCTACGTAAGGTTGATGGGCTTGGAGAACAACAAAGCTGCACATCATATCCGGGTCTGTGGAGACAACACAACAGCGCCCAACATCACCCACATCGGCTGGTCACGCAATACCGTAGGCAAATCAGGATTTCGATACCAGAAGACATCGTCTCAGCCGTGGCAGAAGCTCATGTCGGAGGAGCTCGAACTACCTGCGGGACTCGCCTCACTAGATTTTCCGGGAGAACTCACCTTCTTGGAGGTGGACTCGGCACTGCCCAAGATCAGCCCTTTGCCTAGCTCAAGTGCTGGAGCAGGGTGCGTTAGCTTCCCCAATGGTTCCCTATTTGTGGCTGACCGCGATTGCAGCGAAGATGGGCTGGTGTTCACGTTGCGGACAGGCATCGAGTACCTATTCCAACCTTTTAACAATCAGGACAGCGATCAAGTCTTCGTAATGCTCGTGGGAACGAGCGATGGCCACCTTCATCTCAGCATCTACGACTCTTTTGTTATTGGCAACTTCCGATATACCCTGCCAAGCTCAATGTACAGGCCGGGTGTCCTCCAGCTAGTCCAACATGCTTCTCATCCAGAGGTGTCAACCCATGCTCTATTCCTGAAACCCTCAGCCGACGACGACCAGGCATTGTATCTTGTACCTATGGACCTACCTTTTATTCCTCTGTCGCCGATTAACATCTCCCTCTTGGCGTCCAAACTCACGACACTGCAAAAGTTGCTACGATATGTGAAGCAAACGCAACTGCATATGCAGGTGGAATACAAGAATACGAGGGATCTGCCTTCTAAGTTCTTGCGCAGTGTAGAAGGGGACCTGGAGCAAGCTTCCTATGGCCCGACAAACGTTGTTCAGGCGTTGTTTCATACAGTTATTACAGGCCATACATACGAACCTGTTCGCGAATGGCTTGTCGATAGCCTAGCTGAGCGTGTAAGTTCATGATATTGCTATTGTTGAACTCACATACTTTGTGGCTAAAATGATCACGCAGGGACATAAACGATGGGATAAGGCCGTTGTATCTGGTCTCGAAAACTTGCGATGTTTGATACACGAGAACATGCTGCCCGCACTGGAGAGATGCGCCATCATTCTTAGCCGTCTACGTGGGCTAGCTCAGTTTTACGATTCAAGGGACGACATCGGCTTCACTGTTGCCCAGATTTCCCGTGCAATGGACATCGTCTCTTGCCTTACATTGGTTGGCCACAGGATCTTGCTCAACGTCATGGAAGAACTCGATCTCTTCAATGCCTTCTCCACTTGGATGCGATTCCAGATCGACCGTCTCGCTGCCCCAAGCTCAGCAAGTGAAGATCTAACGGAAAAGGAAGCCACCATGGAGAACAGCAAGGTGCTAGTGTACGTTCAACGGTACCTTGTGGAGAGCCCTATGGCCGTATTCTTGGACGAGGTATCCAAAGAAGACTACTCAACCAACTGGGAGCGAGCTGAGAGCGGAGCATCAATGCTTGAAGAATTGGACACGCAGCTCAAGCGATGGGAAGAAGGACAGTCTTATTTAAAAGCTTTCCCGAATGTCAGCTTTCTCGTCGATTACCTTACTACTCGCGCGAATGGAATCTTCAAAGATATTGCCGAAGCACAGAAGAGAAGTGTTCGCTTCGGACAGCCGACAAAGATCGCCTTGAGCCGCAATATTGCTAGGTTCGATTCCACAATGTGCCCAGAAAAGAAGGAGGTTCGTCTGATACTGCGAAGAAACCACGATCATTTGCTAAATTGTCATGCAGAAGGAGATTGACGGACTTATCTTCGCGGCTGTTGTCGAAGAGGGATGTGACCAGAGTGGTAAGTGATTCTTCTTAACGTCCGCCTGAAAATAATGCAAACAATCTTACAGTCTTCATCTTCCGCACGTCCATCGGCATCATCAACGGCATCAGCAGCAACGTAACCACCACGACTGCAGCTCTTTCTGTAGATGATGGCAAGATTGTCGACGTCAAGTTTCTGAACAGCAGCACGCTGGTTCTGCTTGTATGCAAGCAAGGTACGTTGGATTCAGCAACCTCTTGACCAAATGACTAACTCTCTTTACTAATTCTTCACAGGCAAATCTGCCAACATTGTTACGATCCCGGTTCAGTCACACAGCATTACATACATGCCCTACCAAGAGGGAAATTTACCCATGACGCAGGCTCTCTTTCAGCAGCTACAGGGTGAAGCAACCACATTCCCGCTTCCCGAGGACCCGTCTTTCGCGCCGGCGCGGATGGACGTTCAGGACGCCTCCGATGCGCGCGGCGAAGTCCCCGCCCGCGTGTGTGTTCTAGGTGCTAATCGGACCACCTACAAGGTCTTCAGCCTCGGGTCTGGTCTGGACGACACGCAACCGCCGGAACCGGCGACACCGAGAGCGGCACAGGGCGCTTAGAAGACGCTTGTGCCCCTGACGCCGGGGAACATGTTCAAGGTGCCGGCGAAGCGCTTCACGCCGCGTAGGAAGAAACGTATGGGTGTGCTGGAGGTTCAAGAGTTAGAAGAGGCGGCGCTAGATGGGTTATTTCACAGACTGCAGTCGCGTACACCTGATAGACACGGACAGAGGTAGTCAAAAGTGGATAGATGGCTCATATCACGAAAGCGAGAGAGAAAGAAATCAGAGTACTTTAGTGGTCGTGCAACAAGAAAAGAAAAAGAGAATAAAGATTTATTGTACAGAACGAGCCAAAACGTGCGGAAAATCTTCTTTTGATGGATGTCTGATGCCTACGCTCCTCAAGCTTCCCCCACTTGCCATACCATCCCCTCTCTCGCTCCTCACTTGCGCGACTTTGTAATCTCAAAGAACTCGGTGATGCCCTGAACGACGGCCTCGACGTTCATATTCACGAGAGGCATTCGGTCGTATGAGTCTTCCTTCATGATGGCCACGAGGGCGAGGTAGCGGTCAACCTCGCGCAACATGATGGGCCGCTGCGAGTCGTGCAGGACCATGCAGCTCTCGGCCCAGTTGCAGGCGACCTGATCCTCGACCTTTGCGTTCCACGGCTCGGCCTCGAGGCGCTTGCGCTGGCCGTCGGAGCGCGGCCAGGAGCCGTAGACCTCGGTGATGTCGATGATGACGTCGATGTAGTCGGAGCAGATCTCATACGAGGCCATGTCGGCAGTGGCCGAGTCGGTGGCAATGTAGATCTTGGAGAGCACGTCGAAGAGGTAGGCCTTCTCGAAGCGACACGTGCGGCAGAGGTTGGTGAGCATGGCCTCGAGGGTGCCGAGCTGGGGGATGAGCTTCTGAATGACCTTGGAGAAGGCCTCGAAGATGGAGTGGTTGTAGATGGACGTCAGGTGGAAGGTGACGGGGGCGTTCTCGAAGCCGTGGTCCGAGAGCTCGTCCTGGATGCGGATGGTGATGTCGCGCTGGATATCGAGCTTGTAATCGTCCGAGAGGCCGTCGACCTTGTGGATGAAGACCTCGATGTTGATGTTTGGGTAAAACCGCTGGAGATTGAGGACCGTGGCGTTGAGCCGTGACACGGCCTCGAGGTAGTCGTCCTGCGCGTCAATGACCCAGATAAGGGCGCCAATCTCCCCGAAGATGGCGTCCATGTCGAAGTTTGGGTTCTCAAAGAAGTCGATCTGGCCGGGGAAGTCCCAGACCTGGTAATCCATGAACGATCTGGGCGGCGGGTGTCAGTGGATGGTCCTGCAAGCTTGGATGAGACGAATCGCTTCTCACGCCATGGAGTCTTTTTGAATACGAGCCGTCGACTCGAGGAACAGCGTCTCATTGGGCGGTAACTTGTGAAACACCACACTTGATATTGAAGACTTGCCACTCCTGTTCATAGATCAGTGTCGGGCTCAGATGAAGAACAAGATTCTAGGGGGCGTCGATTCATACCTTCTTTGACCCATCAGAAGAAGTCTGGGTTTCCCCTTTCCGGGGGGTCCCGGAAGTAGCTCCATCGGCTTGTTCGCATCTGTCGGCGGGACTCCTTGGTCCTGATCGTAGACACGCTGAAGGGTTAGCCTTGCCGGACTCTGACGACCGTTCGCGCGAAAAGCAGCATTATGGACAGAAAGACCCAGGCCGTCAACCGCTTGGGACAGCATTGAATCAATTGAGGGGTGTGATGGTTTCATCCCAAGAATCACGAGATGTTGCTCTGGCAGACGTCCGCGATCTTCGCCGACCTAATTACACGGCGACAGCGTAGTATCCGAGGCTCAGCAGCTTTCGTCAGATGTAGTCTCGTCGAGGCTCCTGCCACGTCGCGAAATATTTTGTGTTTGCTGGTATCTCAGAAAGGTCGATGCCATAGACCAGGGGTCTCGATGTTTGTACGGGTTCTCGGACAGGTCTCAAGGCTGACCACGGTCCAGGGCGAAAAGTCAGGAGGCCCCCAGACCTGCAGGATTGTTCTCGTGAACATGTGTGTCCAGACACTATGAGAGGAACGCTGTCATCTACTCGCTTGCAGTACCTCGAAAGTTGTCGCCAGAATAACTATCTTGGCACAATTTCGGTCGAATACGACCGGCTCCAACGGGTACGCGCAGGATGAGGGAATCTGGCGGCAGGCCTGCGCATCTTCACATGGGGAAACCCGTAGCTTGTCGCAAACCGCTCGCGCAACGGCTGGGAGGAAGACCCTGCGCCGGCTTTGAGGCAAAACTGGGCAAGCTCTTCTTTCTTCTGCGGATCTCACCGTCGTACAGACAACGCATTATCCATGACACCGTGGCTCAGCCTCCCACTCCATCGCCCGGAACTATGACTCGACCCTTGATAGGGGCGGACGAACAGGCCAAACCGGGCTGTAGTTGGGTGAACCCTAGCTATGACTGCGGGCGTGACGCAGGATGTTGCCGGACTGCGCAAGCTGGCAATGCCCCAAGAGGTGTTTCGAGCCGCATCAACGGCAGTATATGTGTTTGGCCGACAAGCGTAGTTGAAGCTTGCTTACTCAGTCAGGCTGAGGAAACCAAGGTTGGCCTGGCGTTTCCGGTTCGGAAACGGTCTCATACAAGAAACATTGTAGGCCGAAAGGCTCTCGTCTTGTACCCCTTGGACGGTGTAATACGCAGAAAAAAGATGAAGAGAACGCGGCGGCTCAAGAGTGATGGGGGAGGGACTAAGAAAGAAAGAAAGAAAGAAAAGAAAAGAAAACAGAAGCAAAAGTCAAAATCTCACCTCCATCTTCCGCGCAGGGATTTCTCCTCCGTCCGTTTCCTGTTGCTGTGACTGAAGCGCTCCTCGTGTTCGCTGCGCCTGTCCAGAAGCCGCCGAAGTCGGTTGTCCGTCACCTTGACCCGCAGCAGCGACGAGCAAGAGGACTCCAACTCTTTGAAGACGCCGGCAAACAACAAGTATCGCAATGTGTTTGGAAACCCTTCCAGCCCTCCGACGATAAACGAGAAATAAAGAGAATAAAAGGCTATGCGCTGAGCTTGCGTCTGCCGGTTAGTCGCGCCGACGTTGAGTTCCAGCCTATCACAGTGCCAATGTGGAGGAGGCCGTATTGCGGATCGGAGTGGAATGACAAGACATGCGACGGGGGTTGAAGCAATTGGTAATTGGTATGGAGGAACAATGACGATACAGCGCGATAAGATAAGAAGAATTTGGACACCCACCTGCGAAAGCCCCATTTTAATTAAGCGAGTTCGTCTCGCTTGTCCACGGTCCACCCACCCCAGCCTCACAGCGCTTGTCACCACACCCTTGAAGCACTTTACTTGCAAGTTGCTTGTGCGGATAACCGACTGAGACATGCTCATCGCCTGTTTCTTTCTATTCATGATTTTTTGTAGTACGTGGTTTGACCATCCAGCGCCATACATCGTTTAACTCACCCCTCGAAGGTTCTCGATGCAAGCAAATTGCCGCACCTTCACCGTCGATAGCAAATGGAACAGCGAGCATTGAATTTATCGAGTGCCAGTCAGCTTAATGGCATAAGTGGAGCTGGCCGAGGTGACTGCAAATATCAGTCTTCCCGAACAGCCATACCTCCAGTATTGGAGAGTCCAGATAAGATTACAAGAGGAATAGCGCCCCTGGACATGAGCTCCTAGCCGCCTACCCAGGCGGGCGATTATGCATAACTCCACCTCCCTATTAATCAATGCAGCGTTTTGGTTTCCTACAGTCTCTCAAGTTCCAATTCGACCACTGTTGCAAAGCCAAATAGCGAGCGTAATACAAAAGAAACACGTCTGGGAAGTTGAATGTTGTTTACAGTTGTATGGCATCGCTCCTGGGGGAACGAGAAAATAGCGACGAGACGAAATTGCCCTTGCGCTTGGCCGGTTTGGTCTTCCTCATATAGTCCCCGTAGGTGTTGGTGGGAGCCTTCTCAACTTCCTTGAAAGGTGTGTCCTTCTCATCGGAGGTGCTGTTGACGGCATCAGTCTCGGGAATAGAGGGGATGAGGGGCGCGTCCGTGGCGCTGTGCGGAGGAGTGAGCTCCTGCTGAGCAGTATCCTTTCGTGGAGAGGCGACAGATTCCCTACGGAAGTCGAATACTGAACCCCTCTTAGTTCCGACAATGGATCCGTGACGTAATGCCGACATGGGCTGGGACGCCGTCAGCACTACCCTTCCTCTCAAGATGCTTCTCCGCGCGGCCTACCTTGCCACCGAGACTCTTGCGGTTGCGAGCGCGGCGTTCAGCAATAGTCTCCTCCTCTTCGCCAGTTACCTCGAAAACCTGAGAGGCAGTGGTCTTGCCGTTGACAGCCATGCAATCAGCAGGCACCTCGACGAACTTGACGTATCCACGAGCTGGCGGAACGCCAAGGGCTTCTTGAAGGTGCCTCTGTAGCAAAGCCGAATTCCTCTTGTTCTTGGCCATGCCAACCTCAAGGGGAAGCGCATGGATAGACATCGTATACGCTGGCTCGAAGGTACCTCCAAATAGCATGCAGGCCCCATGCTGTAAGTTGACCACGATCGAAGACACTGGTCGCTGATATCTGACCGACAGCTGGTAGGAAAAATCTGTGATGAAGCTGAACTCGTCGTTGATCTGCACAGGGAGTTAGCCTCGGCTGCAAGCTGCGGCTAGAGTGCTACAGCGTACAATCACATTGGTGCGCAAGTCGGTCATCACGACGGCCTCGCTGAGGATGCGGTCCTTAGACAGGTTGGCCTCTCTGTCGCCTTGGAACGCCTCTTCATAGTAAGAGCTCCTACGCTTCGCCAAATCGGCAGGTGTCTTGGACTTTCGGTTGCTGCGAGGGTCACCTGGGAGAGAATGGTGTACGTCTCTCGTCAGGCCACCATCCCCCTCGACAATGGGGGTGGGAGCAGTTGAAGGACGACGGTTCATCTTTCGTTCAGCAAAAGTAAGTTTGGTTTGGGCGGTCACCGGTCGATGGGACGTGGACTTGTCGCTTGTGGTGCTGGAGGAGGAGGTGTTGGACTCCTTCAGGGGAGAAGAAGGCGGAGAAATGGGATCAGCCATGTCTGCGACAGTGTCCGAGGCCGAAGACGAGATAAAGGCGATTTCGATGGTGCTAGGAGTTGGGATAGTTGTATCAGAATTGATTGTTTGGAAACGGTGGTTTTACTAGTAGCGGCCGTGTTAGTCTTCAGCTCCGCGCAGAACCCCCTTAGCCTGACACACAACAAAAAAAGACACCAACCGCAATCACCGAGTGAGAGCGGCAACTTAACATGGACCTGTTGATTAGAGACCCCTTGTACTTGGCGCAGTACGTTCAGCTGTCATGAATAGAGTGTAGATAGGTCGTGCGCTCCGACGCACGGAGTTTCTAGTACTCGGGCCTCCCAAGGATTACGAAAGGAAATAGACCCCAAAAAAGTGTGAAGACATACGTACGTTTTGATTATTCAAAGGTCTTGCCAAGAAGACGCCGGCCTGCCAATCCTTCCAATGTTTGGCAACGAGACGGACTGGGTGGGAGCTGGTGTAGTTCCAAGGGCTCGACGTAAATAAGAGAGCTGCACGAACGAGCATTTGCTAGGCTCGATAGATTGGTGGCAAGAGTGACTGTTATATGAGCCGAGTATCCCAAGCTAGCAGCTGGTTGCCAGTCCAAAGGCCTACAAGGACGCGAGTCGCTGGGGTGGGAATTGGTGCAAAGCCAGTTGGCCACCAGCAACGCGAGGGGATGGTTGAAAACGGAAGGAGCCAAGGCCACATGCGAACACCGCGCCTTTCTTCCCGCTCGACGAGCGCAGTTTGGTTGAGAGAATGGTCGATCAGAACGAACGGAAAGAGGAAAGATGGAGAAAGAATGAGGGCTGGACCGGACTGGACTGGACGAAGCTGTCCCGAGCCCACGTCCTCTTTACCAACTTTTCGAGGCATAGTCTCGTTACTCAATTGTCTGCGCCTGAACTGTATGCCTGTCGCCGGGGTTCTCTGGTCGAAGGTGGCACACGACATGAGCAAACCCGCAATCATCCCCATTTTGTCTTCATTCATACCTTGCCTTAACCTCGTTTCCACTTTGCCATGTTTTCACTGCATCCCTAAATTGCCGCGCCGCATGTCCGCAGCCAAAGAGATTGCCTGGATTCCGCACGCTTCCGCAGCCGCCATTGCCAGGGCAGGCATAGGTAGATCGAGAGACATGGCCCATGATAGCTTAAAGACCAGACGACAGGGTCCTAAGCCCGAAGATAGCTCTGGCATGCGGGTCAGCCCGACTCAGTTTGCGGCAACCTTCAGTGGTGCCTGAGATGTCAGACTGAAAAGAAGAGAGGAGAGGAGAGGGGATGGACAAGGCCAAAGGCCGCACGGCACGCTGCAGGTTGCTGCTCGGCCAGCCGCATTATGGACGGTGTCACGCCCCAGTCAGTGATGCTGGCAGAATAAGATTGTTTGCTTGGGTTCGCGTGGGCTCCCGGAACCCTTTAGTCTCTGGCAAGGGTAAACACTGATATGCCAGTTCGTGCCCACCCTATCCTAGCGCGGTGCCACATCTGCTTGCGCCGTCTCGACAAGAGCTGGAGCGGTCGCTAAAGAAAGTGAAGGAGGTAGCGATTATACTGGAGACGGTTGTACGGGTGTCGGGCCGAGAGTTCATGCAGCGACGGAGTAGGCAAAGATGGGACGGGATGCCCATGTTTCCGGGCAGTTCGAGCATGGGAAATGCGAAGCCATCCAGTTGTGGGCCAGATAGAGCAGGGTACATACGTGGGTACACTAATTACCAGATGATGGCTTCACGTAGAGTGCGCTACAGAAGAAAAGGCGGAATCTCTACATACACGGTCCAGTACCCTGGAGGGGGGTCAGAGCGGTGTTCGCCTCCTTCTCAGCGCGCGTCCCGAGTAGTACCTGGTATCCAGGCCAATCAATCCGCTTCAAAATTTGCCTCTGGCACTTGCAGCTATCTACATTTACTTAGGTAGGTACTTGGCAAGCCCTGAAGAGTCCCTAGCGGCACATCTGGATTGGTGCTTCAGCTCGCGAGGCCTCTGTGCTGACCTCTAGCGGCTTGAAGGCGTTCCACTGGATTGGAGGATGCGCTTGGCGCAGCTCACCAAAATATCCTTAAAAGATGGATGGCTTATCAGGGGTTCGGTCCTCTCAAGGTGGCCGCCTAGTTGAACTTTCAATCATTGCTTTCGTATCCTTATCGGTCCAGTGAACAGTTGACTCTGGGGCCCGATTATACCCTGTGCCCAACGCTGTAACTATCGGCCAATACTTGATGAGCCGGGAGATGGCCAAAAGCATCCGTGTTACCGACTGAGTTGGATGGAATTTCGAGTTGCTCAGGACCATGCATATGCTATGTCAACAAGTTGATAATGGAAGTGCTAGATAAGGTTTCTCGATTTTGAGATGATCTACAGTACACCCTTCCCTGGACCTAGATCCACCGCAGCCCTCTCCGCAAGCAGCCAAGATCAAGAGTCGCTGAATCCACTAATTCGCTTTCTCGGGGGCACCTGCGTCAACGGACACTCGAGTGGTCGCTTGCGCAGCTACAATACTATGAGTATGCGCATGCCTTGCTGTATTTAGGCCTCTATGGAAGCCGGATCCGGGGTCTGGTGCGAGCCACATTTGGTTGAGCGATGAAGATGTCATGATGGGGAAAACAAACGGATTCTGAATAGACAGCGACATCACCATCCACCCAATGGTGTCGCCGCTACTTCTAGACGGGGATAGAAATCATACATTAAAAGGTACGAATACATACGCAGTATAAAGATGCAACAGGCATAAGGCCGTTCAGACCCTACACTTCCTCATGACTTCCATTCCAGCGAGAGGTCCATGTCCGTTTCCGGCGTCGCTGTCTTCGCTCGAGCCGACCAGCGGACGCCAACTAGACGACATATACGTCTCCCAAACCCTTGTGAGTCCCAGGCCGTTCCCATCAGTGCTGCTCTCCTTCGATATCGCGGACTGACGACGGTACAGGGCTTCCAGACTTGCGCTGTTGCTCAACCACCCTGCTGGACCTGCTTACGTTCCTTTGAAGGATCATCTGGTATGCACCAGCTCCCAAGATGATAGCCTCGACTGGGATCAGCAAAACGGACAAATAGAGGCCCGCCTTGCTCTGTTTGCAAAGAGTGCCAAAGTGCGGGCGTGTCATCATCACAACCGAAGACCACCGGCAGCTCCAGCTCTGAAGGGTGTCGACAGTGGTCGATGCGTTGATGCTATAAAAGAAGGACATAGCGATGATCGATGCAATCAGCCCCAATGCGGGGGCCGCCGCTATTAGCGAGTTGTGAATGAGAGTTTGGCCACGCAGCTAGTTGGTGTTAGTCTAGGGCACGGCATACACACTCCAATGAGCTCTCGACTAACTGATTGAACTCGGCTGAAGAGCAGAGAGACCGTGTTGGTAATGGTGAGAATCGAGCCCCCCACAACCAGAGCTACTGTTGGGCGTAGGTCGAAGGCGTCTGGCCACAATGGGAGCAAGTAGTCGGCGGGCACGTGGGTGGCATCGTAGACTGCCAGGGCGTCTGCCGAGACGCCGAGAACTGTGATACTTGCAAGAAGAGCCAGAGCGGTCAGAGCAACCCTTGCAGAGTCGACAGCTTTCAGGATGCGTGTTTGAGATGAGATGTGAACTTCCTCGACATCGATCTCAAAGTCTGAGGTGCGGGAGACGTTTTTGGGTTCGGAAGACATGACGGCTAGGGGAAGGAGACTGCGGTCTTGTTGAATTACGAAACAGAAGATAACGACGAATGCGAAAAAGTGTTTCCGGTGAAAGGAAAGGACGTAGGAAAGAGAAGAGAGAACGGATTCTGTACTGCGTATTCTGCATCGCAAACTTACGAAAAGGCGACGACTCTGGAGCGTACAAATACAGGAAACGACACAGAGATACGCGCCGGGTGCCGGGCCTGGAGGCGGCACGTAATCTTGCCCGCGTCCGGGGAAGGAAACGTATATCTAAATTTACCGTGACGAGCGTTGCGCCCAATGCAAGATAGCCGCGCTTGCGACATCTCGGAGTTCTGAGGTTGGAGGTTGGCGGGGGTCCTGGAGAGCCGGCAGGCTTCAGATTGGTCAGGAGCCCGCAGATGCTGGTCGTGGTGGTGGCCATCCCCGGCGCTTAGAAGCAGCAGGCCATTCATGAGACCAATGAGCCGGCGCGATTAGCCCTTAAACAGATCAGACCATGGACCCTCACTCGCTAGCCAAGGGAACGGTCGCCAATCGAGGGCCGCTGCAAGTCAGCAAGACGGTTAACAATCATGTTCCTCGGTTGCCGCTGTCGAGCTCACGTCAAGCGGCAGGCGTAGGGATGGGATGGAAGGAAGATCCCGGCGAGAGCCCAGTTGGCACTTCAATGTTCCGTGGCCGGAGAACACGTGACGACTAGACGTGGCTTTGATGCCGACACTTGGTGCATCCAGCCGGACAGCTGTCAGCATTGCCTGCCCGACTTACACTCCTCTAGCTTCAACTATTGCACCTGAATATCTATCTACAATCTATTACCATTCCGCCTGTATGAGGCTCGCGCAACTAGCTTCCCCTGTTTCTCAAACAGATTCTCGCCATCCTAGCACCTCAAGCAACTGCGATACGTACGGAGACGGGAATCGCTACCATACGGGCACGGAAACTGAATGAGACAAGATAAGTGATAGGCACAGCGATGTGGTTCGCCGAATTTTACTTCCGAATGTTCAGAACGGCGAGGGCTGGATTTGCAAGTCTCCGTCTCCATGAGCGTAGCGTGTCTTATAGCTGAACTACGACATGAGGCACACGCGCAGCCAATGACTCTTTGCCTTCCTAGACTGACAAGTACAATTCGGACTTCTGAAGCGACAGGGGATCAGACCGACCCCCTTGTTCAATGGGTCAGGTGATCTAGCACTTAGGCGAAAAACGTAATGGCCGCTCTCAACCACAGTGGGTGTGCAGCACCTGTAGCAGGCCTGCAGATAAGGCTGCTAATGGCGTGTAGCCAGCTTTGGTGCCCGATACTGAGAACTATATAAACCTTTAGGCCCCACTCAATAGATGAGGAGTCTACCGAGACGTTCAGATGGATTCGGTTACCCAGCAGGGGCTGATAGGCTTCTTGCAGAGGCGCAAGACATCGATATTCTGGCCCCCCTTGCAAGGGCATGAACATCTGGGGATCCAGATGCGATGGGTTGCAATATGTGCAACTGGACTCAACCCCGAGTATCTGAGGCACTCAGCTCGGGGAAACGAATCTCCATGCGGCCATTACGGAACCTTGAGTAAGACCATCAACCTGTCAGTTGTTCACTTGGTGGTCAAGCTATTGACCTCACAGTCTTCGGCTGCCGGTTTCCGAGCACTACTACATGCCTGGTGAACACTGTTGTCATCGCAAACAACCTTAAGACACCGTCGGTGCCCACTCGCCTAGGTATGCTGAGCATGGCTTGGCAGTCTGGAGTCGTCAGGGTCGGATGCCGCTACTCTGTTTATTCAGCTGGACGCTAAGGCTCCATACTAAACCTCTAGCATGGTAAGCAGGACTCTTTGACGTGGAGCAGTCGGCCCTATCCGACGGGTACCGATGTTTCTTCCGATGAAAGTCAAGGAACAGCAGGCCGACCAAGTCACTGGGTGGTGATGGGGACTGGCCGAAAGGGAGGCCCGCGTTGGTCATTGGGGGAGGATCACGGATAGTTACGTAGTATGCGCAGGTTTCTTAGCCGCAGCGTCAAGGTTCCTACGACCTCTGTAAGGGTCGGGTGAGTACGTACTCGGACTTCAGCTGAGGCTGTCCACAGCCCAGCTAGGGATACGACGCCAAAGAGCCACCCGAACCTAGTGGTTAAATCAGAGAGGCCCCGGTCCAACGCACAGACGGTCATAAGCAGCTTGCAGCGTCCACGCCCTGACCCCTGGTTCAGCCCGACCCTCTGGGACCAACCAACCAGACGCCCATCACTCCTCTGTATCTCACGGCCGGGTCAGCTTTGCAGGCTCGCTTCTTTCAACATCCGGGAGACCAAAGAAGGTAGTAATTTAACAGTTTCGTCACGTCTCCCTGCTCCAGCATGCCCGTCATGCCTATCCTCAACTCCTTCCCGTATGCCTGGAGAAACTGGCCTGTCCCCCATTATCGCTTTCCGCAGATCAGCGCCCCTTGGATAACCATCCCAAACGGTCTTGGCATTGATGGAATCCCCCGTTCTCTTGCACTGACCATAGAGGTATATTCTGCTCTCTTTCTCTCTCTCTCAATAAGAGAGCCTGGTTCCAAAGTTGCCTATCTCGAACGCCATTACAGGGAGTCTCGACTGCCACTAACGTGTGGTTTGGAGTCTGAGCCCATAATCGACACTGCTGTAGCTCTGAGCTTTGTTCTGCATACTGATACTCATCCTCCCTTGAATCCGCCATGCCACTCCTCGAGCATACTGACGCCGAAGGCCGTCTAACCTAAAGTGGACAAAGTGGCAGTCAGCTTCCGACAAACATGAGTTTCCCCCGGTCGCCCCGTCCCAAGGCCTCGGGCTCTAGGCCGCCACACTTTCTTCCTCGACACTAGCATGCTTCGAACTGGGCGGGAGGGTGTGGCCGCCAGAGCCGTAGTCATGATTCACGACATGCTGCAAAGCCTCCTACAGCTGTGCAGACAATCTTTGGCCACCCGGCGGCCTGGCTTTGAAATAAGCACCCGGGGCTGTGTATTTGTCAAAGAAGTCGAATGATGTCTCGGATCGCCCTGGGGGGAGGGGGGTGGTTGCGGGAAGCGGGTTAGCAGGCATATCCTTCATTCTTTGTCGTCATTTGCCTGGGATGGCGCTGGGAGCCGCGACGTCGCGGCGATATAACTACTCATCCTTGCCAACCCCCTCCTCGACTCCCATCAACCTGTGCTCCGCACTGGTCCAACAACACGTCATTCGCTCCGGGCCCCCTTTCACACTTTATCAACTCGGCGTCGCAGACCACCAGTTTTGCGCCGCCTCCCCGAGCCTACATACCATGTCATCCATCACGACGACTCCCGTACCGAGTAGACAAACGGATGACGGCGCCGCGCAGACTACACCACCTCGGACCTTACGTAACTTCGTATGTCTAGCTCCGTCGATCTCCCATATAGTCCATTCTGCGACTAGCCCCAGTTGACCGAAGCCATCACAGCATCTCTTCCTCAGACTGCCTGTGGAGCTCCGCCTCAAGATTTGGAGCTTCAACCTCCCACCGCCCCGGATTGTCCCGATCAGGTGCGGCGCCAAGTCCCTCACCTTGGCCTCCTCTGCTGAGATCCCGCGGCCCTCGACGAGCGGGTGCACCTCGTACGCCGCTGTCCCCGTCAACCTCCACGTCTGTCGGGAATCCCGACACGAGGCTCTGGCCTCGTACCGCCTGAGCTTCGGCATGACGCGCAACCCGGGCCAGATCTTCTTCGACAATGCACACGACGTCCTCTACTTTGGCGCACGCGACGGGTACATGGCCTCCGGGGCTCAGTTCTTTACCGTCATGTCCATGTGCGACCCGGCGGACCTCGCCGGCGTGCGCCACCTCGCCATCAACGACTCCATCTTTTGGATAGACGGGGTGTACCAGTCCATGAGCGCCGCGAACCTGACGGTCGAGGTCCTCAAGCACGTCCGCCTGCGTATGCCGCGTCTTGAGCGGCTTGTGTTCGTGCCCTGCGACGAGAACCCCGTCTACGATGACCAGGTCAAGCTGGTGCCGGCGAACCAAAACAGCATGCTGGAGGAGCGGATGGCGAGGCAGGTGAAGGCCGCCATGGGGGCCGTTTGCGACATCTTCCCGGATTGGAAGCCGCCGCGCTGGTGCATAATGGCGCTGGGGACGGCGGAAAAGACGGCACTCGTCCCATCGATACCGGGTCACATCTCGGGCTGCTCTGTTCCCTGTTCTGTGCAAAAGCGATACAATGTCGGCGCCTGACTCCTTCGCGGCTATCAGAGGGCGCTTTCCGCGTGCGTAGGCTTTGGGTGCGACACAACGGGCTGGTCAATTTGCATTTCAAAGATACCCTTGGGATACATCGGCGTTGGGAGGATATGTGGAATGTTGGAGTTTTAACAACGGGCATTTATAAGCTATATGGGTTATGTATCCGTACACTGGGTTGATACAAGGCGAGCAGTCTGTCCAACATATCATATGGAAGACATCCTGGCGCACGAGGAAGACGGTCTGCCTCGCGCTATCCCAACCCAACTGCCAGTGCTCCGCGTCACTTGTGTGTCTAGGTTCCCTTGGTTTGACGCAACAGGGAGATATCGCTTTTAATCCCGAATCTGTGTAACAAAAACAGTACTAAAACTAACCAGTCAACTAAGCGCCAGGAACGATAACTCTTCTTCATCGGTAATGGTAATCAGCCCGATTAAGAAAAACCTGGGTCGACTTGAAATTATGTCGCGGCTTCTTTCAAAACCCCTACCGCATATCCTTAACTCGAGCTATATGTGTCGTACCCTATAGTCGTCCTGTGTATAATCGCCGGCCGCCCTTACGCATGATGCTACACTCCCGAAAGAGGTTTGTTGTCACTGTTGAGCCTAACCACAAGGGACACTTATCGCACCCTACGAACAAGGCGGTTCCTCAAGGTAGCACAGGTACACGACAGTAGTCTGACAGGGTTGGAAAAAACGTAGTATAGGTATCGTGCCCGGTATTCCATATCAGGTTTCTATGAGAAACAACACCATCGAGGGATCCTGGTATCTGACTGCCCTAATGATTGTGACGGTCGGATTTTGATCTTAACTATAGAGTTCAAGAACACCTTTTGAGATAGTAACGTGCTCTAAACCTGATACTTGGCTGGCTGGTCTACCTGTAACCACCTCATTAAACCCTCTCGCTGTACTTACAACGCCGCCATGGCGCACTGTTTGTCGACCCATTTCGGCAGACCGGCGGAAAATATCCCATATCAGAGGTGTGCAAGAAACCATGGCTGCTTTTGTCTGCTGCACTTTGTTTCCGGACTCTCCATGACAGCGCTACGGCGTTGCAACAATCGTAGCAGTGGGTCATCACAAATTGCATGAGCCGGACTTTGCGGCCTACCATAAGGAGCCCAGGAACGGATGATGGGTCCTTTCCCTTGAGAATATCCGTATACCTTGGGAAGTATGTGGGGTTTGGCATGATGACTCCGCCTTGGTTTTAGTACCGTTCAGTCCTATCATAAGAGAATGGAGTATGCCGCTATGCGGTAAGACGGCAAACCTCGCCTTTGAATCGCATCGCTGAAGCATGCTGGTCGTAGCAAGCCCTCTTGAGGTCGCCGCAATCCCGGATGTAAAAAGTGTCAAGGGCCGTCGAGTCGTAACGAGATTGCGTTTGCGTCTAAGTAAAAACCGTACACTGTCCTGAGATCATGCTCTAGCTTATAGTATCGGTCCCTGGTCGTTTGTTGGACTGATCCCCTCCTCATGACCGTCACCCCTTAACAGGCCTCTCTGCTCGCCGCCAGCGTCTTCTCTAGTGAGGCCGGTTTCGACACCCATACCTCTCGACAGCCCGCTGCTCTGACGCGTCTCATCCGCCCCGTTGAGCACGTACCAAACATCCTTCTTCGTCAGGAGACCCTGTAGGACACCACGGTCGCTAAATAGGACGTACCGCAGGCCGAGCTTCTGAAAGTAGTTCACAGCCAAGTGCAAATTGGAGCGTGACGCCATGGTGATGGGCGTATGGTCCATCCACGGCCGGAGATCGAGCGTGGTGCGCGGGTCCGCAAGGGGCTGATGGGAGAAGAAAGCTTCCGTCTCCGGTGGAAGTGATCTAGGTGGCTGAGAGCACATCTGCAAGTTGTAGCTGAGCTCTGCTCGTGATATGTAGCCCAGCAGCAGAGCTTCGCGGGGGTCCGAAATAACGGGAAAGCCCCGGTAAGGGTGCGTGTTGAGAATGTTGTTGAGACTGCCAATAGTGTGGCCCGTAGCTGTAAGCACGACTAGATCCTCGATACGAGTCATAATCTGGGAGGCGGGTATGTCTGGTATGACCATTTCCTCGCTATTGTCCAGGAACGGGTACTCATTGAAGTGAATCCAGGCCTCGTAAATGCCCTTGCGTGAAAACGCGTCTCCTACCCACTTCGAGATCATGACGGCAATCATGATGGGAAGAACATATGTCAAGGCACCGGTCAGCTCGAACATGATAACCACGATCGAAACCGTCATGCGAGTGACCCCAGCGAGCGTAGCCGCTGCCCCAATAATAGCATACGTCCCAGGAGTCACACATGGGACGTCCGGTTCGCAGGCAGCAAATGGGAAAAACGTAGGGTGATTTGTGACCCAAATCTCCATGATGATACCCACCGCCCGGCCAGTGAGTGCACCGATGGCCATCGAAGGCAGAATAATCCCTGCAGGCAGCTGAAGGCCAAAGGTAACGGTGGCCAAGAAGAAACCGAGAATAGCCCCGAAAATCAAAAGCACAATGGTCGGTGTCGATGCAGCCCCTGTCTTACAGAGACCGATCTCGTCGTCGACATACTTGGAGCATTCGACGAACAAGTTCGACACAAGCTCTGAAGCTTGAAACTTCATATAATGGTTCGGGTAGTTGATGAGTGCCGTAAGAAGGGCAATTGCTGCGACCTGAGTGATCGGGCCTGGTAGCCACGGCGTGTTCTTCTTCCATCGAGCTACGGCCATGTTGGCTTTGATGAAGAGCCCGCCGTAGATTCCCTGTCATGTCGTTAGCGACGTTCGAGCAGAAGGTGAAAGCTACTTACACCCAGAATGCCGAGCAGGATGAAGGGGATTAGCTCGAAGCCATGCCAGCTGGTGCTGAACTTTACTTGATACATGACAAGCTGACCCGTTCGGAAGGGGTCAAACGCCTGGAGAACCACGGCTGCCGTCATGGCACAGACAAAACTTTGCCACATGGTTTTGTCGGGGAAATAGTAAGAAAGTTGCTAAGAACCAATTAGCCCAAGTTATCGAGGAATATCGACGCTACACACCTCGAGACTGAACAAGACACCTCCGATTGGAGATCCAAAGGCAACAGAGATACCGGAGGCGGCTGCCGCAGACAACACCTCTCTCTTCCGGGCTATGCGATGTTAGTGATGTACGTGTAGTAGCCTGCAAGACCTGCTTACCCTCGTTTTCATTGATGTTCGAGAAGAGCTTGATAAACAGATTGGCACAGCAGCAGGCAACGTGTACCAGAGGTCCCTCTTTGCCTAGCCACATGCCGGATCCAACGGCAAGGCACTAGAACGGTCAGTCGATCTGACTAAGCGGTGAGGGCTACAACAACATACCAGACCCAGCGACTTTGTGATCAGAGTCCAGCTGCCAAGAAACCTGCGGATGACGAAGCCGCCCAACACCGTCTTGATCTCGGGTATACCGCTATGCTTGGCATACATCGCATACTCCTTTACCAAAATCGCTGCTGCTGATGCCAGAAAAACCTTCAGAAGAATCAGCTCGTGACGGTAAGCAATGGGAGCGCAACCCTTACCGAAAAAATGAGGAAGAAGAAGTACTCTATGAACCATTTACCAACAGCCGACGAAATTCCCAAGGCCTTGGCCCAGGGTGTCCAGCCAGAACACTTGGAAATCTCGCTGTAGCCCCAGCAGCAGAAGTTCTTGTTTAAATAGAACGAGCCACCTTCCGGGCCGCTCGTGCAGTAGCCTGTCTTCAGGTCGCCAAGCCAGTCTGTCGTGATGTCGATGCCAGCGGCAACAGTTCCAACAGCCATGCCAGTTAGTATCAGAATGACCCAGATCTCGCTGGCATCCAGCAGTTGTTTGAACAACCCGAGCAGGCCGTGCGCGCTCGAGTGGAGGACGCGCAGACGTTGGCGCTCCTTTGTGTATTCAAAGATCCAATCGATGGCCGTCAAATCCTCATATCGTACTCTCTTGCCGGGCCCCTCGACATACCAGTCCAATGGCGCGCCATCTTTTATGCTTTGATTTGCAGTACCGTGCACGTCTGCTCTCCGAGGCGATCGGTTGGGGTCTTGGGTCGGCGTTCGAGCTCGCGGCGAAGAGTGAGGGGAGGCTGTGCCTGGTCGCGAGCCGGTGAAGGCAGATAGGAAGCGTACTGATGCCGATGAAACAGCCTGCTTCTGTTTGCGCTTGAAGGACAGAGGTTCTTCGAGGTCGTCGTGGATCGGGTCTTCGATCAAGACATCGGCAACGTCTTCGTCGTCGCTCCAAAAGTCCAGTTCGTCGCGGTCGGTGGGGTCGCTGTTGTTGCCATTGTTCAGCGGGCGCGTTGAAGATGAGGCGGACGAATCATTGTGTGCACGACCGTCCATGATGCGAATCTGACGACGTTGACTCCCAGTGTCCTCAGATGATGGCCATCCTGTTGTCGTTCTCCTAAATTAACGGAAACGTTATTATCTCGGGCCGGATACCTGTTCGGTGACAAACCGCGCGTGGCTGACTCGGTGTAGGAGCTCGGACCCTTTTGCGACCCGATATGGGGCTGATGCGACGCCGGGGGGCAAGTGGCCAAGAGCAGGGGTCTTGATGGAGTGCGGGCGATCTGTGTCTCCAGTATCTTCTACGCGGGGCAATTTTTCACGACAGCGTCATTTCGTCCGGTCTTGACTTCTCGAACCTTGCCTAGGCACCAGGCTTTGACAAGCTATAATCTGTGCGTTTCTTCCGATCTTTTAGAAGAAAGAAAAGAACGTTTCCAAGCCAATATAGCAAGTGTTTTCTTGAGAACTGGTGGACCCCCAAGTGCTGTTTAGCCAAAAGAAAACGACAACACCTGAAGCTCGTCTTACACACATTTTCGTCCATTGCACATGACCATCAAGCCGGCATAATCAGACCCCCAGCCGGGACCTACTACAACATCGCAAGAGCATGTCGGAAGAAGTATCATCGGGGTCGGCGGACCCTCACGCGCCATTGCAAGCGCCTGACCCGCCCCAGACAACCCAACAAACCGCATCACTCGATCAAATTCAGAGTATGTTGAAAGCCAAAGACGATACCTCGCGATTCGTTGGTTTAGCTTTGTTGAAAACCTTGCTCGACAACTCTGGGGAGCTGCGTAATGACGCCGGTACCGTTGTTAGCCTATGGGAGTCCATCTCTCCAAAGTTTTTGGATCGGCTGGTGAAGGCAGGGTCTTCGACCCAGTCAGCCCAAAACGACGCAAAGAACATGGTGGACCTGGCAGTCTCAGTAATCCATATCTTCGCCCTGCTCTTGCCGGATCAGTCAAAGAGAGACAAGAGACTCGTCGGGAGGTTGCCTCTCCTAGTCTCTAGCTTGCTCCAGAGGTGCGTTGCAGGAACTCGTTACGTAGCTTCAACATTAACACACAAAAAGCTCGGAGGAGACGTCTAAACTGATCGTTCAGACTATACTCACCCTCGTTGCATTCCCAGAAGGCGCCAAGTCCTTCCTCGAGGTTGAGGATGTCAGTCCCTTGGTCGAGATTGCGCCCAGCAACTCATCGGCCCTCGAAGTTTTCGGGTTTTCTTGGATCAACTGCATGAGCCTGATGCAGGATAGGACTGCCTTGAAGACGAAGATAGATGGCACAGTGCAGGCCCTTGTTTCGACCTTCAAAGGCACCGACGCCGTCACTTTTCTCGAGTTCCTCGGCAAATTTCTCCGAAATGCAGACCCCAAGGTAGCTTGTCTCCTCGAGAAGGTACAGGCAGCTGACTTACACTTGAATAGGCCCTCCCGTCGAGCCCGAAGTGGGTCAAACCGGCCGTTAACTTCATCAAGAAGCTCCTCACCAGCAGGCCTACGCCACAGGCCAGGAATGCCTACACCATCGCCGCTGCATCGTTGCTTGAGGTGTACCCGGCCGAAACGTCGAGGCTTCTCTTCACCAGCGACGTGAAAGAAGATAAGCCGTTTTCGTACCTGTTCATTACCCTACTCCTCACCGATACTAGAGCGACTCTGCCGCGACTACTCGAGCTCCTCAATGACCCTGCATATCCAGCCATTGCACAGCGCCTGGGATCGACGTTCGATATCACCACCCGATTTGTTGGATATCTCATGAGGAGTCTTGATGATGAGACGTCATCGCCGGCAAACATGGTCATGTCCGCAGACTTTCTGCTCAAGATCCGCCGGGTCATTGCGGAAACCATGTCTCTCACCATCGAGTTCTTACGAGACAGATGGGATGCATCCGTGGCAGGAACTTTTGGGCTGCACCCTGATGCGCGGGAAAAGGAAACAGACACGTCCATGGGCAAGAGGCTGCCGATTTCGTGGGATTCGAAGAAGGACAACATCCATGAGGACCCCCTGATCCTTGCAGCCATCAGGGTCTTGTCGCTCTGGCTTCGCGAGGATGACAACGACCTCTTGAGAAAGGAGGCGGCCGGCTTGACGGATATGCTCATTGACCTCTACAAAGCGAGTTCCCCGACACGACTCGACTTCCGCTCCCCGATCCTGGTAGGTCTGGAGGGTATCCTCGTCGAGAAGGCAGGCCTCGAGGAGTTCACCACGCACAACGGCTGGGACGCTCTAACCCAGGACCTTCTAGCCATATTGCAGCGCACGTCGACGGTAAGTGACGAGAACGAGGCCGCGCGCGCCATCGAGATCGTCCGCATCCTATTGCCCATCGTCGAGAGCGAGGAGGCCGGCTCGCGGGAGGAGTGGATGGATCTCGTCACCTCGGTGGCCGCCTGGGACGCACCGGAGGTCGGGCAGCCGCTCGTCGTGCAGGAGGCCCAGGTTGCGGTCCTCCAGCTTACGACCGCTCTGCTCGTCGGCGCGCCGGAGGGGATGAAGAGGCGATACGTCCACTCCACCAGCGCCATCCTCGGCATCGCTGCGCGGCTGGAGAGACATGTCGACGCAGACCATCCGTTGAGGGAGTCTTTGGTCGACGTGCTGCAAACCCTAGGTAGTCTCCGCTAATTCGCGAAATGATTCCCTGACAAAATTAGCGTTGCTATCTGCTGCAATTCAAGTTTGTGTGATGCACCGGTCAGTTTGCCATGGGCTCAGCGCACTTCCTCTTGGATTGGGCATTCTCTTGGCCCCAATACAAGAGAAGCCTTGTTGGATCTGACGATTCAACGCACTGACAGTCTCTCCGGGCTCAGATTGCTTGGCACTCCGCACCCGCTCGGCATAAATGCACAACGAACACTGGCATGGGACTCGGCCAGGTAGTTTGAAAACGGAGGATCAATTGTGCTGGAGACAAGGCGTCTGTCTCGCGTTGGCATACAGTCGCTAGGTCAATCCAAGGGAAGAAGTGTGGCACGATTACGCTGGCTAGTCCGAGATGTACTCAGCTCACCAAGTTCCATTTGGTATCACCTTCAGAGAGCCGGCGCTTCCCGCCGGCTCTAGGGCCAGACAAGAATCTCACCATACGGCAAGCAGGCCTTCAATTTTCGACATCACGGTGTGACGACTAGTTGTAGATGCAAATCAATATTTGCTTGCTTTTTTTTTTGTCCAGGGAAACCGATGCCTTTCCTGAATCACGCTCTAATAGACATGCACGGACAATACCGCTACGCGAAGCCAGTATTGCCTCACTCTGCTACATCCACCCTCTCCCTTCCTGGGCCTGTGACTGTGCCTGTGCCCTTCCCGTCCATTCCACGTTGGCGACAGATCGTAAGTGCCGTTTTCCAGGCCGGCCATGCTCTGGTATCTGCTGCTATGTTCGACCACTATCATATGCATGAAAGGGTTATGCCAAATTTTGTGTGGTAGTATCCTCCTCGTGCTCGGGAACTGGGAAAAAAACAACCCAAAACCACTATGCCAAAGTGGCGATAAAATTATAGATGAGAAGAACAAGAAAAGATGAAAATAGAAGCATGAATCAAGAAAGGAATGGGAAGTGAGAAGACGTGAGATGCAATTACAACGATTAACCAATCTTTCCCCTATGTTCCTGTTGCATCGCATGCCGGGGGAAGCAAACTGTCCACTGTTCTCTAGTTGGCAACCTCCTCCTCAACCCACTGGTTTAAGCCGCCCTGGATGGCCAGGCCATAGCCAGCACCCATGCCGCCAAAGCTCGCTTGGTACTGGTGGCCGCGACGCTCTCCTTCGTGGCCCGAGGGCGCGCCGCCATTGTCGAACCCGGGGTTTAGCGCAGGCAGACTTACTGCGCGGTTGTGCTGTCCGCGGTTGTTATTGGGAGCCAGAAGACCGCCGATGGTGGTGGGACCAGAACCAGATGCGCTTTGAGGGTAGCCGTTCGAGATGCTCGCGGATTGCTGGTGGCCCGTGATGGGGCCCTGCGACTGCATGTCGATAGACATCTCGCTAGGGGACGACTGTGCGGTGCCAAACAAAGCCTGGGAGTGAACAGCAAGCTGCTGGTGCTGTTGCTGCTGCTGCTGCTGAGCTTGCTGGGAGACATGGTTCAGGTACATCGTCAGGGGGTGGTTGTTCGAGTTAAACATGGTTGCCGACTGCTGGGGCGTGTTGCCGTTGGTTGGGGAGCCCGAATTCTGGGAACCGTTGGGTGGAGGCGACGAAACACCATCAGTGCGAGGAGATTGCGCCTGCTGCTGGAGCTGACGGGGCGCGTTTCCGCAACGGTCCTTGCCGAAGTTGACCTTGAACTTCTTGTACTCGTCCTTGCTTCGCACAGCCTCGATAGCCTTGATGGCGTTGGCAATGTTGGTGAAGTTGACAAACGCGCAGCTCTTTTCCCTCAAGGTGTTGACCAGCTCGATTTCGCCGTACTCGGAGAAGTCCTGTTTCAGTCGCTCCTCGGTCCACGTCTCGTCCAAGTTGCCAATGTAGACATTGCGAGAGGCACCTCCGCTAACAGCGAGGGCAATGGCGGGTGGGAGAGCACCGGAGTGCTTGCCCCAGCCAATCTTCAGTCTGCGGTTGTGGATCATCAAACCTTGCAGGTTGCTGAGAGCGTAGAAGGAGGCGGCAGCCGTCGGGTCGATGAAAGTGACGAAGCAGATGTGCTTGTCAGGGATGTAACGGATGTGGTGAAGAAGGCCACCGCGGACAACATTACAGATCTCTTCGATCGTCGTCTCGGGGTGAATATTGCCCAAATAAATGGTACGGTTTCCAAGGTTGTTGATGCCACCAGCAGTGGTCGCGACAGCGGCCGCGGCAACGGATTGCTGGGCCAGGGCGTTGGAGATGACGTCGCGGTCTGCACCAGTGAGCATGTGCGCATAGCCAGGCGCGATTCCAAGGTACTGAGCAGCGTTCTGCTGCTGCGTCTTCGAAACGTAAGCACATCGGTCCTTGCCGTAGTAAACGCGGCGAGGGGCCTGCCACTTCGGCTCTTGAGGAAGCTGGTTAACGGCCTTGATCGCATTGGCGATAGACAGGAAGTGAATGAAAGCAATGCTCTTCTCGCGGACGAGCTTGACAGTGTCAATGGCACCGAATTTTCCCAGGTCCTCGCGGAGCTCCTCCTCAGTAATGTCCTCCGGCAGGTTGCCCAGGTACACATTGCGTGAAGCACCAGCCTGCTGAACGGCCAAAGCCACCGAGGTAGGAACCTGGGAAGGCTTGCCCCAACCCACCTTGATATCCTGACCCTTGATGCAGAGCTTTTTCAAGATGGCATCAGAGTGGAAATGGGTGGCGGAGCTGGCGTCCAGGAAAGAGATGAAAGCACAGTTCTTGTCGGGAAGAAGACGAACGGACTCGATTTGGCCGCTGCGGACGTGGCCCAAGATCTCCTCGGCTGATGTGTCCGGGGGGATGTTACCAAGGTAGACAGTGCGGCTGGTGCCAGTAACGATACCCGGACCCATGGAAACGGGGGAGCTAGGTTGCATGGGAATTTGCATGCCATTGAAGCTGCCGCCGGTCGGTGACTGAGGCTGGAAGAACTGGGGAGCACCGTAGGTCGAGGGAGAAACCAAGGCCTGGTACTGCTGGGGAGACATGCTCTGCTGAATGGGGCTCTGAAGGCCGTTCTGGTGGTGGTGCTGCTGCTGGCTCTGCTGCTGGGCCTGCTGGAAGCTCTGGAGATTCTGGAACTGAGGGCTAGCAAAAGCGGCAGGAGTTCCGGGCTGGAAAGGGCTTCCGAGTAGCAGCTGAGAGGGGAGCAGAGGAGTAAACTGCATATCGAAGCCGGTGCCAGGAGTGGCCATATCAGCAGCAGAGGGAGGCGCCTGCTGGTGGTGATTCAGGGGTTGGGTATTGATAGTGGGAATGTTTCCGCGGCGAGGGTGCCTGTCAGCGAAGCCAGAGATGTTGGAAGTGAAAGCTCCGTGAGAGAAACCGGTATCGCTGTTGGAAGGCTTGGAGGCGTGGCCGAAGCGGTTCCCAGGAGCACTGGGGCCGCCCTGGCCGACGGGTCCTTGGATTTCCTGCATCCCGAGAAGATGCGGAGGGACAAGGTTGTCCCGACCGATTTGGGATAGAACCGCCGTTTTGAAAGATTAGACGTGCCCTTGGGAGGCACGAAGAATCGGAGATGGGCGCGTTGGAATGCTACGGGACTCTGAGAGCACCGCAGATTCAACGTGTGATTGGTTGGGCGTCAGATCTGATCGAGGGACGAGCAAATAATGTCGGAGCTCAAGACACGAGTGGAGCAAGACGGATTTTGGTAGCTCGTCGGTGGACCAAGCTATGGACTGGCCGTTTGCTAAAGTTGGTGGCGAAGGGGTCCAGAAGCCAAAAGTGAGCAAAGTAAATTATACGGTCGACGCAACAACAAATGCTGTCCAGAACAAAGAGCTCTTCAAGGCAACGATATTGTCGGGAGAGCCGGATAGCGGATAGTCGAAGAAGCAAGTTGCAATTCGTGCAAGTCGATGTTGGGCAGCCGTCTGGAGAGCGAGCGTCCAAGGTTCGGATCGGTTCGGTGCTGAGATCGGCGGCGGGATGAATCACTCCTTGCAGGCAGACCGGAAGATGGTCAAAGAATTATAGACGAAGGATATACGGGCAACGAATGTGGAAGCCAAGGTGAAGGATTGGTCAATACGGCAACGATCGCATAGGCCAGAGGAAGTCGGCAGCAGCGACAGGCGGTTTGGCTGCAAGGGATAAAGAATAGAAGATGAAGAATAAGGATGAGGGCGGGCGGATAAGAGGAAGGGGATGTAGGTGGGAGGTATAAGGTGATGGGAGGTGAAGAGGAGAAGAGAAGAGGTAAAGTCGAGAAGGGGGGTTAGAAGTCGGATGGTGGAGTCGAGGAATAGGAGGAGGGAGCGAGAAGTAAGGTTAGGTAAGAAGAATAAGAGCAGGGGGGGGCCGGAAGAGAAGGAGAGAAGAAAGAAGGAAGGGTTTGAAAGCTCAAGGAAGCGAGAGTGAGTAGTAGGTGAGGGAGTGAGAGGAGCACACAGAGGTGGACGAACGGGAGTAAGGGAAAGGGAAAATAAAATAAAAATAAAAGAGGTGAGCGAAGGCAGGAAAAGCGGAGTGAGGAGGAGTATAGGTGTTAGGTGAGGTAAGGGTAGCAAGGAGAGAAAGGGCGGGCGGCGGACGGTGGGAGGAAGGAGAGTGGACGGGGGTTCGTGTAGGCGGTAGATTGCCCAAAAGGGTCAAAAAAGTAGAATTGGCTGCGCTAAGTTTAATGAGACTGACCAGGGATTACGGTAGGAGAACCCACTCTCGTGAGCCCACGGGCACCACCGCCGCCCACACTCGCTGTCCACAGCAGGGAGAGAGACTGGACGCTGGGAGCCCGGGGGGATGGGTCATGGACATGGATGGGCATGGAGGAGTTGTGTAGTAGGTAGTACTGCGGTGTGTGCATGTGCGGAAAGCGTTTCTATCCAGTTCTTCCTTTTGTTGTAGCAACAAACGCACAGCGATAGTTACGACTAGAGGAGAGAGTTGGGAGGGATAGGTATGAATCAAAGCTTTGTCTCTTGTCATGACCCCCGGCCGAGTCCTTGGATCGAGGAGGGTGGATGCAATGCCAAGTGGATGGTGGACATGTTCATGTGCTTTGTGCACGCCTTATGATGTGTGCTATGATTAAACCATCAGAGGTGCATCTGCCCCCTTCCCGTCCCATCCAGCTCTCGCCGGCCGTTTGACTGCGCGGCTGATTTGCAACTTGGCTTCTGCTTCGCTATGTCCGTCTTTCTGTTCTCAGCCGAGCCCAGAGCAGCTGCTGACCCATCCGCCCTTCCATCACCAGCCCACCGTGACAGGAACCTGACACCGTCCGCTCGTGTGGGCAGGTCCATGTCGCTTTGCCCTCCCACCTCCCCCCAGAAATTATCTCAACATGAAAGTAAGTTGGCATCCAGGTAGGGCGATTAGGTCTGAGTGCGACCTGCCAATGTCCATTCTGCACTACTAGTAGATAGATGAAGATGCAAATAGTGACTTGACGGACCGTCCGTCTGTCTCTGTTTCTGTCCCTGTCTCCTGCCTGTCGTCTCCTTGGTCGTCCGTCCCGCGTGATTGTACAAATACTTGCCTACCTATTTGTGCCAGGCAGCACCAACGGCCCCCCTTCAGCAATTCGCATGAGGCGAGCCCCTTTCCGATACTTTGCATTAGAAATTGCACGTCAAAGATAGTTTCAACGGCGTGATGGCCACCCCTTCTGGGCGCTTTGCACGGTTGCAGTTTAGGGGCAAGGGAAGACTTAGGAAGAGGGGGAAAAAAGAATAAAAAAAAAAAAGGGGGGGGGGTTGTGCGCCTTCGCAGTACGGTGGGCCAATTAGACAAGTCACCAGGTAGCTTGAAGTACCTTTGCAACTGACAGTGGGGGACGTGGGTGAGGTTGCTGTGTGCGTTGGTAGCGAAGAAGGGGCTAGTGTACTGCGTACCTACCTAAATTGTCGGACACCTTGGCATGAGGTATCGTCGGTACGTACCGGACATCACAGCATCTTCCTGGCTTTGCAGGTCGATCTGCACAAATGATAGAAGTTAGTCCAAGGTACATCCGTACATTGGCGTCTACCGGTACACTACCTACCTACCTGTACCAGTGGACATTGTGCATTACACTAGGCACTCTGAGTAAACCCCCGATCTTCAGGGCGCCCCGAGTAAGAGTATACAAACTACTTATCCTCTGCAGGTCTGACCTGCAGCGAACAACGCACCGACAACTGTCAGATCTCGACAGTATTGGTTCCGCGCCAAGAGAACAAATGCTGTACTCGCTGCAGCAACGGGCACCAGAAGTCCAGGACGTCGCGGTACCGTACCTCACTTGTTCGTATTTAGCCCCCGAGACTGACTGATCGAGACTCGAGGGGTTCTCAACCCATCGTTAACAGGCCGCCGCCGTCTTATTATAGCCAGTTGCGCGGCGGGTAAGTCCAGCCACAACCACGAGACTTTTTCAACATCGACCGTCACAGTTGCGCTACTAATTTAGCGTCCGACATGCCGCCATCCATCCCACCTCTTTCTGCCTCTCTCCGGGGCTTCTTCTACCGGTTTTCATGACGGCTGAGGGGACAACGAAACGTGCTCGTTTCCTCATTTGTTCGCTCGTTAATTGTTTCTACAGACCACCTAGTGTAGAGCGTGGTAGTTCTACGTCCCTGAGCCAGAAACGGGTTACCTTGCCTCTTCAGACTCGCCTCATGCTATTTCAGGTCGAGCATTGCAGTACGCACAACCTCGGTATTGCCGACATTTGCCCACTCTTGCTCCATCTAGACGTGGCGAACCGAGAAGTGCCATGTCTTCAATCAATCAATCAATCAATCAACCTACCTAGGTGCCTAGGTAGGTACCAAACACTAGATCTTCGTCCCCTTTTCCTACCCGTTCTCCACCCGTCCGTTGGCATCAGCCATGCAACACCCCGATTTCTCAGTCCTATCCACATGAACAGCCTCCTCGTCCTACCCCTGTTTGGTCCCCCCCCTACCTTCCACTCTGCTCACCCCTGGATCTGCTCTTACCTGTTCTTAACATTTGATGGAAGAGAGCCTCGCTTCGGTTCCGACGCAGTTGCAAGCAGAGCCAATATACCGCCTGCTCCTGCCATTTGCTGTATAACATCCATCATCAAGACGCCCGAGCAGTTCTGTATCCTCAAGGCCGATGCTGGAACTCGTGGATAAACCCGTCTCATAGTTGCGACCTATACGGATAGAGAGAACAGAGCGCGAGAGGTTCGGTGCGCTCTTGCAGAGCCAAGAGGCGGATATTGCATTTCAACAGACAATAGACCGGGGGGGTTGGTATAGTGTACACTATGTACTCCTCCGCGAGCAGATTCCCTCCCCCTGTTCATTTCCTTTTACCCCCGGCCCTACCACATATCTAGTATCGTACAGTACACTTCAACCACTGCCCGCTGAGCGGTACGTCTCATACTCACTCCTCCTCTTGCCGGCCCCCTCCTGGAACCTGGTCCCTTCCAGCCATTCATCCCTACCCTTCCTCCCCTTGCCTACGGCCTGGCCAACATGCATAGCTCGGGAAAGGCACCGCCTGTTCTGGCTTGGCTAGTGCCCTTCTGAATAGTCTCCCCGATCCATCCTCCAAGGGTTCGTCTTCCTCCTCACCCAACCCTGTGGAACACAGACAGCCGACTTTGCCAGAATATCTGCTCCTACACTGGCCCCACCGCTTCAGCACAGGCGTGGGCATGAGCAAATACTCCTTTGCTCCGGCTTGCACTTTGTTCTCTACAACTGACGTCTGTACAACCCCGTTGCGAAACAATGAGCCTCTCGGACATACTCAATCCCTCGGACGGCCGTTGGCCAATCTGCCTTGCGGGTTTGACCATCACCTCGATGTATCCGTGTGGCTTTACTCAAGGATCGTGTCCGATCACGACGCTCTACTGCCTGCACCACTACGCATCTGGATCTGGACAGCATCCTGGACGCTATCGTGGCATGCCCCGGACCAACCCGTCGCTCTCCTTTACGCTCAGTCGGCTTCCCCATATTGGATGCATCGGCTCGCTACATACTTACAGCCTCCCTGCCTCACAAGGAATCCGATCATGCCGATGAAGGATTGTGAAATTAAACCAGCTGGACCTCCACCACCCTCTTGGAATATCACCCTGTTTGTCGCTTTCTCGCTTCGCCGCATCTCACAAGGCTGACATGCACAGCCTGTCTTCACGTCTCGAATGGCCAAAAGCCGTCGTCGTACTGTCTCGCTCAACAGGGCTTGCCACCTCATCCCCGCGGTGTGTTTCGGAGAGTCAACCCGAGGGACTACTCTGCCAGGACGGCTTTACACAAACTGTGGCGGGTTTGTTGCACGATGCAGGGGACGCCATTCCTCGCCTCGTCCTGCAGTGCCACACAGGTCACGGTGCACGGGACCACGCCAATGCCCGCGGCTCTGCTGTCGGGGGGCTAGTTGCTGCTGTTCCTTGCAGTGCGGCTGCTGTATCCGTGTCCCAAGATGTCAGGACATACTTCCCCCAAGCCTCCACACCTGTCGAGCTATTCGGATGAAACACGGGCTACAAGGAGCCTGGGTTGGTTGAATAAATAAAAACAAAAATAAAAACAAAGGGAAAGAGAGAGGGAGAGAGAATCCCAGGCTATCACGGGAGCTTTGGGTCAACAAAAAACCACGTCGAATGAAATGTTGCAACATGGCCTGCACGATCGCCTGTGGCTGAGCCATCATCAACTCCCCGCCATTGATCAAACATATTACAGTCACTTTCAACTTGGGCCGGCAATAACAGTAACAAAGAGAGAAGTCGAAACCAGACCTCGAAACTCCTTGGCACCAAGCGTTGCCAAGGAGCGGCCGGATGCTGAACCATCTAGCTGACCGGAACCGCACACGATCTTCCTTGACCAGACTCACCGCCACCTGACGGGTGCGTCATTATTCACTTCCGTCGCCTGAAAACCCACCACCGCTGCCATATGGCCGTGGGATAAACCGCCGCCATGCCGTTGATTGGGGTCGTCATCATCTACACTGCCACCATAAGGGGGGGGAGACACTTTCGGCGCTATCCAAGACTTGTCAAACACGGGGTTGCAATCCACACCTCCTGCGTTAAACAACGAGCTAGGTTTTCTGTGCCTTACATAGCCGCGATGTGCGTCGTAGCACCCACGCATGTGGCCAGTACCGCTGGTCTAGAATCCCGAACACAATGGCTGGAATGGAAGTTGGGGCCCCTCGCTACGTACCACGCACTGTCATTGCCCGCCCGCCACACGATATGCCGCGCCAGATCCGTGACGGTGCATTGGGTCCGCCTTGCATCAGGTCATTATTCATCCAATTGATTCTCACGTCGAATCATCAACAGACCACATCATGTCTCTCTCTCTCTCTCTCTCTCTCTCTTCGACCTGGCAAGAATGCGTCCCTTTTCCGGGCAAACTCCCTGGCCTGTATTTTCCGCCACAGACAACTCACGCCACACGCCATTGAAAGGGTCTGGAAACTTCCCTTGAGTCAAGACCCTGGCTACCTGCTAACTAACCGCTTTCAACTTGCTCAACCGATAACCGGCATCCTATTGATTGTCGCCTCGTATTGCCAGACGCCGAACCTACAGTAGGTAGGTTACCCCCACCATCTGATCAATTGGCTGCATCCTGGTGAATCACTGCACAGTAAGGCAACCCCGCCGCTCGGTCGGTCAGCAATTGCTGGCCATCCTTCCCGTCTCTCGGGAATAGTCGATGAGTCGGTAATGTACGCGTAGTCTGGCTGCCTCGTTCACCTGGGAGTGTAATGGAGGTGGACGCACCTTGCACCAGTCCTCACGTACGATGGTGAGCCACAGCCTCGGGTTGAGTTGCCCCTCGGACGGAGTTCGACGAGTGTGTTTGAGACAACCCCCCCGCCCCCCCCCCCAAAGGTCAAACCCAAAGGGTAAATAGACTTCACCCGCAACACACAAGCACTGACACCACCTTTGTGATGGAGAATCATTGGTTCTACCCAGACATTAAGAATTCAACCACCGACTCGCAAGGCATTCTTCCTCCTTGGGCTTGCAAGGGTGGGAGGGAGAGAAAGCGTCATCAACCAGATACGGCCCGAGATGGAGGGCGCCAAGACGTTCTAGAAGGAGGTCTGATGTGGACACTCAAACTCCAACATCGGCCGAGCAAGCAGGAGCTGAAGCTTTTTCTGGCAGACTCCGAACTCAGTGCTGCAACTCGGACGGCTGATCGGCCCAATTGGCAGCTTTCCTCGCCAACGCCTGTTCGGCCGGGTCCCGGTCCGCTAGGCATCAGATAACGCCACTTGCGAACATACCAGCCCACCACGGACTGACTTTGCCTACCAACGGCCACTGTCATAGTGTACGAATCCGCCTTGCGCCCAGGAACGAGTCCAACCACGACATGGCTGCCGTTCCATACACCTATTCCATGTGCTCGGTCCAGGTTGCACTCACTGTCTCACCTTTGTGTTTTTCTTTCTTTGGCTTTGACGTCTTAACGGCTGGATATCACGGGCGTAAGTCCCGCAAAACCCCCATATGGATACGTCGTCGGGCGGGGTGTGCCCCCCGCAACGTCCAAGCATACCACGTATGCTGTTACCCGGCCGAGATCGGCTCCGACCAAACTCTTTGGGAAGCGTTGATAGAAGGGAGCCTGTTGGCACCTCATCGTCCCTCTCATCGATGCTCCTTCGTTACACGTACTGGCTAAATGATTCTCGTTTCCCAGAGTCAGCATCTCCGATGGGGATGGGTTGAATTCCGTAACTCCTATCTAGAACCCCCGACCCGTCTCTGATACCCTCGCAGCAAACCGCTGCCGGAACCCTTACAAAGCCCCTGAAAACCCTGAATGATCTCGCTCATGCCTCGCCGCAGCGCTTGCAATGCACGCTGGGCGTTTTTTGTTTCCCTCTATCCAGCAACACGGACCCTTCACGTCAACGGCCACCTCTTCAAGGCTTGCAACGTCCCATGTAGCGGGGGTACAGGCACGTTGTGCGAACGGTGTGCTGGTTGGCCAGCCAGGCCAAGAAGCGCTCGAGACCGAGACCGTAGCCGCCGTGGGGGGAGGTGCCATACCTGGGAAGACACATTGTCAGCAGTGGTCACAAATCGGTGGAAGAAGAAGGGGAAACTCACTTTCGCTGGTCGGTGTACCAGTAGTAGTCCTTGGACGGGATACCCTCTCTGTCATAGGCGGCCATGAGCTCCTCGTAGCCCTCCATTCTCATGGAACCACCGACAATCTCACCGACGCCGGGCATGAGGCAGTCGACGCTCTCGGTGACGCGCGGGTCGTTGGGGTCCTTCTTCATGTAGAAAGCCTTGATCTCAGTAGGGAAGTGAGTGAGGAAGATGGGCTTGTTGATGGCATCGGTCATCTTGCGCTCAGCAGCCTCGGCGATGTCGTCGCCAAACTTGTGGGGCTCGCCATCCTCGTTGAGGATGGGGGGGTCCTGGGCGTTGAGCCAGTCGATGGCGTCGGTGTACTTCATGCGCATGAAGGGGCGGACCGGCTTCTTGAAGTCGGGGTTGAGCTCCTTGATGAAGGCAGCGATTTCTTCGTCGGCCAAAACGTTATCGATGACGCGGCACATGACCTCCTCGAGATGCTCGAGCAGGTCGGGGAACTCGATGAAGTCGAGCTCGGCCTCGACATGGGTGTACTCGGAAAGATGCCTGCGGGTCAAACTGCGCTCGGCACGGAAGGACTTCTCGATACAGTAGACGCTGCCAAGGCTGGGCAGGACGGTCTCGAGGTACAGCTGAGAGGACTGGGTGAGGTAGGCAGCCTCGTCGTAGTAGGGGACAGAGAAGAGCGTGGCACCACCCTCGACCTGGGTCTGGACCAGAGCCGGAGGCGACACCTTTGTGATCTTGAGGTCCTTGTAAGTCTTGCAGAAGGCCCACTCGACGGCAGCACGGATTTTCATGATGGCGGAGGCGTTGTCGCCGCGGAGGACAAGGTGGCGGTTGTCCAGCATCTGCGAGTCCCACTGGTTCTGCAGCAGCGATACCTTGTTGGTGATGGCATCCTCGTCGGTGGGCGAGGTACCAATGACCTTGTAGTAATCAACGTGGAGTTCACGGTTGTCGGGGGCCGTCTGGCCCTCGGGGACCTTCTTCAGCTCGCCGTACACCCACAGGGAGGTGCCCTGGGCGAAGGTGAGGGCATCGTACGTCTTGGTCAGATCGCCGGCCTGGAGCACGCACTGGAGGTGGCCGTAGCCGTCGACCAGAGTGATGAAGGTGGCCTGCTTCTGAGCACGCAGCCTGTGGATGCGTCCAGCAATCTTGACGCGGTCACCCTTCTTATCACCCTCGCCGAGCTGGACGTTCTTCTCGCCAATGTTGATGCGTTTCGCCGGGGGAAGCGACTCATCCTCCTTGATAATGACCTGCTTGGCGGCCTCGAGGGCCTGCTGGCGGGCCTTCTTCAGCTCCTCTTCCTTGGCCTCGATCTGGGCCTGCTTTGCCAGCTTCTTGCGGTGGGCGTCGAGGGCAGACTGGGCCTTCTTCACGGCACTCTTTGCGGGCTCCTTCCACTCGAGGCGGGCGGCCTCGTCGTCGCCCGTCTTGGAGGCGCGGGTGAGGAACTGACGCGAGGTGACGGAGTCGTTGTTGGCAATGTATGCAGCGGCAAGCGACTTGAAGGGGGAGGACTCGGTGCCCGCGGTCGTGGGCTCGTCAACGCCGGCGTCGGTGTCGACGTAGACCTTGTCGTCGGACTTGAGGCGCTCGGCCAATTCCTGAATGGCGGCCATTTTTTTGTGTTTTGTGCGGGCTTTCCCAATCTGTGGAACCAACAAGATCCGACACGGGCTGCAAGAACACGATGTTTGTTGACTCAGTCGTGGCGGTGGTGGTGATGCTGCGGAGGGGAAATTTTTGGGACGGTTTGGATGGCGGGGTAAATTCTTCGGATTGGGTTGGTGGGAAAGTGCAACACAGTGCAGCGCAGACAAGGAGGGGTGGGCGGAGGGTGACCTGAGAGGCCGGGTATCTGAAAGTGGTGACTGTGCTTTGTGAGTCACTAAGAGACGGAGAGAGACAGAGAGTACCACCGAATGAATGGGTCTCCAACAGACGAAGATGATATGACAACAGAACAAAAGAAGGATTCGGTTTTCTGTCAATTGATGCAATGCCGGGGACGACGCTCCCTCCTTTTGAACAAGCCAGCTAGATGATGGCTGTCGGGCGTGTGAGTCACCTTGGAACTGTTTGGGGCTTGTTACAAGTAACGGCCAGTTTGTGCAACCCCCTTGATACGAACGGCACACGACACACTTGGATGCCGGCCGCGGCGCTCAGTCGCCCGCCCACGAAAGCGCAAGGGGGGCGCTGCTCCAGGGACCACCGGCCGGCCGGCTGGCCGGGCTTGCCAATTGAGCGTTGCAATTGCTCAGAGATAAGGGCCTGGGGAAGCTCGGGCCCGCCTGTTTCTTAAATCACATTTACCCTTGCCAAAAACCCGCCTTCACCTACCCCTCCCCCGGCTCGCTCCGAAGATAGGAGAGAGAGAGAGAGAGAGAGAGAGAGAGTCAGAACGGGCGACAGGGTAGAAGGGAGAAAACTGCGGTGAGGTCTTCTGGGAAGGAGGACCTGTACCATCGAAGGCGGTGAGTTGCAGGGCTTTTTGAAGGCTTGAGGGGGGGACGCTCGTCTGGCAGGGTCCTTGTTTGGTCTATCGCTCCCTGAATTGCTGTGTACTTTGTGTATCTCATCCACCTGATTCAAGCATCTTGGAAAAGGGGAAGAGGGAGGGTGTCGTCGGCCGGCAGAGCTGGTTAGGCGAGGGCCCCGATCTACATGCATGGCGACGAGAGGCGCCCACGGCCGGGTGCGGTCGATGCCTACCGCCGTGTGCCGGTCCTGTTTCCGTTGGGACGCCTCCGTCGGCGCGCCGCCCCCCATGAGGACGGTCCGTCATGTCGAAACGTGAAGCTCTGTAAGGCAGATAGCTGTCTTATTGCTCAACAAGGAACCCCCGCCACCAATGCAAGGCAACCAGCCGATTCATCTCTCCATGTCCATAAAAACGAGCCGTGGCTGCTGTTCTCGTATTTGTTTCTTTGCGTGTGTTTTGAGTCTGGCGATTCCATGAGGCGACTCGTTAAAGGAGAGAGAGCAACGCACTGCCATCTCGAGATGTCTGACCGCCAAGCAAGGGCACCACTGATCGAAAGGCCCGGATATGTATGTTGGCCGACTTTTGACATGTTTCGTCGAGAACGTCATCCGTACCGTCGGGCACTTCCCCGGCCCATTACTCTGAACGCCGAAACCCTCCCTCCCCCCTCCCTGCCATCCTCACTTCGACAGCAACTAAGCCGTTGCACCAACCTCGAGGAGACCGAATCCCCTTTTGAGATTATCACTGAAGCCCTCACTCCTTTCCACTACTCCCCTTTTTCAAGGTTCATCTTCACAGCTCGTCCTTCTCCCCATCTACAGGAGTAGTAGCAGCAGCAGCCTTACCCTCCTTGCCCATCCCCTCGAGCCCCTTCTTCACCATTGAGCTGAGGATCTCGTACACGACCTGCGCCGCCGCCAGCGCCGTCTCCTCACCGGCGTTCTGGTACGCCGGCGACACCTCCACCACGTCTGCGCCGACCAGGTTGAGCCCCTCGATGCCCCGCAGGATGCGGATCAGCTCGCGCGTCGTCCAGCCGCCGGGCTCGGGTGTGCCGGTGCCGGGCGCGAAGGCCGGGTCCAGCACGTCGATATCCACGGACAGGTACACCAGGTCCTCGGTGCCGAGGGTCTCCATGATGGATCGTACCACGCCCGCCGTGCCAATCTCGTCAATGTCGTCGGCGGCGATGCGCACCCAGTTCTGCGCCGTGTCGTCCTCGTGGTCGGCGAAGTCGGTGCCCGAGAGCCGCGTGCGCAGGCCCGCGTGCACCGACGGCTGCGACGACGCGTTGGACAGCAGGCCCTCGTTTCCGGCCATCCAGAACATGGAGCCGTGGTTGAACTGTGTCGAGGTCCAGTACGACGGGTACTTGGCCGGGTGCCAGGTGTCCAGGTGAGCTGCACCATTTTCAGCCATTCCGTCGTCGTCTATCCGCCGCCCTCACCCGAATCACCCGCCAAACTTCATTTTCTGCTCTCCTTTCACGCCTCTCCTCGTCAACACCTCGGGGGACTATGTCACTCACCGTCGAAATGCAGCACGCGAAGCGGCGCCCCGTAGGCCTCCTTCAACGCTCTCAGTGCCGGCAGCGCCAGGCTGTGGTCGCCCCCCAGCGTGATCAGCTTGGGCCGACTCAGCGATGACGACACGGGCCGCCGCGCGCCAAGCTCCTTGAACGCCGCCGACATCTGCTCGAGGGCGACGACGTTGTCCATGGGCGTTACGGGGATGTCGCCGCAGTCGAGGATCGTCGCCCAGTTGGCGTACGGGTTGATGCTGGCGCGTGGGTTAAAGCCGCGGAACGACGTCTGCCTGCTCGAGGCCTGGCGAATGGCGCGGGGCCCGAAGCGGGCGCCTGGTATCAACGTCAGTTCTGGGACCGACACTTTTGTGTGGCCGCGGCGAAGGGAGAAGGATGAGGGTAGATCTCCGGTGTGAGAAATGAGGGGATGCTGCTGAGCCTTTGAAATCTGAGGGAGGCGATCAGGCCTTACTCACCTGGCCTGTAACTGACGGCCGTGTCAAAGGGGGCGCCAATGATTGCGATGTCGTACAGTTCGGACGGCGTCGTCAGACACTTTGCATGCTTGAGGTGGGCGAAGGCGCCAATACCCGTAAATCCTACATGCCGGTGAACCCAAGTCGCTCTCCCAACCTATCTCATTCAAGGTAATCACTCACCCCACTACAGGCATTCGTCAGTCTCCCGCTTGTTATCGTCATTGGCACATATAGGCCGATGAGACTCACCTCGAAACCCCATTTCGCCTCCAACTCGTCCAGCTCGGCCTTGGTCCACTCCTTGCCGTCATCGCCGTGGCTGCCGCAGCCCGCGGCCAGTAGGGCCGACGAGCAGCCCAGCAGTAGCGATGCCAACCTCATGACGTCGTTTGTATAAGATCTATCCGTATGGTTCCACGCGATGATCGTCGTCAGGCGTGGGGTCAATATCACGGAAGTGCTGTGCAAAATTTGGCGAGAGATAGAGGTGGAAAGAGAAGTCAGCGGCTTGGGCTAGGAATCGTTACCAGAGAAGCGGCGTGTGACGACTTTTTTAAGAAGAAACAGCAAGCCGGGCCAAGCACTCCGGAGACCGGAAAGCGCAAAGAACGTCGACCGGGCCGGGCCAGTCCAGACTACTGCGTGCCCTTGCGATTGAGGGTCCTGAACCGCTTCCCAAACCATGTCCTTCGGGGCTCTCCCGACCTCCCCTTTGAGGACTCTATTTGCCTGGCCGCGCCTGTCATTGGCCACAGCCCCGTCTCCTTGTCAAGTGGCTTTACGTACGTGTACACAGTTATCGGATGTCATCAAGCTTCTGGGGGGCGCCTACGGAGAACGTCCGGCGGGGGAGTGGACGGCCACAGAGTCCAATCGATAACGGTTGACGGGTTATCGTCCAAGGAAAGCAAGCCCCACCGATGCCGGCACACTGAGTAAGGAATGAATTGTCATCGAGTGCATGAGCACTATTTCCCGCCAGGGTATCGATGATATTTGGGGAAGGGGAGACTCGAATCGGCGGAAACGTCGAACGCGGGGTGGTGCAGTGGCAGCCGCGAGTGGGGCTATGCCCGGATATGTAGCTAAACCTGTCCGATTTCCTCCCGGCCACGCTCTCGCTGCGCTTCGCGACTCGGTATATCGCATACAGTGAGGCCTATCCGCTTATCCATAATCCCATCCCCGGAGTTACCGACTGGAGCACCGCACCGTTCGAGTAATGAGTTGGAGTAGCTCAGGCATGCGCTGGTATGTGCGGTACGTCTCGTATGCCCCAATCCAATCTTTTATAAGCCAACCTAGCCCAAACCTTGGTGCCAAAGACGGCCAGTGTCTGGAGGCTCTCTTGTCGGTATATCTCTCCATACCCCTCCGCAAACTTCAGGGAACATGAGAGGTCCCCTTGATTTCGCGACGCGCATTGGACACCACCTCCCTCGTGAGACGTGTCCGGGGGGTGCAGAGACAGTGAGAGCGGGGAAGAAATTTGCCCAAAGACAAGACACGGATTGGCAAAACAGAGAGAGAGAGAGAGAGAGAGAGAGAGAGAGAAGGAGAGAGAAGAACAAAGAACGAAGAAAATCCCGTGGAGCCCCTGGTAAACAGCTATCAAATGCCTCTCCTGTCGTGGCGGCGGCCTACGAAGTTCCTTAACCGCATCTGTCTCGCATTGATGACCCCAATTCTGGTGGGTGGACGGAGCCTGGCGCGCCAGAGGTCGCGACGTCATTATTGTCATGCGCCGTGTCCTCCGCCCCTTGTTCAGCCACCCATCCCCTCCCGAATTCACTAACAGTACATACCATCCCCCCTCCCCATCCCCTAAATTCACTAGACTCCTGTTGCTGCTGCGGCGGCTGCCCAACGGGCCTGTTGAGTGTTGACTGCCCTGAGGGCGGCCATAGATGGGGTCAGGTTGAAATGGCCCCCTGCGTGCGTGCTCTTGCAGTCAGCGGAACTCGGGGGAGGGCAGGCAAATGGGAATTTGCTGCTTGAGCAGATGAACGAGAGCAAGAACAGCGCCATGCTTTCCTCGAAACTTACGGCTCACCGTCCGTTGCTTGCCGCATCCTTTTCCCTGCACCTGGTGAGTTGTGATGAAAGTGAAGAACCTGCCATCGTCTATCGGCGCGAGCGGCACGCAACTGATGGCTGGCCCTGCTGGTCCGATATTGGAATATTTACTCTGTACAGTTGATATAATACTGACGATCTGCGGGCGAGGACGCAGGAGGCCTGCCAAGCCAATCATAGTGTTGACAGTGTAGCCGGAACGATAAGAACGCGAGACAATGCCCAAGGTCAGCGCGATAGAAAAAAAAATAAGACCATCGATTTAAAGTGCACTCCAATCGCCAAACTGTCCTATCGAAGTATTCCTGCCTGCGTGATGAATTTACCCATCCCTAAATGTAGAAAGAAGCAAGAAAACCACCATGATCCGGGCCACGGCAAAGAGTAGTCGGAGCGAGAAGAAAGAGTTTGGGGTCTTGGTAAAAAAGGTGAGGAGTAGAGGGGGAGAGAGGGGGAGAGAGAGGGAGAGAGAGGGAGAGAGAGGGGGGAGATAGAGAGAGGACTTGGGAATTGGTGAACGAAATACGGAAGGGGAAATACAGCCCGTCGTCTTGCCCATTCCCCTGTCCCTCACAGGCCTGCCCCCCATGATGACGAGATGCCTAGAAGCCCTGACTGCCGGGCAGATGATCCAATCCAAATCTTCGCTGTCGCTGAACCAGGAAGCCCCAATCCATTGTTTCGCGGGAGACGACCGTTCTTGGTCGGTCCAATGTTGCGGTTAATCAAGGCCCAGCGTGTCCTATGCCATGCGCGCTGCAAGCAAAAAAAGAGGTGCAAAGTGCCATTCCGAGCCGGAAACCCGGAACCGTTTGCGCGCGCACCTAGGTGGCAAGGGGAAAGGCCCAAGCCTGGTTCTCGGCGTTTCCGCTCACCGCCAGAGCCAGAGCCGGGCAGGACGGGAGGAAAGCAAGACCCATACGTAGAGGGTCCTACCATCAGAGGATAAGACACTTGTGTGATTTCTTCTTCGGGGCAGGAGGCTCCAGAGCCGCAACGATCGCCTGGGGACGCATGTCAGTTTTTGGTGTCCACCGCAAAGTCGGGAACAAGATGGAGCTCGGAAATATATACCTCGTCAAATACATCCTTCAGTTTGTACTGCGTCAGAGCACTGCACTCGACGTACTTGACGGCACCCAAGTCCTTTGCCATCCGCTCGCCATCCTCTTTCCGTACGGGAGACATCTTTTGCTTAGAAAGCTTCTCGCGAACGCTGGGGTCCTCGCGCAAATCCACCTGGGTGCCGACGATCAGGCAGGGGACGCCGGGGCAGTGGTGATGTACCTCAGGGAACCACTTCTCGCGGACGTTTTCGAACGAGGCGGGTGATGTGACACTGAAGCAGACGAGGAAGACGTCGGTTTGGGGGTACGATAGAGGGCGAAGCCTATCGTAATCTTCCTGACCGGCGGTATCAAATAATCCTAGAGTGTAAGGCTCGTCACCGATCCTGTAAAGGAGGGGGGAAAACGGCCGTCAGCAAAAAAAAGGCCCAATAGTGATCATCCCAGCTACCATCATCTCGAGCGTGGTCTTCCTGTGAACCCGTCTTGTCCATCCATCCGTTCATCCATTGAAGGCGTCTTGGAAGACACTCGAGACTCGGTGCTGATGTTCAAATGTGCTGGAGGGACTCACATAACAGTGACGGCATAGTTATCGAAAACAGTCGGGACATATTCGGAGGGGAACTTGTTCGTCGTGTAGCTGATGAGGAGACACGTCTTTCCGACCGCACCGTCGCCGACGACAACACACCTAAGAAAGACAGTGATCAGTTTGGGTGTTGAATGAAATGTTGGATGACATGCGCGCTTTGATGGCCTTCCCCCTTGGGTGGATCGTCAAGTCAAGTAAGGATGGGCGACCGCGCAGAACGCCCTCCCACCTCGATTACCCAACCAGCACGAGAGCAGTTGATTGCGACAGTGACGAGATGAGCAGCATCGATACCAGCCAAGAAGGCAAGCAACGGAGGCGAAGGGCAAGGACGGCGAGCATGGGAAATGGGAAGGAGAGAAGGGAAGGAGGGCGAGGGCAGAGGCGAAAAGGGAGCGGTTCAGAGAGTACGCACTTGATAGTAGCGACCACCATTGTCTAGATCAGTGATGCTCCTGAGCAGGAGCAAAGACCTGTGGGAAAGAAAATGATTTAGACTGGTCTCGCAGTCTCTCCCTTATTGCGCGGCGCGTCGTGTCGAAGTGTCTTGTCTTGTCGAGGTCGGGGTCGGGGTCGGAAGTGATTTCCAGCGCTGGGACGGGCGTGGGTAGGTTTTGGGGGGTTGGAGCGGCAGCGAGAGTGGTAAGTGTTAGTGGGAATGGTAGTGGTGGTAGTTGCCGGGAAAGATGGATGGTGGAGACGTGGGATGTGGATGTGGACGTGGGCGTCGACTGGACGGAATCGAAATGGGGGGACGGGGGGGAGAGAGGAGGAATAAAGGCGTGGATTGGGTGTGAAGTAATAGCAGCAGAGCAGGGAGCGCGGTCCAGTCGTGTGTGTGGTTGGTCACGGGCAGACGAGAGTAGGAGGAGGAGGTGGTGGAGGACTACCTAGGTAGTAGGTGAGAGAAGATACGGCGAAGTAAAAGGTCGGTAAGAGTAAGGCGAGACAGGGGAGCAACGAGTGAAAAATAGGCGATGACGGGACGGGGGTTAGGGACCCAGCCAGGGACGGCAAGGAAGGGTCACAAGTAGATGTCGGGGAATTTTTTTTTGGATTTTTTTTTTAGCGATGGCCTCGGCTGTGGTCTCGATGCACGTAGCAGCGAAGAGCAAACGCAGGAAAGCGGAAACAAGATGAAGGAATACCGGTATTAGAAGGGGGAGGGTAGGCAGTAGACTTGTAAGTAATTGGTGGTAGCCGTAGTAGTAGTAATAGGTAGTAGTAACAGCGGTAGCAGCAGAAGCAGCAGCAGTGCCTTGCGGGGTTCCTGTCGAATGAGCAGGCAGGCAGTTTGGAGATGATGCGAAGGAAAGAGCTGAGAGCAGAGAGTAGGGAGCAAGAGCAGGCCGCAATTTGGGGGGGGGGGGGGGGGGGGGGGGGCGGAGGGAGGGGCACAAAGAACAATAAGATAATTTGGAAGATGGGGTAAGGCGAAAAATGTCGAGTGTCAGTTGGTGTCAGTAGAGGGGAGGGGATGGTGGTCAACCATCGGTGATGGAAGGCTGCAGGAATACAACCTTGCACAGGGGAAATGTCAACGTTTTCTCACTCCCCCCTTCTGTCTATCTGGTTCTGCTACCAGGCCCAAAAAGAAAAACCCGAGAATCGGTTTCCCGTCGGGTTTGGTTTGATTAGCAAACCTAGGGAAATAAGCAAGGTGTTTGCTCCCCTCCTTTGGTCCTTTGTAGGAATTTCCTGGTCTCTTCGTCTCTGCCTACGCAGAGTGAGCCACATGCTTTTAGTCTTTTCGGGGCTGAATGGACGAAGGTTGGATAAAGACAACCCCCAGGCCGCCTGGTAGCTAAAGGTTGAGCAGCATTGCAGCAAAGCCATTGTATATACCTATGGTACCAAGATGATGGGTAGGATTCTATCAGAAATACTGACCTCGGGTACTCAGACAGGTGGGCATGGTGTCCGATAAAAAGTCGTATCAGGGGGGCTTCAAGTCTCCGGCTGTTCGCCTCTCCCCTCGTGTTAGTTCAGTGTTTGCAAGGCTGACTGATGATACCTGCATAGGATTGGGATTGGCGCTCCGTCGCACTTCAGTTCACAGTTCCAAGACTGATGGGATGGCGCCTTGTCGGTTATCCTCGGGCTCCTTGATAGGGTCTGGCGCAGTGTTGGCTGGAGGACATGGCCTAACCCGGAGGGTCGCCATGTCCCAGTCATGTCCTCATGGTCACAGAAGAGGCAGAAGTCCACCTATAGTTCTCCAAACCCCTCTGCCTGGCGCCGTATTTCAACGCAACAAGGTACCTGTCGGACCATGAAAGGCCCATGGCGGCGGAAGGAAGAATGGTGCTACTCTTCGGTTGGGGCTCTCGTTCTCTCGAGCCTGGCTGGCTTGCTTGCTTCCAATCTGCCTGGGCGTGAATTCACGACACCACCCGGGGGGTACGTAATCATCCAGTGCAATGTCCTTGTCTGGTTATCACAGTTCCAATTGACCTCCCTCGTCTCCTACCTTGCACTCTCCCTTTTCACTAATGGCAGAAAATGATGAGACGCAGCATGGACACGGACGAGCACGCAAGCAGCCGCCCACGCTGCCAACAAGACTTGTCGTTGAGATGGAGAGGTGCGTCTGGCACAGGTGCGTCTGGCGGTGCTGACGCTGATGCGCGCTCCTCGTCCCAAGGAGCCAAACTCGGCAAACCTAAACGGACTAACCGCTGGCCAGGATGATGCGCTGGACAAACAAAGCCTTAGGGGCTATAGGCTTGTGGCCCTCTCCCCCGCCCACCGTCTCGCTCAGGATCGGACGCGGGGCACTGGCGACTGTGCCATGCTAGTGTAAACCCCCGTGGGCATGAGACTTGGTTCTTCACCGCTCTCGCTGGCCGCTATTTTCCCTTCATCTTTAAATCCCGTAAAAGGCGGGTGGGGTCATCGTCCCTTGTTCTTGGCCAAGAGGCATCCGCTGACTTAGACTTCTTAGTCCGAGGGCAGATCTTGGGTCAGCAGCCATCGTGATGCCCTCTGCTGGGTTGGCAAGTCGATCCTTGGTGATGTGGTTAACGACGAGAGGCAGTCGCAGTCGCCAGCAAAGGTGCTGTCGATGCTTTCTTTGTTGTGCCGAGCGAGGTCGTGTCCAGAGGACCCCCCGTCGCTGCGCAGATTGGGGATACTTAGGGCCTGAGGCGCCTCCGCCCCCTACCGCCTTCCTTGCAAAACGCGAGGTGAGGTGCAAGCAAGGTACCTACCTACTTACCTACCTACCCTAGGTAGGTACGTATATATCAATCTGCCGGGAAGGGGTACCTCAGGTGCCTCCTGTTGAATGAACAGGCAAGGCAGGAGGAGGTGGCGGCCAGAACACAAGCACACCAGTGCTATCCATCTTCGCTTCCCGGTACACGCAATACCTCTTTGCTAAATGGCTCGGGCCTGCTTGTGCCTGTCATTGAGGCGCTGTTTTGTCTCATACCAGTGTGCAAATCAATCGATGCAAGATACTCGCATGATTTCCACAGTATTCATCAGGCCGTGATAGGAGATTGGATACCCGCCAACGTAGGTATCAACGTTGCCTGATGCGCTTCCAACGCAGTCCCTCCGGCACCTAGATAGGTAGATAGGTAAAATGGGTCGACTTTGTCGGCTCTTCCTTTACGGCCACTTAAACATCGGGCATACATCTTTCTATCTGAACTATTCATATTTTTCCCATCCTCCACCTACCTAACAAATAGCCTCTGGATATAAGCTTTCATGAGTCGATGATGGGCATCAGCTCAGATTTGTCCGACAAACCCTCTTCACCAACATTATGTCACTTCTTTTCCTTTCACGTAATCATCCGACGATTCCCTCCCGAAAGCCGATAACGCCTCGCATTAAGTCATAAGTTAGACGGACCACCAATCTCTCCCGCCACTTTCAGCATGCAGCGGCCGACTATGAAGGCAGGAGTATGGGCGCCTCATCTATAGACTGACTAGCAATCAATTCTTTTCCTCGACATTACTCTTCGAATTCTGGCCTCTGGCCTCTGGCATACTAGCTCCATGCCTTCAGCTGACTCTGCTTACTGTGAAGTAAGTACATTGCATTGGCGTGCGATGGTCGTCCTCGGGTGGATCGGCACCTCCATCATAAGCAAAGGGGCACAGGATTAACATGCCTTACAACCTGTATTCTCACCTTGTTCCATACCCCGAGACCGGTTCAATGCTGCCTACCGAGCAAGGCAAGTGCCACAAGTCTGGCCCCTTGTCGAGTATTAACAATCCGGGTCTGGCACGCCTTGGAGTGCCTGTGCGCTGATTTGGTTCATCCAACGAACGGATTGTTTGGCAAGTATTTCTTTGTCTCTGGCTCGGCCCATGGTCTCGACGCTCGACACTGACACGCCATCATCCCACCGGTCGCCCGCGGCATGCTGTGCCTGCTGGTTCCCACCTGCTATGCAATCTTCGTGCTGCTGCCCGCCGTCTCGCATCCGTCTCTCTGCCTTCGTGCTTTTAAGACGGAAATCGAGACAACACCGAGGCGGACGGGGAACGGCTCGGGGTCAGGCAGTGTCTCCCAAGTCATATGGACGATACGCATTTGAAGCATTCTCCTGTGTACAGGGAACAAGCTGGGAGGGGAACCAGTCAACGGGCACCCGCGTCCTTCTTTCAATGCTTTCATCCATTCATGACTCCGGTACTTCACAGCATGGCCCGGCCTTCATATCACCTCGCATCATGCCGTCCTCTATGGTTTCCGACCATTGTTCCGACTACCATATGAGATCCAAGCTCGTCGCTTGCCTTTTAGCCGTTTATCTTCAACGCTATCCGCCGTCGCTGCCAAGGGTCGTGTGTGACCAAGAACGGGTATCGCCGACGCAGAGGAAACAACCCCAACCCCCCCCCCTGTTCGTGCTCGATATTTGCCGTTGACGACGGGAAATAAGTCTTGACGGGTAATCGGACCATTTCTTGATAGGCCTTGCAATGACTGTGGTTTTCCCTGACTGTCATATCCTTTTTCGGGCGGTGTCCCTTCCCTGCTGGCCCAATCGCACCAGTGGCCATCGTCCCCGTCAATATCGAAAACTGAAACATGAAGCCATGCCAGAATCGCGGCGTGGGACATGAGAGCATTATAGACAACCGACCTCACGGCATCCTGGCTTTCATGGCAGGGCAAAGCGAGCCTTCAAAGGGAAGTGGACTGGACGATCTCGTCGTTCTGTTCCTATCTGGGTTTGCTGGCAGCCCTCGACTTTGCCCCGGTCATCGTGTGATTCGCGGGGCCGCCGCCGTTGCATTGCAATCCATTCTCATGTTGTTTGCTCGGCCGTTTTCCTCAGTAGAAGTCGATCTTGGCGTGTGATGTTGCCCGCTCGCAAATGATTTAGATGGAGCTCTTGACATGTCGAGCAGTCGCACATGGGAAATTGCTCCGATTGCACTGATTGCTTCGCAGAACGGCGGTTGGTAGGCAGGTATATTCAAAGTACTGATACGAAGTAGCAGTGTGTTTCTGGCCAAAGTCTTCCCTGGTATCCCGAGAGATTCAAGTACCGCTACCACAGCCGCAGACTTGGGTCTTGGAAATCACTAGCTCGGGTCGACCCCTGCATACCATCCCCTCTGTGCAGATCATCGCTCAAGCCACAAAATCCCTTGTGTTTTTGAGGCTTACAGCTGATTATCGACTCATGCATACCGGTAGCCCCTAGAGGATACGGAACTCAACTCAACCCCCCTTTTCCTCGCCCAGAGTCAGAAAGCCTGCTCTCCGCAACCTTGACGACACTTTCACAGTACATTCATCAGCCACAACAAACGAAAGCCACCGGTCCGTAAATTGGCACCAAACGCTGTACACCAGCCACACACTGCTGCCGGCTCACCTCTCTCTCCTCACCAACACAAGCAGCACGCATCACATATTCCTACGTTCACGCGAACATGGATACGGACCACATCGACAGCCTGCTGGAGCGCTACCTCGTCCTGCTGGATAAATACACGGTTCTGCGCGAGCGCCTCGGCAAGGCCCAGGCCGGCATGTATCAAAACATCGCACGAGCCAATTTCTCTGCAGAGAGGGGCATCCGATATGGCCCCGACTACTACGACGAGCGCATGCAGGCTTCGAGGGTCCTCGATGTTTCTGCAGACGGCAGGGGTGTTCCCCGCTTCGAGATCGTCAAGCCTGCAGACGCCGTGACGCTGTCAAAGACAGCGGCCGTAGAGGCCGAGATGGAGACCCGTGAGGCTCAGGGCCAGGAGGTTGAGGGGCGAGTGCCTGGTGGTGTTGATGAGGCTCCGCATGATGAGTCCGAGACAACGCCTGCTGATGGGGGCGAGTATGAGACCCAAGCGGAGAAGAACGGAAGGACGAAGAAGCATAGGAAGACGAGCAAAGACCCCCTTCGATGGTTCGGCATCCTGGCGCCGTTGCCTCTGCGACAGGCGCAGATGCTCTCGGTTCAGGCTGTTCAAGACATCATTCCGCAGCTGGCATCGGTGGATGCCGAGATGAAGGACGTGGAGATCGAAGTCCGCCGGGCGCGGAAGAGGCGAGCCAAGGCGGAGGCCGTGCTGAAGAAGAGCGAAGCGGAAGAAGTCCCCGAGACAGACCAAGGCGGTTTACAAGCCCCGGTGGTGGCTATTAAATCGATGTGATTGTCGTCCCCATGTATCGACACCGCGTGGGGTGTTAAGAGGGCCGCACAGCTCTCCTTTCAGGAAGCATTTGAGGATGTTCGAGCTCCGGCTGATCTAGGATATGCCCAGGCGGCGGCTTCTGAGCCGAATTATAGCACAGATTTCGGAGCATATCCTCCATCTCCCTATCAACTCAAGTTCTAAGAGCGCGGGTCCATGTCTACTTTCGTGCCGGTTGTCGTGCTCCATTGAGCTCGGCTTTTGGCCGCCCCCGTCTCGCAACCGCTGGCAGTCTACGTGCCTGGCACGATTATGTCATGGTAGCTGAGCCGACAGGGCAGCACGCGAGGCGCTGTGTTCATTAAAGCCGTGTTCTCTACACTTAATATGATAGTTCAAGAGATCCTTTATACCATTCTCCCAGGCTACCTCGATAGTTGTAAGACGATGCCATCTTCAAGTTGCCTGTCTTACATCTCCCAAGTTAAGTAAAAAAGAGTGGAGACAACACCTTTGATCACATGAAGTGCGTTACATAGTACATACAGAGCGAAACGCCACTCGTGCCCTCTCTAGCTTACATAGGATCCATTTTTTGACTCCATGTTTTACAATAAGACATTCTCAACCTCTCGGAACACGCCCTCCGCCAGCTCCGGAAGCCATAGTAATGGTTGATGCGAAAACGTAAGGGGTTTGACAGTCCTCTTGTCTGGAGACTAACGAAGCTTAGAACCTGTGATTATCGTTGAAGCTCAAGAGCAACGAGAAATGAAAAGACGAGAATAAGAGCCGTAATGCCTCGGAGCTGGACGGCCCTTAATTCCGCATGGAAGACTGCGGCAACTGGTCTTGTGCAAGAATTGTATGCATTGGATTGTGTTCCCTTTCCAGTCCGGCTAGAAGGGCCAAACTCGATATCGTACCATATGGCTCGCCTTTCACCACTTTTTCCCGTTCGGATTTTGCCTAACAATAAACCAACCTGTCGAATACAGTTCAGACTACCGATAGATATGGTATATACTTTCCTCTTGTTAATGACGCCAGAGGGGCTAATCAATTGTGTTAGCTCTGAAGATTCCGAGTGGCGGCACATACTAGCCACGTGGTGAAGAGCAACCCCGCCGATACTCCGCTGCTGTTGGTATACAAGGCAGTTTCATTTATCACGGTTGCAGAGGATTGTTTTTTTTTTGTTTTTTGCCCTGTCAACCGCTTGGGTCAAGGTATTTATTTCCTCGCTGTCGGGCCATGGTTTTCAGGTTGGCCAATATAAATGTCTCAACACATTTCGCTACGAGTTAACCACACGTCAACATTGTTGCTATCATGAAGCGGTCGAGATACACATGAGTCAGGGAGTAGGTCAAATACCATGGAGCAGGGCATAAACAAAGCAAACCCGAGTGATGACAACTAAGAAAGGAAGGCCGGTAAGGTTCGTGACAATTGATGCGACGGCAGGTCATGTTCCTAGTTGTGGTGGCTCGAGCCGAATTTATGCTATAGTTGCCATCTAAAGCTTAGATCCAACGTGCAGTCCCACCACGCTCATCTTTGCCAAGGGCCTAAAGGTTCGGTCCTATCTGAACATCGAAAAAATACGGGTTCCAATGATGGTGGCAGTGGTGACGATGAAGACGTGCCATGGCAGACGTTGCAACAGTTGCAAACAAGACGAGATGCACAAAAGTATTATGAAACAAGAGACAGTTCGAGAATTAGTACATCGTAGAAGGGGGGCTCCATAGCCACGCGTTCCCCTTGTTTACAACCCATGAAGAGTACCCGAGGGCCATCCATGTATGGATCAACACTGGGCGGATCACGAAGACCAGAGAGAGGCGCCGCACAGATTCAATGTGAATTCGCAGCAAAGATTGTGAATAACACGGTCTCTCCCACTGTGACCCCATCTCACCCGCCGCAGACCCGGGGCAGGAGCTTGGACCGTCTCTCCGTTTCCATCCAATCAGGAATTAGGCTTCGGCGCGCAATGTAAACAAACGAGAAGCCCCTCCACAGCGATCCCCGTCGCGCTCTACGTACCTACCTACCTCTACCTTCCTTACCGAAACGAACCCTATCCGCTCTCGCCTGACATCATCTACCTCTCGTCCTTCAACACAAAGGCCTCGCTGGATCGACCTCGTTCATCTTGCTTCTTCGCTCTCTTTTGATTTTTCCGGCATTCCAGCAAACGACGCTGTTAACGCTCACTACCAGCCATCAATCACAATGTCGCCGCCCCGCCGTCGCTCGGCCCGTTTGGCAAGTGCAAACACACCAAAGGTGAGGAAGCTCTTTGACCGCTTGTGTAAACAAAAACAATAGCGACTCGCGGACTCCGACTAACATTTTATTTATTTTCCAGCCAAAAGCCAAATCTGCTCTTTCCGCCGTCGCCGAACGCGAAGAAACCCCTCCCTCGCAAGAGGTTGCCAAGAGCCTGAATGCCCTCGCTGTTCCCAACCACGATCCTGCCACACCTTCCTCATCTACGAACATGAAGGCGCCATTGTCCGAAATGCACCCAAGCAAAGTACACCAAACCGTCGCACCTCCCTCGGCTACCTGGCTTGGCTTCAGAGACATGAAGCCTTCCGACAAGAACGCCGACCATCAGACGACGCCTTCCAAGACCATAGGCGTGCCTGAGTCGCCCTTCACCTTCCGCGTCGCGCAGCCTACCTGTGACACCGGCCTGAGCAGCGACGCCCTGCAGATGATGAACGAGCTGCGCGAGGAAGCCGCCAAAATCAAAATGGAGCTGCTCGCCAAGCGCGAACTAGAGAGAGAGGATGAAGAAATCAGCGGGCGCAGGATTGCCAAGGCCCGGGGCAAGTCTGGTCGCTACAGCGCCGCCCACATGGCCGAGTTCAAGAAGATGGACTCCATCGAAGGCCACCCCTCATCTTTCCGGGCCCAAGCTGGCCGAGTCACTCCGCTCAAGAGCTCTTTGAAGCGTACCCAGTCTAAGGCCAACCTCGATGACACGCCCACTCAAGCAAAGTCTAGCTTGAAGCGGTCCGTTTCTAAGGTCAACTTGGACGACACCCCCACGCATCCGAAATCTAGTATCAATATGTCTCCTTCAAAGGCAAACCTTCAAGACACACCGACTCACCCAAAGTCAATTCTCAAGCAGCCTTCTAAGACCAACCTGGGCGTGCCTGGCACGCCTACTCAGCAAAAAGCAAGCCTTAAGCGGTCTCCCTCCAAGGCCAATCTAGACGACACGGACTCTAGCGATTCCAAGAACGCTCCATTCAGTTGTCGGCCCAAGGCTCGTCTCTTCGCCCTCATCGAGCCTCCCGCTTCCGTCAAGCGTGTGAGACAACGCTTTGAGGACGACGCCTC